GGCCACACCTAAGTCATTTAGCCAACAAGATTTACCCGTACCAAAACGATCTGCAAGTGGGACTTTTGATCGGCTCAAACTGTTCAAACGCCATAAAGCCGAAGCAGGTCATTCCTGGTAAAAGCAGCGATCCTTATGCCATCCGTACCCTCCTTGGTTGGGGCATCATTGGTCCAGTGACAGGAAGTACAACCACAGAAGATTCGGATGTCTTATGTCACAGAGTTGCAGTGAAGGAGATCGGTAGCGAAGAATTACCTTCCCATAGTTTTGTTGTTGAGACACACGTAAAAGAGATCATCTCTCCAGAAGCAGTTAAGAGAATGTTCGAGCGAGATTTCAATGAAGGGAAGCACGCGGCTCAACAAACCCTTTCCATGGATGATCGAAGATTCATGGCAAAGGTTAAAGAAGGAATTACCCATCGTTCAGATGGACACTATGAACTGCCATTGCCACTACGAAATGAATCGTTAGCCCTGCCGAATAACGAGAAGCTTGCAGTCCATCGCCTCCAGCAGTTGAAACTGAGATTTCGAAGAGATGAGAAATACAAAGAAGACTACACGGCATTCATGAATGACATGATTAAGAAGGGATATGCTGAGAAGATACCAAAGGACGAAGTTAGGAAAGATGGAAAGACATGGTACCTTCCTCACCATGGTGTCTTCCACCCTCAGAAGCCGGACAAGATCCGCGTAGTCTTCGATTGCTCCGCGGAGTACAAAGGGGAGGCTCTTAACAAGCATCTTCTCCAAGGCCCAGATCTTACCAACAAGCTTGTTGGAGTGCTATCGAGGTTCAGAAGGGAGCCAGTTGCCTTCATGGCAGATATAGAAGCAATGTTTCTGCAGGTCCACGTCACTGAACATTGTAGAGATCTGTTACGCTTCTTGTGGTGGGAGGATGGCGATGTAAACAAGGAGCCCACGATATACCGGATGACCGTTCATCTCTTTGGAGCTGGTTCGTCTCCTGGTTGTTGTAACTTTGCGCTAAAGAAGACCGCTGATGACCATGAGCAAGAGTTTGGCTTCGAACCAGCCGAGTTCCTGAGGAAAGATTTCTACGTTGACGACGGTCTGAAATCTGTACCTTCTACAAGTCAAGCAAAGGAGCTCATACGCAAGACTAAAGAGATGTGTCGGCGCGGAGGATTTAACCTGCATAAATTTACAAGCAACAAAAGAGAAGTTATCGAGTCCATACCAGTGGAAGATCGTGCGAAAGGCATAAAGGAGCTGAATCTCGAGAAGGATGAACTGCCTATGGAAAGAGCGCTTGGTGTGAGTTGGTGTATTGAGTCAGACGCTTTCAAGTTCCGGATCGTAATGCAAGATCGCCCTTTAACGCGAAGAGGAATTCTGTCCACTGTTAGCAGGGTGTACGATCCGTTGGGGTTTCTGGCACCTCTAATCTTGACAGGAAAAGGCCTTCTGCAAGATCTGTGCAGAGGTAAAGTGGAATGGGACGACCCTATCCCCGAGAACATAAGATCACGTTGGCTGAAATGGAGGGATGAGTTACACCACTTAGAAGATCTCTCCGTTCGAAGATGCTTTAAACCAGAAGGTTTCGGAACGGTGATATCAACACAGCTTCATCACTTCTCAGACGCAAGCACGACTGGGTATGGCCAGTGTTCATACGTTCGTTTGGTAGACGACAAAGGCCAGATCCACTGTTCCCTGATTATGGGCAAAGCAAGAGTAGCTCCTTTAAAGATGGTCACCATACCACGTCTGGAACTCACAGCAGCTGTGGTGTCAGTGAGGGTCGGCGAGATGCTCCGTCAGGAGCTCCAGTATGAAAGTGTAGAAGAAATCTTCTGGACTGACAGTAAAGTCGTGTTGGGCTACATAAAGAACGACTCGAAGAGGTTCCACGTGTTCGTAGCCAACCGTGTTCAACAAATAAGGGACCAAACCTCACCTAGCCAATGGAGACACGTCGAAACGGAGTGTAACCCAGCCGATGATGCATCGCGTGGTATCACTGCCAAGGAACTCGTTGAAAGTTCAAGATGGATTTCAGGGCCAGAGTTTCTTTGGACGCCCGAAGACCAGTGGCCACAACCCCTCGAGGCTCAGGACCTCGTTACGCCATCAGACGATCCAGAGGTGAAGAATTTGACTTCTTATGCAACAAGTACGCAAGAGCCATGGAACCTTGTTGAGAGTTTAAACTACTTCTCGGACTGGCATAGGGCGTGTAGAGCCGTTGCTATCTGTCTACGCTACAAGCAAAAACTCCGTCAACTGGCGTCCTCCAAGAAAGAAAGTTGTGCTAAACCAACAAAACGTCAGCAAAGGCCTGCCCTGACAGTGGAAGAGATTCTATCAGCTGAAAGGGAAATCCTCAAAGCAGCCCAGAGGGTCGCCTTTTCAAGGGAGATGGGTCTGTTAAAGCCGTTTCAAGAAGGACAAGATAGATCATCCGCGCAGCAGAAGAAGAGAGCCATGAAGGCGACGAGCTCGTTGTACCGCCTCGACCCATTCATTGACCATGATGGAGTGCTACGAGTTGGTGGTCGGATCCAACGAGGCAATTTTACAGATAAAACAAAGTTCCCAGTCATCCTTCCGAGAAAGGGCCACGTTACAGGTCTGATCATTAAGCACTACCATGAGAAGGTTCAACATCAAGGTCGTGGAATGTCCTTAAACGAGATCCGAGCCAATGGATTCTGGGTTATCGGCGGAACATCAGCTGTAGCCTCCAAAATTGCAAATTGTGTCACCTGCCGGAAGTTACGAGGTGCAGTCCAGGAGAAGAAAATGTCCGACCTTCCGGAGGATCGTCTGGAACCGGCACCCCCCTTCACCTACTGCGCTGTCGACTACTGTGGACCATGGTATATTAAGGAGGGGCGCAAGGAGGTAAAGAAGTATGTTGCCCTCTTCACGTGCATGGCATCAAGAGCCGTACATCTTGAAGTCTCGAACTCCTTGGAGACTGACTCGTACCTCAACGCCCTGCGTCGTTTCATCTGCAGAAGGGGTCCTGTACGTCAGCTGCGCAGTGATCAAGGAACGAATTTCATCGGAGCAAAACGAGAGCTCCGCGAAGCGTTGCAGTCTATGGATCAAGGCAAGATCAGCACTGAGATGTTGAAAGAGAATTGTGATTGGATAACCTTTAAGATGAATTTCCCATCAGCCAGCCATGCAGGAGGAGTATGGGAGCGCCAAATCAGGACCATTCGCAGTGTACTATCAGCCCTCCTGGAGAAGAGTGCAAGTTGCCTGGACGGAGAGTCCTTTCACACGCTGATTTGTGAAACCGAAGCGATCGTGAACAGCCGTCCCCTGACAGTGGATAATCTAAGCGATCCAGGGTCACTATCTCCACTGACGCCAAATCATATCCTCACAATGAAAGCAAAGCCAGTTTTACCTCCGCCTGGCGTGTTTCAAAGAGAAGACCTGTACTCAAGGAAACGTTGGCGACGAGTCCAGCATTTATCATGCGAATTCTGGGACCGTTGGAGGAAGGAATTTCTTCATAGCTTACAAGAGAGGTCCAAGTGGACGAGACCACGCCGTAACATGCAAGTTGGCGACGTAGTTATCGTTAAAGACGACAACAAGGCGAGGAATCGGTGGAGCCTTGCTCGTGTGATAGAAACGTACCCCAACAAGGCCGATGGACTGGTGCGTAGTGTCAAGGTAGCGATTGGAGACCCTGATATCTCCAGCACTGGAAAGAGAGTGCACCCCCCCATCAGTTTTGGAAAGACCCATTCCAAAGCTTGTCCTGCTGCTGCCAAGAGAGGAAAGACTGGGATTCCCGCATGGGGAGCCATGTAAGTGCCCCTAAGGCACGGGTTTATCCCTTGTTTTGATTTAGTAATCGTTTAATTAATAATCTGTAAAAGTCACACTAGGTGCCTCGTCACGCGTTCCGTAAGTGGTATCGCATTTCCAAACAGAACGGATCTATTGTGCAATTCAATAATTCGATCGATTTCGCAAGCACTCGTGGTTTAATAGAAAGAAATTGTCTGTCGTTTTTATCGAAGGAAGGAAAGGTCTTTTTTGTGTCAACTCTCGCCAGATCCGGCAACAATGTAAGTTTAATTTACCTCGAGTGTTTCTATAGCTAATTTCTTGTCCCTAATTTTGTGAATCAATTATTTTTAGCTTCACGGTCAAATACGACATTTAATAAAGGAGGCGTTTAACAGAAAGAAATTGGGACGATATTTGTTGTGTCGATCAGTGAGATTCGTACGGTCCAGCTAGCGGCGATCAAGCGTCGCTATACTTTCTATGTCTTAAAGAGTGCGTGTCTACGTGCATGACTCCTTTACCTTTGGGTAAATAAACTCGTAACGTTGACGACCAAGCTATGCACTCTTTTGCCTTAAAAGTGCGGAAGTAAATTATCTTCTGTCTTCAGGTAGATTGACCGTCATCGTCTCGATGAAGGGCAAAGTACCTAAGAATAGTATTAATCTTTTTTAGCCAACAAGAATATTATCCTCTAAAGACAGCCATGCCAAATCAAAGGCACTTAAAATAGAACCCGGGGAGAAAAATATGGAGCTTTATACAGAATCTATATGGAGCCTTAATTCCCTTAAATGACGGTAGACTAGTTTCCGAGACTGAGTGGTTTTGATATGATTGCAAAAGGGTTCCTTTTAGTTAAGAATCGCCGACAATTTAGTTTTCGCTGTTTAAGCTTTTGTGGATTATTTTCTGTTTTATAGAGTTCTTTCTACAGAAATCCTGTGATTCGCTATAACTTTACGGGCCAAGAAGTAAACATTTGCTGTATCAAGCGATTTCGAAAATGTTATGCTTTGGTTAGCTTCGTTGTTAAGAGAAAAATTATGACTATTTTAATTTCTACGTCATCTATATTTAAGTTTTATGCATGTGTTTGACATAGACGCCTGTAAGTGCTCATGCATGGGTAACAAGGACTGGGCGGTATGCATCTGTGGTTAATTCATTGACGAGTAAAATACTGCTGAAGCGACGCTCTTTCTGATGTCTCAAGTCAACGACCACCTCGATGTCTCCAACATGGCTCCGTTCGAAGGAACTCGAAAGAGATTCACGGTGCAAAGGAAAGATTCTGCTGAGTCAGTCGTGAGCGCGAAGCTTGAAAATGGTCAATTTTTCAACGGCTTTATATGCATCTTGAAATGGATATCTGCAGTTCTAATTTTCTTGGCTGTATTATTCTGTATTGTGACTAGCAAGCTTTGTTTGCTGGTTCTTGGGCATCAGTTTAAAAGTGTACAAGAAACTAAAACGAACACTACAGCAGAGTATTTTGCAGAGGCGAATAAACAGGCGTTGGTGATGATGCTCGTGCTCGCTTTAGTGATACCACAGGCGGCATCTTTACTTTACGCCATTTGGACAAGCCTGAGGAGAAAAAGCCGACCATGGCCAACAAAACAAGGATTTATTATCGTAAGTGTAATTATAAATTCCAAATTGTAGCTAGATAGATGGTATAAGAGATGTAGTTGAAGCAATGGAAGTTAGGCCACGCGAGTTGAAGCTCTACTGAAGTTACGGAAACATTTCAAAGTGCTGGTTCCCTTTGACCTTGTATCAAACTCCTTGCCAAAGATGCAGTTATGCTACCTATATATTTGCAAAGAAGGCTTTTGACCTAGTGATTCGAACCGATTCAAAAAAGAATAATAATTGATAAACTGTGAAAATAATTTTATCATAAAATCATTATGTCGGTGTCGAAGCCTTCTAATATGATGCGCGCTATCTTGGCCATGTACTCAGCGCCATTGCCACTTTGTCTTTGCCCGCGATCTCACGAACTTTTTAGATGTATGCAATAGCACGACATTGCCTTTTCTTCTAGGACAACAAGAACTTGTTTTATCACCGTTACATTCAAAAATAGATCTTTGAACTATTTGGCAAAGGGAAATATTGCTTGTCTTCCACTTCCGTGAATTAATAACTTTAAGAGAAAACTTAGAAGAATTCACTAAATTGATGGCAATTGTACTATAAGGATAGTGGCAATCATCTTCAGGATAAGCTTTTTCTTCACTCATTTAAAACTCAGTTTTACCTGTTACGAAACATAATGGCAGAATAGACAACAAAAACGCTCCGACCTCTAATTAGACTGCAATTATCTTGCTGTTTGTTGTGCATAAAATATGCATTAATTTCACCCAGATTTCAAAGCGAATCATTCATGCATTATAAGATAATCTGGTTTTACTAAATGCGTGGATAATGCATTGACGAAGGGCTAGGGCTTAAAACGTCAGCTTTAGAAACTCTTTACACCAGTCCATCTCGATGTCTATGATATATCTATCATTTACAATATCAACTCAGCTCATAAAACATAAATTATTTTGTAATACCCCAGCGACGCATTATGCATTAGCCTTACATAAGTGGTTTAATTTGCTTTTATGACTATTGGATTCAGAGGTTTTACTTCTACAATACTATTTCATTCCTCCTTTGAGATGACAGAAACAATAAATTTTAACGCGCCTGAGGCTATTTTTGTGGCTAACAGAGAAGAATTGAAAGCAAAAAGATTGCTTAATTCTTGACAAAAACGTCAATCAAAGTGTCTTAGATGGGACTGTTTTGGTATGCTGCTTTGTTTAGCATCTTGATGTCTCTAAGTTGTTTTGACTAAGTTGTCATAATATGCTAAGTGATGAGACTGCCTATCATGAAAAGCTCTATTGCCCTTTGTTTTAGGGTAAAAGAAACGCAAAAGTTCGAGTATATTTCAAGGAAGCATATTATCGGCTTAAAAAAGTTACCATTTAAGGCAAACACAAGTTGCAGAAGGTGTAAACTAATTACTTACTGGAAGTCGCGCCAACAGACACTTCATGACAATAATTTTAGAGTCACACGGGCTCGCTGCCTGATAAGAGTTTGACATAGGGAAAAATCGCTTTATAACATATTACATAAGCTCGAGATGAGACTTGTTTTAGGTTTTGTCGTAATGATTTTTTACGAATTTGAAATAAATCAAAAACGTGATTCCGCCCAACGACTATGTATATAAAATAATGAACACTTCTTGTTCTATTCAAAAGGCAAAAGTAAAAAAAAAATTGTCACAAACACATGTCGATCGATGAATGAAAACAAGCCTTTCGCAGTAAAGCAGTCATATTCGTGTTCAGATATCATTCTTGATCCTCTGCCATGGCACAATGTGGAATGGCTTACGCAGGAAAGCCGTTTTACTCCAAAAATGTCGTAATACTGAACAGAACTGGGTATCTCGTGTCCAACACAGAATCATGGTATAATGTGGGTTATATACACTAAGCTGTATGGATCTAAAGGAATCAGTAAGTGCAATCGTACCCCGATTTCCTGTCGAGCACTTAAAAGCGTGATATACTCTTTACCAATCAGTTATTCATTAATATTGACATTCAACAAAGCAACCCGACAGGAAACAAGTAAACAAGAAGTAATCAACCCATTTTCTTTTTCGGCCTTTTGACTCTGTGAAGGACAATGAAATAATGGAGAAATATTTTGTAGACGGTTTACATGATTAGTACCTCACTGCCTATTTAACAAATAGAGAAGCCTTGACTGTGCTCTGTTCTGTTATAAAGCAAGCTGGAGGCGGCTAGAGCACGAAAGAAATGTAGGGAGAAACACGAGACGTAGTCGAGTGTTTCGCCCCACTTCTTGAGTGCTCTAGCCGCTTCCTGAGTGCTTTATTACAGAACAGAGCACAGTCAAGGCTTCTCTATTTGTTTTATAATAAAGAATCCGTTAAATTCCCCGAGCATTACTTTCAATTTTCAAAACAAACTTTATTTCCAAAGCGAACAACAGTGTGGTCAGCATGCTCTATACTCTCATAAAGCACGCTACAATAAACCAATCAGAATCCCTGTTAGAGTGGTTCAAATAATCTGATTGGCTGTACAAGACTAAAGCTGTCAAAAGTGTCAAACCATCAAAGTTCAAAAACCATCAAAGTTCACATTCTGCGATAGTTTATAAACTAAAATAATTTAACACTTTTGCCTGAAGTTTTTAAGTCTCTAATACAGAATCTTGAAGTAAAATGTTCAGTGAATTTCAGCCGAATTATGGCTCATAAAAACACGCGAGTTTTTTCACATGACAAGGTAGAAAACAAACTGTTCAGGGCGAATGTTTTTTGAATGAACGACAGCCGAATTCAGCGGAACATGAAGATCGCTCGGGATGACAGCGCGGCAAAACTCGGCTGCAATGACAGATGTGACTTTCCATTCAACGCATCGGAAAGGATATTAGAGAAAGCTCTTATTTTTTCACTCGAAGGGCGGCCGATGTAGTTTCTGAGGCTTGCTTTACTGTGATGACCGGAGATCACCATGATGGGCGAGCCGCGATGGACTTCAGCATGATGATATTCGCTCAGACACCGTCATGATTAGAATGAATTTTAACAGTTATGCCAGTTTGGTTATATTTTTCACCATTTCTGTTTTGTTCTGTTTTGTTTTTGAACACTGAACTTTATATACTATATGAGTGTTAGTTGTGTTTCATTTTTGTTTCCGTACGTAAGCTTGCAATCTAACTGAGCGTGAATTAATCTTTGAAACTCGGAATGTCTATTTTGTTTTTCCTTTGAGGATTTTCGAATCTGCTCACGTTTTAATAACGTAAATTACGGCGCCTGGTATGTTTACAAAGCTTTGTTTGATTCTTCTGTTGCTACTTGTTCCGAAATTTCACTTTCAATTATCGGAAGAAAGCTAAAAAGAAGTCCCGGAAAAGGTCGAACATAGTACAATTTGGCAGATGGCGTGAAAGCTTTAGCTCAACTCTCTGCTCTATACTCTCATAGAGCACGCTCTTTCAACCAATGACAGCGCGCGTTATATTCCAACTTTATTATAAATCTAGTTTGTTAAGTTATCTGCTTATGTGGCCTTAAGATATGTCTTTCTAAATGTAGAAGAATTCACTTTATTACAGATTTTGGTTTCCGGAGCCCTAGAAGCGATTTCTCTTAATTATATTGTCGTGGTGATGGTGACTGTTCTACCAGTTAACCCCGACGTAATTGTGCTGCTTATGTGCAGTTTAAGTGTGGCACCGGCGATATGGCAAGCGTTCAAATCGCGATCACAATGGCAAACTTGTCAAGGGAAGTTGGATGTTATTAAGTTTTCTGCAGCTGCTATCTCAGCCATAACTGGCATTGTCATGCTCTCTATAAAGGTAACTAATCATAAAATATCTTTTAGTTTATACGAGATGAAAGCAAGAATGTGATAAAATGTCTTAAGTGAGGAAATTTATTTCCTAACATTATGTCTACTTGTGAGTTTTAATTGCGGACGATAAACTCTTCCGAATGATGTATTAGCTGGCTATCTCAGAAGGAAGCTGGAATTACATTTCGGACCGACTATCTTTATTATTGATTGTTTCGTTTAGGTACCCGACTTATCTGGACAGATTGGCATTCCTGTATCATTTTTTCTCCTTTCCATTGCTTGGTCACCGAAGCTTAGAAAACTCCAAATACGAAGCAAACAACACAGTCAATCGACGTTAAGAGAACACTATGTTTCAGGTGTTTCTTTAAGCAACAATGATGAAGAGCGAGGAACTAACAGGGGTCCTCCTGTTAAGATAAAAACTGCCCGAGGAAAGGCGGCTATTGTATCTTCGTTTTGGAAACTTTTTCTCACACCTCTGATTGCAATGACGTTCGCCAAAATTTACGATATTGTTGAGCTCGACAACATTCACGACACTTTTAAAGCCATGACAACAATGAATCCATCAACAACCTACTTCATGTTTCATATTTTTGCGAGTTTCTTTGGTTATCATTTTGGTTGGCTGAGCTGTTCTCTTTGCATGCAACGTATTGGATACGCTCTTCCGTTAACGCTGGCAACACCGATTACTCTCCTCGTGATGCAAGTCGAAAGGATATGTGAAATAAGCACACTATCATTACCTTGTGCATCAACAGATCTAGGCTACATTCTTGGGGCAGGGTTCCTTCTGTGGTTCTCGCAGTCCATTGCAACCACTTATTACACATGGAAGAGTCAAGGACAGATCATGGCAAAGGCATCTGATCTTCTATGGATTCCGTCTTACAATGGTATGTTGTTTTCCATCCATTCTCATCTTTCATTCTATATTAGAGCAGTGGAATTGAGAAAGCAAAATCAATTTTAATGCATAACTCTTTTTTTGTCTTTATCATTGTTGTTGTTGTTTTCTAATTGCTTATTCAAAACTCTGCCCACGGGCATAGGGGAGACATCTATAGCTTCGTTGTTATTTTTCATAATTATATTTCGTTTGGCCGACTGGACAGTATTTTCGAAATCAATATGTGGTAGCAAATGTGTCACTGTTAAATTGGTTGACACGCGACCTTAAAACCGTTTGTATTATTTTAACTTAAGTCCTTCAAAAAATGTAAACTCAACAACAAAAAATTAAACTCAGATGTAAAAAATGTAACCTATGTATCCTCTCCTGCAAACATTTGATCCATAAAAAACAAATCAAACCATCGTTATATTGGAATATGTCTAAAAACTAATTACTAATGAAGGCCGTTCTCCAGAAACATTTTTACTGAATTTCTCTTTCATTTAGTGACAAATATATAAAATTCAGCAGAAATGATACCAGTTGATTCCAGTTAAAATTCGAGTACCATTCAAGACTTTATTTTTTTTCCAGGTGTCTGCCTTGAACAGTACTTATTATTAAACAGACGAAATCAGTCATGTGACGAGGAACACAACAAACACAACGAACTATCAAACAATATCCACGTGTTCATATGTACGACAATGTACCACGAGGCTGACTACGAAATGGAGCAACTCCTTCGTTCTATACACGATGTCGACATAAACAGAACCAAATCAGGAAGACATTTTGAGTCACACGTGTTTTTTGATGGATGTATCAGGGCAAACGTGTTTAACAGCTATGTTTTGCAGCTGGTGTCATTGGTGGAAAAGACGTTGGTTGTGAGCCTGACGGATTGTGTCAAAATGAAAACCCCATACGGCATGCAGCTAAGGTGGAAACTTCCGGGCGGAATGGATTTCACTATTCATCTTAAAGATAATGCTAAGGTTACATAACGGTTTTAAACTTTCCGTATTTGTTTCAAATGCACCAGTGGCAAATTTCTAAATAACTTGAAATAGCTCAATTAATATATTAAGTTTGTAAACGAAGAAATCTTAATAACAAAAAAAAAATCGCTTCTACCTTTAAAACAATAGTTTTCCTCCACCTGTTCTTCAAACCTACCCGACCGTCATCCATAACAGATTCTACCCTGTCATTTTACTTTAAGTTAACCCGTAAACCGTTCAGATGGTGTTCAATCATCAGATTGCAAAATTGCTGGTTTCATTTTTGCAATTTTCTAAAATGCGTGAGGCAGCCAGCCACTTAGATACATACTAGCTTCTTATCGCTGAGTGGGCTGCCACGATCACTATACTATTGATAGACTGTCCTTTCATTTTTACACAGGTGAAGAACAAGAAAAGATGGAGCCAAGTAATGTATATGTCCTACGTCCTCGACTTTCGACAAGAACTTCTTAGAGGTACCTTCGTAACATACAAATTAAACAACTTTCAGTTCAGAGTAAGAAAGGCATGCATTAATTTAGCATAGAATGTTTGTGACAACATATTCCGCATTTTATATTGTAGTGGAAGATGACCAGTGCTTCATCCTTACAACAGACGCTGATGTTAAGTTTACCCATTGGTCTGTTGAAGCGTTAATTGACCAGATCACCGAGGACCCCAAAACGGGTGCAGTGTGTGCTCGTACCCATCCATTGGGAGATGGGCCTGTTGTTTGGTATCAAATATTTGACTATGCCATCGGACACTGGTTTCAAAAGGTTCGTTTCTGTTAAAGGGCCTAGACCGATCTCAGCTCCGTTGGTTTTGCCATAAAATTGACTTAAAATTTTTTAAAAGACAAGAATGATAGAAATAGTCTCAGATGGGTTTTAAAGAGCAAAATTGGATTGAAGGCCACAAAACCATTTATGAATTAAAATGCAGACTTCTCAGTAACCAGTTGATGAACTGCGACAACTTCTCATAGTTACCTGAACCAATGATATGGCAATAAAACACCTCCCCAAACCTTTGGTTCGTATTATATTAGGTTGATTACATTCATAAGACGTTTGTTAGGATCATGAAAGGCAAGGTCCACAGACTTCTGATGATTAAAAATCGACATTTATTTCACAAGTTTCATGTATGTGTTATTTGAAAATGTTTATGATCTCGGTTTAGGTGGCCAATCATATGCTTGGTTCGGTACTGTGTAGTCCCGGATGTTTCAGTTTGTACAGGTGCCAGGCTGTACGAGATGTTCTTCCTACATATTCTACCGGCGTGGACCACGCCTTTGAATTTCTTACGAAAGACATGGGTGAGTTTGTTTGCATACCCAGTCAGTGGGAAAAAAAATGAAACATATCAACTTCGTATGCTCGATCAATTAAAATAATTCCCATCAGGCAAGAATTCATATGTTCCTCTATCCATAAGGTGAAGACCGCTGGATGTGTACACTCATGATCCAAAGAGGCTGGCGACTGACATATTGCGCCGCAGCAGAAGACAGTACTTACTGCCCAGAGAGCTTTGACGAGTTTTACAAACAACGTAGACGATGGACACCATCCACTTTAGCCAATATTGTTCTGCTTGTCAGCGAGTGGAAACGGACACTGAAGAATAACGAGCATATTTCTTTTCTATTTATTCTTTACCAAACGTTCCTCGTCTGCTCCACAGTTATTGGGTAGGCTAAAGTATTTATTCAAATAATTGAACGCTCTAAACACTTTCGGATTCTTGATTACAGAAAGCGAAACAAATCCTAGTTATTTCACAGCCCTCAACGTCAGAGAATTTTTTTTTTCCTCATGCCCCTTTGAAGCGAGCGAAACGTAACGTATATTTACATCGAGACAGTAACGGTATGATTTTTTTTCCCGGCAGACCCTCCACAGTCATTCTAGTCATAGTAGGTGGAATGGTGTTCTCAGGACTTGCTATTAACGAGATTACTACAGTGGCTCTCCTGAGCCTTTTGGTTCTTGCTTACATCTTAGTCTGTTTATTTACGTCCCAAAACGTTCAACTCAAAGCGGCTAAGATACTGACCTTTGTTTTTGCTGTGATCATGTGCATTGTCATCATTGGCGTGGCTGTTCAAATTTCAAATGAGTTAAAAGAAAGGAGAGCTGAGCCCACTGTAGGACCAACATTGGAGCCAAACACAACATTGTCACCTACACCGAAACCTTTAGAACACTATCTGCCAGCTGGAGTCAGCACCCTGTACTTGGCTGGGTTGTCTAGCATCTTTTTAGCCTCTGCTCTATTGCATCCGAAGGAATTCACTTGTTTGTTACATGGAATTTGGTATATCCTCTGCTTACCTTCAGGTTATCTTTTGCTAACGATATACTCGCTTTGCAATTTAACCGACAGGTCCTGGGGTAAGTTAATGAAAAGAAATTAGTATTTTTCTCATTACTTTGTTCCCCTTTGATTGACTTCAAGAAAATGAGAAAAACATCAAACGGCTAAACAATGGGCAAATCTTTTCCCTCTTTCAAATCAATTTGAGATAAATGCCTCACTTAGAGGCTATTGTTAAATTGGTCATTGTTGTGAATGAGATGAAGAAGAATCCACTTCTCCATAAAATGTCCATTTCTTTACGTGCTTGATGTCTTCGGGCTGAGTAAGAAAAAGGAAAAGTTAAAAACTTCCTAGCTCAAGTTGTAAGTGAATTATTTTCGAAATTGAAGCAGGAGGAGGTTGGTGTGTCGAGGAGGTTGGTGTGTCATGCGTTTACTTAAGTTGTAACCTTTACTCTCAAATGAGAACAAACAAGTATAATCCGCACTGTATTTTTAGGAACACGAGAAGGAAAGTCCACATCTTCAGACGGAGACGACTGGTACAGGCCATTTTGGAATTGTTTCAAGAGAGTTTGCAAATGCTGCCAATATCAAGAAGAGTCAGAGCAAATCCGATCGAAACATCATGGTACAAAAGATGGAAGCATCATAGAAGGGAGAACCAATATCACAGTGGAACTTTCAAATTCCTCAAGCAAGGTACTTTTTGTACTTACACTGACGTTTCGAGCGTTAGCCCTTCGTCAGAGCGGATGGCGAAGGGCCAACGCTCGAAACGTCAGCTTTGAAACTCTTTACGGTGGCCTATTTATGTTATTAACTCAGTTGATAATACGTACCAAATACCCTGTTATACTCTCCCTCCGACGCAGCCCCAAAGTTTATTTAGAACTTGCCCCCTTTTTACATAGAGCGACAGACTACGTTTAGAGGGTTTACTTCTGGAAACTCGAGAGATATATTTGGTAATTGTCTTTTTTAGGGTTTTTGGGCCTAACTGTGATTACTGTAAGCATTATAATCAATAGTTTCTTAACTGACTGCTCAAGAGAATCACCCAATGATTTATTCAGCCAAAAAAAGTTAAAAAAAAAAGATTGTCAACGGTTAGTGAGCTCCAAACAGTTGCTGCAGCGCCGAGGTTTCAATATTTGATTTTCCGGCTTAATTTTACTATAAAAATTCACTAATTATGCTTGCAATAACATTAAAGCAGTAGATTTGTGCGCGTACAAAAGTCCATGTAGTTTCCTTGACGCTCTCTGACTTGGCTTATGTTATCTTCACAACGAAGTTACAGTGATACCTTAAAAAAAACTTTGAACTCCCTAAAGTTTTCGCAAAAATAGCTTCTCTTTCAATTTTTATCCCTTGCTCATAGATTCAGTTGGAGAAACTTTTGCGAGAGGAATTTCGTAGCTTAGCGAGTTTTCTTTACAGAAGTACGCCGCGAATAATATCGTAACATAGGGGGTTCCCTTCGTCTGTTTTACATAGTGTTAGGTCAGATTTCTTTTCGTTATACTGGATATGTTAAGGAGCTTTCATTAATTTCAGTTAACAAGACCATCAGATGCAAACGAGAACACAGGGGTGGCTCTTGATACAGAGGAAAGTGTGTCTGAGAAAGACAAAACAAACGTTCCTCGCCTTTCAGTTATGGATACATATAGAGCAAAAGATGGAGTGCCGAGCGCAAAAAGCGAGAAGAGATCAGCAAACGGTTCACAGTTGGAGAGCCACAAACAGAGTTCAGTTTTTGAAGATGATTGTGTTCAAAAAGTAAGTGAGATCTGTAGAGATGTTATGTATTCTGCAGCTGAGATCCCAAGAAAAAAACGAGCCAGATCATCAAAAAGTTCGCCGTCCAATGTTGCTGCGATGAATGCTAATGAAAATTCCACGTTCCACAAACAGCCATCCGGCCAATCGTCTGAGCCTGCTACCACTTTAAATAAAGATATCAAAGATGAAGTCATACCATCAACTTCTAATCCGCAGACAGGAAATAAGGAAAATATCACAAAAGAAAATCGAATCTCTGTCCAAGAAGCCTGGGCTGATGATTGTGAGGGAAAGATGGCACCTATTGACGAAGAAGATAATTTTGAAAGGATGTCAAAGGAGTACGATGTGTGCAATCGTTCCATTGAGGACTTTCCAACATGCTTAAATAAAACACAACCGTCTCGAGCCAGTCTCAAAACCATTTCCGTCTCAAGAAATCCATCCAAACTTGTCCTCCCTGCTATTCCACGAAGAACACCTCCAAAACCCACCGAGAATTCGCAGATCAAACAAACATGCATACAGAAAAGCCAACACGAAGTCCCTGTGATATTTTCCACACAAATTGAGTCGTCGCAATCAATTACTGTGGACAGCTCAGAATATCAATTGGAGATAAGTTCACGATCGCATACATCTCAAGCCGAGCTTCCAGTTCCAACAGAAGGTATTTATATACCGTAAGAATCAAGAATGCGACGGAAAACGTTTTATCCTTACAGTGCTGTGGACTGCAGTGTTTTCTTTTCCTTTAATAATGCCAAATTGCGCATGAGTTCTGTGCGATAATTCATATGAAAAGAATATGAAGTTATTTCACACATATTGAGATTTGCACTGTGAAGCACTATCGTTCGTGTCTCTGATTGGAAGAACGATGTATTTTCACAAACGTTCGCTTCCAGTCTTTGAAATGTGTCGGTCAGTAAGAAAAAATCTAAGTATGTATGAAGTAAAAACATCACACCATGGAAAGTGCTTCAACGATTATTATTTACTCGTTGAGACACATCGAAAAACTCACTCGTTCGCTGCGCTCACTCTTTTGTTTTTTTGGTGCATCGCAACTCGTGAATGAAAATCGTTCGTGCGCACTTCCCATGGAACAATCTTCATTTACGAAATATTTGAGAAGCTATAGGGCTCACTGTATGTGCGAGTTAAGGATCTTGGGTGTTGGAGGAAACTAGCAAAATAAGTAGGAGAGAAACCACCTTAATTTTCTCGTCATTTGGTTTTCAGTACGGTATATGATTTATAATGCCCTTCCCCAGCTCAATTTTTTCTCTTTAAGGCGAAATCAGTCGCCCTGGGTCAGCTCTCGAGAAAGTTTCTCACTCTGATCCAAATTCTCCAGTAGAGGACTGGATACCTAACGATTTGAAGGTAAAAGTAATTTCTTTGTTAATACGCTCTTGGTTCTATTATTATTATTATTATTATTATTATTATTATTATCATCATTATCAATATTATTATCATAATTATTGCTATTCCAGATCTTTTTGTTTTCCTACATATAGAAAGAATCATGTACATCGTCATCAAATTTCTGATCGTTCAGCTAAAGTTGTTCCATGTAAAACTCAGTCGATTCTCATCGAAAGAGAAAGCGAATCACGTCCCAGTCCCTCAAACTCTGTTCTTTTCATGAAAGAAAAAATTACTGAATGTTATTTAATAAGATGAGATATAAGCATGATAAGTCTGTTGAGATAACGAAGATAATGTGGAATAAAAGACGGTACGGTCACTTTATTCAATAACATTCTAGTCACCCGTCAGCTGCCCTATTCCGATGAGGCCTTACTACTGCTGCCCAACTTCTACATGTCTAGTCCTATGCGTTTGAGTTCGACTGCAGATATTGTTGTATTGTTCTCCGAATCATTACAGGATTATGCTCCAAACTTCCGCAAAAATGGATATGAAAAAGCAAAGTTTATCGCTGGAATGACCGACCAGGTAAGTTCCTAAAGGCAAGTTCCTGGTGGCAAGTAGGATTTGAAAAACAAAAGAAGAAATAACCAAACAAACAAATGATATTGTGCATTTCTTGGTTTTCCTTGGTTCTTTCGGAGTAATACTTCAACAGTTAAGTGATTTTTCAAGTTTTTCATGATTTCACGTGGTTTCTGGGTTTTCATCTCTTTTGGGCCAGTGCAGCAGAAAATGACAGTATTTCGCAATTTAACAGTTTGAAGATCGAATCATTTGCTAGAATCAGACACTACAACTCACTGTTACAGTGCTCGATGGTTATGAAAAGTTCTTCATATTTTCCTAAGTAGTTAGACTTGCTTTGTATACATCGATACTTCCTTTGCTTCTGCAGCGCATTTTCAATTTTATTGGAATGTAATCATGGCAAGGGGCACCCACTTTCCTGCAACACGTTTTCCCAGCTCTTTGGCTACATGTGCAACAATAATTAAGTTGTTTTTATTTCTCAATCCATTCATTTTAGGACCTTGAAAGGATTGGTATACAAAATATAGGACATAGACAGAAACTAATGAGAGATATCAAGAATATTCCGCGCATTGATATCGAAGAGAACATTCCGGTAAGTTCCTCCTCCTCTAAAACTTAGCTAATGTCTTTCTAACCTCTGATTTATTAATCGAGCATGTTTTTGCCATGGAAAATTTGTGCAGGCCATGACCTATCCACCCATATTTTCGTACGTTCCTCCATTCGTCCAATTTTTAATTGATTTTATTTTTCTAATTTTCGTCACTTAACAGGAAAACGTCGAGGTTTGGTTACAAGAACATGGTCTCGAAGAATACTGGCCTTTGTTCAGATCCAACGGATATGCAGAACCAAGCGACTTGGTGGATTTAAAGAAGATGAGCAAAGAGAAACTTAAGGAGACATTGCTCATCCGAAAACCGGGCCATTTAAATCGACTGAAATCTCTCATTAACAAATTGCAATATCCTAATCGAGGTGTGTTAACCACCATAGAGTAAAGCATGCTCCGTAATAAGTCGTTGAACTTATGATACGGTTTACAAGGCTGTCTTTTCTTTCTGTCGAGTATCTTATTCCAGGAGGATAAACACGCCCCTGAATACATTAATTTCATCGCTTCTTACCTCTCCTCTGACTGGAGATGGAACTCGCTGCTGTTTTACTCGTGGTCCATCATGAATGTTCTAATCTCAGGGAGAAGAATGCTCTTAAAACCATTTGATTTTTTTATTAGTTATGACTGGGTCTTGACTTTTCCAGAAATAAGCTAACCAGCAAATAGGCTAAATTTTAAGATCGAATGTTGTCATTTGATGTTGTTTTGTATCCTGGCTGCCTGCTATGCAGAGCCGCAGATTATATTTTGGTAGAAAAGATATTGGTATAACTTTTTAAATGGTGGAGATTCAATCCTTTACTGTTTCGTAAGAATAATTTCCATTTAAATTGTCTATTATTGTTACCATCAACTTATAACCATTGCATAAGGTTTAGGATGATTTATGTATCAATGTTTTCTTACTCATTTCAGGACAAATGAAAATTCGGCGCACAAGGAATGAGCTGGATCGTCTTCCGTTAAATTTCTTGGATGTGGATAATTCAGACGGAGGTGACGAGTACAACTTCTGGAATGGTTTACGACAAGAGTGCCTTATTCCTGAGATGAGTGCGTTTGATCAGACGTCCGAGCTTAAAGGAAAACTTGTAGAACTTAGAAATACAACTCTGTTGGTTTTTGGCGTTAGTAATGCCTTGTGGGTGATTATCATTCTAGCATTGGTCCGGCACAAGGATCTCAAAATCTTAGGTGTGGACATCATCGGACTTGGTTTTTTAACCATTTATGGAGGAATATTCGCTATACAGTTTTTAGCTCTTTTGTGCCATCGCTTTAAAACACTAATTCATATTTTAGCGCGCGCACCTTGGAAGATGAATAGTACAAAAGTTGCTCCTGCTGAATCTCCACGAAGTCAGCAAGCATCGTGAATATCGTTGAAACATGAGTGAATTGTGAAGCAGAATCAATGTTATCAACTTCAATTAGGGGCAACAAGCAGTTTTGTTTCAGCCACTTTCCCTCTTTGGTCGGTTTGTAATCAAGAGTCAAAATAGAATTCTATGCAAGTTTTCACTCCTTCCTTGAGTGACATTAAGAACACCCCACGAGTGTAGCTACTCACATGTATCCCCCCAAGGTTTTGGTTATTACTTATTACCAATTTTGAAATGACCGTAGCTCGAAAATGTATGTTGTGATCATAATAAGATGAAGCACGATGTAGAGCATCAGGATCAAAATAGATTCAACTAAGAACTAGCTTGGCTAGGCGACAAACGATTACTGATGAGAACATCACCTTTGAGGCGCATGGAAACTCTTTTTGTCCCCATTGTAACTTATCAGTCAAAAACCTTAATCAAATTCTAATTCACAATCCAATCTCTTCGATGAACAGAGGTTCACGGACAAAATGTTGATAACAACCTGTATTCCATTAAATAGAACCATACCTACTTGATACATGTTTATGTACATTGTATTTTGCACGGAAACATTGTAACGTGGTTCCGGTTTCTGTGACATTTCAAGAATATTACTTCAAATTCAATGAACTATATACAGCACCTTGGCTTACTGTTATTGGTGTGTTTTGGCGCGCTGTCACTAATGTATTTAGATCCTCATCGATATTGTTTCCTTATATGTCCGCTTTGCTACTGATCGGCTGTTGTGCATTTTGATAATAGGCATTCGTACTTCAGGAATTCTCTATTGATGTTTCTAGGATGACGTCTAACGTATTGAGGTGGCCTCTTTAACCACACGTGTAAACCAATGAAAGTCATGATCAATAAACCCAAATCCCGAGCGGGCCTGAATTTTTTTTTTTTCAGGCCTTATTTCAACTACTAGTTCAGTAGTGTTCATAACTGCGAGGATCGCTTCTATATTCGTTTCTTTAACCGTAGTGCACCTATATGATTTTCATATATTCACGATCATTACCAACGGGCATAGTTGCAAACAGGAACATGTTAAGTGTTCCATCCGCGTGTTCTGAAAGCGCTAAATTACGAGTTCAAGTAAGCCATTTTTATTCAAAACAAACCTAAGATCTGCATGATAATACATCAAAATGGGATTTGATACTTACAAAAATTTAATCAAAAGGCTTTTGGATCTCATTCATGTTATGGCTTAAGTTTGCATTGATTTCTTGGACTTGCTGAATAAAGGTACAGTTGAATTCGGTTTATGTGAACTTTCAAGACTTTTGGAATAAATTTTTTTTTTATTTTTGGGCAGTTGTGTGATAAGAAAACTTGTGTATTCGTCGTGATGGGAATTGGAAAAAAGATTGTGCGGGCTAGAGGTGGGATGGATAGAGGTCATTAGGCAGACAGTGTCCTTTTTGTTGGTGTGGGTGTGTGTGTGTATGTGTTTGTGGGGCCGGTTCCTCATGTAAGCCAATGACAATATAAGGCACATATGTAAAAATCAGTGTGTGTACACCCCTGAACCTTGAAAATATATCAAGTCGAAGGAACAGTTTTGGTCTCGGTTCGCATTTTTCTCATCAAAATGAACACATATCGGTTAAAAGAAACTCATGGCCCACGTGCAAAGCTGTCAATTGTTTCTCGAATATTGCGCGTGTTGTAGTGGCATCTCACTTACATCTACATCTACACCTACTTTTATTGAGTCAGTAAATTCTGTGTTTGTGATCAAGAAACGGGCAAGGAATATATGCAAACAATCGTGAAAGATGATCGCGGAAAAGCGATTGCGTGACGCTCGGTAAGTTGTAAGATGACATGTTATCACGTATCAAACCAAAAAACAGTATAAATTCTGTCTGCATTTTGTACCCGGTCTGCAATCTACATTTTGTACCTAGTCTGCATTTTGTACGCGGTCTACAGTCTGCATTTTGTACTGACCGGATTAGTATTGCTGTTTTTATTTGAGCGAGCCCTAAGTCCGGACCGAAATATTGGGTCTCGAAAAAAAATTTTAGTGGAGGCTGGTACGATTGATGTGTGGGCTGTATATTGAAGAGCTCCCGAGGACAAACACAATGATAGAGCAATGATCACTTTATACCAAATGAAGACGAACACAAATGCACAGCTGAACAATAAGGCTGCCTCTAATACCCCTCTGCGTGGTCATAACGTGTGTTGAAATGAACCTGCTACGGGTCGAAGTGTGAACATTTCGGCCTCTAAATTCAAGTTGCCTTTTCGGAAGTTCGGAAATGTGATTTGTTGATATTATTTTCATTAAATCATACCAACATTTCATTTCTTTCCACGCGAGTTTCTGAGTTTCATTAAAATTATGTGACTTTTACTAAGTAGGGAGGGGTAGAATACGAGACTACTTCTGTTCACGGTCCACAATGCAACTTCCGTCCAGGGAATACAACTTCCGACATCTGCTTCACCACAATAACTCATTCATTGCTTTCAGCACGAACGGGTTAAAACTGAGGGGACTGAGGAGAGGGAAGAGGAGAGGGGGGTCCCACTTTTGCTTAGGAGCGTAAGTTACTTTTCGTAATGAGCAAATACAGACTATTGAAGTGATTCAAGTTTCCCACGAAAGGATAGACGAAGGAGGCCCTAATTGTTGTTTCTCGAAGCATCTCCAAAGGATGAACCTTTTGATGATTGTGTCAAGATGAAACACGATGTAAAGGGTCAGAATCAATTCAGGTTCGACTGTGAACTCAATTAGTCAGGTGACCAATGGATTTTCAAAAACCCTTGGTAGCATGCTATGGTTAATTTGCGTCGCGATCCTTTTCAATGATCTTCTGTTAGTAATCAAAAGGCTTGGATCGGAAATAAAGATTCCGCTGCCCCTTTTGCTGTTGTTAGTTGACTAAAAGTTGGATTATGAGCTCGAAATTTCTGTCGCGTGATACTGCGAGAGCGAATGGGCGAATCGTTTCGACATAAATCTGCCAATCGTTGAAAAATTAACTAGACAGGTTCAGGTTTTATTATTTTTCTCACAACCAAACATACAATAGATAGCGACTAGCGTAAGAAAACATCCTTAAAATCAATGAGAAGAGCAAAGTAAAGCAAAACCAATGCAAACTTCATATTACTTTCGACTCTCAATTGAAATAGCTCTAATCTTATTTGATAGCAATTTTATTGTAAAAAAACCATTCAGATATCCATTTATGATCACGTTACAAACAACTTATCAAGATCACAGCAGCAGTTTCCACTATAAACTACTCGGTCTTATTTTCATTTCAGCGCGTTTCAAGGAATACTTATAACCCTTCCAAGCTTGCCAGTTGACACCGTCAGCATAAGATGAGTGCTTTCCATGATGATAAAACCCATTTAGGTTGGATGAGTGGCAGTCTGTGTACCACCAGGCACCTTTGTAAGACACAGCACAGCTGCTGCCTCCATTATTATCATTATCTTGATCTCTGGTGGAAAATGCTGCATCACGGTGGCCACTCAAAGAATCTCCAGCATCTCCTGTAGTAACAAATCAGGCTAAAAGTTAATTTTTAAACTGAAAAGAAAAGGAAGGAAATTGGAACTTATCAGGTTTTTGAAAATCCTGAGAAAAAATATGAGGTTGCGAAAAGTGAAATACGGAAAATGCCTGCAACCAGCATACACCCAGAATTCACAGCTAGGCGAGTGCAGGAGATGAGCATTTTAAAGTACAACTTTTTACATTTTCAAAAGAGAAACATAACCGTTTGTCCCACGATGTGGTCATTTGCATTTCTTATCTGAAAGTGCTATTTACCACGATGACTAACCAAAACCTATTTTAAGATATTTTGCATTTTGTTAAAAACAAATTTCATAACAGTCGAGTTTTCGTTAGACTTAACTTTTCTTTCCTTGAGTTTTGTACATTGTTGGCCTTCTTCAACGAAGATTTTAGAGCCCTTATTAGGTAAACAGCAGCTTAATCAGAACAATTTGAAACTCGCTTTAAATAACAACATTGCTCAATGTCTTTTTTACATCTCCGAATTCAGAGTTCGATTTTCAAAATATGTTGAGGCTTTTATTCGGGGGTGTGCGAGTATGTGTGGGTGGGGAGGGTGTTGTTATTACCCATCTCTCGTGGTTAAATGTCGATGAAAATCAGTAAGCTAAACGTCTATAAGTAAAGTTATTTGAGTAATTCAAAGCATCAGAAATTAAATTCATGGTATTCCTGATATTACAAAGAAGAAAGAAAACTGACCTGAATAAGTCCCGATGCTCAGCTGGTACTTCGTCTTCTCGCTTGTGACTGAAAACATGTCGTATTCGGCGTAAGCTGTTTTTCCTTCAGTGTCCTCCATGTCCACTCGAAGCCTATACCTCTCACTATTTGTGATTCGGTTAACCTTGCCCAGTCCAAGCCAAAACTCCCCATTCAGGTTACCAAAGCCATTCTTATAGTCAGCCCAGTCGCGGTAGAAATCAACCGAGCCATCCTGTCTCTTCTGGAACACAGTCCATCCACCACCGGCTGTTGTTTGGTCACAGTACACTTCAAAGGCACCTGCACCATCAGGGTCAACTGAATAGACACCGCTGATTTTTTGTCCAGATTTAAAAATCTCCACACAGCTTCGGGGGTTTCCTACGATACAAGAAGATTTAGTTGACTAAACATGAGAATTTGTCTCAAATCTTTAATTTACTGAAAAGAAAAAACAGAAAAAAACAAAAACATGAATCCAGATTATATTACATTAACATGGGATTTAAAACCTACAAAAATATCAAAATCAGGCGGAGATGGAGATGGAGGGGGGTCCCTTCCACGCTTGTTTAGGAGCGTAAGCCAGATTAAGAATAAGACGTGCTACTGCCGACAACGGGAATTGTTCCCGCTGCCAAGTCAAAAATTACAATCTAGTTGCCTCCAATCGCTTGCCAGATTCGAGGATCTCGTTGCGGTTAACCGTAAGCCGTAAAACGAACAAACAATTAAGCCGTTAGCCGTAAAGATTGTCCAATTTTAACCGTAAATCGTAAAAAGAGTTAACCGTAAAACATGTTCTGGAGACCACAATGGAGAGATACTAACTGTAAATTGACCAAACTTTTCACTTTAAGCCAAAAAAGCCATCACCCCATTGAGAGCCTCAAATTTAGTGCGAATCGGTGAATCATTAAGGCTTGAAGCAGATCGTAAAGAATAGTATTTGAACATTATGCCAGTAGAGCAATAAGAAGCAAAAGAACGATATAGACCAGGTTATGCCGGGTGAATTTCTCCATGAGCCAAAAAAATTATGAATTTTGTCACACTAACCATCTAAATTAGTCTTGTTGTCGTTCCTCAAAAGAGCCACCTGCTTCTGTAAATCTTCTAACTGCCTCTTTACGTCAACAAGAAGGTTTTCAACTTTCTTGTTTGGTCCAGCGTAGAAACTGTTGTAGTTGTTTATGTTGCATGATTTGCCCTGACTGGGACGAAGGGTTTGTTTTTGAGTACGTCCAGAATTAATCCCAACATCTTGACTGTTCACTGACACAAGAACTGCGCATAAGGCAAACAACCCAAGCATTTTGAGACGTGCTTTGCAGCCAACAATGACAGCTCTCTGTTTTGAACCTGTTTTGTAGGTAAGAGCGACTGAAAAGCGCTTTAACGTGTCATGTAATGAACCTTTCTTTTGCTGAAACTGGATTACTTAACCGCTGGACATGTTCTCAATCTGAGATAATATCTCTCTTATCTATACTTTAAGGTGCGAACACATCGTTAACTCAGTCCCTGGAAAGTCCTAGAAGGTTGATAACATCACGATTTAAGACCGTTTTCCGCGCTAGATAAACATAAATCCGACCATTAAGATAAATGCAGACACGTTTCGCGTTTCTTGTCACGTTTGGCCTGTTGTGAAAATCTCAGTCCAAGCCTCTCGTGTTGGTTAAATGCAATCGGTGTCCATCCGTATCCTCACTTACAACCGTTTCCTTTTGGTTTACGATCCCATTTTGGTGTTTAACTATTTCACTAAGGTAGCACTTTGCGATTGTCTTTCCCATTAAGATGGGCTAATTTGGCACGTAGTAACAAACGACCAAGACCACGAATGTTGTGCAATGCACTTTAACCCTTTTCCGGTTCAAAAATGATTCACTTGTGACTTCCCCTCTTAGGTTCAATAGATTATCCAAGAAAATAGCTGAAGAGGATAGTGAAGCTTATTAGTCGCACTCAGTGGGTGTAATCTTGGTATAAAACCAACTGATTATCTTTACTAATTTGCAAGAGAGTGTACGAAATTATAAGATGTTCAGAGTTTCACTACCGCCAAGTCATAAGATCGTCTTTGAAATGATTACGTTTCTTAAAACGTTTTCTTAACCTACGCAATGAGCTGTCAAGATAAGATTTCCTGCCAAAAGCACGTCCAACAATGAGTCTTATCACAAAAACAGTTGTTTACACTGGCTATGAAGCCAATTTAATTACGGCTAGAAAAAAAAAACGCCTGTAATCTCAGGTATCGAAGGTGATTTGTGAAGATAAGAAAAGTAATGACGGAAAAACCTCATGCATATCGTTAGGACATATTTTTAACGTTTCGTAGACTGAAGAATATCAGATTCTCGTCTTATCGTGAAATTTCCGCCTTACTGACATACACATTGAACAGAGAGGAACAAAAATAATTATGAACAAGTCTTTAAAAAGGCGTGTTGTATTCATTCTTCCAGGCGTACCTGCTGAAAGCTTTAAAAAGAGTCACAAAGTTTTGCCGAGATATTTTCAAGGACTCAAAGCTTTTTCCAGTATATTAAATCCATGCTTTTTGAGTTCATTTGTAAGAAATTTTTCATATTTTAATTTTTTTGATAGAATTTGAATAACGTAGATATTACAATTATAATCCTCTTTTAAAATCTTTAAATTCTCAGTTTGTTAGAATCAAAAGAAGCAGTTCCGAGACATCAGGGCAAAAAATAGATGTCAAAAACATGATATCTACATGAGTTATGATGTCACGTAGCGAATAATCCACTCGACGTTTCCAGTTCATCAAAGCAATCTCTGACCAAATTATCGTTAAAAAGTACAGGAAGCAGAGGAGTCAAAGGAGTCAGGTTCAAGCCTCGTTTGCCTCAAAAAATCAAGGCCAAAATTAAGAGCTGCAGTGGCTTTCATTCTCATGTCATCTTAAGACAGTCACACATTGTTTCATCACCGCGTCGTTTAACAGTCTGTTATTGGACTTGATTGACATATCAAACTCGGTTCCACCAAAGCTGACGTGCATCAAGCATATCCCACACTCCATCACGGTACCAGCAAATATTGTTTTCGTGCCTAGAAAAGAATGACGGAATGTGTAAAGTAATGTTTGTTTTTATCGAAATTTATGTTTGTTCCCTTTTTTTTTTCTGTCAACTATTTTGCAACCTTTAGTTTTGCCTCGCACAAACATAAACCTTCGGAGACAGTTATCACACCTCTTCAAACAAGACCAACTAATAATTGTTTACCATAACTTGATTAACGTTCTGGTTTCTTTAACACGATAGAGGGGAAGGAATCATGGGTTCTCATTACATTGGACCCAAAACGCGAGCTTCCCGAGAGCAACGATAAGCAACCATACCCATAACAACTTGGGGCTGTGTTAACTTCTTTAAGTCCTTTTAAATCATCGCTAAAACGTTCGATAAGTTTTGCTTAAAATTAGCCACAAGTCAGCTGCAACACAGAAAAGACTTCTCACCTATTAAATCCACCTGGTGAAATCTCAGCACATCTCTCACTCTTTCTGCGAATTCTTGGCAAGTTTTCAAAGAGCTCGGAATTTTCTGTTTCTTTTCAAACGAAGCTTCAGCCCATTTTTCTCCGTACTCCTCTGTGGTTATTACAAGCGGCCGCAAAATATCACTTATGCTCAAAGTGTGATTAAAGAACAAATGTTTCAATGTTTTGTTAGGATCTTTGTAAGAGATCTTACCACCAAAGTTCATGTGCAGCGCTGGAGACTTATATTTCAAAACAACTCGGTGCCTTACCTAACAATAAAATATAAAAGCATTAACATCATCACCTGACTTTCAGTTTACAGCATACTTGTGGATAACTCTTTAGAAACTGTTGGTTTTTGACTCTGTAATGGAAAACTCAGGAATGACACTAGAAGTCGGGGGCTCCAATGGTTAAGAAAGCTCGAACCGCTCTTTCTTGTCTTAAGAGACTGCAAGACTAATTTTTACCTCAAAAAATAAATCGAATATTATCAAAGTTGTTTTCTTCATCTTTTAAATTAGTAAACAACGAAAAAGTAAGAAAAAAACTAACATTTATTATCAATTAAACACGATAATAAAAGTATTACCCATTCTAGAGGTCCGATGCTTTCATCATGAAGATTGCTATTTGACGAAGAATCAAACGATCCAATTAGATTCGAGGGCGGTTGTAACACACTGCTGACGTTATGGATCGGGACGTTTGCTTGATTCTGATTGGTAAAGTAAAGAACCAGTACAAGTTCTAAAGGTTTCCAAACTTTTTGAAGAGTCACACGCAGATTGCTATCAAAACACAATTCAAAAACTTCCGCAGAATGCGGGAAGTTAATCAAATCTTCCGGCAAAGATGCAGATGGCGTCCCTTTAAGCTCCAATCGGAGATGTTCCGAGATCTCCTCATCAAGTAACGGTGTATTCTGAAAATAGAGAAAATATATGAATAGATTAAGAAGTGACCCAAATGTTCCTGCCGCCGACTACCAGAGATTCTTCCCTTTCTGCAGCATAAAGCGACAAGAAGTATTCCTACTTCTTTTAGATCGCATGCCAACCCTCTACAGGTCACCTTGACCCATTTAGAGGCATTGACAGGTCACTGCTACCTACTAAGAGGCCCTGCTGGAGAGCTACATTGTGAGAGTATCCTGTCTGTTAAAAACAAAACTCAAAAAGCTCCTACGATCACAGTCTCCTCGCTATTTAGGATTTCACGCAAGAAACAACCTACAAAACATATTCTTGATTCCTCGAAAAAGATGGAACTCCACGACTCCCTCGTTCGTTATCTGATTCTTTTACTAACTTTACACCTCTTTCATAATGGAGGCCACCATTGGCATGATTTTCATTCTCGTTTTAGAAATGCATACAAATTACCCTTCTCGGTCTCACCCTTGAGAAAAAGCATTCAACATGTTGTCGAGTCTAGAGCGGCTAATTGACGTTAATAAAAACCAAAAGTTACGATATACTGCTTGCTTAACACTCTTTGAAAACTTTTTAAAAAAACCATTAGCTAAAGAAAATATGTGTGAGCCAACAACATACCTTTTGGACAGCTTTATGACAATCCTCTTGCTCTCTTTGGGTTACAACCAAGAAAGAGTCTGAATCGACTGCCTCTTGGGAATACCATGACCTAACTTCGTCACGTGAAGATGGCTTGTCTTCTGTATCGTTTAAAGACGAAATAAGATCATTCTCGAGGGAAGAAGAGTCGTCTTTTGCAACATCACAAACATCGCTGTTTTCAACATCAAGGAGTAGGTCCATATTTGATTTATCAGGAGCTTTTAAACTTGTTTCAGATGAGTAAATCGCTCTACCGTTTGCTGAAGACAATCCAGGATCAGCAGCTGATGTCCTTGGTTTGCCTTGAGTTTTAGTGATTTTATTGACAAGACCCCTTCCTGAAGATAAACGTGGTTTCTCTGTGACACCACTGAAGAGCTGCGCAGCCAGTTGCTGTTTACGAACATCTTCGTGACGAGTCACAGGAGAAGCAGAGCTAACCTAGGAAAATTAAACCGGTCAAACCAGGTTTTTGATGGGTAAATCGATTGCAAAGTTAGAAAGCACTGTTTTATCTTGGCTCATAAACGGCACAGTTTGAAAACTGGTTTATCTCTGGTTTATCTCCCTCTCGTCAACCTGTCTCGTCCCAATCTCTTCTTGTTTAAAGCTCTCGCTCCGTAAGTAATTTCAAAGTAAATTATTTTAAAACAAAATAAAAAGGTTCCGACCGCAACTCAATAAGTAGTTTAATTAATCAGAGAGTAGTGTTGCAAACAAACAATAAATGGAAACTAACAGCTGCATTCAAAGAAAAAACACAAGTACATGGTGGTCAAAAAACAACATATGAACTTCCTTTTCTTTTCCTTATATTGGGGCCATATAAGGATAGGGGCAAGACTTGATTTTTTTTTTTGGATTGTGCCATTAATCCATATTAGCTAATTTAAAATTGAGGTAGTATGATTTCCTGGTTTTGATTTCAATGTGAGAGGTTCTGTCGTAGTTTTATTTAATTTATTTGAAGCTTTATTTGAAGGTATTTAGAGTAATTCTGTTGCTGTACGTCCAAAATTTAATGCCGAGGCAAATAATGTAAACATTACCAGTCGGAATACGGAAATTCCAACCACAAAGTGAAGAGGATTTCAACATGTTTCAAACCCTTAGAACATGTCGTAGTCACATAGACAATCAGTCGATAAAATAGAACTTACAAAGGGAACTATCATGGCAAAAAAGGCGCAAACAAAATCTCACCTCAGCTTGACTCCTGGGAGCTATTTGTCTGTCAGACCCCGAGCTCCGCGACGACGAGTCAGATTTACTACTAGACTCCACGGATCCAGACTGAGCACGATCTCTTGTGTAGCCCCCAGGCCCCCAAACAGCCTGTCCGGCAAAGAGTTTGGTACTTGTAGGAGGCACTTCCTTGACCTGCGAGAGAGCTGTATCTTTCATTTTAGTTTCCTTGTTTCTTGGCTTGGTTTTCTTCTGTGTTGCGGTGCTTACAACAGGTTCTGCTGGCGGTTTCCTTGGCTGTTCCATGGGATTCTCGTAAGGTGTGAATTTAAGAGTTGGCTCTGACTCAGAAACATCTACAGCACGCACAAAAAGAAAGATGACTCTAACGCTTATCTATGACCACTCTTCAGCACATATTATAATTAAGATTAAATTAGAGTGCGTTTACAATTTTTTTTCCAAGCTGATCCCAATCTAAACCGCTATAACAAAGCATAACTGAAAGTTAACTAATCTTTTTGAGTACACTATGCCGTGCAAACCTTTAATTCTTGCGTCTGTCCTTCGTTCGCTTACGGCTTTGTATGGAGAAGCTCCTTTGGAAAGAGCTTCCGATACTACATCATCCAAGAAAGACAGTGACTCGTCTACCTGAAATTTTCAATGAAACGAACAAATTACGCGAAAAAGAAGACAAAAAAAGCTGACATGAATGTGTTTAACATTTAGTAATTCGGACATTTGGTAAACATTGCTGTATATTAAATATTCTTCGATCATGAAAAGGTCTGAGCGCGGGCAAAGTAGTAAATAGAGTGACTAATGTTTCGACAGCGGAAGTCAATATCACGGCCCACTGAAAAGGTGTTTGACAGAAAAGTGTTCAAAGTCTTGTTCGTCAAAAATATTTGGTCATTTTTTTGTTTGCCTAATTGGTTGTTCGCGTCGATATTGATTGTTTGGTTTCTATCTGTCGGTAAAGCTGCTCGTCCTGTTTGGTTCTATACTGGCTATTCTGTGCCGGTGGTTCTTAACATTTAGCAAGGCGAGTTTGCTCAATGTGGAAATCAATGTTCTTCTAATATTAAAGCAATAGATGGTAACCAAGAATGTTTCTCCTTAATTTATCATAATTGTAAATACTACACGACTCACCTCCAGATCCTCACAGCAGCCATCAATGGGAAGAACGCTTTGCATAAGGAATGTGTTTTGAGAAAGCTCTTGAATCTCCGAACAACGCTAAGAGAAAATATATGTGCAAAACAAATTGCTCAGTGAAGAACAAAACAACAAAAGAAAACACGTTCGATCTCTGAATTTCTGAGGGAATACTGACTCCAAAATCTAGGAAAAGTTGAGGATGCCGGGTCTTCGTAAGATTCAGTTTCGAATGGTTAGTGTCACAAGAGTTCTGAACACCATGAATAAACTAAAGCTAAACAGTACTTGCGCAAGAGAGTCACACAGGACACATAGTGCTACACTGTACCTCACAAGAAAGCTTCCAGTGAATCATATACCAACCTGTCTGAGTTCAACATCCACACCACCCATGTGTTTTTCTAACATATCTCTTGTAGCAGCATGCATCTGTCCAATCTGCGACGTCAGTTTTCCAACAGCGGTCACAATCCAAGCTTTAGTGCTGGGATCTACATCAATCAAGCAATGTCTTAACATGTTGTAACTGCTATATGAACAATTAATTGATACGAGGGTCTGAGCCAACAGTAACGTCAAACCGATGTCAAACAAGGAAAGCGCTAAATATCCCTTAGCGCAAATCACAATACGAGTCTACGATCTCTGAAATTTGAGCGTACAATAGTTTTAAGAGCAAAAATCAGTCTGGTTTTACCTTCAAACTTCCTCTCCATCAAAGAGAACAGCTGCTCAAGTACGAATGCCGGTTCATAGTCCGGAGCCGTGTAAGAATATTCACCCAGCACCTTCAGGGGAACAGCATACATTTTTAAACCCAACAACGATTCAATCAAATAAGATACCTTAAGTCATACAATACGATAATTACATTCATTTGGACACTTCACCATTTAGACTTTGACTGATTAGGAACTCACAGAAATTTGCAAATCTCAAGTAATGAAAGTTTTTCATTTTCGAAAGAAACCTGGGACTACACATAACGTTCTGCGTTACTTCGCTGTGCATTTGATCGGAAAACACTTTCGACCATCTCTTCACTTAAAAAAAATCTCAACTCAAAATCGCTCAGCTTAAAAAAGTAAAAAAAAAAGATACCAATCTAACACCAATCGTGAATCGGTCGCTGACACTTTCTTGTACTCTGCCTTCTCTGTTGACAACGTTCGTCATTTGTGACTGAAAACAACCAATCGTAAGCTGCAAGACAGCAACATGCAACATAAGTGTAGTCTTGTAATCAAACTCACCCAGCAAATAATCCAAACTAGAATATCTGGTAAAACAGGTTTTTCAAGTAGGTCAATGTAGCTAAGCACTGCAAATCGACGCATTTCATTGTCTGCTTCTTCGTCTTCATTCCCTGCAAAGAGAAACGTGAGAGAAAAGCTGAGGTACTGTACATAAGCATTTTCCATAAAAAAGACCCTTCAGATTCAAAATTCAACGAGGCTTGAACGTGGCTTCTCGGTAAACGGTTGAACACTACTACACAAAGAGCCAACGTTGTTCCATGTTATCGTGAACGTTGTTGCTTTTATTGTTTCTCCCATAATCCCCGCAATAACAGTCATTACAAGTTAAAACAGGTTTTAGATGTGCATACAAGTGTTAAGATTATGTTTATTTAGAGCATGGCATACCTTCCGCTAGAAGACGCATCAAGTTGTGTGCCACGCCCTCTCTGACCAGAGATCCACCAAGTTCAAACACTTCATTGATGGTCAGGATAAACCATGTATTGTCCGGCGCATATGTGAGTAGTGTCAAGGATACAACACAGACTGAAAGACGATGTTATTCAGCGAATGACAAACGAATTCCGAATTCTCACAATAGGAGCCGAACCTACGGCCTTCCGATTAGTACCTCCGGTGCTTTACGGAAGTACAAATCATTTGTAATGATAATCAGACACCTTCAGGTATTTATTATATAACCTAAAGAACCACTCAGATCACAGGGCCGCTCAAACAAGAAAGTAACCAACAATTCTATAATGACCTCGTTGCGGTTAACCCAATCCTATCTTTTTTACATCGTCAAACTACATTAACCGTAATAAATACGGATTTCTCTCTACAACGCGACACAAAGTTCATTTTTTAGTTCCTTCGTTACATTTCTCTTAACTTAAAAATTTGGCACGCTAAAGAAATTAAAGGTGACTGGTTCACTGTGGTTTAAAAGGATATCTTTCAGCAAGCTCTGTTATCCTGTCCACCAATTCTGTTCTGAAATATGAATCTGTTGTTGACTTTAAATAAGATAACAGTTTCTCGCAAACTGTTTCAACGTTTGACGCATTTGTGATATGGCATAAGAGATCCAAAGTCTAGAAAGAAAACAAATATACATTTTTTAGAAGGTCATAAGTATATACAACAGAATTTCGCTTGTATCTTGCTTGACTCTACTAATTCATCCCAAACAAAAATCGACATCTGCAGGTATTTCGAATGAATGTATGTTGGGATGGGTACGAACCGACTCAAACTGGTTACGATTCGACTGACGTCGGGTACGAAACGACCGTTGGTACGAAACGACTGAATACCGAATTATTGATACGATGTAGTTATCAGTAATGAGTTCTGGTGGATTTTAGCATTGAAATAACAAACAGTACTTCATTCCATTCCTCGCTCTACCTTTTCCCTTGAACTCCCGATTCTACCCGCCAGTTGTTGTGTGTGTGTGTTTTTTTTTTTGTTTTTTTTTTTGTTTTTGCAAATGAGTTTCAAGAATTTGAAGTTACAACTTCCTCATGAGCAGTATACCTTTCTTTTCAGCGTCTCATCAGGGTCGTCAAGGCAGTCAATAACAATGCGCTGGTAAGACGGCTCCATGACAAAACCACTTCCCATTTGGATTAGGGAAGTTAGAATGTTTATGCCTGTGAAACAGAGCAAATAAACCTATAGACAATGAGCATAATTCTCCTCTTTCCCTGTTGAATCTGTCACGCACTAAAGGAGATCTGTCTTAGGGCTTAAGTTCAATATTGACAAACAAAATGCTACATTCACAAAAACCATAATTTTCCGCAGCCATCTTCGAATACACTCCCATCTTCTTTTTGTTTATCACGTCAGCCGGATCCAAGGCCGTGTAACCAACAAACATAAATGAATGAACATAAAGGCGATCTTCGCGGTAATAAACACTACTTAAACAGTAGTGAAAAAAAAAAAGCGTGAGAAAAGAAATTGAGGCCTGTATGGAATTTGACCCCAGGTTCATGTTAATCACTTCTGGGAGTTAAAGGTTTAAGATATGAATATGAAAGCGACCTTGGAAGTACTAAACACCACTTAAGCAGCGCTGAAAATAAGGCTTTCAGTTAAAATCAAAGAATATTTCATTAAATCGAATAACTTACCAAGGTATTTGATATCATTTGTTTTTGCTACAAGAAACAATCCAACACATTTACCGGCCTTATCAATCAAACTCTTGTCGGGATAAATGCTTGTTATTGTCCTTGTACACTCGTAGGCCACAGCTGAAGGAACAAAACAAGAAATTAGCATTTCAAAGTGCTCACTTCTCAGAGGTCAGTTATGAGATATTAACTTCTCTAGATTAGCTTACCATAACTTATGAGAGAGTTGGTATGTAGCTTTGACAGAGTGGATCCTAATATTGGGTACAATTTCTTGCTAGTTCTAGAGGGAAAAAAAAGAACTTATCAATTGGAGGAAAAATCTAAAACAACATAAAAGAAAAACTATAAAGCATGTGTAAAATTATAATTTTTTCCTAAATACAACATACTGTAAACACCAGCAAGTAAGCCACAAGAGCAGATAAGCCACACTTTGAGTTTGGCAACTCGAATTTTGAAAACATATCTTTTGGAAAAAAATCAAAATAAATAATTTATTTATAACTTATAATTATTATAAGTAAAGTCTTGAGAAAGTTGCTTTGGTCAGTTGCTTCATAAAATATATCAAGTGTGTTACTCACATGTAAAGTCACTTACTTTGAAAACAGGGAATACTACAAATCCTAACCTATAGATTTTTCAGTCTGTAATAGTAGGAACCGCATATATCAACCCCCTTATTTTTGATCTTACTCTCAGTATGACATTCACCCAACATTTTTTTCATTTTCTGTCAGATTAAATTCAGTAATGAAGTGGAATGCTTCAATTAACCACCAACAATATCATACCATATTCTTCCCTCTCCATCATTTTTCTTGTCTTCTTTTTTCAAAAATCTTTTGCTCCCTTTTTTTACTTCCATGCTTCAACTCTTACTTCTCAAATTTATTGATAACCTCTCTTCTAAAACTGAGCCAATTTTTAACTTTAATTATCAATGGCCACACAGCTGCAGGCTACTTACACTGTTAATGCATAAAGACCTACTTTTGATCATCTGCTCCAAGCAATGCCATCAGTCGCAAATTCTTCATCTGAATCCAAGGTGCTGCTACTCCATGATAATCATACTCTTTTGCAATTTTTCCTTCTAGTACAGCCTTCTGTAGGCTGATAAACCCTGACACAAGGTCCTTGTATCCAGAAGGGTTGACCTGACAGGATGACAAGTAACTTGCTGATGCTGTTTTGTCAAAGTTTTTTGTTAAAGTGCTTTGAAAATACAGTATTTGTGAAGGTGACAAGATTTACCCCTAAGACAAGTCTCACACTTTAAACTGGTTTAAATTTGTGTATACAATGAGGTACAACTCAGAGGTAGATGGCCAACACACATGCAAAACCTTGACGTTTTTTGCATTTTGCACAAAAAAAACCACATGTCAAATCGCATGTCTTGAGTGTGTTTTTGCTTTTGTTACTCTACACAGTCTGCTTGCTTTCTTTTGCATTGTTTTGAAAAAAAAAAAATTCCGACCTGTGTATGTGTATGAGTGCTATGCATAAGTAAAACTTTTAAATGCCTTTGAGGTGTTACAACCAAAGTCAGCTCAAAACTGAGACAAGTTGCTACAAAATGTTCTCTATGTTAGTCTGTCTCAATCTTTACCACTGTAGCCCCTTCTCCAACATACCTTGACCAATTCATAGAAGACATGCAGTGAAGATGACACCACACCAGGATCTTTGTCACAAATAGCTTTCATGGCAAGCTCTTTCACATTAGGAATAGCTGAGGGATTTTTCCTGTGCAGATTCTGTAATGCCATCACTGCTTTCTTCCGTATAATATCTCTATCAGTAAATGAAAGACAATGTCTTCACTTGAAAATAATTTCATTGTCAGTAGCATCTGTTAAAAAAACAGAACATGTATGGCCTCTCACTAATATCTCTCTTTCAATAAGATTTGGATAAAAAAGGCCTATTTCACCAGTTGCAGCCTCTTAATGATAAATACATAAAGCTTCTGATGAGAAGTCATTCGCTAATATGGAAAATATTAGATTACAAAAAAAACAATGCACACTGTCTCTGCCAATCCACATTATGCAGTTTCACCTCACACTAGATAAACAGTTACAATACAATTATAAATCAAAATTCTGTTAAGTTTGTGTTAACTACATGCTGCACACAAACTTGACATTCAATACAAACCTTTTATTCTGAACCAGTTCTAGGACTTGTGGAAGCAAGGCAGGCATCATGTCTTTGTTAATCAACTTACATAGAACTGTAAGTGCATAGCACACTTCTGCAACATTTGTACTGTGCAGATCCTAAAAATACAAATACAATATACTAACTTGAATTTAAAATGGTTGTAATTTCTCCATATACATAATGACTAGTTAAATATGCTACTAATATGGTAGATTATATCAAATTAGTAATTTAGTTGACTAATCATGAAAATTATGTTATGCCTTTCCTGAAAATATGCACCAAGTATTAACTCAACCACTTCACTATAAAGCTTGATTGTCCCTGTGAGATTAAAGTCTTGTAGAGGACAGTTATTGGTAGAAATGACCCTTGATTCAACAACTTGATCAGAACTACAGTGTAGTAGTGAGTGACATTTTCACAACTTGAGCACTCTAACTTGTGCTGAATGATGTTTTCACAACCTGAAGGGAGACTAGCATTGGTATACAGGTACCAAAATGCACATGATTTCAAGTGCAGTTTTGAATGAATAAGCATAAGTAACTTTTTTTTATACATATTGTTGTCAGATGATCCACTATCCATAAAATTTCTAAAGGAGAGTCACAAACTTTGAAATCAGTGATATCAATGTTGACAAATGCACCTGGCCAGTATATTCATATCAGTAACAGAATTATGAGGAAATGTCACATGCATACTTTTTACCTCAATGGCAATCGCAAAACAGTTAAATTAACATAGTGCAGACATTTACTTGTAAGTGCTCTGTATTAGCACTCAAGGCTGTTGTTTCAAGTAACACGGATACATGTAAACCATGACACAAACCTTTTGGATTGTGTTGATCAGCAATACAATAAGTTCATGGTTTTCATGGAGAAACAGCGATACAGCTAGGTAACCTGTAATAACACGCAAAATGTATAGAGAACAGTATTAACACCATAGGAAATATATAGAGAACAGTATTAACACCATAGGAAATGTATAGAGAACAGTATTAACACCATAGGAAATGTATAGAGAACAGTATTAACACCATAGGAAATGTATAGAGAACAGTATTAACACCATAGGAAATGTATAGAGAACAGTATTAACACCATAGGAAATGTATAGAGAACAGTATCAACACCATAGGAAATGTATAGAGAACAGTATCAACACCATAGGAAATGTATAGAGAACAGTATTAACACCATAGGAAATATATAGAGAACAGTATTAACACCATGAGAAATGTATAGAGAACAGTATTAATACCATAGGAAATGTATAGAGAACAGTATCAACACCATAGGAAATGTATAGAGAACAGTATTAACACCATAGGAAATGTATAGAGAACAGTATTAACACCATAGGAAATGTATAGAGAACAGTATCAACACCATAGGAAATATATAGAGAACAGTATTAACACCATAGGAAATGTATAGAGAACAGTATTAACACCATAGGAAATGTATAGAGAACAGTATCAACACCATAGGAAATGTATAGAGAACAGTATTAACACCATAGGAAATGTATAGAGAACAGTATTAACACCATAGGAAATGTATAGAGAACAGTATTAACACCATAGGAAATGTATAGAGAACAGTATTAACACCATAGGAAATGTATAGAGAACAGTATTAACACCATAGGAAATGTATAGAGAACAGTATTAACACCATAGGAAATGTATAGAGAACAGTATTAACACCATAGGAAATGTATAGAGAACAGTATTAACACCATAGGAAATGTATAGAGAACAGTATTAACACCATAGGAAATGTATAGAGAACAGTATCAACACCATAGGAAATGTATAGAGAACAGTATTAACACCATAGGAAATGTATAGAGAACAGTATTAACACCATAGGAAATGTATAGAGAACAGTATCAACACCATAGGAAATGTATAGAGAACAGTATTAACACCATAGGAAATGTATAGAGAACAGTATCAACACCATAGGAAATGTATAGAGAACAGTATCAACACCATAGGAAATGTATAGAGAACAGTATTAACACCATAGGAAATATATAGAGAACAGTATTAACACCATGAGAAATGTATAGAGAACAGTATTAATACCATAGGAAATGTATAAAGAACAGTATCAACACCATAGGAAATGTAAAGAGAACAGTATTAACACCATAAGAAATGTATAGAGAACAGCATTAACACCATAGGAAATGTATAGAGAACAGTATTAACACCATAAGAAATGTATACTTTTTAGAGAACAGTATTAACACCATAGGAAATGTATAGAGAACAGTATCAACACCATAGGAAATGTATAGAGAACAGTATTAACACCATAGGAAATGTATAGAGAACAGTATTAACACCATAGGAAATGTATAGAGAACAGTATCAACACCATAGGAAATGTATAGAGAACAGTATTAACACCATAGGAAATGTATAGAGAACAGTATTAACACCATAGGAAATGTATAGAGAACAGTATTAACACCATAGGAAATGTATAGAGAACAGTATTAACAGGTCATAGGAAATGTATAGAGGACAGTATTAACACCATAGGAAATGTATAGAGAACAGTATTAACACCATAGGAAATGTATAGAGAACAGTGTTAACACCATAGGAAATGTATAGAGAACAGTATTAACACCATAGGAAATGTATAGAGAACAGTATCATACCATAGGAAATGTATAGAGAACAGTATTAAAGCCATAGGAAATGTATAGAGAACAGTATCAACACCATAGGAAATGTATAGAGAACAGTATTAACACCATAGGAAATGTATAGAGAACAGTATTAACACCATAGGAAATGTATAGAGAACAGTATTAACAGGTCATAGGAAATGTATAGAGAACAGTATTAACACCATAGGAAATGTATAGAGAACAGTATTAACACCATAGGAAATGCATAGCAAACAGTAATAGGAAATGTATAGAGAACAGTAATAGGAAAAGTATAGAGAACAGTATTAACACCATAGGAAATGTATAGAGAACAGTATTAACACCATAGGAAATGTATAGAGAACAGTATTAACACCATAGGAAATGCATAGCAAACAGTAATAGGAAATGTATAGAGAACAGTAATAGGAAATGTATAGAGAACAGTATTAACACCATAGGAAATGCATAGCAAACAGTAATAGAACTATATGAAATGTATAGAGAACAATAATAGAACTATACAAAATGTATAAAGAACAGATAGGGATTAAAAGAAAAAAAAGAGTGGGATGGGGTATTGTTGTATATGTAGAGTAGAGGCTAAGTTTTACCATTGAAGACTCCGAGGTTTAAATAACCTGTTAAATAAGCTTCCCTCTGACCTAAAGACTACAGGATTGTGGCTAATTATTTTTACATTTCACTCACTTGCTAAAATTCACTCTCTCTTTTAGGTACACAAACTTGTTGCTTACCAACCCTCTTGTACAAAAGGTTTGACTGCTGCGCAAACTTGATGGCTTCAATGTAACCAATGGATACATCATGACCCAGCATTTCACAGTAGATAAGACGCACAAGATACTCTCGCATTTGCTTCTAAAGAAAAACACCACATAGTAGAGATTCATTTAATTCATAATGTTGAAGCATCCCATTAATGGATTTTTTGTGATTTCTCTCTTGGACTTACACCTGTAAGCTTACATTATGTAAATTCAAAGTATGGTTTCATGTAGTCCAGTAAATTTCATCAACACGTAAATAAAAACGGAACTAACTTACCGCTGAAGTGTCTGGTTGAATTAATTTCTCTTTTAATACAGCAAGTTCTTTCCTGGCGATTCTGTCCTCTTCCTAAACAAGGAGAGCCTCAATAAATTCACTTGTTTCATTTTTCACTTAAATGATCTTCAAAGGAAAACAAAAGCTGCAACGGTTAGTGGCCGAATACACTTTCAACCTCTTTACAAATTACTTGAAGTATCTGATTCTTTCCTACTGAAATACAAATTCCAGAGGAGCAGTGACAAAAATTACTCTGGAAATGTAAAACTGAGCACTGTCACGCCAATTTGACTTTCACGTACACTTAGCATCACAGAAATAGTGCATCTGCAACAAAGAAGTCTGCAACATTTTTCTACTTGAGCGGTAGTGAGGATTGAAAATTAAACTTAGATAACTTATTTCTTACTTTCAATCAGCATGCAAAGGACCAAAATGATGTAATGCACTCGCCTGTTTCGACTTTGCTTCTCCGATAGCTCTCACCAAGCTTTCAAAGGCTCTTGAACTGCTGGAATTTGGTCCATAGTACCCGGAGATAAAACTTGGAAGACTCCCTGAACCTTTAGAGGCCATTTCTCACCTTCTGACTACAGGCAATTGCCTGATCTGCTCTAAATTTAAAATTCCCTAACCAGCCGCCATTTTGTATTGTATAGCTGCCGCTGACCAAGAAATGAGGCAGACCTTCTCGGAACTACCCGTGTGTTACTCCCCAAAAAATGTCAAGTCCGGGATAGATTTCACGATCCTAACGCAAACTGTTGCTACTTCATTGACCAAGGCATTTTAAAGCGAATATCCCCTCAAAAAAGGGAAAGAGATAATCTTAGCATGGTAATGGTGGTAATGAATGCCTTTGCTGGGGCAAGATAATTCTTGGACTCGTCAACGTCACGCTATCTCGAAGCGAAACAAACATTGTTATCATCGTGATTACCATCATGTCTTTTCCTTTCCAATTCAAGTCTTACTCACACACTACCGGGACACTCGAAAATCTAACTTAAAAGTTCTTTATTGCAAACGTACGTTGTATGAAGAGCGTTTTCTTAAAGGGTGAAATTCTCACTTGATTTCAACTTTACAAGATGCAATCGTGTTCGCTGGATCATCGCAGACAATGAATACCCTTAGGAAATTTCGTGGAGATATTCATAGCGGATATCTACCGTATTTGATATCACTGTTCCAAGATTAGATATGTAATGTTCCCTTTTCGGTCTTCTGATTCCATTATGTCTAATGTTTACTTTCACGCATTGTAGCTGTAGAAGTAAAACTTCCATTACCCCCCGGTCTGTTAACCATGGTCGTTTTTAATATGAGAAAAAAGTCGGAATCCATCTTAAAGACCTTCAATGACTCGGGCGAAAGAACAAAATGCAGTGCGAAAAAACAAGCAGAAACATTTCCTCACGCTTAATTAAAATGCACCCTCGTAAGTAGCAGGACAAAATAATGTGAGGTAAACATGAAAACATGATAAGGCTACGAGTTCGGTGACTATGTTGTTTTTTTTTGTTGTTGTTTTTTCTTAAATTCAAATGAAAACAACTTTTTCTGTTAATTTTTTCCTAAGTATGGTTTAACTGTTGTCGAGCTCTTTAGGCGGATCGTCTTGAATCTCATATACACACCCAGCCTTAGCTAAAAGAACAGACTGCCCAATTAACTATTCACAAGAATACTTCACGACATGAAAATGAAATATTTACATTCAGTAAATGTAAAAACATTGACTGTGTACACTTATGTCTGCGTTTCTTTCAAAAAGAGAAATGGAAGTTAACGAAGAGTTTGAGGATGACCGAAATATGTCAATGATAATTGGGTAACAGTGTAATTGATCTGATACATGTACAGTTTGATCAACGAAATCATTAGTTTGGTACGCTCTTTATTCGCGCACTAGCCACTCATCATCGACCATCGAAAGAGAAAAGGAAAATTATGTTATTTGGCAAGGAAACCAAATCTTTAGGACAGTGCACGAAAGTAGTTTATTACCTAGGTAGTATACGTTGTACGTAAATTTTGGCCTGACTTTTGCCAGAGAACCAAATGGTGATTTTCTCGTGAAAGAACGGGTGACTCAATCATTTTCTAAGAACTGTGGGTTTTCAAGCAGATGAATTTAAACAAAAGTGTATGGTTAATTTAATTGATTACAGCAGTTCGATAAAACTGAAAGGAGGAACAATAACAGTTGTAGTTAAATAGGGACCACAGTAACGAGCTATTTGATCCCCTCTTTACAACAATTTTATGATTTGCTCGTTTCGTAAATTCCACATTTTCGTTTCTCAAATTACAGCTTTCCATTTTTCAAATTATAGATTCTAAGTTCATGTCGCAAATTGCAGATATTCAGTTCTTTTCGATTAGATCGTTTTGCAATTTACAGTAAGCCCTCGCTACGAATCATTTACTCTCGAAACGTCAGTTTTAGAAACTCTTTACAGTGACTAATTTACATTATCAACTCAGTTGATAAACCAAATAATTTGTCTCTTTAAACAAAATACAGTTTTGCCGGGAAGGATATGCACAAGTTTAACCTTCGTAAATCGAATTTATCAAGTTGAACAAAACTTGCTAGAAATCTAATCTTAAATTTAGCTTCAGTGATGCGTTTTGCTTTGTTTTGTTTTGCTTTTGTTTGTTTGGTTTTCTCATGACATAGTTGACTACATAAGAATAAGTGGGTGGATCAGTCGATAATTCGCGAGATATCATGAAGTCATAACAAATTACAAGAGTTGGTGTGGTAAAACTGATACGAGTCAGGTGAAGTAAAACGTCGACTGTGTACACGTCTGTGTTGCTTTCGAAAAAGTAGCTCACTAAGAGAACGCACAATTATTAGGGAAAGAGTCAACTTGAACGAACTCGGAAATGCCGTCGAAGTGGCTTTATATCCTTTCTTAGTTCACGGGCATCTACGGCTCGAGCTGTAATTCTTCAGTTTGATAGACCAGTAATTCAATGCATCAATTTATTTATGCAACGTCAGGAAGTGTACACGGTACATGCCAACCAGGTCTTACTGTTTGGGCCGACTAGCGGCCAAGCACGAATTGCGGACTTATATTAGGTCACATGATCAGTAGCACATGTTTTAGTGCGAGAGTAATTTCGTGTCAGGACCTTGGGTGCAGTGTTCATTTTGATTGTTGAAGTTTTGTGCTTTTCCTACCCGTTTATCGCATAGAAATATGTAAGTACATGTGCCTCGTTTTGCAGTTTCGCTTTCGCCCAGTGAGTTGTTAATTTAGGTTCTCGTTTTCAGTTTTTACCGTAGGTGTACGATGATCAAGTCAAAACAACACGCAATGTCAAATGGTGAAAATGTTTAAATTTAAAAGAAGGTTTACTCAATCATGAAATGACTTGTATTGGTGCGGCTACGCGTAAAAGAGTTCTCTGCATATCGTCCCCAACACTTACAGTAACGGGGGAAATAAAACCGTTTTCTTCGTGTGTAACGCCGGCAGGTGATAACGAAAGTATTGCATGCATATTGAATAAACCGTGAATTGAGGTCTGACATAAGATAACCTTGTATAAATTAAAATATTTTATTTATTATATAACCACCAATTTTTTATGATCTTCTTTGAACTGGCAAAATTAACTTCATAATCACGATTTTATGGAAACCTTCCAAAAGCGATACTTCCAACACAGCCTTAAAGCAGCATGAAAACTTTGTGTGATGATGCGCCAGCTGTCAATTTCTATAATAAATACAAAATTAGACAATGAATTGTTTATAATTAATAACCTATTCGCAAATGACACAGAATGAAAAAAAAAATAAATGTTTTGATTTGAAAGTTGCAATCGTTCAGTTGGTCTTCAGAAGGAGTTTAGACCTAAATAACTAGTTTGCAAACTTGGCCAAACGTTAGGTCTATGTGTACGAGAAATTAGAAATTTTATCATCGGATTTCAGTTCCCTATGCTTGTTTGTCTAGATCTGTCTATCTGACCGGATAAATTACGCACGTGCTCAACAGGAAAATTTTTCTTGAACCAAAATGAGTGACTCATTATCCGGTTTTGTTTTTTCAATGAAATTTATTAACATTCACATTTAAGGCAGATTTGTCACTTGTGATCACACTCGATTCGAAAAGGACGATAAGCTATTCCATTGATGCGATGAATTTTGTTTCCTTGAGTTTTCTTTCCAGTTTGCTGTTCTTAGCCTTCTTTGTGACGAATCAAGTTTCGGCAAAGCCTGGGAACAGTAAAACTAAACCTATCAAGACAAAGAAATGTAACAACATTTATTTCTACGAGGCACCAAACAAGAAGATGGAAACTATGTTAAAGGATATAAAGAAACAGCTCGCCCACATGCAAACTGACATCAACATTCTCAAAGGAAAACAGAAACCGAAAGGTAAAGTCCAGAAATATGTCGAAAAATTCCTTTTATTAGCCAATCCTAATCAATGATCGGGGTTTCTGGTCTTCTCCCGACTGCGAGAAACTGTTCGGTGTGGTCGGCGCCGCTGATCGCCGACTAGAAATGAAATGGCACAAGTTCTTTCACATTTAATTTGTTTATTCTTACAGCTAAGAGGAACTGTGCTGAGCTTTACAAATCTGGTCAAAAAGTCAGCGGAGTTTACGCCATCGACCCTGATGGTTCAGGTGCCTTCAATGTCTTCTGTGACCAAACCACAGCCGGTGGAGGATGGACAGTGTTCCAAAAGAGATTGGATGGCTCTGTTAATTTCTATCGCGGCTGGGCTGACTACAAGAATGGCTTTGGTAACCTGAATGGCGAGTTTTGGCTGGGGCTCGATAAGGTAAACCGCCTGACAAAAACAAAGAACAAACTTCGAGTCGATCTGGAAGATACTACAGGTAAAAACGCTTATGCCGAATACGACCTGTTTGCAGTGACTAGTGAAAAAGCTAAGTACCAGTTGAGTCTTGGAACCTACTCAGGTGAGTTATAATCTACGTCAGCTGTCATCCGTTATTTTTGAGGATCTCCCAGGGAAAGTAGGCGCGAATATTTAATATGAGGTCTTGCATCCGTATATCTCTGACATTTTGAATAGATACCAACTGGTTTTCAATAAATTAAACACTCGATCATTTTTTCCTAACAAAGAGGGCAATCATATATTGAGTTGTAATCGACGTCACACGTCGTTAAGATCTTTCCAGGAGGGTAGGCATAAATTTCCAATTGGGATCTCGCAGCAGTATTTTCCGACTGGTTTTAAATAAATGCTTGATCACGTTCTCCAAATTAAAAAGAAGGGAGTCGTATAACCCTGACCAGCCCCCCCGCCCAAACCGCTAGGTCAACAACAACTTTGTTTTCGTATCGTACCTTAATTATTAGGAAATGATATGTTTCTCTCGGTTTATCATATAGAGACTGTGCTAGCTTTCAACGTAGCCTCAGAATTCTGCCTCCACCAAGAGATTGTAATCTCTTTGCCTTCAATTTTTTCCCTTTTTCTGTTTCAGGTACTGCAGGTGATTCTCTCTCTGGGCATCGTGGTTCTCCCTTCACAACCAAAGATCAGGACAATGACACCTGGGGCAGTAACTGTGCTGTGAAATACAAAGGAGCCTGGTGGTACACAAGTTGTCATGCATCAAACTTGAATGGTGTTTATCATCATGGGAAGCACTCCTCATATGCTGATGGAGTCAATTGGTCATCTTGGAAAGGATATCACTACTCCGCCAAGAGAGCTGAGATGAAAATCAGACCAGTAAAGTTTTAGAACTTGCCGTCACTTGTCTTGAGTACTGACCTGAACCAAGACAAAATAAGAGCTGAAAGAGAAATGTCAAGCTTCTTTAGAGTGATTAAAGAGTTCAAAAAGTCCTTTTTTCTTGTTTGTGGAATTATTTGCACCTCATTCCTACCACAACATCTCTGTCACGTCATTTACAGCATGGATTCCACGATCCTAAAGCAAACTTTTACTAATTCAATGACCAAGGCATTTTAAATCAAATATTCCCTCAAAAAAAAGGAAAGAGATAATCTTAGCACAGTAATGAATGCCTTTGCTGGCAAAGATGGATTGTAGATGCAAAGTAAACATTGTTATGATCATTATTTTCATCATCTCTTTTACTTTTATATTCAAGTATTACTGAAAATTTACCAGGACATTTTAAAATATAACCTAAAAATTCACTATTACAAACGTTGTATGAAGAGCACTTTCTTAAAGAGTGAAATTCTCACTTGATTTTAACTTTACAAGATGCAATCGCGTTCGCTGCATCATCGCAGACATTGAATAACCTCAGGAAATTTAGTTGAGATATTCATAGCTGTTATGTAACGTATTCGATATCATTGTTCCAAGATTAGATTTTTAAGGTTGTCTTTTCGGTCTTCTGATTTCATTACGTATAATGTTTACCTTCACGCATTGTGGCTGTAGAAGTAAAACTTTCATTACCGTCCGGTCTGTTAACCAGTCGATTTTGATATGAGAAAAAAGTTGGAAACCATCTTTGAGACCCTTAATGACTCTTATGAAACAAGCAAAAGAGAGCGAAAGAACAAAGTGTAAAGTGAAATAACAAAAAGAAACATTTCCTCAAGCTTACTTAATTAAAATGCACCTCGTAAGAAGCCTGACAATAATGTGAGGTAAACACGAAACGTGAAAACATGATAAGGCTACGAGTTCAGTGTCTTTGTTAGGTTTTTTGTTGTTTTTTTTTTTTTTTATTTAAATTAAAATGAAATTTTTTTTAAATTTAACTGCTACCGAGCTTTAAATCGAGTCACCTCGAATCTCTCAATATACGCACCTAACATTAACTTATAGAACAGACTGGCCAATGCAACTTTTTGCGAGCATAGTTCACGACATGAAAATAAAATATTTACATTCAGTAATGTAAGCCTAAGTCTATTTAACAAATGGATTCATTGTTGACGTGCATCTGTTGAATAAGAAGGTTACAGACTCCCTAACCTTAAGAAGAAGGCCGTTTGCGATATCAAAATCTTTTTTTAGAAATACCCTAAACGGGTAAGTTTCTAAATGAATTCTGCGTGGGGAGTATAAAAAGATTCCGGTGGCTAGTTTTTTCGAAAAGGCTTGGATTTTCGAAGAACTTTTGGCAAAAAGATGCCTCGTGGTCTTGAACGAGAGAATCAACTTAATTTCCATTCAATTTAAAAATGAGATTTGGCAGCAAACGAAAAATTAGGAATGGTCGCCTAAGTCTATTTAACAAAGAATTTTGCATCTGTTGAATAAGAAGATTTCAGCTCAGATATTGAGAAGGAGGCGTTTGCGATATCAAACTCATTCACCAAAAGAACTCAAAAAGTTTCTGCTAAGTTTCCGTAAGAATTTGCGTTTGAATTAGAAGCTTATGCAAAAGTGGTTCGTATCTACTTGCCCTGGGGTTATCAAACGCGAAACATCATCGTGATTGCATGATTACTTATCCAGGGGTCTCAAAGGGGTGATTGCTTTTACGGCTAACGGTTAAAAATTTTTGGTCATTTTACGGTTAACAGTTCATATCATTCCATTGCTGTCGCCAGAATTTCTTTTTATGGTTACATTTTTTTACGAATACGAATTCGCCATTTTCTACGTCTGACGGCTAATTTTTTTGGCGGTTCTACGGCTAACGGTTAACTCTGTTGAAACCCTGCTAACAGCCTCTTCTTTTCGTCGGAGCGAATTACGAAGGCGGGCTAACGCTCGAAACGTCAGCTTTAGAAACTCTTTATGGTGGCTAATTTACACTATCAACTCAGTGGATAAAACAGAATTGTCTCGTTAAACAAAATACAGTTTTGCCGGAAAGGATATGCACAAGTTTAATCTTGATAAATCGAATTTATCAGGTTGAGCAAAACTTGCTAGAAATCTAATCTTAAATTTAGCTTCAGTGAGGCGTTTTGTTTTTGTGACGGTTTGTTGTTTGTTTCCTTTTTATGACATTGCCGACTAGCTATATAAGAATAGGTGGGTGGATTCGATAAATCGCGAGATATCATGAAGTCATAACAAATTTAAAGAGTTGATGTAGTGGAACCGATCCAGTCAGCTGAAGTAAAACGTCGACTGTAAACATGTCGTGCTGCTTTCGAAAAAGAAGCTTAATAAGAGAGCGCTCAGTTAGTCGGGAAATAGTCAACTTAAACGAACTCGGAAACGCAATCGAAGTGGTTTACACCCTTTCTTAGTTCACCGAAATCTACGGTTGGAGCTGTAATTCTTCAGTTTGATAGACGAGTAATTCGATTTATCAGTCTATTTACGGAATGTTAGGAAGTGCAGCGGTGCTCGATACATGCTAACAGGTCTAATAGTAACGGGGGAAATAAGACCGTTTTCTCAGTTCGTGTGTAACGCCGGCGAGTGATAACGGAAATATTGCTTATTGAATGAACTGCGCATTAAGGTCTGACATGAAATAACCTTGTATGAACTAAAATATTTTGTATTTGTTTCAAGAATGACCTATTTTGTATGATCTTCTTTGAACTGGTAAAATTAACTCCACGATCACGATTTTGTGGAAACCTTCCAAAAGCAATACTTCCAACACTTCAAGCAGCAAGCAGCATGAAAACTTTGTGTGATGATGCGCCAGCCGTCAATTCCTATTTGTGAATACAAATTTAGACACATTTGATTCTTTACAATTAATAAATTATTCGCAAATGACACACAGGATAAAAAAAAGATAAATGTCTTGATTTGAAAACTACAATGGTTTAGTTCGTCTACCGAAGGAGTTTAGACCTCGATAACTCGCACGCAAACTTGGCCAAACGTCAGGTCCATGCGTGCGAGAAATTAACAGTTTTTCATCGGATTTCAGTTTCCGATGTTTGTTTGTCTAGATCTGTCCACCCGACCTCAAAAATTGCTCACAAGCGCACGTGTTCAACAGGAAAATGTTTCATGTTCCAAAATGAGTGACTCATTATTCAGTTTTGTTTTTTCTATGAAATGTATTGACATTCACATTTAGAGCAGACTTGTCAGCAGTGATCACACTCGATTCGAAAAGGACGATAAGCTATTCCATTGGTGCGATGACTTTCGTTTCCTTGAATTTTCTTGCCGGTTTGCTGTACTTAACGTTCTTTGTGACAAATCAAGTTTCGGCAAAACCTATCGAGATAAAGAAATGTAACAAGAAGATGGAAGCTATGTTAAAGGAAATAGAGAAACGGCTCGCCCACATGCAAACTGACATCAACATTCTCAAAGGAAATCAGAACCCCAAAGGTAAACTCGAGAAATAAGTCGACAAATTAATTTAAAGCCAATCCTTGCCAATGATCACGGTTTTCGGTCTTCTCCCGACAGCGAGAAACTGTTCGCTGTGGCAGCGCCCCTGATAGGCGACTGGAAATGAAATTTCTAAAATTATTCACATTTAATTTGCTTATTCTCACAGTTAAGAGGAACTGCGCTGAGCTTTACAAATCCGGTCAAAAAGTCAGCGGAGTGTACGCCATCGATCCTGATGGTTCAGGCGCCTTCGATGTCTTCTGTGACCAAACCACAGCCGGTGGAGGATGGACAGTGTTCCAAAAGAGACTGGATGGCTCCGTTAATTTCTACCGCGGCTGGGCTGACTACAAGAATGGCTTCGGTAAAATCTACGTCAGCTCATTCGTTATTTTTTAAGATCTCCACGGGAAAGTAGGCACGGGTCTTGCACTGGTCAAATTCCGAAATTTGGATTGATACCAACTGGTTTTCAATGATTTAAACACTTGATCATTTTCTTAACAAAGAGCGGAATCATATATTCAGTTGTAATCGACGTCACATCTTTGTTTTCGTATCGTACTTTACTTAAAAGGTATGTTTGTCTCAGTTTGTCATATAGAGACTGTGTTAGCCTTCAGTGTAGCCTCAGAGTTCTGTCTCCACCAATTGTAATCTCTTGGCCTTCCCTTTTTTCCCTTCTTTTTTTCCAGGTACTGCAGGTGATTCCCTCTCTGGGCATCGGGGTTTTCCCTTCACAACCAAAGATCAGGACAATGACATCGCGAGCAGTAACTGTGCTGTGAAATACAAAGGAGCCTGGTGGTACAGAGGATGTCACGCATCAAACTTGAATGGTGTTTATCATCATGGGAAGCACTCCTCATATGCTGATGGAGTCAATTGGTCATCTTGGAAAGGATATCACTACTCCGCCAAGAGAGCTGAGATGAAAATCAGACCAGTAAAGTTTTAGAACTTGCCATCACTTGTCTTGAGTACTGACCTGAACCAAGACAAAATAAGAGTTGAAAGAGAAATGCCAAGCTTCTTTAGAGTGATTAAAGAGTTCAAAAAGTCCTTTTTTCTTGTTTGTGGAATTATTTGCACCTCATTCCTACCACATCTCTGTCCCAGAACTCCACTAAATAATCATCTGGAGCAAAAGAAGATCTAACGTGTGAAAAACTCGTAACGGGTTCTCAATTGAATTAAAAGAAATTGCAGAAAGAAATCAATTAACAGATCAAGTGAACAATGTGAAAAATGGATGAAATAAATTTTCCCTTGCCTGTCACAAGTGCAATACGGGATTCCTTCGGTTTTGCTTTACTAAGCTTAGCTCCGTGGTGGTCGTAAAAACTCGCATCAGTCTCTAAACCAATCAGAGGCAAATTTCACACTCGAAAGGTCACTCGAGCTTTCCCGCGCTGGAGGTAATTTGTTAGTGATCTCTTTTCTTCATTCTGATTTAACAGGTGCCTTTGTTTCATCAATATTTGGCTTCCCTGCGGTAAAATCCTATTGCTTTGTAACAAACCTCTTAGTTTTTACGCACACAGCGGCTCTGCAGGTCAAATTTGTTGGTCCCCCTTGATAATTTCAATTATTTTACGAGCTTAATTTTACCTAACATGAAAGTCATTAAAAAGAATTCTTAAATTTTGAGCCTATTGGCTTCAGTTCAATTCGAATACATGCAAGCCTCTCAGAAAGTCAATATTTATACCTGAAAAATAAACTTTGATCTCCTTAATTTATTAATAATTAATTGTTTTCAGCCCATCTCGATCACCTACAATCGGACGTACCGTGGAGTGAACTTTAGAAACTCTTGCTCCGTGGATCTCCCATTTCTTAAATTTATTCAAAACGTAGTTTCAAGAGGCATCCAAAACAAGACATATGGTTTGACCAACCTGTTGTTTGTCTTAGCCTCTCTTCAAAGAGAACAAGAGAACAAGAATGAATTTCAACCTGCTTAGTTTGTTTTCGGATTTGAAAGAAAAATGTCTCGTCTTAGTTTTATTACGTGTGATGTTTCATGATCTCGTCCATAGAAAAATACCAAATAAATTTTGAGAGTTCAAGATAAACCGTTCTCATTGTAGATGGTTAAAGTTCAAATCAGTTGACACTTAAAGATTTCTATACGCTGTATTTTTTCGTAAGGAGGGTTAACAGTAAAAAATCTAGTCGACAAATTGTGTCGTTATTTCTAATGGAAGGGTTTAATTGAGCACCCGAGGCGAAACCATAGGCGCTGCACATCATCTTACGAGAAATGAAACATTTTGGCTTCTGGGAATATTTACTAGACGACTTTATAGAGGCAGCCAACGAGAAATACCGAGGGCATTTGACGACTAATTCTACTCTATTACTTTTTGATGATTGAGGGTAAACATCTTGCATGTTGGGCGATTGGCAATTTTAGAATGCAATTCACCATAGCCTTTTGTCCTTGCAAAAAAAATGAATTTTCACCTGTACATATTCCACTCAGTTACCACAAATGCAGAAAGTTTGGCTACCTTCTCCCAGAACGACTTTAACCCTTTAACTCCCATGAGTGACCAAGACAGAATTTCTCCTTACAATATCAATACAATATCAACCAGACAAGTGATGAGAATAAAGAAAAATATCATTTTGGGGATAATTAGTTGATCCAATACTAAGTTCGCTGAACTAACATTATAGGAATGGTATGGTTGATAGTAAGGAGAATTACAGATTTGATAAGGGAGTTAAAGGCTTAATGTAATGCTTAGGAACGAGTCGCTCAGTTTCCATTCAAGTAGTCCAGTTTCTTATCATGAACAGTGACCAAATTACAAATACTGCATCTGAAGTGGTATCAAATCAAATTTCCACGAGTATTGAATCGACTTGGTCTATGTTTTGAATTGACTCAGAATCGAAACAACCGTAAATTGAAACTGATATTGGCCCAAAACTGGGAAACTTTTATAGTCTACACATAAGTCATGAACAGTGCTGTTTGTACATTTATGCCTACTCAGAGTACTATAAACCCAAGCATGCATATAATTTCTTGTTCTTAAGCTACATACAAAAATAACTGAGATAATATCAAGTTTTCAATATTTAGGCTCAACAAGGCTGAGGACCGTGGATACTATATTTTACACAAAAATAGAATACAGTTCCCGAATGAATTTATAATAGTTGAACGATACTTGTTTCATTTCACCTTCTTATTTTGGAGTGAAAAAAAAGAACAGAATTCAATTTTCGGGCGTAGATAAATGCATTTACCATAACTGCGTCACAAATTCAAAAATACATTTTGCTCAACTGTTCAACTTTACATCACGAGGCATTGTTTCTCCTTCGTTGTTTCGGTGTCGATATCATCAAAGCTTGTTTTTCTGCTGCTGCTGGAACTGCCGCTGCTATTGCTCTTTGCTTGGCCTTCTTTCAGTCCATATTTAGCGCGTATTTCATCGCGTTTCTTCTCTCTCTCAGCGTTCCGTTTGGCATGTTGGTCTTGTCGTTTAGCTCTCGCCGCTGCGTTCTTCTCCTGGATTTTGCGAAGTTCCTTTTCTGATAGTCCTTCTTCTCCCTCTTGATCATCTTTATCATCCCATCCTAAGTTCTTTCCCACGGAGGATAACTTGTTTGAGACTACAGATTTAGCTATGTAATTCATCTCTTTCGACACCAAGATTTCATCGAAATAAGTCAGTCATTCGTTGAACACCGAAGAGAACAGCCCTCTACGATTCGCCATGTTTTGCCTTTGTAACCCTTCCTTTGATGCTTTGCGTCCTGGCCTTCTGCCAAAAGTCGAATAAACTCGTAGGAATGTGATGTAGATCTCTTCCCAAGCAACTCGTACAGGTTTTTGTGCACAAATAGCTTTAGAAATGGTGAGTATTAAATGTCTCTAAAGAAGTTTCCCGAGAGCGTATAATAGTGCTAAATAGTAATTAGTGTAATCCAGTGTTACATGCTAATGTGTTGGTTATTTGTCTAGATAAGCTTACACCATCGATAGCCCTTCAGAGCTTTTCTTCCAAAGAGAGCTTGTTTTCTCGGCAATAAGTTAGGATTCATACGATGATTTGAGCGAAATTTATCAATCGGAGATCAACGGAACCCTGATGGCCGTTCAATGTATTGGTAAACTAGCAGCGAGAAACCTCGTGATGCTTGCTAACTTCCGGCCGTCTAAGGTAATTTTAAAAGCAATCGTGTGAATGAGATCGTGTTGCCAAGTTTTGTTTGCTAGCTTAAAGCAACGTTTCTCTGAAGTGCTTGCCAATTTTTTTATTACTTTTGCAAATTAGTCTGGCACATACTTATGATCGGAGAAACAAACACAACTTTATTTACTGAGGCCGGATGCAAATTATCTGTGTTCAAGTATGGAACGTGATGACGCTGAAGGATATCAGGTTCGAAACTAGTTTGCTGAGATTGCGCTTTCTGTGATCACACTGCGATAAATTGTTTGTTCTTGTTGTCGTTTGGTTGTCACTTAATTGAACTTTGCACTATTTCGATTTCTCAAACTCTTATTACTTATTATTGCAGTCACTTTTTGGCAAGATGTGGAAAACTGTTTAGCTCGTTGTGGTGATGTGCGAGAACTCTAGCTGTTCTCCAGAAAGTGAGAGTTCTCAGGATGATTGGCAGAAATCTTTTGATGATCTAGAAACTTCCCAGTTTAATGGTGAAAGCCCTGTTCAAATCAGCGAGCGCACACGAGCGCTGCATTGCAATGCTTGGGAAGCTTTCTTAGATAGAGATGGCAGAGTGGTGAATGAGTCTGCTCTCAGAAAAGCAGTATTTAAAGGTAACAGTATGTATGTACTATATTTCTCTGTAACTACTTGAGTTAACATGCACGTTTTGCTTTTGTTTTCTTTCCTCAAAGGGTAGAACATTAATTATTTTTCATTTAAAGCAAAATGATCATTATTGCACCAACAGGATAGGCTTGTGATAGATAAAATATGTTGATTTCCACTAGTATACCAATGCTGAATACACTCAGACATTTTTATTCAGAGAGGACTTGTAGATAACTAGGTTTATTACGTATAAGACTTACTTTGAAAACTCAGAATGGTCAAGAGCATACAGTCAATATACAATAACATGTGGAGTTGACATTCAAAGTTACAATCAATTTTTTTTTATGAGAAACTAATAAAATTCAATAACATTCTACCAACAATTCCATATGTTGGATTTTGATTATCATATTATTCTGTTGGGGTTCTGAAGTAATCTAAAAATAATTTGGTGTTTGTTTGGATTCATTGAAGGTGGTATTGACTGCAAGATAAGAAAGGAAGTCTGGAGTTTTTTGTTTGAGCTGTATCCATTTTCATCAACAAGGAGGTTAGAAATGTTTTAAGCCTTAAACTTTCAATATCTGATTGCTAACTCTGCTTTCTAGCTGCTATACATTTCCTTGTAAATTAGTTAAAAGAATTTGGTGTTTGATCAAGATAACAAGCTTCTACTTGATAAGTTTGAGTATTGTTATTACTTTTTTTCTGAATAATGTATGAATATTATGGGAAGAAGTTACATGTTAATCACTTTGTAGGGAAAGAGAAGCCTTAGCTGCTGAAAATATAGCACAATATGGAGCACTTAAAATGAGATGGAAAGAGCTTTTAAAGAATTATAAACCTCCAGTGGATCCTGATGTTCCTGAGTCAATACCTCTCTATCTGAGAGAATGTAAGAACAATCAAATTAATAACACTGTAAGAGATGATGTCACGGATGGCTTATCAAAAGAGGTAGTGGATGAGGAGCAAATGGTGTTTCTTAATCTTACAGCAAAGGTTCGTCTGAGATAGTTTTGTAGTTTAAAATGAAATGTAGATCAAAAATGTTATTGCAGGGGAGCAAATGGTTTTTCATAATCTAAGAGCAAAGGTTTGTCTGAGATAATTTTGTAGCTTAAAATGAAAATAATTTAGATCAAAATGATGTTGCAGGGGAGTAAATGGTGTTTTTTAATCGAAGAGCAAAGGTTTGTCTCAGATAATTTTGTAGTTTAAAATGAAATGCAGATTGTGGAAATGGTGCTGACCTAGTTTCATTCATGTTTTGCTTTTTCCAAGTAAAGCAAACAAAGGAAGATACAACTTAAACCAGGCTGAAAACCTTTTCTTACTGAAATCATTTGAAACTGTGACGTACATAAATATATTTTGTGGTTTCATTAAGTCTTGGTTTTTAATTTTATTCCTTTTTGATTGGGTATAGTTAATGCAACAAATGATTCAATTACGAGTACATTGAATTATTATGCATATTAACCATAGAGGGGCTTGGTAATAAGTTATGAGGAAATAAGATTCAAACTACACGTAAAACAGTACTGATCTTCAACTTTCCATTTACAGTGACATCATGCTAAATATATTACAACTCTTAAAGTGGCTTGCTATTTTTCAGTCATGCTGAGAGGAAGTTTGGCTTTCAGTTGTTTTCATTTTCACTCAAAACACTGTTTTTTGCTTTCTGTGCCTTTGAATTCAAGGTTAATTGAAAGTGATGATTATTGTTATGATAACCACCTTTCACTGGGATGAAAATCCAGCCTTTCTGTATTCTTGAGTCTGACTAGGAGATGCAAAATGAGTTGCCTAGTAATGTGACTTTTATAAGTTTGTTTTTCCATAAGTTTTTGCAAAGTGTTCACTATATAGCCTGAATTACATGAATGATGTAGAAGTTTATAGATAACAAACTGATCTGTTTAGACGACAAATTTATCCAAACCATGTCATGTTTTTTCATTAGTTTAAGGCAGATCGCCAACCTATAGAAATCCAGAAATTGTATTCATCGATCAGAGTAATTGATAAAGATGTGCCAAGGACAGACAGAGGACAAGCTTTCTTTGAGTAAGGTTTCTTTTCATGATACATGTACCTGATAATATGATTCTGTGAGCAAAAGGAACATCAATTAAAAAAAAAAAAAGAATTTAAAATTCCTTATCTGCTTTTTTCAAACCTAAAAGTTATTTGTTTTACACAACAATGTAACACAAAGGAAACTTATAGCACTGAAGAACAAGGGCACGTGAGTCATGCATTTTTTTCAACCATACATGTAAAAAATTTTATATACGCATCTGACTACCCTGTGTCTGAGCGTATGAAATTTGGGTGCGCAGTTAACACAAATGCAAGCAGTACTTTAACTACATGTAGCTCTTTGGAATAAAGAGAATGAAAGCAAATGATGAGGTACAGTGTACTCTGCAGAAACTGAAATGGAACCTGAATTAAGCCATAACATATAAGTGGTCACCCTGTATTAAGCAGTTGGTTTCAAAGTCTAGAAATTTTTTCCCCTCAACTTTAGTAGTAACCACACTATTAAGCAGTCACCTTTATTAAACAGCCCTAGTCACCTTTAACTGACTGCCAACAGCCTGTTTGTTTTACACTCCTTCACTTGTGTTGAGCAGTCACTTCAAGTGGAACCAGTCAAGTCAAATTAAGAATAATCTTTCAAGTGAAATGTTATCCACGTTTATCTTCCAAAATCAGTGTATGACAAGCATGTTTGAGCAAGCTCAAGTGGTCACTAATGGCATGAAATGGCATTAACCCACCATTCCCTGTGCATGACCACTCAATACAAGTATAACTTTGTGATAATGTTGTTCTGCTGTTTGCTAGTCTCCAACCTCTGTGCAGTATTATCATATTTAAATAGTTTTTGTGCCAAATATGATCAGTCAGAATTTTCTCTTGAGTTTCCCTATGTCATTCTGTTCTGGTATCCTGATCATCAGGTATATACTCTCTACCCTTACCTCATTTGATTTTTATTTACTCACCTTTGTTATCATTATAAATTATTTTTATTTAAATCATTTCTTCATACATTTCAATGTCACTGGTTATGTAATTAAATTTTGAGAATTTATCGGTGTTCACTACAAACAGTGTATGTTATTGTTATTTTTATTTTGTAATTGTGATGATTTTCCTTCAGTTTTCAGGTAAAGTACAATGCATCTCAGGTTACTTTTGCATTTTTGATTTTGCTTTCAGGGGAAAAGGGAATCAAAATCTTCTTGTGCTACGAGATATTTTAATAACATACAGTGCATATCATCAAGGTATTGCCAGTCAAATTTATTGTTACAGTATCTATTTGTAAAATTTTATTCAGTAGTATTATAGCTTTTTGTTTCTTTTTTTGACTTGGCAGGGACAAAAAAATCAGTATGCCTTGTTTCCTTGAGTAGTTATTTGAAATTTCAGCTAAAAGGAGGAGCACTTATTGGAAGGAAGGCACTTATTCAGGGGGGGGAGCTTGTAAATAAACTATTCACCTGAACTGCTTTCCTTGTTGTTGAAGTGCAAAAAAACTTGAAATAAAGTGGCAATAGAAACAGCTAGTTTACCTTGTATCCCCACTTTTTTAAGATAGTGAGGGAGGACAAGGGAGGATATTCAAGGGGGGCCTTTATTTGATATTATGGCCTCAGGGTGAGTGCCTGTTTGGGGGAGGGTACTTATTAAAATGTGGGCATTTATTTGAGGAAATACAACAACTTCTCTAGTTTTTAAGTCAAAAGTTTGAGATTTTTATCCGAGAATACCATGACTTCTAGTTAAAGGACTTGGTCATACCTAAGAAGGTAGAGATGATTCTGAAGATACCTGCATCCCATTGAGTTTCAATTCAACCTCTTCTCCAATGCCTCCCCAACTAAAATACAAGGTTCTAGAACAGTATGATCATTCACAAACGCTCTTCTTTTCTTATTTTGGGTCAAAATTCTTTTCTCTTTTTTTCTTCCCCAGATGTAGGATATGTTCAAGGAATGAATGATGTTTTAAGTAGATTTTTAATTGTGCTGGGATCAGAAGCACAGGCTTATTGGTGTTTCACTAATTATATGGAAACTGTCAAGAGAGACTTTCTAGATGATGGAATGCTAGACAAAATAAGTAAGTTTGTAATCCTAAGTCATTGTTATTTATGTCCATGCTTGTTGGATTTAATGTTTTTCTTTGTTTTTTGGTTTTCTTGTTGTTTTTATTTATTTATATCTTTTGGCTAAATATAGCGTGGAAAATGTTAAAGAAAGAAAATCTAGAACTACAATGTATGACAGCTACGCAGACGCGCATCAAAAATGTACAACAAAATGATTTTTGCAAGAAAATGTTTTTTATTTCGCTTTTCCTAGCTTTACTTTACGTTTTCTTTTGCTTATGTTTTTTTAGTTTTAATTGTGTTTATTATTTTGTGCTTTTTTTTCGTTTCCTTATTTTTTTCTTTATTTGTTTGTTTATTATCACCAGCACATGTCAGATTACTACTAAAGAAAATGGACGAGCAGCTTTTTAATCATTTTAAAGCAAACGGAATGGAAGATCTGCTATTTGTTCACAGGTACATGTAAAGTGTGTATTCATGTATCTTTTAGCTATCTATTAGAGAATATGATTATGTCGCCAGACTAGTCATCCCTTTTGATGTAGACAACCAGGAAAGTATTAAAAAAAATGATTCGTTCGTCTCGAGCTTGAGACAAAATAAATTAAGAATAATGACAATAAATAATAACGATACCAAAAAAAATAAAAGACGGACTGTGACTTGCCTTGAACCTCTGAGTTTTGGAATTTACGCCACGATGCTCTAGCACTAAACTGTAGAACTTGTTAGCAACTGAAGCCACATACATGTACCAGACTCAAGTGACACCAGCGTTGTGCATAGTCAAAAATTTCATTTGTGCAAATAAAAATGGATGCTGTTTTTTTTTTTAATTTCTCCAGGTGGCTTGTTTTGACTTTTAAAAGAGAGTTCTCTTTCGAAGACGCGTTGACAATGTTTGAAATAATCAGCAGTCAACACCTTGAATTGACATCAATGGAGGCTGAAAGAGAGCGAGAGAGACAGAGAGCTAAACAATTAGAGATAGATGGTTAGTTCATGTCAGCTATTGTCATTAGTAACATTACAAAGTAATTGGAAAGATCTTCAAAAATTCAAGTCTAGATGCGCGAAGGGGGGAAAGATATTACTTGGTTAAAAATTTGGGAATTTTATGAACAATTCTTAGTACCGAGTCATTATTTGTCGTAGTTTTGGATCTGACTTGTGAAGCGGTTATTGATGCTTTCTGGACGATTAAGGGGAACCAGCGGCATACATGTAGCTTAACAAATACCTCTTTCAGCGTTACCCGACTCTCGGTTTTTACTTTATAACTACACTTTAAACTTTTAGAACAACGAATTGTGGCGCTTTAAGCCATCTTAATATCATTTTTATTTTCCGTCAACCTTAGCCTGTGAGTATACTCTTATCATTTAGTAGCGCTGCAGGACGTGCGTTTCTTTCAGCGGCTCGCGTTGCTCAAGGTCCCATACTTCCTTACGGGCGAGGAAACACTCGCGCTGAAGCGCTGTTGACGAGGGCCTGCCATAGGCTATGTAGACGTCTTAAAATCAGTTTCTTAGAATTTATTCGTCTATTAGTTATTCGTCTCTGAGTCTGCTGCTCTCATTAACTTTTTATGTTCTTACTACAGGAGGTGAATTTCATGCGCAGGTTGTGGAAATGGCAAACTATTCGTTTGAGGTATTTGTATGTCTAGCTGTTTTGGAGGAATACAGAAAAAGTTTATTGAGGTGTTCGGAGGTTTCATCCGTGTACAACACCATTCACAGGTGAGAGAGATGATTTTTTTTTTTTTTGCACGTGTACTGCATTTAATGCGAACCCACAGTGTATATTCCTAACTTGAGCTATACGGGGTATGATTAAATGACTTGCAGATTCAGAGGGTGTATTCTTCACCCACCACACCCTAACATCGATATGCATGTACTCCGTACTATTTTCCATACATTTTCTAAGGTGTTGACAGGGATAATTGATTTACGATTAAGAGCCTATTTAGTTTGTGATCATATTTGTTATTCTCGTGACTTCCATTTGTGGTTTAGGGTCGATATTGTAAGGAGAAATTAGATGCTAGTCTCTCTTAGGCGTTTTTAGGATTCACAATGCAACGGTTGAACGGGGTTTGACATTGACGTTGCCTTATCTTCATGGAACTCCGCGGCAACTAAGCTACTTTGGTGTCTCAAACTAACTCTGTTATGAAAAAGAAAAAAGAAAAAGAAAAAGAAAAAAGAAAAAGAAAAAAGAAAAAGAAAAAGAAAAAAGAAAAAGAAAAAAGAAAAAGAAAAAAGAACAGTTTCCCTTAGAGATGTACAGCGCAGGGGCATGCTCTATCTGTTGAGCTGCTGTAAACACAGACGCTCTTTTCCTTTCTCTTTCCTCCCGAAGCGGATATTTCTTTCGTTATGAACAATCATTCTTAGAAAACTCAGCATTCTCGGAAAGGAAACCTCTTTCAATATTAACTAATCATAGTTGTTAAGGGTTGTTATTGGCCTTGATTAGTAGTTGTAACTGCTGTAAAATTAGAGTTTTGTAAGATTGACACATATGTTAGCATTCTATAGTGAACTGATGATGGATGTTCAGTTTCTTGATCCTGATGATTGCTTTACATGTTTACTGGTTAGATACATCTAAGATGTCACTGTTGTCGTATAATTTGAACATTTTATTATTTCCTTTGTTAATTTCTCTTTTTTCTTGGCAGTTTATCAATGAAAATGGACTTGAACATTATCCTCATGAGAGCAGAGGAATTATTCTACAAATACTGTCGGAAATCTGTGGTTGACTGCTTTCAAGTGGTCGATTTGGACACAGCAGATGTATCTTGATACCAACAAGCAAGCCAGAGTAACTAGCGAATATTGCTAGGAGGAACGCTGTTAAACTTTATGTCTAGAATTGATGACCTTTTTTAATTGGATGTTTGAAATTCAATTTTGCTTTAACAGTTTAATGCACCTCTGCCTTCAATGATCATTACTGTAACAGGTTTAACCTTTAATCGCCAGAACACATCACAAAATTGTAAAACAGGAATATTTGTTTCTGTGGTATTGCAGGATAAAAGGTAAAGTTTATGATTCATGAAAGCAATAGTGTAAGAACCGTTCCGAGGCACATCAACAGTTGTCGTAACTAGCGTTTGCGTGCACTCTGATTTTGCTTGGTTAACATTTTAAAATAGGCAGAGTTACAGTATGTACTGTCTTTTCCGAGATATTTGCTTTATTTTTAATTTTCCTATGTGGGAACATAAGATAGCGAGTCAGCTTACTTGTAAGTTGAATGACCAAAAATAACGATCAAACAAAATATAACTTATATATTTTTTTTATTTTTAGGTACAAGAAAAACGAACTCAGGCGAAAATTTGTATTATCTAATTTATAAATGGGCGGCATAGGCTCAACATAAAACCAGCGGGATATTTTTACCATTAATTAAATCTCTCAGACCTTTGCTTGGATTCTGGAAGTAGAAACATGTCTTGACATGTAATTCAATTTAGCTAGGTCTTCTATCAGCCAAATGCTTTCGAAAATTGATAAAGATTATTGGTCAGAGTATATTAAAAATTCGAGCCTAAAGATATATGTTATTAAGATATAGCACACCAAAGAGACTACAAACGAATTTTTTAGTAATTTTATGATATGTAATATTCTTTCTTTCCAAGGAGCAAAAGTGGAAAATAAAGTTTTTTAGGTAAATAAAATTTTGTACTTTCAGTCTTCTTGAAATGAAAACGCCTTTCTTTTGATGCATTTTCACCAATCAATCGCACGAAAACGCCCGAGAACGCTGATGGAGTCGATAGTAAAATAATCCATTTTTCCATTATTTTTCGTAACCTTTTTTAATGGTCTCCGTTTTCACCTGTCACACTTGAAACGGAGTGTTCTGAAAACGATGCGTTTTCAAAATAAACCATTTTTGAAACTGTTTTCGAAAGCGTCTGTTTTCATCAGTGTTCTGGCCGTTTAAAGAACATGATACGCGGAAATGCATTGAAAAAAGGCGGGGGAAAGAGAGGGTATGAAGGTGGCTTAACTTTCACTTCAGCTTGATTCAGGGTCACCGAGATAATTTTGAAAACCAAATCTGAGTTGGTTTTGGATTCATGGTCGATAGTTTTAGCCGCAAAAGAAGCACAATGGAAAATCCGAGATGTATGAGTCAGTTTCAGAATAAATTCAACTTCACATGAGACGAGAAATGGGGTCGAAAATGTATCATTAACCACTTTATTTACCCACTCATTTTAAAATTTAAGCCATTTATGATTACATGATTACCACGATCAACCGAAAAGACGTGTTGCCGCGTTCTGTCACGTGCAATTCTCCGCGGGCGGCGACCAAAAAGTGCTCTAAAAAAACAAAAAAGCAACATGATCAGATTTCACGGCCTAAGAATGAATTAAAGGTAACTTGACCCCGTCATTCCTTTGCAAGCAGTAAACAACACGTTAGTTGCACACCCTTTCATTGCCTGGTAAAGGCAGATAGCATTTAGATGACTGGATAGACATATGTTCGTTATCTTTAACTTAGTCATGTCGTCATGTGGCGCAGGGTTATCTACCTGTATCACATGTTTACCTGACACATTCTAGAAAAATCCCGACCTTCGCTATGGCGCGAGGGTCGGGATTTTTCATCTATAGGGAAGGAGGAGGGTAGTGTTTAGGATATCAAGTCAGTTCAGTACTAAATTCAATTTTTCTTGTCAGACAGTATGGGTTGGGGGATGAGGAGCCTTTTCACGGGTATTCCTTTTCATCTGCGATCTCTCCCAGAGGTATAAATGTAAAAAGGGCGAGGAAATACTCACCTCTACCTGATGTCCTCAATGACTCAAGGATGACACTCGTATCGAATAGCCAGGTACTTTTTAGTGAAGGGACATGGATCACCAAATTCCTTGTCTGATGCTTTGAGGAGGCATGATGATCGACCGTTACATGTCTGACTGACCTGTGAAGAGGAGCGTGTTAGGACAAAATTTTCAGTCAGCCTTGATGACAGGTAGTGCCAGGAAGGGAAAAACTTTTGATTAGAATATTTAATTGTGGGAGAGAATGTGAAAGGAAGAGAACTGAAGGTATGGGCGCGGAGGGCAGATAGGCAGGCATTAAAACAGAAATGTAAATTTAGTAAACATAACTAATTGGTGACTCTTCAGAAAAAAAACGCTCCTATTATAAAGGATCTTCAGCGGCTGGTGATCTTTATCTCAAATATTCGATAACAGAACATACAAAAAAATTCATTTTCAAAACTGGAGGGTTAACGCGTTGCTCGCTTTCCAGGCAGTTCCGCTTGTCTTGAAGTTTTATCTTTTTTTCCCTTTTATCTAATTCGACAAAGATACTGACCTTTTTAAGTGAAGTGGGGCTGATGCAGTTCCTGTTGAAACTAAATCCACATTTTGATGAATACTTCCTTCCGTAGTTGGCGTAAGTGATCCTGATTTTTCTTCCGCCATAGCAAATAATTTGTCGGCTATAATTTTCGCAAATTGTGTCCAAGTAGCCGACAGCATCTGCAAATTACAGGATAAATAGGTAAATGTACTTAACAAGTTCGTTTTTGCGGTTGCCTATTCGCACAAGCTTACTCTATGTATCTATCTATTATCGACTATTACCTCCGTCCATTACGCCTAACTGCTAAATATGCTGAATGTTTTACCCTCTTACTCATTTGTTGATGGGAAGCTGAAGCACCTGTTTTCCTACAATGATCACGGAGGCATTAAAATAGTGTATAGAACTAGAAGAAGTATGTTTCGCTAACGTTGCTAACTTACTTCCCGGGCAGTTGTACATTAAATTCATTTGCTGCAGGTCCAAGTAACTGATGAAATCCCGCTGACCAAGGTAACGGAGAGATACCTAAATGTATGCAAAGTCAATATACAAATCAACTGTAATATATCAAGTAGGCTGGAAATAGTTTGATCATAATGATAAACCAACCTGCTTAGCTTGTGGAAAGAAAACATTTTTTTTTTTCTGTCTCGAACGTATGAAAAAGGAAAAAAATCTAAGTGTCCCTCGGGGAATGGAACCTCAGACCTTCGGATTCCGCGCTCCGATGCTCTACCAATGAGCTTTTTAGAGCTCTGTGGTAAGTTGGCCCATATTAGATTCAAATATGATAAACATTCATTGCAATTCCTTTAGATATTCGTCGACTTAAGGTTAAAAGGGACAACAATTTTCCTATGTCTACTGCAAAATTCTGACTCACCCTGTTGTCTTTGGCAGTAATTGTTGGCTTTTGGTCTTTTGTGAATGCGAACGGAGAGAAATGCATGATGGAAAAGTAGTCATATGGAGTGCCAAAGGGCATCCAAGACTGCTGCAGAGCGGGCGTCAACTTGTCAAAGTTCGATTCCTTTCCTAAAAAGGAAACAGTCGCAAGAACCAGGAGAAACAATGATCACATAGCGCATAGTCCGTGTGGGCGAAGATTTTCCATCATATCGGTTAATTCTTTGCTTTTTTTTGCAACGCTGGGTACAGACCGCAGCTCAGTCGTGATTATCGTATCACTCAAATGTAACTCAAAATTCAACAAGAAAATTAAAAGGTTGAACACTGAATTAAAAATGAAGACTTGCTTTTGTTTTAAAAACTTTCCCATGTTTTCTCCACAATCTTGAGACATTTTATTAAGTAACATGTTATCAATGGGGTTAACCGCTAGCCGTAAGACGGCCATGCAGAAAATTTTAGTCCTTAGTCGTAAAACTAAAAATTTTAGTTGTTTGTCGTAAGAAAATTTAACCATAAAAATTTCTTCTCTTTAGAATGTGTCATTTTGGGTTAACGGTTAGCCACAAAATGGCCAAAAATTTTAACTCCTAACTATAAAAGCTATCACTCAATTGACCCCTCAGTGATCACTGTGATCAACGCAAGGTTTGACTTAACAGTTAAGCTCATCCGTAGGCATGCAAATTCGAATAATAGATAAGACACCTTAATTGTTCACATGAAGAACAAAGATATGAGGCTACCTTAACTAGATGACCCGGAAGCAGAGTGGAAAGTTTTCTACACTTTCTACTGAGTGTCGAAAAGCCAAACCAAAGAAATCTTGAGGATCAATCATAAAGAAAAGGTTTAAATTACCACTGGCAAATGAGGACTCATTGCAAAAACAAGCACACTGCTTGAAGCATGGGAAAACGCGAATAACAAGTCGCAATTGTTTTAAGCTTTGCATCTGGTTAGCTGCGAGGATGGCGCGAGAATTCTGAAATAATCAAAGAGCAATGATAGGTGAAACCAAAGCAATTCTGGATAACTTTCGACACTTAATTGAAATTCCACGTCGATGGTAGCTTGAATTTGGCGCAAATATAGACACTATTTAATTCTCATTAGTTTTAATAGGGAAGCGCAGGAGAGTGATACACAGAAGATTAAGGTAATTTCGCTTTAAATAGTCCAAGGTTACATGGACTGCTCGAAAAAAGAAATACAGGGAGGTTTAAAGAGAGGAAATGCATGTATCTTACCTGCTTGGATATTATCCTTTTCAATGTTGATGTACATATCTCGATCAGGGCGCGCTTGCTCATGAAAGAACCCAAGCGCGTGTCCTTATAGGAGTAAAACACGACATATCTCAGAAAATGACTAAAAACTAAAGAGAGAATTTTGGAAAATTATATCAACATTGATACGTACTTATTTACAGCCTTCAAATATGAAAATGGAAAAAAAAATGATTCGTGGTGTTCGTCTTTAGCGTGGTTAAGAGAATTTTCTAATGGTTTTTTAGGTCAAGGACAAGATCAACTAGCCTAATCTTAAAACAATTTTTTTTTCCTTTCAGTAGCTTTTTTTGTCACTTCTGCATGTTTGCCTCCACTTATAAGCCCCTCTCTTGATCATTTGCGCTTACGTCTACAGCTATGGTTAACTTCTGTTATCGGAAAGGGACAGCTTTGTAGGCAGAAATGACCCTGAGGAAATTTATAATTTATAACTTTCTGTGACTGGAATACGTACCAACAAACTATTGTTTACCGTGGAATTATGCCCATAGTCTCGAGATATCTGTTATCTTTGCTTTGTTCACATTACCTTACCTAATTCATGCCGCAAAGTTCCTAATGCCCAGCAGTTTGGACCAAGACTAACTGTCTGCTCGTTGCCCTGACAACCCACGTATGAGTAACATCTACGAAGATATCCAATGGGTTCATAATGTACTTAAGTATGAAATATCATATCCATTGCTTGTCCGAGCAGTATCAAGGACGCTTGTAATATATGAAACTGGTCTTATAGCTAACAAATTAAACAAGCACTTTTCATATCAGCTGTTGGAGAATCCAATATCATCGCAGCTTTTCGAAGACAGATTCTCATTCGGGACTCAGTTTTTTTATGCCATGTTCCTAATAATTTTTTTACCTATTTTTATGCTAAAATGTTTTATAATGATGCATTTGGATAACTATCAATTTTATTATCTTTTCTACTCGTTATCCTCTCGAAAGGCCTCCGTGACACCTAAATCGCATGGTCTGACATCTTTCTTTCCTCCTTTTGCTTGCTTTTTCATTTATCAATCTATATTTTTTTTTTCTTTTTTTTACTTGCAAAATCCTTTGACATAACTATAAACTGACTGCATCAAGTTTACCCTTTTCCGTATATAAAGCGGATGTAAGCTTTCTCTACAGTCTTCGTTTTAAACTTAATGCAAGTTTGCACTTCCCATTCTGTCATTATGTTCTCTAGCGTTCGAACCAAAACTTCACTTCTCGCTGCAATAGAGGAGTTAGAACAAATAAAACACTGCTAACAAAACAAATACAGGTCACTTTTGGACTAATTCTATTCATAAGTTCACTGATTGAAAGAAAGTGTCTTGTTATCCTCTTTCTATTATTATTATTATTACTCATAATTTTATTATTATCATCATTATTATTACTACTATTATTATTAGTATTATTATTATTATTGTTATTATGAATTTTTTCTCTTATTTTGTGAAATTTTACTCAAGCTAAACTTTCGTTTTTGGTTAGAAAAAGAAATTATCATGATAATAAATAGAAACTTTAGAAAATCACTCATAAGCTGAAAACAGTCTTACAGTAAATAAGGGAAAAGACCGTTACTATCTTTACTTTTTTGTCAAAAACATTACGCTATCGACATTGTTGATCCTAGCAGTAGGCGGGACGCGTGTCATTAGAACTTTGTAATAGACCTCGCTCACCGAAGAGTCTTTGTGGCTCAGTGGTAGAGCATCGGAGCGCAAATCCGAAGGTCTGAAGTTCGATTCTTCATGGGGACTCGGAATTTTTCTTTATCCCACGCTCGTGACAAGACGAAAAAACATCTTTCTTAATTCTTCACCGAGCTCAAAACTTACTATCTCTACTTTTCTGTCAAGACCGTTATACTTACCAAGTTCATGGGATATGACGTATGGAACCACGCCACCTGGCCAAAGGCGCAGACCCGCGCCCCTTGCTTTTGAGGTTCGCAAGTCGTCTTCCTGCTGTTTGTTGAGTAGTATGTCACCTTGGTACAAACCGTCCAATCCCTTGTTGTCTTACATAAAAAAAAGAAACAATGAAACATTATATTCAATCAGCTTCTCTTTTTTTTTTCATTATTTCATGATAGCAGCTCGGAGTTTTCTATTTGTATCTTATCTATAACGGTGGAAGATTAAAAGAAGCAATCATAGTGTGTAAGTAGGCAAAATGAAAAGAAATTATGAGCCTGCCTCGTTGTGGAATTTCGAACTACTAGAAGATTATATTAACACGATTAGTTCATTCCCCCTCTATTTCTGTGCGTGATAGACGATTTGAGCTTTCCTCACGCCAATTATCACTCGTTAGAATCTCGAACTCATATTCTAATTGTGAATAGAGATTGAAAACTAGAGATACTGTTGCATGGAAATATTTGCGCAACCCTCTTTTTGCACCAAGTCTTTTGAAGAACCGTTCGTTAGATAATGATGATAGTAATTTTAATATTGATGTTAGCGAGATTGTTATTAATATCAATAATTCATCAGGGGCTTATAAGAGACGCAACCACAAAACCAAAAGGAAAGTGGGAACTCTCTTTGACTTCCTCTCTTATGAAATCTGCATGGGCCAATCTATTGTTTAAAAGAATAAAGAGAGCAAGTTTCAAGAAAAACAGTGATGCTACGTGCGTGGGTGATATTACAACATTATTTAGTTCTGTCAACTGAGTTGATGATGTAAATTGGCCATCGTAGGTAGGCATTAACTTTTGTTAGAGTTAAAGAGTTAACCCTCCAATTCTCTGCTTTAGAAGCTATTTACAATAACCATATCATATAAATAAACCAGTTGTTAAAATCAAATTATATCGTCTACAGGGAATAGAAAAGCTTCTTTCTGTCGCCCCTAACCAGGGAAAAGTGTTGAAACTTGGCGGAGAGATAACGTGCTGTGACATTAAAAACTTCTAAAGAAACCTTAATTGCCTGTAGCGCGAGATTTTTACCATCCTTACCATCCTTTCTCCGTTATACTCATTGTATGAGACTTAGACTGTAATATATGTTCATATTTACTTAGATTTGATTTCCTCAAGAATCTTGTTTCGATCCATTCGCTCTGATACTTGGAAATAAAAGAGCTGCTGCTAATTATTTTAAAATTTGTAGATATGTCAAAGTAGTGAGCCCAATTTGAAACTAATACATCGATTGTTTTTGTATGGAAAGAACAAGTCAATAAATGATGTACTGGTGAACATCTGACTTCCCAAAACCCTAGAATATAACAAAACTTATATCTCAAATTAATTAATCTTAGAACCGGACAAATTCGCCTTCATTTTGATTTAATCTCTCGCTTAACCTACTGCTTTGTGGTCCTTTAAGTCTGATGGTGATCTAGTATCTTTACTGAATTTGCTTTAAATTTTAATTGCCGGCTGATGATCAGTTGTGTCATTTAGAGTTACTTGGTTCCGTATTCAATTTAAAATTATACTCTAGACTCATTCTCAACCCAGGACTTTTTATTGTAGTTCGCTGAAGAGAAATTTATGTTCAGCGGAGGAAGTAAGAGGAATTAAAAAGGATTTTTCGTCTCAGTAATCTATGTTTAAAATGTTAGATTTTTTTATTAATATTCGTTGAGAGAGCTGAACAAAATTTCAGGACGTAATTCTTACCTTCAGGTATACTTTCTTCGGAAAATTCGACGCAAACAATTACAAAAATGGGGAAAAATAGAAACTTCATTTTGACGAACCCTGTTCCAACAATGTTACAGTCCAAGACACATATCCATTTATTGTTGATTTTGTTTGCAGGTCCATGCTCAAAGAAATAGGACTGTTTAAACATCCACGCGTTTCATTTCTTGATCGTTTATTCAACGGTGTTCGCTCAAATAAGATAACAAATCGGCTGAATAACTTCTACGTAAATACGTATTCATTTACTGTATGATTTTTTAGGCATTATTTACAAATGGTGACTTAATTTTGAGTTATTTGATCATCATCAAACACTTTATTACTTTGTGAAACTTCAGTTTAGAACTCTTCCCCGGCCAACACGTTTCGTTTGAAACAAATAATACGAGAAGAGTTGATTTTGAGATTTTTGAAGGATTCTCTCTGTACTCATCCTCCTTCTCTTTCATAAAATCAGTTGAGTCTATTCTATGTTAGAGTAGCTTGAATTAATTACCAGTCTTCTTATTAGCACTGTAACCTCAAATTCATCACACGCTGGTAATACACGTACAATACGACATAAATAATTGAAATTTGTTTTCCATCACTCTTAAAACCTTGTCATCTTATTGGCCATTTCATCCTGTGGAATTTTGCAAGCGAAGATACTGACGTTTCGAGAACAGCCCTCGACAAAACTTCGCGGAAGTGATTTCGCAACAACTTGAGCAGGCATTCGACCGACTGGAATACGATATTTTGTTGAACAAACAGTGTAGTTTTCAAAATACCATACGGCTGTAATTTAAAACTGTCCTTTTTACTTCACAATAATAGCGTCTAATGTCCTTTCCTAATTCCTTAGCTTACAAGTGTAATAGTCTTACGAATATGTGACAGACGGCAAAAGTTCGTCACCTGCCGGTTTGCTGGCACCTGCGTGAATTTACTCTTTATGTTCTTCGGTGAAGAGTAACACAAAGCAATAGTCTGCCCAAGGCTAACACTCGGGCTAATTACCTTTGAATGAAAATAGACTGACCAGTTAAAATGGATCGGTTTCCTTTGTTCCCAAATAAACATGATTTAGTGGTCTCATTAAGCTCCCTAAAACTCTTGTTGAATTTTGTCAATTTGAATTTTGCCGAAATGTTAACACCAACAGGTTAAATAGGAATACGGAAGATTTTATCCGTGACAAAATTTTCAGAATCTTATTACATACAATTTTGAAATAGCATTTTACCGATCAAAACGCCCCTACCAGTTTATCGAATCGACGTCTCCCATTCAGTGAATTTGTTAAATATCTCTTCGACTTTCAGTTTGGATAAGGTTGCGCGTTAGGTATAAAACTGGAAAAGGCAGAGGGAAATTCAACTTGGTGTTAACAAATCTACGAAACTTAAACTTCGAGTCAATTCCGCACACTTCATATGGTTATTCGTGGTACGAGCCGACGAAATCCTGCCACATCAGTGAAATGTTTAACTCACATGTATGAGAAGTAATTTGTTTCCAATCTTGTTTAAGCATGTTAAATTGATTTCCATCGGAACGGCGTCCTTTATGTGATTTGGTGGGATTGAGAAAATTAAACATGAGGAAATTTATAAACACTATCAATTTATGGCGAAAGAATTTCATGATTTCTGTGGAGAGATGCTAATTTCCAAAACATAAGATTTCCACGAACAGGAAGTTGTGTTTTGATGGGATTTCAAACTTTAAAATTGCTAAAATACAAATTAAAGATTAGTAAATATATTCTAAGATAATGTTCTGCATGACTTATCGATATCTGAATTTGTGCTAAATAAATTCCCGCAATCAACACTTGGAATTCAAATCGCTTTAAGAGGATTTTTTTCTAGCAAAGTATTACAAAACTTTCAAAAGAATTAGGGGTGATATTTCCAAAGTGAGCGCTCGCTGTTCTGTTTACATCTAATTTTGCATGTTTTCCTATCGTATGGCAGCGGTTTGAAACCACCTGTTTATTTGCGTATGCGTAAACTGGCTTTCCTGTGTATTTGAGACTTCCCACGGATAGACCCAAGCCATCTCTGGATATTTCACTTGAATTTCACGCTTAACAATCCCCACTGCTTTGCCTTCTGAGTTTCTCGTGAAATTGAATTTCACTGGAAAAAAATTTTTAGCGAGGATTTCTGTTTGTATAACCGCTACAGTTGAGTGTCTTTGACGATCGAACAGAGCTTTCGAACAATCGGCCTGCACGGGACTCCGTTTTCTGTCAAACAAGAAGAAAACACATCTGGGCCACAGAGTATCCATGGGAGCCCTTTCAAGGTAAGAGTATACAAAAATTTTCGAATTTCTACTCTCGGCTGGAGTGCAGCTCAAAATCGCGCTCAAAGCGAGTAGTGCCTATGAAATATATGGTAATGTTGAAACCCCAACAATCTTTAACTTACTGAAACGCACGGTAGGAGAGAAGCGGATTCACTTGAATTTGCGAGAATTCATCTTTTTAATACGTTTTGTGCTGAAGTCCTACCTCATACAGAATATTTTAATATTTACAAGTACCATTGATATACCCTACGAGCTTAAACATTTTCAACCTGTTTGCTTCAAAAGCAAACGTGATTTAAACGTGTGAAAGACGAACACTTCGCAGTGTTGTGACTGCAGTCAAAGATAGGCCGTTTTTTTTCTTTCGTCTTCAGGAAATTGTACATTGTTTTACCAGGAGTTGTTGTGAACTATGCCTAAATTTTTTGAGACACAAAGCATGAGAATTATTCCGTCTTTTTATTTTAATGAGCCTCTGCCTTTAATTTTTCGAATTAAGTGATTAAAATTCAATCTTACAGTCCCCGTGGTTATCTAACAAACACAGTACAGTCAAAATATGCCATCCCAAAACTGAAACAAAATGAAATGGTTATGGTCGGGAAGAAAGTGTAACCTGTGAGAGCAAAATCTGGGGACGTTCCGTTTCATGAAATTTTCGCATTTTACATCAGTTTAAAAAATAGAAAAATTGCATCGATGCCAAAATGCATTCCGGCGTGGACTTAATCGTTAATAATTTGTCAGTCGAAGCAGCTGTTGTTGTCAATTCAAGGAAAAGTTTGCTGTCGACACTTTAAATGGCATCTTAAAATTATGCTTAAAATGTTTATTGAAAATTTAGGTCACCTAAGAAATTTTGTGCTTTACCACTTTTTAAAAGTATGAACCGAATTTCAGCCTCAATAGTTATGTGTCGCTCAAAGGCAGGCTAGGCAATTCTGAGAAATTCCGCAGCTAAATCGATCTATTGTAAAATAATGACTTGTATTGGAAATTTCTTCCAAAGCTGGGATATATCATTGAGAGTTTTCCTAATGTTTTACTTTATCTATTTAAAAGTGAATTTCCATGTTACACATTCATTGGAGAACAACTGAAAACTATCGAAAATTCTCATCAATTAGTATTATGGTTATATCGACGGGGAGCTCGCTAAATTTAATTTCAAGCCAAACCGAGTTCCACACGTAAAATGCTATTGGCAAACTCCTCCCATTAAGTCTTATTTCTTCAGGCTCATTTATAAGTCCTAGCGCCATACTCAGTCTGATTCCAAACACTTATATTGGTTAACCACACTGAGCCACAACGAACCCAGACGATACACTTAACATCGCGATAAAACAGGATTAACCTTGACTTTGCTTGCCACAGCGTGCAGAGTTTGTTACAAAATTCACGCTTACTCTACTCATCCAAATACAAACCCTTTAGAGCAACCAGAGAAGCAAACAAAAGCTACCTCTTGTTGATAATGTGAACTCGTCAAATCATGAGAAACAACAAAAAACCTATTAAACTGTTTCGAGTAGGTTTGCCATTATTGCTACTAGCTCTTTCCAAAACAATGAGATCTAAAAGGCGGAAGGATGACAAGCAAGCTTAATTTTTTTTTCTTCTTTGAGATGGATGCAGTAATGAAATGGAATTTTCCATCGGGGTTCTTATGAATTATCACATTTCTTGTTACAGATGTAAATCATGTGCCTTTTTTATTAATAATTTTATTCTTTAAGTCGTTTATAATATTTACGGATATTTTTCAAAAACAAGATAAAGATGTCTGCTAAGTGACGACATTAACTCGTCCGCATTTGTAAACCAGATTTGCCAAGGTGCGTCATTTCCGCACGCATCTTTATTGAAGGAAGATTTTCTTTCACAGGAACACGTTCCTGGAATGAAATCTAATGAAGAATGAGACATGTAGGAGAATGTGTACAAGAGCACCTGGATACTTGTTCTACGCGGCAGTCATTTTCGCAACGTGCTGCCGAGGAATATCGGCAACGGGTATGCTCTACTTTGAAGTTATTTCACGCTAAAAATCATAAACTTAATCACAGATACCATATATCAATTCTCGATTCGCGTTTTATAACGCTTATTCACAGAATGATTAAGTTGACGAGATGATGACGATTCCGGTTGTTGTTGTTGTTGTGTTGTTCATGATACTTCTTCTATTTCAATTATTTTCCAAATGATTTTTTGTAGCTGAGACGCACGAGTTCCGCCTTCTCAGGGATCTTTTCGAACATTACGATAAAGAAGTGAGACCAGTCTTCAACACAAGTAGCCCTGTACACGTCAAGTTTAGTTTGAGTTTGATACAAATTATATCAGTGGTAAGTGAACCGGTGTACAATTCTCTTTAAGATTCAGGAGACCAAACGTTTACGTTGCAAGTACTGTCACCCTGACGAATTCAAACAAGCGTGCTTTAACGAAAATACCGCGGAAAAAATTTGTACGGCAGCCATTTCCTAGTTTTGAAGGAAAGAAAGAAATGTATAAGGCATGTTTCTCAGTTTTAAGTGGAACTGAATGAATACTTTACCAGTTCTTAACAGGTTTAGAAATGTGTACGGCATTTTTGCCAGTTTTGAGTGGAACTGAATGCATACTTTTATTACCAGTTTTTAACAGGTTTGGACGTGTTAATTGTTTCCGCGTTCAGAATTTTCTCGAAAATTCGTGTGAACCACTTTTACCACCTAAGACTTATTTTAAGCAAGAGATTACACTTTCTATCGGTTTACCAGCATAATAAACTGCTCAATGAATGTTGGGGGAACAAGAGAAAACTTTGTAGGCTCGTCATCCGGAATTGTTTCCAGCCTCTTAGAAAAGAGTTCGCCATTTTCATGTAAACAGTTACCAATTTTTCGAAGAGGTACTTTTGATAAATAGGAAATCAAAGGCCGACAGGATATCCTTAAGCGCTTGTGTAACCTAATAGTTTCCATATCTATTTAATTGAGAGATTTGTTTTGTACAAGTTTCTTTCAATCCTTCGTATGAATCCTGTCTCCTAAATTTCGAAGGATAAATTATCTTTTATACCACAATTACTAAGATCTTCCAAAAGATCATTTACACCTCATGTTCTTAAAGGGGAAAACAGATGAAATTGAACTTAAACGTAAATATTGAAGTTACTTATTATTCAAAATCAGTCTAATCTTCTACCTACAGAACAGCAAGTCTCAACTTCTGACCCTCAACGTCTGGATTAGACAGGTCATTTCAATTCTTCATGTTCACCGCACAAATTTTCGGCAGTTAAAGAATGGCCATAAAAAATCTCTTTCTACACAATATTACACATCAAGAAGTTCCTCTAGAATGATGCAGCAGATTGTCACTGTCTCTTGGATGAAGATGAACAAGTATCCTAAGAAGGAGATTTTAACTTTACTTCCCACCATTGCCGGACTTTCGCTGAAAATTCATAGACTTCTGCATACTTGTCACAAGTCGACTACAATAACCAAAAATTAAACACATATTTTGGTGGCGTTACCTGAAAAATGGTTGCAATGGTTATGGGACAGAAAAAAAGAGAGAAAAATTAAAAAAGAAAGGATAAGAGAGAGAAAGAAACAAAGAAACAAAGAAAACAAAGAAAAAAAAACAGAGAAAGAAAATAAAGACAGTTTTAAAGGAGAAAATTAAGGTATATGCCAAATAGCCTGAATTCAAAACTGACATATTAAGTTAAATATGTTTTGTTTGTGCATTTTTTCTACCAGAAATGGATAAATCCAATGTTAGGATGGAACACATCCAAATATGGTGGAATAAAATCAGTAAATGTGCACCCTTCCAAAGTATGGATACCTGACGTCATTCTTTATAATAAGTAAGTAGGATTCATTGTAAGATGTGGTGTAGTCTTTGTTCTCAGTTCCACGAAAACTATGGCTCTTTACAACTTAATACTCATAAAATGCAACCTTCGTTTTTCTATTTATTGATTTTTTTCTCCCTTTGCCACATGGCCAAAAAATTCCGAACCATACACACCACGAAGCCGGACATTGAACCGTTTGCCCATGGTTCTCCTATGGAAATGTAGGCCTATCAACCGCTATACAAAGATCTAGGTAGTTGAATTTTACGATTCAAATCAAAGGTTTTTCAATTTAGTTCATAAAAAGACATACTTTTCCCTCTATATTAGTAATCCCGATTTGGGGGAAATGTTTGAGATGAAAGGTTGTAACTTTACGTACACATAATTTTATCTTCAGCGCTGATGACAGCAACGGAGGTGGACTAGAAAAATATAAGACTGCTGTAATTTTGTCTGATGATGGAACAAATGAGTGGAACGCACCTGCGTCTTTTACAAGCACTTGTAAGATTAACGTGGCTAACTTCCCATTTGACAAGCAGAACTGTTCGCTGAAATTTGGCTCATGGACGTTCCAAGGTGACCGCTTGACAATGGAGTCGGAATCGCCATCCGCTGACTTAAAATTATACCTACAAAATGGAGAGTGGAACCTCATTGCAATGCCAGCGAAATTAAATAAAGTGTATTATAACTGCTGCCGATATCCCTATCATGATGTGACACTGAATTTGATCATCAAAAGAAAGCCTCTATATTATGTTTTTAACTTAATCCTACCCTGCGCTTTGATTTCCACACTTACACTGATCAAGTTCTTTCTACCGCCAGAATCTGGGGAAAAAGTCGGTTTGGGAATCACGGTGTTGTTAGCGATGACTGTTTTCTTGTTACTCGTAGCTGAGACACTTCCCGCAACTTCAGACGATGTTCCGTTACTTGGTCAGTATTTCATCGCCACAATGTTTGTCACTGCAATGTCACTTGTCAGTACATGTACCATTTTGAACTTTTTCCACCGTAGTCCGTCGACTTCACCAATGCCTCAGTGGGTCCGAGTTATCATTCTTGGCTACATGGCAAAAGTGTTTTGCTTCCCAAACGACAAAGAGGAGGAAATTAAAGTTACACCCAAAACCAAAAGAAGAAAAATCGAATTTGACTTAAACGGCGACGTTGTGTGCGACGACGATACGTACATGACAGTTCAAGAGCTCGAGAATTCATCCAGGTTTCGAGACGACATGTCCGTCATATATCAGAGTGGTCGAAGTACTCCAAGCAGGCGAAGTGCCCGCAGTATGAGTATCGTTGCGGGTCACAGCTCGTTCACTGAGAGGCTCCTCGAGGACATAAGCATTCTGGCCGACGATGTTCGTGCCAGACAAGAAGACGACAGGCAAAGGGAGGAATGGCGCATTGCTGCTCTCATCATGGATAGGATGTTTTTCTGGTTGTTCTTGTTCATAACTTCCCTTTCAACATTTTTAATTTTCTTCCGAGAAACCGTCATGGGTTGAACTGAATGAGGCGAAAAGAAAATAACACGAAGAGAACCTTAAGTCAGTAATTTCGAACTTGATTTACAAACTGATCCCCACAATGCCCCAGAACAATTCAGAAATAAGTTCATGAAATATTGCAAAGTGCTGTGCATAGGCTTTTGGCGTATCTAAATTTTTCAAATGCTTCTTTGTGTGGTGCAGATCGCACATTTAATTTCTAAAGTAAGCAAAACTAGTTGTATGTGGATAAACAGACAAACTTTTTTCGCGTCACGCAATATCTTTAGTAGCTTCGATTTAACTTGTTTAACTTGTTTCACTTGTTTAACTTGCTTATTATTTGATGAGTAGAAACAGACGCTGTGTCTTCTCAGTACTTCTTTGTTCATAATAATTAAGCTAAGATCTTTTCGAGGCTATTTGAATGAGTCAATAACCTCTTACAATTAGAAATGAAGAGAAATTAAAGCAAACTCTGCGTTTTAAGAGCGTTTTTAGAGATCAGATTTCAATGTCGAAGGAAACTAGTCAGTAGAGATATTTATGTGTTATTGTAGTTATTGAACGGACCCTTTTCCAAAATGGTGAGTGAAATTGAGAACATTTATCATGGAAAAAATAACCCTCGCAGAAGAATAACCACCAAAAGATTTAAATCTGTCTAAACAGAATCATTATTACAAGCATTTTCACCAATGGGCATAAGTTTTAGAACTTATACACCCAGCCTTAGCTTACAGTTATTTTTTCACTCTTCAAACAGCGCTTTCGCAACTGGGTGAACGAAACTTCTTCTTTCAGAGTTTTGGTAGTGAATTTTGCTGTAGATTAATTTGAAGGTCAATAATTAACGCAATAAATTTTCAAACAAAGTTTTGGAGAAGGGTTTGTTGAGTGCCTAACATTTCAATTGCAGTAGCAGTAGAGTTTCGACGAATCGCATCAAAGCTACTACATTTTGTGTGAACATGTTAGCCTTTCCCTTATTAAAAACTTATTCCGGATTTCTATTTATCAATTGGTGTTGGTGACTGTCTCTCTTCATAACCATCCCCAACTCTTTTCTGGTAAAAATTTGTCGCGTTGCTATGACGATGGCATGCCGCACCATAGCTCATTGTACATTCAGCTAACAGTATGTTGTCTTTAGTATTAAACTATGGCCAAAGGTTTCAAAGAAGTGGGGAGTATAAGAATGGATAAACAACAATGGATAAGACATCTAAGGATTGTGAATGCAATTTATTACAGATCAGACTCTGGACTCTATGGTTATAATATAAATAATGCAAAGCAGTCCTCTAAAGGAAAACATACGTCTTCGTTTTATAACTTGTGGCATAAATGTATTCACATATCATCTGTCAGATGTTGAAAAAAAACAGAGCGTATGCGGTGCGTTTTTACCTCTATCCTCTCTATAAAAAGCTGGAAACTATTCGGGGAAACCAAGCTATGTTTTTCTTGGTTGGGTGTATTCTAGCTTTTCGACCAACTCTTGAACGCTTCGGTCGTATTTTCTGTTAAATTTTCACTCCACTATCAGAAGAGTTTGTCGTCTTCTTTCCTGAGCCCTTGTCACTTGAAATTCGCTCGTCGGACTCGTAGTTATCATTGGTGTAGGACGGTTCGGGTTTTCTGAATGTCACCAATGACTGCCTCTTCTTAAATTTCTTCTCTTTATCGTCAATTAAGTCTGGTGCTACGGTCTCTAAAAGTCTTTTCAGATCCATTAAGTGTTGCTCCCGCTAAAAGAGGAAGAAAAATAAATTCAAACTGTTTCAGTAAACGCTGCAGCAAAAAGAGTGCGCATGCTCCGCTGCTCGAGCTATTTGAGCGTTCAGGGCTACCATTCTCCCTCTGCAAACATATGCACACACGTAATTTTTCTCCAGGTGGGTTGCACTGAGGTTATGATAACGAAAAGCGCTTTAGCAATAACAGATGCTACAAACTTTATAGCCTTGTTACAGCTGCTCTACTTCGGCCCCCAAACTCACACCTGTTACCAAAATGTTTTTATTTTAAGTATGTTATATGACGGAGGTGTCTCGACGGAAACTTTCCTGAAAACGTTGACCTTATCTGTTTCGGTTTGGGCTTATCCCCACGAAATGAAAACGAACACATGGAATTTTAAGAATGCCACCAGTTTGCCTCAACTGTTACAGTGTTATTATGGAAGTATCCTTGTTCCTATTCCCTTGCAAATTTAAAGGTTTTTTCGAGAGTTATTAGCATATGCACTCATTTTGATAATAACCATATCATATCATAAAGAACATTTAAGACCATTTACCAACGCTTGATCATAAATTAAACAGTCAAAACCAGCCCCTCTGATGCTTATTTGTGGTAGTCGATATAGCCGTTTCGCTTCAGAACTTCTCAATACTATTTAGAGACTGATATCATTTGGAACAAGCTATGCGGAAATTAATAAAGCGTGTAAGTTTCTAAAGAAACTGTGATGTTGCGTCGGTGGGAGAGTGTAACAGGTAATTTAGTGTTAATAACTGAGTTGAAAACATAAATTGGCCACCATAAAGAGTTAAGAGGTTGACATTTCGAGTGTTAGCCCTTCGTCAATCACTCTGGAGAAGGGCTAACGCTCGAAACGTCAGCCTTTTAACTCTTTACGATGGCCAATTTACGTTTTCAACTCAGTTGTTAACACCAAATTACCTGCTATGTAGAAATGAAATTTTGATGCTAACCTCGGCCAACTGTTTCTTTAGCTTTGAGTTTTCCGTGGTCATATTCACTGCATTCTTGTCCATGGTTGAAAGAGAATCTGGATTATTGGCAGTGCTTTTGCGTGTATTGCTAGCCTCGTTTCCACCATCAGGTGAACACAGCTGTATAACCTTAAATGAATAATTCAAAGCTATCGATATCATTCAGGAAATTCATGTGTTTGCCTACGATAGATCAGAGAATCACAACGGCCACCCCCTTCCCCTATTAATGAAAGGGAAAGAGGAACAAAAAAATATTCGCCACCCCCCCTCTCTCTCTCTCCCCCTCCCTCTCTCTCCCCCTCTCTATCTCGTTGCCAGCTTATTAAAAGCTGCGGCATTAAATCCTATATTTGGAGGCGTTTTTAGTAAAAACAATTATTCCACTCGCGCCTGTTGGATATGAGATGATTATAGCCAATTTGGCACTACAGAATATCTATCATCTCATATCCAACAAGCGCGAGTAGGATAATCATTAATTAATCTAGTATTCCGTTTTCCATGTTATTGCGGCATGGCTATCCTTTACTTACAGTTATATGTACAATCTACAGCATAAGTTTAGGGACATAGCTGAGTTAAATGTTTAACAGTTATACAGTGTTGTATAACTGTTGTTTTAAACGTACCTTTGGCACAAATACAAAACAGAGGGTCAGAGTTGTGCAAAAAATGATAAATACGGCTGTTATGGCAAACGTTGCATCTTGATGATCTCGAATAACGGAGGTGATAGCCACTCCGAGAATAGAGAGTATTACAACATTATAAACAGACATCCCTAAAAGAGATCAATGAAAAGTAAAGAAAAACAAGTACATTAGCTGGCGTTACACTACAGTATTTATTAATTTTTTCATTTATATATTCATTCATTTTGTCCACTCGTGACGTTGTTCTATTTCGCTAACGAAAATGAATTGGTTTAAATATCGATAAGCAACACTGGGAAAATCTGAAGTCATTTAGATTTAGATAGTTACATGATTGGAGCGTAATATCTCGTTTTTAACAAACTATAGAAAAGATGTCAAATTTAGATTTACAGCTACAGTCGAACCTCCCGACCACCCGAAATATCAAGTCTTGGTGGTCACTTAAGGAAGGTGGTCGCTTATCAGAGGTCAGAGCATGGGGTTCATATTTCGGCTAATTCTGCAAAATGGTGACCTGACCCTTTCGCCAACGCTTATCGAAATCTATAGGAACAACTTTAAACGGCTTGTTGAAGGTAAAAAAGAAATTGCGATCTATGGTGATTGTTTTATATTTCGGGAAACACTACGGGAGTTCCATTTAAGCAACATCTACATTTGTTGAAACAATTTTCAGTTTCCGCTCATGAGTCTGTTAAGTGGTCGCCTACGGGACGGTTAAAGAGAGTTTAAAATTATGAACAAGCATCTCTAAAAGTGGTCGCTTACGAGAGGTGGTCACTAACGAGAGGTACATGGCCGCTTACGAGGTGGTCGCAGAGGATGGTTCCGACTGTGTGCTATTGCCAAATCCTAGAGTTTGATCATAGATGCCGCACCAAATCCAATCAGTAAAAATCTCCTTGTTTTCAGTAAAAATTTTCCGAGACGCTTTTACTTCGATATTTCCGTAGGTAAATCAGCCAAAGCAGAACTTACCAATATAACGCGAGTCGTTCAAGGCTGGAATTGTAACCGCGCGTGTTTCCCACGCGAGAAAGACTCCAAAGACCAGTAGGAGGCCTTTGAAAGCGTACACAGCTCCCAGCCAATAGGAAAGGTTCTTCGATTCACAATGCTCCAGCTTAGGAATGATTTCCGTATCGTCCTCCAGTCGCATCTAAGTAAGAAAACTATGCCTTTAGTTTAACACGATCTCATTTCTTTTCTTTTTTCTTTTGTTTCTCTTTTTCATTTCCTTTTCGCTTTTTTCTCTCGATCCGATCTACCAAAGTAACTCTAATGCCGACAGTTTATAGGAGAAATTAAGGGAAACAAAGATTCAGAGAGTACAAAGGGAAATAATTTCAGAATCATTTGCACCTTCACTTCTGCTACAATTACCCCGCATTGTGGAGGAACAATACCACACCTCGTCTATAAATCTCTGATAGCCTGTGTGCATTGGCTCGATCCCACTCCACAAAGACAAGAGAAGAATATCTAACAACACAATGGCTCCAACTATCAGGAACAAATGCTCATCACGAATAACCTGGGAGAAAAAAAAGATTAAAGTTCGACTCTCATCACGATTAAAAAACTGAGGCAACGATGGGGACAACGATGCAAACAGTGTCAACAATTTGTTCGAGGTTGGCAGAGTGGCAAATTCAAAATTAGAGAGTGGAATGTGGAATGGGAAGGAAGGAGGGGGGGGGGCCTGAAAAGCAACCTTTGTTGTTGAAAGCTGGTAAAAGGGACTTAGTAATGTTTCCCACCACACTTCTAGTGCGACCCTACTGGTTCACGGAAGATCAGAATCTTACCTTCTTCTTGGGAGTTATACTTTTAAAGATGGCATGGACACGCCATGTTTTAGCGAACATTGCACCAAATGCTAGAGTGAAGCCAATGGACATGACCCAAGCCCGAGCCTTGACGTAAACACAAAAATAACGATGATATATAAATGAAATTAGTCAGTAATCAGCAAAATTAAGGGGAAATTTGACTTTTACAGAAGTTTAAAGGCTCACTCGAATTCTATTGTCATAATAGCTAAGCTTAACCGAAGCGAGCAATACTTAATTTCAACTTCTTTACACGCCAATCCTTGGATAAATCCAGTAAGAAGTTAGGGGAAAGTTTTTCACCACAGAGAGAAATTAAAATATTTTCACTAAACGGCGAAAACCAGCCGATTGCAATTTTCTTTTTGCCGTTTAGGGAATGGTCTTTTTATACACTGTCACGCTAATTCGTGGAGAGTAGTTATACTCCTAATCTCTTCATGCCATGGAAGTTGGAAGGTGTGGCCGAGTAGGCTTGAGTGCATACACACTTTACATTAACCAATTTTTCACTAGTTTCAACTTCCAACCCTAGCAATTAACAGATATATCAACGCTTACAATGCAGACTTTTCCGTATTCCTCAGTAGATATCAAGCCGCCGTCCAATCCAAATAGAATCACTGAGAAATAAGTCATCATGCAACCCACCACGATAACGTTGTTGAGGCGAGGGCTAGACATCTTTATTATCCTGTTGGTGTAAAATAATACCATTAGCCAGGAAATTAACTCACAGCAATGTCCAGTAGGAGAAAGAGAAATAAGCCAAATTTTTCCTTTTGAAATTCTTTTCGCATGCCTTAATGCTTATAACTAATTAACGTCCTATTCTCTCGAAAATGAGCTCTCTAATGATACCGTCTTTCTTCTAAGTCAAACGCTTCCCAATTAGTATATGCAAAATTGATACAAAGGAATGAATTTTCCCTGACGCTCTCTCCTAATCTTTCGACTGTGGAGGCCGTCATATCGATAAGCACAATCTTTAGAGCAACAATCCTTTTTTGATGTCTGACAACCGCTTGCAGACGTCCGATACCGATATGTAGAACCTGCAAAGTCCAGGATATTGATAAATTACTCTGGAAATTTCTCTGAGCTTTCTGAAGTGAACTAGTCCTAATATTTGTAGGTATGGAAATACTGCCTTTACTTTAAAGAACAGTTAGCTAAATATTTCGTTAAAATAATGTCGTATCTATAGCTACCTTCTTTCTCGATACCAAAAGTTTATTATGAGAAACACAAGTCCAAGGAAAATTCCAAGAACAGCTAAAGTTGCCATGAAGCCATAGAGTGCTCTAGAAATGAATTTCAGCTTCTCGCTCGTGATAGTACGGTCTCGTGGTGGTCCGCCTCCATGAAATAATAAACCAATAATTTTAGGAATGGAGTATTTATCCGTGTGAGGATTGCTTCTTGAGGTCTATATCATAATTATGGTCTTCTTCTGCTATGATCTCAGCTTAACAGTGTAAGGTTATGTAGGGATAAAAAGCTCACACAATGAGCTCAAAAAGTTTGAGAAATATTTGTAGATGATCTGGTCATTGTAACTAATTTTCATCATTTTCGAGAAAAAAAGAAAACAAGCTCCAAGGTCATGGAACACACGAAGTACTGTCCATAAACATGCAATCATTAAAATTATTGGCCAGGGTAAATTTTATGAAGCTTCCTATTCCAACTCCAACACTAAAACCAATTTTATTGATCTATACAAAGTAATATCAGATCTAACCTTGCCACCTAATAGGTTCTTTCTTATTCATGATGACAGAATCAGTGGCGGGGTCGTAGACAGCAACTCGTTTGCTTTCACCACCTTCATTTACAATCAAAATAAAATGATCTGATTACAGACCTCTAAAGATTTGATTGACAACGTGAAAGGTCAAATTATCTTAACACAAATTTCCTCTCGTAAGTGGTTGCTAAAATTCTTTTGGTTTTTGTTTGTTCGTTCAATGTTTCTTTTAACTTTGTTTTGTTATTGATGTGTTGTTGTTGTCGCTGTTGATGATGTTTCTGTAGTTCTGATGTTTCTTTTTGCTTTGTTTTTTTGTGTATGTTTTATGTTTCTTTTTGTACATTCTTTTCTTCTTTCAAAAGTTAGTGAAACTTGTAAGGCGTTTTATTATGACGTTGTTAATGGCAAAGGTTCATTGAGGTATAACATTGCAACTCCACACTAAAATAAAAAAGCCGAGACCTCAAGATTTTTTAAAGACAGAAAATTCCGTGTCTCTTAAAATTGTTTAAACTTGATGAGGTGTTCAAGCTTACCAAAAGCGTTCTGAATAAGATTTGCATAGCTATGTATACTCTTAGTTACAAAGGATACCAATCGTACCCGTCCTACCTTGTAGCTGTTCGATTTGGATGTATCCAATTCTTTCTCCATTCTCCGTGAAGGACACGGGACCCTAAGGCAAGACAAATCTACCTTTTAATTTATGTAGCATAGGGGAAAAACCATTGAGGACTGTGTAAAGGAGTGGAGGGTAATTTTCTCCTCTTCCCCCCTCCGTTTTCCAGCAAAGTTAGATAATTTAAAAGACACGATGTTTGTGAAATGTTGACTGCCTTTCGTTAATTCCTTACCGTAACACCCAAAAAGCTGGTGTTCTTAAGCGCTTCTTGAACGACGTCTGCCATTTCTTTGTCTGTGTAAGTGAAATTTTCCAAAAATTTCCCACGGTCTGTGATACCAAGTGCAAAGGAAGAATCAAAGTTTATTACGTTGTTGGCTACTGGAAACTTAAAGAATAAACGGTAAACCCACCTGCAAGCCGCTGTATGGATTTGTTGAGGGCCAAAGCGATCGCCCAGGTTGCGTCATATGCAAAAGAGGACTCGTGAACTGCGCTTATGTTAGTTAAGTTCTTGAATTTATTTGCATATTGTTGAGCAGTCTAAGAAAAAATGCAGCAAAATTGACATCCAGCATTTCAATTCAAAGTGATGAAGATAGGTTTTTAATAACAATACCGTAAACGTGATATCCTTATAAACGAGGTAATTATAAGAACCGAACGTGTTTGACATATAGGAAAAGTTCCGCCACTTCTGTACTGTCTTCGTTAAAAACTTAATCTAAATAGGAAAGTGGCTCATTTTTACCTTAGTTAGTATTTAAAGGGGCCTCAATGAGTCCTAACCGATTATAGAGTGCAAATGGACCAATCCTATGTCGTTACTTGAAAATTACCCAGATTTCGAAATTTTATGAACATCCGGCAGAAATGATGTCATCTGAGGTTAGCGGAAATGACGTCACAGAATGACAGAAAAGACCAGGGCTGCGCTCAGCCAACTTTACAAGTGGTAAAAATTTTGTTGATCTGGTCGCGGCTCAGGACAAGACCAACAAACTGAAATCGTGACCAGGTTTTCTTTCAATGAAACGTATCAGTAAATATTATTGACGAAACCATAACATTTTAATTACTACTTCTTCAGTTGGCGATTGTTTTTGTTGTAGAGTACTGAGACGGTCTCACTTTGATTTCACACGGAATGACTTGTAAAATTACTACTTGGCTGATCGCAGCCCTGGTCTTTTTTGTAACTCTATGACGTTATTTTCTCTAACCATGTGTGGATTCATTTCCGCCGGATGTTCTATGGCCGCTAAAAATTTCAAAACGTGGGTAATTTCTAAATAGCGACCTATGATCGGTCCATTTACCCACATGGCACAAAATAGTGCTCTATGATTAGTTTAATGAGCCCCATTACTACTCTAGTCCAACTAAAACATTTGGTATCCGAATTGATGCGACATCCAGATCGATATCATGATAGTTTTTAAACTACTTTCACTTCCTTTTATTTTCAAATTTAAGGCCTCTTTATTTCGCTAAGAGATTACTCACCCAGCCAGATATAGTCTTGTTCTGAGAAGTTATGTCATCTTCATTGAGCTTCATATGATCTGTCGCAAGATATCCTTTCACTGCCTGGCTCATCTCACTTGGAGAGCAATCGACATTCTCCTCATCCAGTCGTTTCTTCCACCAATTGTCATCGTACCACCCGATGATTATCCATACGAATCGCTCGCCAAACATTTGTTTTTTGTAAGCCTAGAAGGGAAGTGGATTTAGTACTGAATTTCTGTGATAACAACTTAAGCGAAATATGGGCACTGGGAAGTTACGAAATACGTCAAAATTATAGATATCCAAATCGCTTTATCATAACAGCTAGTTGTTAAACTGACTTTTCGGTTGCATTTTTGCGTCACAAAAATCGAGCTCGAATGAAATCTTCATGATGAGTTAATTACAGGTAATTCAGTATAAGTTATATAAAAATTAACCGATGGTGCAGATCAGACCACTGAAGGAAAATTACGAACTGAGAAATTGTTCATTTGAGCTGGTCTTTTGACACCATCACCACGAAAATGAAAGATTGAAACTTTCTTTACAAACAATCTCTAATGTGATTTGAGGCCAGTTTTATCGAGCGTAATATATAAGCTTAAAAAGTCAGAAAATTACCTCGCAGAAAACTTGTCTTGCACCAGACTCGTAGAAACTTCCGATGATGATCCTCGCTCCTTTTTCCTAGAAGTAAAAAGTTACTGTAATTAAATTTCCAAAAAACTCAAAAGTTACAGCCAAATCACGGTCAACGATTACTACTCCGCAATAATAACTGTGTTACCATGATGTTCGCTAACTGGCGAGCTGGTTTCCCTGTGAAGCTTTCTCCTGCTACAACCTCAACCTTCATTTTAGCAAGTAGCTTATGCAGTTCTTTTGTGGGCTAAAAGGAAAAAATCAAACTGGCAGTTTGTCTGTGACCCTTTGAATCTCTATCGAAGTGGAGATAACCGCATTTTATTCTTCACTCAGGGTTTCCTAATCATTAAATATTGAGTCATTAAATATCATGTTTCATCTATTCATTTGTTCATCATAAATGATTGCAAGTCTAGCAGTTCCTTTGATGCTGATAGAAGAATAATCTTGTTTAGCAATGTAGCACTTACTTTGTCTGCACACAAGTTAAAATATCGTGCGCCGCAATATGTAATAGCCATACCTGTGAAAATATTCCCGATGGTTCGTTCTGATGTAGTGTGGCGACTCTTTTCCAATCGTACTTGGACAAGAGCGCGGCACGTGCTGGGTTGAACGCTAAGTCTGACGAAATAGTGCGGAAAAATCGAGGGTAAAGTTCACGGTTGCTTAAAGCTGGAGACGTGGACGCGTAGGACACCTGAAAACCAACCACGGAAATCAGAACTTTTTTAGAGGCCTTCTATTAAAAAAAAATAGAGATTTTTTTTTCATGTGTGTTTGATATCGCCAATCAGCTGCTGACAGCTGCTAACACGTCACTCGCCTTTTGCACCAATCGGTCAGGTTGATTAATGAACGACCAAGGCCTTCAACATTCTCAATCCATGGTTGTTTGTCGGAATCTTCGCGGATTATGGGTGCTAAAACACTGAAAAATCCGTATCGCCTACAGACAGTGATGTTCAAACTTTCTTAGATGGAGAAGAGCCAAAATACAAAACGAAAATCCGAAAGTTACGTATTTGTTGGCTTTGGTAATGGTAGTTCTCGTGGCCGAGAACGAAAATGACAGCTGGAAGATTTGCCAGAGGCCGCTTTTGGCTATTTACCTGAAGATTTCTTCTGTTGGTAAGGACAAAGTCAATAACTAAGAATTTTGTATCTTAAAAATTACACCTATTTTTGTTTTTTGTAGTAAATCAACGCATTTTTTCTTCTTGAGCCTTAACGCCGACGCGGTACGATTTTTATTCGGGGATTGTAGAACATTTTACTTTTATTTAAAAATGAAGTCAAATTTTTTGTCAGTAAAAAGCTATTGTGTTTATATAACAAAGCCTTCGGCTCGTGCTTCTCGACACTTCTCGCGTGTTCTTAAAAATTCTCAAGTGCTTAGATAACTTAACAATGCACTCGGCGAGTTTTTTATTTCTTTATTAATTATATATATATCAAGCAGAGGAACCGAGAGAGAAGTTGTCCATAACTTAACAACAAGATAAGCTCATGTTTTTGTTTTGTTTTGTATCGTTTTTAGAACTGCACATTGTGGGGCTACTCACACTTATCACAATATCACGGAACAGATAGCGAGTTGCGTTATAAGAGTTTATGCATTTATGATGTATGATGTATCCCGCGACGGCTTTTGCTAGTGTTTAAAATCAAACTGTATTTATTTATTTACAGTTCAAGATATGCTCAAATCTTACCTGTACTAAATTCCAAAATTTAGCGGTTTCGGCTATCGGCTGAGAGACTGGAGAGAAAGCTGCCCCGAGAAGCATTATTTTGTTCGGCTCTTTGTAGATGTGGTCGTATAGCATATGCATTCCCACTCCAGGGTCACACTGAAATTGTCAAATAAAATCCATGAAATACAAGATATTGGTCTTAAGATACACCAGAAACAATTTTGGAAATCAGTGTGTATCAAAGTTACCCGGCCTGAAAAGGTTTTTTTTTCTGTATTCTTCAAAGATGCTGCGCTACTCTCACGACTAATAGGATGAAATTAAAGCAAGTCTCCACCTCTACGTTCGCGCTTTCGCACACTTTAAGCTTTTCTCCGATTGGTTGTGGTGGTTCCTACAGTTAACAATTATTCACCGAAGTGAAGGTGAATAGCGCGGGCGAAAAGCACTTTTCTTTTGTGTGATATACTAATTGTAATTATTGGCATATTTGATTTAAAAGTGCTTTTAATCGGTCAGGAATTCACAGTAATTTAACACAGACAGACCTTTGTATCGTTCAATACCATCTCCAGTCTATATCCAGGTAAGACATCTTTTCGGTTATTGATTTGTTTCAGAGCTAAATCCATTACCAACTTAACAGCAAATCCACCGTCCCAGCAAGGTCCGCTTAATGGTGAATAGGAACCAATCGTTAAGACTTTCAAGTCATCAGACGAAACTACAAAGACAGTAATCCAAGTAAATGTCATTAATAATAGAAGATTTCCTTAGAGAACATGAAAACATTAAAAGCCTCAGTGGAGGGTGACTGAGAAACTTTATATATTCATACTTTGCCAAAAAGAGCTCAATATAAACAAACAAAAGGATCCTTAAAAAAAACCCTGGAATATTTTAGAGTACGTCAGAATACTGACAAGCTTTGATGATGTCTGGTTTCGAAAATTGCTGTCAACTTATTCCAGCTCGTTATGCTTATTATTATTATTCGCAAATAACAAAGAAATTCTGTCGCTATATTTGGTTCCATTTTCTCCAGCTTCATAATTTCTTTGGAAACTCTGGTTCGGTAAGTTATAAACGAAAAAGCGTCAGGATGGCTCAGGGATTGCTAAAGATGAAGAATACTAAAAAAACAAATACGAATGGTAACTGGAGGTTCAAATTTGAATTTTAAGCCTTTCACGACGAGCAAACTACAGTTTAGTCCTTAATAAATTCTCCTGTTGAAAAGCCAGAGAAAGTTTAAAGATTGCTTTTGCCACGAGATACCATGCTACTGGGTCACGTAACGCAACTAGAATCTTCGCTATCGGATAACAGAGTTTACTTCAGTCATTAGAAGACATGCACACAACCAAATTTGCAATCTAAGATATCGCGGTAAAAAATTCCCATCCAACAACGTTGCCTTGTTTTACAATTTCTACAATAGTGTACATGTCACTGGAACGTATTGTTTGAAAGGCATACACCACAAAAGAACAACACACGAGACTAAAGAAATGATGTCGTTGTTAAGGTAAGACGAAAGTTTACGCTTTCGTCCTCCGGATTTGTTTCAGTTGTCACTCACCTTCGCTCAAAGTACAACATAAAAAAACGAACAAAGATTTCGCAAAGACTATCCTCAGATCCGTCATGTTTTAGGACCAATTTCTAATTGCCTTCACTCGATACAAATCTGTGGTATTTTAGCGTGACTAACCCAACAGGGAAGTTTTAGTGTTCATAATCCAACTGTTATCTTTCTCCAGGAGAGCTTTTAGTAATATATGCCACATGTACAGCAAACGAAAAAAGTCAGCGCAGTGAAGCTTTCCCATCCAAGTGAACTCATTCAAAACAGACACTGTTGTGTTGTGTGATAGCATTCCTTTTGCACTTTGTTGTCACTTTTCGCATAAATCCGCTTTCAAGCAAACGTATCTGTCATTCAAGCACCCTCAAGGTCATGTAAACATATAAAACAATTCCAATCTGACTGAGCTATTTAAGAATACCTTAAGGAGCCTTTTTCCGCCAAATTGCTTTGCTATTTTTACTAATATGGTTGCCATGAATAAGCCTCTGTAGTCTCCAGACTCGTGCAGGAAACAATGCGTCCGTCGATGAATCAGGCTTTTGTCCTAGTCTCAAGTCAATAAGGACTGAATCCAAATTTAATCTTTACTTTAGCATACCTCACGCCTCATTGTTTTTTAAAAATTATAATTAATTTACGGCAATGATACAATAGGCATCGTATGTTGAACACGATAATACCCGATACCACGTTTTCATATCCGCTAGACTGGGCTGGATTCTCCGTTAGTGAAACGAGAGAAAGAGCGGACGCGTAAAACGGAAGGAGCCGCTTCCATGGCAACCGCAACCACATTTTTCGCTCGAACATTCTTTCGCTCGACTCCATAGCCCTAAACAGTTTCCACATCAGAAGGCCACAGGCTCGAGGGTTTACGTGAATTCACAACGACATTTTAAGGGTTTATGTGAATTTTGTTTTGTTCATTTTCAATATATCATTCATGCAGTCTAAGGTTTATCAAGGTCGTCTCTCAAAAGGCATTAACTTATAATATACCCAGACACTTCTCGAAAGATGAGCCCACGTACAAAGACCGAACATGAAAGAAAGGCGGAAGTCGAGCCTGTGTCTGTTTCTATCTGATACGAAAGCTTTCCATAACGCCTTTCGTTGAAAACTTTGGGAGGGTTTTTCAGTAAAAATCACTAGATATGTTTCAGGAGTCTTAGGTTCATTGCAATGTCTTGTTTACATTTCGGTTACGAAAGCGGAACAGTGGTTTACGCCGCGAAATGTAATACCGACGCAAAGTAAATTAACGTTGATTTCTGGTATGTTGCGTTACTACATGGAGACGGTTTTATAGAAAACAATCCAAATGTTTTCGGCAAAACTAAAAACGAATCAAAGCGAATCGAAGGTAAAACAAAGAAAAATAAAATACAATTATTCAAATATTGGACGGTTTATTTATTAACCTTCTAGAAGTATTAAGAACTTCTCAGTTCTATGCAGTCTGGCTCGTTCTTATGCGTGATCTCTCACATTCCTTTTCAAAGCGATCTCTGTTTTCAAAAACCACTAATTCTCTAAATCATCTCCTCAAACTTTGCCAACTTCTTTGCCAACTTATTTCCTCCTTCTCAATAGTGCCAAAGAATGTTGGCAAGTTGACTCTTTCTTAATTGGCTTTAGCTCTAACGAGTCTTTCAATTTTTCTATTCCGTTTCTTCGGAGGTCTCAGGGGCAGCACTGTACCATGGACTTGTTTCATCGTAATTGTTCAAGTCGCAGTATGGTACGTCCCTGGTCATTATCTCCTCCAGTTTTCCCACCAAGTCTGCGAAACTTGGGCGAGTTGTTGGATCTTCCCTCCAGCATTCAGTCATCAACTCATATCTAAAAGTGACAAATATAAATGCAGGCGTTTACAACGTAGGGATGTCGCAATTCAAAGTTCTCACAAGGACATCGATGCACTAAATTTGACACCACACACGTATAACCGTGATTCCAATGCAATTCATTGCAGAGTAATAATCTGATGTCAAACACGTCAAACGATGGTCCTCTCTGTACGCCTGAGTAGAAGTCGCAAACGAACGCAGTAATTAACTTCGCAGATAACACTCTGGCAATAACTCTCTCTCAAGCAACAACGCACGAGGTACTATAGTAGCCCTTTTGATCTTAAGCGTCACTAATGTCTAACCCAACTTAATCTTTAACTTAACAACAGTTACAACAAAAGCAGTTGTGATTGAGTTTCGATGCAGATGAAGTTATTTGATTGATCTAGCAGGTGCCTTTTGATCGTCTCGTCTGATCGTTTGAGTGAAAATACTTCTTAGATGGACTTTTATTGGGGATAGTTACCGACGTTTCGATAAGCTAGGCGGAAGTCATCATCAGAGTTAGGCGAGGAGTTATTAGCCAATTAATCGTGTCTTAAAAATTCTGGTTGGTGAGAACTGAGCATGTGAGCAAAGTAAAACGGAGAAAACAAAAAACAAAAATAATAAATTTAAAAAGCGGAAAAAAAGAAAAAGAGCAACTGTGGAGATAACCATGGTAATAGCAAACACAGCTAACCATGACAAAGGCAAATGCATCAATGATATTTTTTAAAAATCATCCCCTAAAACGCTGTTAACCGTTACACAGTCATGATGCTTACACTTCATCAGAGCACATGTCAGGTCTCCCCATAAGATAACCTGTCTTCAGTAGCTTACACAATTGGGAATTAGTCAGCGTTGGGTATGGAACTCCTCCTGTGTAGAAGATGAGACGAAAATCACTACACCGGTAAAAAGGAAACAAGTCCAACAATTATTGAAACAAAAAGATTTCAGTATAGGTTGTAAAGGAAGCCACATTATTGGTTGATGTTTTAAGCACACGACACGATCTCCTTATCCATAGGCATGGATGGCAAAGGCTCTAAAATAATTCACTTACGGCAAGGTTGATACAAAGCACTATGAGGAAATAATAGGAAGTTATTTTCTCTTCAAAGCACGAAACACCAATGTATTCATAAAAGTACTTGCAATACCTATGACAAATATCGCAATTGTATATAATAAGCGTTAACATTTACCGTGCATTCAATTACAAAAAAAATGGTCACCGAATAAAACGGCTTTATTTGTCACGACGTGAAATAACTAACCCGGTTTGAATTGGACACACATACTATCAATCTATCATCTATCTACAAAAGCTGAGAAATCAAAGGGAATTTACCCATTGTAGCCATTTCCCATAAAAGCACTCCATAGGACCATCTGTGGAGGAAAAGAAGAAATGCCTCTTTAAAAGCTTTACACATTGCTTCTAATTCGAAAAAGAAATATCCCACCAATACTATGATAAGTTTAATTGATATTTGTTTTGCTTTATTTTTCTTGTCCAATTTCACGAACCTGATGATATTTAACGAAGAACATTTTCTTCGGCTTAAAAAACTCCTACACAGAGACGAATACCTACACATCACTTTTGGTAGTAAAAACACTGTAATAAATCGATTCTGGAGCCATCCATTTGATAGGGAGTTTCTTCGTCTTTTTGATGGTGTAAACGTCTTCATATACTTGACGCATCAGCCCAAAATCTGATACTTTAACTCGATTATCATTGCCAACCAGAACATTACGGGCTGCTAGATCACGATGAACGAAACCCCTCTCGTCAAGATGATTCTAGAGAAGAAAAAAAGAAACTGGTAAAGAACGGCATTTAAAAATTATTGAAGGTTGCTTTCTTCAAATAACAGTTTGAAAAATCTGGACCCATCCCTTTCTTTCTTTTTTGTAACTTTATTTGGTCTTCACCGCTGACTTTTCATATCGTAAGATTATTCAGGAGATTTGAGAAATAAACTTGAAATTCATTCTCTGTGGTAGTTCCCTTTGGTGAATCGCCTCTGCATAACATTTATAGTATTCTTTCTTTTCACGTGTCTTTTTTTTCAGGATTACAATCATACGTTAAACGGCAGAGACAAGGAATTTATTTCAATTTTTACTATTACAATTTGGTAGGGTAAATAACTTTGAAATAGAAATAACTGAAATATCAATAGAATAGTTGAGAGATATTAGTGAATGAATTAATGATACCATTCCTCTTGCTATTTGTGCAGCAAAAGAAAGCAGCTGCCATGTGGAAAAGTCCTTCTCTCCTACTTTTCCTTGTTCTGTAGCTTCAGTTGAAACCAACTGTGATGGCTTTATCTCTGACTCGGTTTTCTTTGATAAATGTAGAAAAAAGAAAGAAAGAAAATATAAGCTAGATAAACAGATAAGTCCCACAAGAACCTTATTTTGTTATACATGTACTGATCAGTTTATTGAAAGGTTTGCATTGTGTCCTGAGCCACACAGCCTACATCCCACTTTTGAGTGTTATAGAAAGAGTGTATAACTGGGGAAAAAAGCAAACGAACAATGAGCATCACTAGAGGCTTACTACGTCGTAAATTGAATGTTTCTCCCTCGTAGTCTTTCGTTTTACCTAATTTCTCTCCTTCAGTTAGATTTTATGTGCATATCCAATGTGCCATATTTTTGTTGGGCGCAACTCCATTTTTTTTTATTTGACTTACTCACTTGGCATTGATTGCTCTGTGGTTCTTTTTCCTCATAAAAATTCTCTGCTCGTTTTTCCTCTGAGGCCAGATACAGATTGATCTTAAGAACAATAAATAGACGTTTTTGAGAAATCAGAGGATCGCAGGATAAGAGAATAACAGAAAACCAACAACTTTCAGTATGCAATGTTTCTGAAAATGATTTGAGGCCTCGTCTGAAGTTTCATATTATCCAACTATCGCAAAAATTCTTAAACACACGCTTACGTACTTATCTGTCTCACTGGATTCTAACAATGAATTCAACTACTTGTGCATTTGCTAATGTCGAATATAAATCGTTTTTGTTTTTGTTTTGTTTTGTTTTTGAAGGGGAGAGGATGTAAGCATACCTGGATTGACTACATCACAAATATGAGTGAGAAAAGTGGAAAACAGGTTTTATAAGACCCTGTCATTTTAAGAAGCGAATGTCGGTCAGAAAGTTATGACTGAACTTGAAAAGACCATAATTTGATCCACAATCTTCTGGTCCTTGTGCAAAGATAGCAATTGAAGAAATTGAAAAATTCCAAGCTTGGAAATATATTATGTACTTGAATCAATGACTTCCGTGTACTTGTTAGTCGTCTCTAACAACTGAGATACGAAGCCTGAAGTTGAAAGCGAGCAGAAAAATTGTAGCAGCCCCCTTATAATGCCCCCTTGCAACTAAAATGTCTGGTTTGGGAAACTGGATCTAAATTCTACTGAATATTCATTAAACATTTTCCCCACCGATTGCCTTTTCTTTCGTAACCAGTCTAACAAGTCACCATATGGAACATACTCCAACACCAGGAATTTGTGCTTGCGCAGTGTGGAACATCCAACAAGAGACACAATATTCGGGTGTGCAGCTAACAACTTCATTTGGGATATTTCATTAAGAAAGTCTAACACTTGTTCCTCGCTTGAATCAACTAGGGAAAACATTAAGATGTTAGGTGTTTAAACATTTTGTTCCACGGATTTCCCTTTTGGAGACGCGACTGCCTTTGAAAATGTATACCCTCTATACTGAAGGACCATTAATTGGTGAAATCAAAGGTAAATGAAACTGAGCGAGTATTCTCAATTTTATTTCCATTTTATGTGAAATATAGCGAATTGAAATTTAGTTTCCATACCTCAAGCTTTATCCTTGATTCGTTTTGAAAAGTTTTCTCTCACGTATAAACCAACCTAATATAAAGCTTGATGGATAACTTTTAAAATGTGAAGTCTACATTTCCAAAAATATCGCCTCAACCACATAAATTTGGATGTTTCAGTGATGTTTAAGATAAAGTAAACTGAAGTAGAAAATTCGAAATTTGGAACAAAAATCGTCTAAAAAGCCTTAATAGGGTTTTAAAGTACCTTGCAATTCTTTTACCGCCACCACGTGGTTTATGTCATCTTGCTGCTGTTTTTTTCCAGGGTCAAAAATTTCAATTCCTTGTCGTTTCTTAAGAGTGGCCTTATAGACCACGCCAAAGGCGCCGCGGCCTAGCTCCTCTTCGTATTCTATTTCCTCAGGAAGAATTTCCCATTTGTCAAGTGCGATAATTTCACGCGTATGCCTTATTGATCTAAGAAAAACAACTACAAAGTCAGTCTTTTAAGATAACCAGATGTGGCTCCTCCTTTGTCGCAGATTGTTTGAAATTCTGAGGGGTACCAGGGATTAAAAATTTTATAACCTACACTTTCATATGGAGTATCTTTTCAAGACGCGTCTTGTGATGAAGACAGATTACTTTGTCGACTATTGGGTGGAAACGACCGTGATAGCAAGGAATGTGACCGTCGAGGTTCGTATGCACAAACTAGTGTTCTAAAAATTCCCACTGTCACGAAAAGAGCGAAATAATTGTTTCATATGTATACATCAGAAGTATTTTCTGTGTGTTTGACGTAATGAAAGCACTTCCGATTTACTCATTCAAGATAAACAATGGCTCGAATTGGATCGATGATTTGAAAACTGGAAAACATGCAAATTCACCAACGTCGTAAACCGCTACGTTCTCAAACATCCATGGAGAAGGCTAAAATGATCAGGCGAAATATTGTGTGCTTTACATTTGATGAATTTCATGATTTAAGTCAAAAACTATTACAACTAACAGGAAACGTAGTAATCAGCAAGTAGATTTAACCTTTTCATTTGCTTGTGATGTGACTTCCTGTAGCACCAGAAGCCTGTAATGAAGCACAGCACTACCAAGCCTGCAGCGGTAGCCAGTGATAAGTACACTATCGTGTTGTTGACCTTCGAGGGTACTTCTTCTCCTGTCGCTGAAACTGCAAGAAAATATGCAAATCTGTGTTCACAGGCTTTCCCTATTATTTCACCTTCATGTAAGCTGACAAAGTACATTTCCAAGAATGTTTTCCTCGTCAATTTTACATCAGCAGTGCAGGTGAAGAAAAAGGAAAAAAAAGACAAGACTATTCCGGAAAAGTACCTATGTCCGAAAGATACCAAACCAGAATTTTTAATATGGTGAACTGTCAAAGAAAAACTTGCTGATTGTGAATTTCCGTATGTTGTTGACTTTAAAGGATGTCTATTCAGGAAATGACATGAGCCTTAAGGGAATTCTGCACCGGCAGGTTTTCTTTGAGAATAACCGGCAAGTTTCCTGCCAACGTATTTGGCGGGTAACATCTCATAGACAAACGCTTTCGCTAAACCAAATTTAACATTCTAAGTTTAAACGAAGCTTTTCTTTAAACTCTCCTATCAATATCTTCTTCCTGTGTTGGTAAACTCAACAGGAACGTTTTTGCTCATGTTTACCTTCGTTGCAAAGATTTTTGCCACAACATCGCACTTGGCAAGCATCACTTGACTCAACGCAACCAGCGAAAAAATATCCAGTGTTGTTACAGTTTAAGTGATAAGTGCACCCATACCCAAAGTGCTTAGTAACGCTGGATCCATCCCGTGAGGTCTGTTGCATGGAGGCATGATAACAGCGATCAGCCCTTGAACTCATACAGACGTGTTCTTGGCGTCTTTTTTGGCATTCGTCGTGGGAAACCGTGCTGCTGCATTTGAAACAACTCAACTCCGATTCTACAATGAAAAAATTTGTTCGATTAGATGACTATATACAAAACTATTGCCAGTATTGTATTGTAAATAATCATGCAATTCAGCCTTATTAGGCTGCCATGCGATTTTTATTAAAGCTATCTATCTATCTATCTATCTATCTATCTATCTATCTATCTATCTATCTATCTATCTATCTATCTATCTATTTATCTATCTTGTTCCATGCATAGCACGCGTATATCGATCGAGTTATGGATGCACGCGGAAAGTTTGGAGAGTGCGAGAGAAACGCTTGCTTCTTGAGTCCTCCCCGAACTTCCCGAGGGTGTCCATGACTTGATATACGCACAGCTTAAGCAACAACCAATTCCTTTACAACAGAGCATGCCGACACAAGTTATGCTCGAAAAAAAGGGTTATTACAACTAAGTCGGGTTGAAAAGGTAATCGTGTCCTACCTATGAATGAAACGACCAAGAAATATTTCAAGACCAAATCTTTATTCAAAGAATTGTTAATTTTCTGCTCAGAAGCGAAAAACGAACGAATTTCTTGTATGCACGTGACCACGTAGTAGATTCAGCATGCTTGAATCTTTGTTTACTAAAATCTACGGCCAGAATATTGTGTAGGTTTGACGATGTTGTAAATTTTTAAAACTTATGAAATTAAAGGGTTTTTAAATCTTCTATTGAACAATACTTTAATATTAAAGGAAATATTAAAATTTAAAAATAATATCAACCGTCCGAAAAACGAATTTCTTGCATTTACGAGTCGCGTGTACACCCATTCCACAAAAAGTGGGCCCAATGTCACTTGGAAAATCGAAAAAAATCAGTTTCACAGAAAGTACGTGGCGAATCATTCAATTTAAAGCGCAAATATCGAAGAGTAAATACCTCAAAAATTAGCACCAAAGGTCATATATTTCCGTAGTTATGAAACATTTTATTGTACTTACTTGAAAATCACTTTAGGCAAAAAAAAAATCACCGATCTTTAAAATAATTTTCCACTTTTTAAGTTCTCGTTTTAAGTTATTCAAAATCAACGTAGTATATACTTAATACAGGGCAACATGTAAATAAAAATCATACTATTAAAGTGCTCTGCTCCTACAAAGAAGAAAATATAGAGATCTTAGGGTTAGGGTTAGGGTTAGGGTTACTGAACTTTACCATCAAATGGGGCACTTTTTCAGCTTCTTTAGAGGCACTCCGGGTTTGACGTTTTTGAGTGGATGAAGCTTCTGCTGCTCTTTCGATGGCACACTGTTTTTCTTTCTGTTCTTTCCGGTATTTTTCCACCCGGGCTTTTTGGTCCAGTCTTCGCTTCTTAAGGGCATTGTCATCCAAATTTGCAGCAGGTATGTAGGCTTTTCTTTTTCTTGTCCTCTCTCTTTCCACGTAATCTCTCCCTTCTTTCTGTTTTTACCTTTCACGGTAAGCCTTTTGAATCTCTGCACGACTTTTTGGCATCTGCGATCGTGTGAAGAGTAGGTCCAATTATGTCACGCAACGATTCAGTTTTATTATTTAAATACGCCGTTTAAAATTGGTTTATTCATAAATATCTCTAAACGCCTACAGCTTAAACATTTAGATATGATTATTTTTACGATATATTCTACTCTGATGTTCAAAATTTTCATTCTTGTGACTCCAAAACCCGTTTTAAGGCCCTAACAAGCCACTTCCAGTTTTTGTAACTTCCGTTACATTTTTACTGTCTGACAGAAAACGAGGCTTTTAGCCAAAAGAAAACGTCAATACAAATAAATTTTGTATGTACATCATATTGATACTACTCACCTTTGGATTTTGTCAATTTCGATGAACGACTGACAATGAAAAATTGAGAAATTTGTAACAAACGCTTCGGTCTTGGCGAATGTGTCGCAATACGGCAACGGAGGGGTTGTTGCGTAACACTGGAATGTCAATAATGTCAGTCATGTTTATTTTGCCGCGACTTTAGACAGCCAGATGATGTTCCAAAGTGCAACTCAACCAAAGGACGCGTATTTAAGATATTCCAAAATAAATGGTAACGGAAGTTACAGTAACGGAAGTTACAGTTTGAGATCTTTTGTGCCTCCACTTCTTTCCAAGACACAAGCCAGTTAATATAAGTCTGTGAGCTTACTGATTGTAGGTACCTTCGTACTTGCACAGAACATTTTGAAGCAAAGGAACTTTTGTTTTCGCTAAACACTGGTAACGGAAGTTACATTCTTAACCATACGGTGCTCTTCGGCCTCATTCAAAGGGAAGTCTATCATTGCCACTTGTAGAAAAGGAGGTGATGACTTAAAATATTGAAACTGCGATGAAACAATAAGTAATTGACGGTAAGAAGAGATTATACAGGGATTTCTAACGCAGTTAAATTACTTTTCTTATTTCGGTAACGGAAGTTACAAAGAATTTGTGGACATCAATTCTGTGACTACTAAAATCGGACTAATGCAGTGCACTATGAAACATCAAAATTTATTTTAAGTTCATTTACTATTGGACGGTTTACACATATCGAATGTTTACCCGGGGATCATTCAGAGGTTTATAATCAAGATGTTTGTTCTACCGTTCCATCGTGGACACTGAAAAAAAGTACTTTTAGGGGGTTTTGAGCTCCAAATGCAAAAAAATGGTATAAGATACATACGACTTTGCATTTGGGGCTTTGAACTTACCATGTCTACTCTACCTGGGCACTAAAAATGTACGGCTATAACTTTTCTTGTGGCCTCCGCAAAACAAAGACATTGAAAATGGCTATTGGGCCCACTTTTTGTGGAATGGGTGGTAGTAGATTTACCTGCTTGAATTGTTGTTCACTATAGTTTACGACCATAAAATTGCGTAGCTTTCTATTGAAAACTGTACGATTTCAAAACACTGAACAACATTTAGTGTGGATATCGACGCTTGAAAACAACATTTACCGTTCTAATGAAGAGTTCCCAAAGTCGCACAGTGTCAGTTGAAGTCAGAAAGCTCAGTTTTTTTTCAGCCATAATTCGCATTGCGTTTGGGAATGAAGTATAGTCAACTCCAAAATTAATTTCGTCGCTTGAAAGAACTTCATGCTCATTGTTTTTCTAAACGAGTATTATTTAGCATATCTACTTCTCATTTTGAGCCCTAAAAGTTCTATTTCAATGAGGATGTAACGGAAAAAATTTTGAAATCTTTGAAACATGCGGCTAAACACGACGGGAAGTTTCAGCCGAAGCGAAATTGCACACGTCGTGTGTTGGATGCACGCCCGTGCGGTACATATGGAGTTTTAGCATGGTAGTTCCATAGGAAGTAAGAGGCCTTGTGCGTGCGGTATCTTATAATATTAGATGATCAACTTGGTTATTTTTCTCAGTAGGGATGGGTTTTGACTTCTTATAAACTGAGGAAGAGAAATGATACGCGCATTTCGGCTACACTTAAAGCGATTCATCATACTGTTGTCATCATGTATATCTAAGTTTTGTATATTTTTTGTTGCAAATTTCTTCAGTAGAATTACTGTAACAGAGGTCAGCATTCTCTCATACCTTCATTTAAAAAAATTTGGTAGATAGAGTAATAGTAATGACTGATTGATCGAAATTAGCTTGAGATCAACGTATAGCAACATGTAACAGCAAGACTCATGAACAAGAACCTACATACAATAAAAGAAAGAAAATGAGAATGGAAAAAAAAGTTAAAGTTGTAATTACCTTTGTTACACAAGTTGTCGTCACAGCATTCCACAAATGATTTATCAGACGTGACTTTGCACTCTTCAGTTGCGGCGCACCCTTTGTAAAATTTTTGGTAGTTGACTCTGTTGGAATATTTGAGTTTGACACAGCGGTTCCTTGGCAACGTACAGGACACTTCTGTTTGCTTCCTGGCACAGTCAGTAAATGATACGTTGCTTGTGCAATGGTAACAGGTAATATCTGAATAAAAAAAAAACTTGGAGCTACATCATTTTCTTCTGCAAGATGTTGGCAGACATTTTGCTAAGTAACGAAGTGGTCTGACTATTCTTCACCGATTAACTAAAGTTAATTTCATACGTTGCAAAATCAGGCATTGAAGGGATTGAACCCATGCTATACCTCAAGTATACCAGTTAGGCGCCGTTACCAATGGGACCACGAAGCCAGATATTGAAAGGGGGAAAAACTGGCCCTAATATCAAAATTTGCCATCAAGGTGCACCATTAACATCTACCTCTTTGGTCCCCTCGTCATGTCAGGAACCTCTGGTATCCAGCCTTGCACTAGCCATGGGCAGAAACCTAATTTACGCTTACCTTTATTGCAGAGGTTGTTTTCACAGCATTCTACAGAGTCCTTCTTTTCTTTTGTACACCGATCTGCTGAGGTACATCCTTTGTAGAAGACGGCGGCTTGTTCATTGTCGTCTTGTGTCGAATTCCTCTCCTTAAAGCAATACTGTTGTGGAAATGAACAGTTGACTACAACCTGTTGGGCTTCGCAGTCGGTGAAAGACGAGTTACTTGAGCACTGAAAACATGCAATACCTGAGAAAAAAATGATCATTTGATTGGTCAACGGTTTGAAAGAACATTTGTTTTCCTTTTTTGTATATTTGCTATAGTACATAACGTTTTTTCTCCGTCATGCCTGTTTTATTGTACAGTACTTTTCAGTTGCGGATGCAGTTAGATTGCTTATTGGATCCAGTTTTTTCGTGGGAAAAAAAGTCAAATGCGATGTTTTAAGGGTATTGTTTCGATTAATTAATAAAAGGACTTAAATTTGTAATGTGTCGGCGATCAACAAATCACTTGTATGATAACAGGTCAAATCGGATTCTAGTCAGTCTGTTACCCGAAGAGGCTATCGCAATTTTTTTTGTTTTGAAGATCATTTTTTTTGCTTACCACTGGCCGGCCGTTCACAGATATACAGAAACCAACGATCGCACTTCTGATCTTTCCACAAACCGAAGTATTTTTCAGCACCCACGACCACGCAATCTTCGCTATCGTTCCAGTTGTCAGGCTGCCTCTTTGCCCAATTAGTGAAGTTGACGGTACTGTTATCCACTTCCCACACAAATCTTCCTTCGTGATGGATGTCACTGAGGCCAATCCAAACGTACTACAGAATAAAATGTCTTGCTTAAAAGCAAACCATCAGGGTGCGTCACAGCCTCATACACTGTGCAAAACGTTTATGTTATTAATTTAAAAATATTTCATCACACCCGAGTGATCCAAGGTAATTCAGAAGATGAAACAATTTGGGCGTGGTTTGACTTCTCAATATCTTTAAACTCGAATTTCTGAGCAGTATCTTACAAAACAAAAGCAAATCCGGAAATACACATCCTTTTTCAATTCCAGCAATATAGAAACTATTTTCCTGGAAGGTAAAAAATTTTACCGAAAAAGCACGAATAGTGAAGGGTTACCAGCGCTATTGCGTATGGACATAAATTGGGATGTTTGAATCACTGTGGGGGGGGGGGGGGGAACTTGATGGCTAGTGCCCAGGACTCCGAGTCAAGAGGTCCGGGTTCGAGATCCGGCTGGTTCAAAGTGTTATGTTCTTGGGCAAAACACTTTTCTCTCACAATGCCTCCCTCAATCCCGGAGTACAAATGTGTACCGTTGAATTGTTAGGGAAGCCTGATGAAATGCCGAGGGGTAACCTTGCTGTGGACTAGTATCCCATTTCAGAGGGAGTGGTGCTACTCCTAGTCATGCTGAGGAGACCGGGATAAGCTCCGGCTGGGTGAGTCACTCGGCTCAAGTGCACGTTATACTTTTACTTTAAAGTAAATAGCACTAGATTTCTATCAGCAGTCAACTATTCATTGATAACGTTAAGGGCTGTTATCGGTAGTAATGGAAATATTACCTCGTTTGTCGTTGTAAGTCCTGTGATCTGGAGGAAGACTTTCGTAAAATTGTTCTCGGGTGCATCGTCTATTTTTATCAAATACCCATCAGATACATGACAGTCCTCTTTTGCAGCTTTCCAAGACGAAACAGATTTACTTCCTTTGTAACATGACGAGCCATAAAAATACCAAGTGGAAGGACACGGAAGTTTGCCTATAGAGGAAGCAAGATGTAGTTGACACAATAAAGCTTGTTTGATTTTCTTATGTATATTTTATTCTTTCCTGAGACTGCACCGACAGTCCTCTCTAAATCTATACTTGACACCAATATCAATGTGATAAAGGGAGCACACTAACTCATTACAACAACTAATTCATTACAAAGAAAACTCTGTTTACTAATCGGGTAAATTATCGTCGCCTTGCGTTGTTGAAGAGCCGTGAACATTTCTGCTTTCGGTCAATCTTAACCCTTTGACTCCCATGAGTGACCAAGATAGTATTTTTCTTTAAAGTATCCATAAAATATCAAGCAGAATAGAGATGAGAATAACGAAAAATGTAAACTGAAAAATTTTTAAAGGAAGGATTAAGGCGAGATTTTGTTCAAATTTCTCTCCGAAGCTCTCAAGCGTCATTTATATGTGCATTTACATGTGCAGCAAGAAATTGTCTCAGAAGATTTTGAGCAGATAAATAACTTCGTAACACTGTTAGCAATGGCCTTTCTCTTGACTGATTGTTGACAGTTTATTTGCTATTCTTATTTCGATTGTAATCATCGACTGTAATTGTGATCATTACACTTTGCAAAATTTTAAACAATAGACATACAGAGAAAAGGTGATCACTGCGCCTACCTCTCGGCTTCTCACAGATGTAATCAAAAGTATGAGAACAAGGATAGTCATGCCATCGTCTTTCGCTTATGCTGTGGGCAACACAGTATTCTCCTCCACTTGGTTGTCTCCCTGCCCAGTTATTGTAAACTGACCCATTGAAAAGAGTACCATCACTCCAGGCAAATTCACCATCATGGAGCCAGTCAATCAAACCAATCCAAATTAGTTCACTTCCGATACCTGACGATATCTCGTCAACAAAATCCATCTCCTTTTTGTTTGTTATACTAACAAGGTCTCCGCCAAATCCTAAACACACTGAACGAGCATTGCCCCAGCTAAGTTTCGTTGAGAAAAGAAAGTTGGTCATGATCTTGTAGCATGAGCTGTCAAAAGCTCTCCATTCAAAAGGACAGTCTAAAGATAAAGCGAAACATGACGAAACAGTCATTTTCTATGATCAACAAAAATTTATGGCAATGCTTGAAACGAAAACACAACATTGGCTGCATTTACTGTTTTACATGCTAAATAAAATCGTTTAGTAATAAAATATGTCAAAGTATTTGTTAATGCACTCACAAGTCATATACATAAATTAACGTCAAGACGCACACGAATCATTTTTCGACCAAACTCACCTAATTATTATATGCCGTTGTAGTATAACAAAAAGGTACAATTTCCATACGAATGGCCAATGTTTTTCTCTTTAACCGATGGCAAAAAAATGTATGCAAATTTGAAAGGTAAACGAGAAATGTCTTTCAGCGGGCGAGCGACTGACTGGGCTGACCACAGAGAAGCTGTCAGCTCTAGGGAACCTTATTAACTTTTATGTAAGACACGAAAAGCACCCATTAGCAGTAATCCAGTAACCATACACCTGTTTAAGGGTGTAAGCATATCTTTTCTTTACACAATTTCACCATCAATCCTTTTCATGTTGTGGAAATTTCGAAATTATAATTATTGTAACGTGTGGTTGATTTGATCCTAGAATGATCGTGACTTAAGTGCAACAATTTAAGGTTACTTTTCATGAAAACAGTTTAGAACTTATCCCCACGAAAGATTGATTATGTTTACGTAAGTCTGCTATTTAAATAAGCGCATGTGGTAAAATAAATTAAGACAGCACGCGTGTTGTGAGGGTCATGAAAAACGTAGCGTGACAGTTTAGTTTCTTGAAATCCTTCCGATTAGAATTATTTTCCCTTTTTTGGCAGCTTAACAAAAAATATTTATAATTTCTATATATCTTAAGAAAGATAAGGAAAGGAAAAACGAAAACGTACGTCATAAAATGACTACTAATCTATCTCAACACAGCAGGTGTTCGGTAATCGAGGGGCTGCACTTGCTTGAATATGTAAAATATTAAAGGAAAAAGATTGTTGAGAAAAAAAAACAATATCTTTTTTTCTTTGATTTCAGTATTGCAATCTTCACCCAACACCACAATGACGTAAATGGTGAAGTGATAACAGCTTTCTTTCTCTTTTGAAGAAGCGTTTTGAAGTCTGATTCGATATTGCCAATCGATTGAAGTATATCCGCGTATTTTGCAAATGTCCGTGTATGTTGTGGTAATGTTTAAAAATTTCACTTGTACCATGAAAGATCTTACCTTTAACGGCTGATGTAAGCAGCGGTCCTCTAAATATAAAGGTTACTGTTAACAAACTTAAGCATCTTGAAAGAAAGTACGACATATTTCGTGCAATCGCCTTCCAAAGCGTGCAAACTCGTAATCGAAGTATGGTTTACTTTTCCAAGAAATCAAATTCAGTTGCGTACCACGAAATAAAATTCAGTGACAACAGTCATGGCTGGCTTGCAGCCATTCTTTTTAGCAAAGCCATCCGTGAATGGAGTTAAACGTATTATATGAACTGAGTGTTAAATTCACCTTGTTGAATATTTATGTTATACGATAATTGCTGTTTACACAAGGGTCTAATAAGGATTCGCGATGTGTTTCGGTGAAATGAAAGCTAACTGTGCTGGGCACCGGTCATGTAACAAGCGCATATTGTTTTAGCACCGCCTCCATTGGCAACCGTAGGAAGTAGTATTTTTTTTTTTTTTTTTTTTTGCTACTTTTTTTTTTTTTATTTTTTTTAATTTTTTTATAACACCTCATGTCAGGAAACACGACACTGAATGCAAAGCCATAATAAAAGAATTGTTAAAAGGAAGACACTTACAATGATTTTTCTGTAAAGGGTGATTAGTAGCCTGGCATTTTGCCAAGTAGTTAATGGCAGTTTATGTCACAAATTACGGGTCGGCATATTGCTTTCATGTGCCTCAATGTCTTTTTACATTAACAACAATTTTCCCAAAATTTAGTAAGCAATTTAGAAGTTGAGCCTGCAGCACTTTTTCTTCATATTTTTCCAGTTTTAAGACTTAACAGTACTGTGAACCTGAATCATTGCCTTTGAGCTCAGGACTTGCCATTTCAGAGGAATTTTTTATGTTGTTGTTTTTGTTTTTCTTGTGGTTATTGTTTGGTGACTTAATTTGCAGTTTCCATCACGATTATCACATTTCCCAAAATCGTGAAAGAATCATTTCCGATTGTAGATAGGGTTTTCAAATAGTTTTCAATTCATGTAAGTTTTTTGCTTCAAATTACATAACAATGCGAGGCGTTTTCTTTACAGCGAATGTTAACCCAAGGAACCAGGTAATATAAAAAAAATTGTCCCTGTTTCTTATTCAAATTATGCCTAATCTGACGGTCACCTGCGTGTTGATGAATAGTGACGTTACCACTATTTCAAATTATTGTGTGCGAACTTAGAATAACGTGGATAAGACAGTTGTAATATAATGAATCTTAAGCGAAGGCCCTTCGTTGTTCAGTCAGATACGTATACTTGTATTGAAGCAAATGCTGCCGGAAAGAGCATGGCGATGATTTGTTCTCAATCTGAAACAAATCATTTGCATTTGGATGAACGCTTTGCATCGAAAGTTTACACAGTTTAGATTGATGCCACACAAATTGCTTTCCTGGTATAGTGGCTATGAGCTTTTCATTGAAAGCTTGAAAAAAAAATGTGTCGGTTTCTTAGCCAGGCAAGAGCTTTTTCTTCTTCAAATACATGAAAATAAACATCTGTCAATCACAACACAGAATTGTTTATATAGCTGCCGGCCGGTCCTCGCAGGCAAGTCATGTTGGGTTGGTTCTTTAACATGCTGAGAAAAAGGGTTGTCAAAAATATGAAATTATTACAGAGTATTCTTGAGCTTTTTTCTCAAAAGGAAAAATGCCAGGTTTGACGAGTTCCGAGTTGCAACAGATCTTTAAAATCCGCAATAATTCAATATACAAAAATAACTTATACACAGCTTGAATGTATAAAAAGGAAAAGATAAATGATAGGAAAATATCTTCCGTGGGGTTTTATCTGATTTTAAGCTCCGAATATTTTTTTGTCACTGTAAATTTCAAGTTCAGGAATATAAACAAGCTGGCTTTTTTCTTTTCAGAATTCGCCTTACCTTGATGTGCCAATGTAAACGAACATCTTCCCAACAAGACAGTCAACGTGAACAAAATTATGCATCTGGAAAGTAGCCACCAAAAATCTTGGAATCGCCCACTAAATCGTTCAGAACCCTTGTTAAACGTCTTCTCCCTCCCTGATATGAAAGTCATGCCTCAGAGAAGTTTGCAACAGTGAAATCATTCACGGACAGAGTTTCGCCGCCAATAATTAAAACGAGTTTTCAATTTTTCTCCTTGATTTCCGATTCAATGCACCATACTTTTATATCTAGATCTTACAAAACTGTGTGAATGGTTTGCGTGATAACACTGGCCCAATCTTTATCAACAGTTTAATCGAAAGATCTAAAGTGATTGGTGGAAAAATTATTGGTTAGCCATCAAGATTTGAAACCTTTGAGTTTCTTGATGTTTATCAATTGTGAACGGTGAAGGCGAGTTTTTAAAACTTTAAAACGGCACAAATTTTTTTTTTTAAGTTTGGTAACACCCTCTGAATTGAATACAACTGATGTATTTTGTAAACACGTTTTCTAAATTACCATCCTTTTTGCAAATCTTTAACCGTGACTTGATACATGAAACTTTGTTTGTCAGATGGCAGCACTTGAATGGAAAATTACCACAGAATGGCATTGTTGACAACGTCATTCATACAGAGACAGATTTTCGATTAGGGAAAAAGTTTTCTTGCCATGGATGTGTGGGACTGAAACTCGTAGGGACTAGAACAAAAATCACAGGTCATGTAAGGTGTAGTAGCTGTGTAGTTGGCGGGTTAATTGGCTAATTAAACCTGGCAAAAGTTTATGACACTGAGAAACAACATAACAATTCATTAAACTTTTTCCTAAACCTTAACACGTTGATTTGATTTCCATTTATTCGTTATAATTTAACAGCGAAATTTATTTTTCGTTAAACAAAGAAACATAAAAGATATAACTGCACTTTTTCATTATCTGCGCAAAATATAATCTCACTAAACTTAATACTTCAGCACGAAGGTTTGGTTTTTGTTGGTTTTGGTTTGGTTCGGTTTTGCGGGTTGCTTTTATCAACTGAGTTGATAATATCAGTTGCCCTCCACATATTGTTTTAAAAGCCGACGTTTCGACAGTCATTTGCTCTGGCGAAGGGCTGACGCTCAAAATGTCAGCCCTTGAAACTCCTTACGGTGGCCAATTTGAACTAACAACTAAGTGGATAATAACAAATTATATTCTTATACTCCCTCACCGACGCAGCACCACAGTTTCTTTAGAAACTTAACCTCTTTATTTATTTATATATTAGCTTCTTCCATTATTTAGGACTGAAGCCAGCTAACTAACCAAATAATCAACGAACCGCTCATGATAGTCCGTCATAGTTCAAAAAACTGGCTTCTGTTTTCTTGCCTTGTCGATGATTCTTAGGCTGGCTATAGTTCTGTGTAGAGATAAAACGCATATGGTTAGGAACTTCACTGTAAACTTTTGTAAAATAATACCTATTCAGATATTGTAATTAAAAGCTCGACATTATCTGTTAAGGCCTAGTTCAAACGTCGATCTTTACATGTACCGAACCTAATTGCAATTTGGGTCGACTCGAATAATTAAGAGCGGCAGTTGATTCAAACGTCGATCCGAATTTAGTCGATCCTAATTGCAAAACTGAACATAACTCCATTGTAGTCAGCGGTTAATGCCTACCAAACAAGAGGAGCACGAGCCTTCCTCCTTTCCCGCCATATTGTTTGAATGGTTCGAAGGCTTTCGCGCATGGCACGTAAGCGAACTTTCTTGAATTGTGGGTAAAACATAATTATTTTAACGTATGTATAATGTATGCATTAAGTTCGGTACATGTAAAGTACGACGTATGAATCAATGCCGATCTTTTACCGTTCTATCCGACTAGCCGAGTCGGATAGAACGGCACTGTCGATCCGAATACAAATCTGCCGATCCTAATTGATTCAAACGTCGATCTTTACATGTACTTAATAGAAACGTTAGGTTCGGTACATGTAAAGATCGACGTTTGAACTAGGCCTAATATTGCTAGAAACTTAAAATATCTACACAATTTAAATCTAAAAGGGAATTCGAGGGATTCTGTTCCTCATTTTCTCTCTTAGGAGGATTTAAAGAGGTTTTCACCTAACTAATTACAACCATTACAATTTTTTCAAATGTGATTGGTGCATTGGCTGCTTTATTTTTTCTAATCATTTTGTACAGTTGCACTAGAACAGTGTGATTGGACAGTTAGCTGTAATCGGTCAGATGAAGCAGCCAATCATACTAAGTTCGCTGAGCTAAATCCACTATTCACAGAATCGATCACGATAACCATAGCAACAACCATTTAATTCGAGTGGAATCCAATTCGGTCTGTAATCATCCAAGCGATTAACAACTAGCAACTATCAACTGCTTATCGAGCCGAACCAAACGAAAAGAAATGTAGACCATCAATAAGCTCTCTGCTCTTTTAAAGTTTTGACGTGAACTCAAGTTTAAGGCGTTTATCTATATATTTACCGTTATAAGGGTTCTAACGATGACTCTGTTGGCGTTATTTTTGTGCTCGATAATTCACGAATTTCAAGTCAGTTTCTCTGCAAGTTTTTCCCAAAATTGTAATGCGTAATTTTGATGTTCAAGCCCCTTTTTCTCGGAATTACTATCGGATAATCTTTCCTCTGTTGTACCGGGACTGTTGCTTCAACTCTGGTGTGTAGCATGTCTTTTTGCACCGCAGTCATGACATCTGACGTATCTCCTACACGACTTAATCTTCCTCTTTTTGGCAGTGTTTGGTGTTCGTGTTATGTTTTTTTCTCCCCCTTTTGTCACTAGTGTTTCCCTCAAGGTGATTTTATATATTTTATACCTTAACGCTGTACACTGATAAACCACGACAACCTAGTTGCAGTTCTTCCGCGCCATTCTTCACTGTCTAATGGCTTTGATTCGCAGTCAAATTTCTACTTGATAAATCACCTTTGCATGAGAGCAGGCCTGATTTCCCACCACAGAAATATAACTACACTTTTTCAAACAAAGTATGGTGAAATTAGCTGTCAATCTTAGATCATTTGAAAGCGTTAATTTTTAATCTCGTCATCAGTGAAATAACCCTTGAAGGCTTTATGACATATTTAAACCCCTTTAAGGAATAAGGAATAGCATGGGGAGCGAAATGCGGTTGATTTAAAGCAATAAATATTTCGAAATATGAACATTCTACTCGTAAAATCAATAGAACTTACGCACATCTTGTTTGTCCATCGTAGTTTCGGGCGATTTCTGCCATTTCAAGCTTGCTCTGCTATCACTCTTATTCCTGTCATAACACCATGTCACTTACTCTCCAGATTACATTGTAATGAAGGCTAATTCGCCCAAAATTTTAAAGGAAAAGCTATGATTTGGAATTGATAAAAAAGACAGCAGGAGCGTTGAGTTACGATGTACATGGTAGATTGGCGCCTGAAAAAGCTGCCTGACGGTTTAATTACCGGATTGTAACATAGTAATCCTTGACAAACAACCGAAATTATCCAAAGCGTTCCATGCCCACTTCTCGAAAAATGATACTTTTTGTACGTTGGAGTATAAAATCAGTAATTCAAGGAAGCTTCAGCACTACTTTCCCGGAGCTCTAAGGACAGTCAAGGTAAGAGCCCGGCTCACACGCGACAATTGATTATAACTTTCATCTCTCTCCACACTAACCCTAAATCCCACTTTACAGAGCTGAACAAAATCTTTCTTCTAAACTAACCGTAGGCTTTCTTCGCTCTAAGACTTCAACAGTTCTTACCTGGTTCGTATTTTGTTTCTAAGTCTGTGGTATGAGACCTAACATGGAATCATTAGAATTAACCTGGTGACATGCCACGCATCTTTTAGTCTGGTTTGGGTTGTTTACCAAGTATTTGACAACGAAAAAGAAAATTGGGGTCAGTATTTTTCAGAACATTAATGCACTTATCAGGCACCTCGTGACATACCTTTCCATAGCCAGTCAGCTTTTTCCTTAAAGGCTTTTTACAGCAAATAATCCCTACCGTAATGATTGTCAAAGTTGTAGTTTTTTGCTGTTTTTCTTTTAATGATATTCGCTGAGTTTTTCTGGAAGACTAGCTACCACAATAAGCAAGTCACCACGTGTGAAGCAGGAAATGGTTATCGTGCACACTGCAGGAGAGAATCAGTCGAAATTCGTCTTGAAGGTAAACAACAAAGCACTGAGGAAAAAGATCATTACAAATATTTGAGTAAGACGGGTCGACTAAAAAAACAAAAAATAGAAAAGAAACAACTCTATCAGCAGTCCATTACGTCATGTCAAAATGAGATTTTTATTATTAGCTGTATGTTTCTCGGGTGTTGTTAATGATCTTTAAGCCACAAAATTTTAATTCTTATATTTACGGAATATTGTAAAAATTATGGCTACATAAAATTTGATGGAAAATAACTCGAGAGGACATTTTCGCTCTTGATCTCAGTGTCTGATAACTAAATGTCTGATCTTCTCTTATGTATAATGCAAGCTGTTGACGATACAACAGAACAAGTCATAGGCTGGGGATCTAGACGCCTGTCTTCACTTGAACCAACCCTTAGGAACCTTCAATGATACAATTCCTTTATGTATCTTTGTTCTAACGAAAATAAACTTTAACGACTGTCTCACTTTTGTTCTACAGGAGCCCAAAACATTCAAATTATTGAATATCCAAAGAACCAAAGCGCCTTTATCAATTCCAGCGTAATTTTCAACTGCACTGCCACCGGTCATCCCAGGCCAACCATCTCTTGGGTAAAGAACGATGATCCATAGGCTTTACAAAAGGGTAGAGGAGAAGGTTATTTTGTTAGACAACAAAACCGTTCGTAGTCAGCTCTTGTTAACAGGAACTAAGATGGAAGACATTGGAGAAGTTTATCGGTCTCAGCCTACTACCGATGATAGCCACTCCTTTGTACTCTAACTCCAGCTGCATTATGCTTCTCTGCTCATCATCTGCACACAAGAGGATATCCTTACTTGCTGCACAGATGCAAGTTGATTTATTTAAAGGTGGGTTAATCTGGACAATTTGGTTATTCAGTTCTCGACTTGTGCAGCTAAAGATCTCAGATGTGCACTACAAATGGCACAGAAGGAAAATATCAGTCTTACTCCATTCACACTCACATTGACTCTCATTATCAATCAGTTAAATCCACCATTCTTAGAAACTTTAAATCACTTCAAAACGATCCCGAAATTGGTAGTATCTTTTCGCAGCCTCCTCTAATTTCATTCAAAAGCGACCACCTCATAAATAAATATTAAGTCTTCACTAAACAGCACGAAAACAGTAAAGCTTGTTGACAGATAATTTTATTTGAGAGAGCCCGGAAAGAACCTAACTAAAACACTATGGGCAGGAAAGCTGGGTAGGAACCGAGGCCTTAGCTCCGGAAACTATAAGCCCATCCTACGGAGGCTTAACAAAACTAGCCGATGGCAAAGCAAGACTTCAGTAAAAAATTAAAACTGAACTAAATGGAGCTCTGATTCCTGGGTTGATTCAGCGACCTACATGACTATAACGTGCTATACTCCTTTTTGTATACTTCCGGTGTCCTGCTCGTGTCGACAAAATTCTTTTTCAGCCTTCAACGCACGCTTACTCGTCAGAAATAGCATTTATGGTCAGAAGTTCAATATCAACCTTAGACTCTCAAGTTTAAGCGTACACGATGCAAAACTTGTCCTTTCATTCATAACTTCGAGAACATTTCTGGACCCAAGCGATCCATTAAGATTACTGATCATTTCACGTGCGCCTCCGTCAATGTAATCTATTGTAAAAACTGTATTTATTGCAAGAACACATGCATTGGCGAAACATAAGGACAGCTGGGTGACCCTTTCTGAGAACAACTTTGTGACGTAGAAAGGAATAACAAGGACGCGTTCAAGCCATTTGTAAGGATACCGAAACGAGTTATCCATTGCTTGAGGCAAATAGAGCCTTCAGACCCGAGTCTCATTTTTTTTCATCGTTTATTTAGTTTAACTTAAACAATGTTTTACAACTTTCATTTCCTGATACTCGTCCCTTTATATTTATTTTAAGAAAATGTTAAGACTTTCATTAAACTTGATTAAATGCGGTTTTAGGCGTTGTCAAGTGGCGTAATCTCGTGGCGTCGTCAATGTCTTTTAGCCTGTTCACTTCTTTTACACTGTCATGCCCTGTATTGATTTAAAAAGAAAAACAGTATTGAGAAAATTTCTCTTCACATGAACCAGCACATTCCAGCTGGCTCTATTTTTCCGAAACATCAGCTCTGTACTTACCAGACGATTGCAAAGATCGCAAAACTTCGGACAAATTTCAGCTGCATAATCGGTTTCGCAAAATGGGGGAACATTTTTGCCATGCTTTCCGCAACGTACAGATCTAGAGTCACGGCAAACTTCGGTTCCTTTGTATCAAGAAGGAAAAAGAGGAAGAAGAAAAAAGAAAATATGAGTTGATTTAAAATAAGGTATGAATGACTCGTAAATAGAATTACAGAGATGGTAAGTTTTGAAACTTACCATATCTCTTATTCTATTTACAAACATGACGCTATCGACATTGCTTATCCTAGCAGTATGTAGGACGTGTGTCATATGAACTTCTTATTAGACCTCGCTCACCGTAGTCTCTGCGGCTCAGTGGTAGAGCATCGGAACGCGGAAACAGAAGGTCTTAGGTTCGATTCCTCATGGGGACTCAGAATTTTTTCTTTGTCCTACGCTAGTGACAAGACGTAAAACATATTTCTCCATGAATGACTCCTTTTCCATTTTCATAGTGAAAGAATACCAGGCGTCACGTGACATGAGTTAATTAATTCTGTGCTTGAGTGGTCATAAATCCTAAAGAAAGGTCGGAAAACTATTTCATTCCAAAAGAAAAAAAGCATACAAAGACACTACACATTACCTTGATACGGAAGTTTCCTTGGAAAAACTGTGTAATCATAAGAGAAAAAAGAAAATATCAATTATCAATGAAAAAGATGCTTGTTAATGTATTGGCAACATTTTAAACGTAATCGTTGGCTTTTTTCTCTCTCATTTCTTACACGCATTCCTGGATTCTTTGTTATTACTGTCTTCTTCCGCTTTTTGTGACTCAATCACCGACGTTGCCCAAAAATTACGAACTTTATAAGTCCGCTCCGCGCAATTTTTTTTCTTGTGCAGGATCAAAGCAAGTAAGCCCGAACAGGCAAGTCAGGCCCAAATTATCTCGGTCTTACCCTTATTACCCTGACAGTATTGGTCAGGTGAGTTATTGTTGATTTTTGTTGTTGTTATTATTTACTTTTCTAATCATTTTTCTTCAGTCGCCATTCTTTCTTTATTATCGTTAACCTCGCACGGTATTGATTAACTTTCAACTGAAGACAAAGGCTAGAATTTGGTTAGCTCTTTCTCTAATTCTGTATCAAAATGGAGACCACCCTTCTTACTTCCTAACAACTGGGTTAGCAATAGTTACCACAGAGATTCTGGTTTAGTTTGTCAGATAGCTGCTGGAAGTATTCCAGGGCTTCATAATCTTCCTTTACATCGTCCATTGAATCGGTCATCAGCCTTAGTCTGCCTTTAGACGCCTGAGTTCCTACTGCCACGGCTAACACACGGACACCTGCACTTCGCAAGGGCTCAGAGGTACCTAGCAAGCTTTTAGTTTCGGGGCCTTCGGATTGTTTACCATCAGTCAGCACGACTGCAATCTTATACACGTCATCTCTTCCCTCTTTAAATACCTGTTTTGTTTCTACGAGGGCCTTGTCGATTCGTGTTCGGCTGCCGATGCTTTTTATGTTTTGTACCATATCCTGAAATTGTTTGACGCTTAAGTTTTCACTGAATCGAGCCTTAACCTCAACTTTATCAGCGAACACAACCAGAGCTACTCGAGACTCATCTGCTCCTAGTTCTAGACCTTTTACCATTTTCTTTACAAGCATCTTTGCGTCTTCCAGAGCACCCACCCCAATAGTATCTGAAGAGTCGAAAACAAACGCCAGATCTACTGGGCATCCTGTATTGACATTAAACAAAACCACATAATTAGGTCATGCACTGGATTTCTTATTCTCCTACAAGTCTTACTGAAAACGAATTAAATAAAGTTCTCCGATTCTCCGGGTTTGTTTTAAATTGGTTTTTTTTATTTTTATCTTCACAGAGGTTCAAAACCTTTTTGTAAACTATTCTGTACTTTTATAATGCTACTAAAAGACAATATGAAAAGATCACTTTCTCCTTTATGACGAACTATTACGAGGGGAACGAGACAACTTGGAAATCAGATGAATACGTTTGGACATCAACACCAGCACCGTGTGTCAAGAGAAACAGAGTAAAAGGCTTTACTTTTTGTATTCAAAATTTACAGGAAATTAGAATGCAGAAGAACAGATAATCTTTTATTGTGCAGAACTCTGACTTACGAGGGCATTCTTCTTCGTTGCATGTAATAGTCTCTTTGGCAGGCCCAATGCAAGCCCTTCCACATATATTAGGTGGAGGATTGGTGCAGCCTCTCGTGCGAGTCAAGGTTCCTCCTCCACATTTTGCATTACACTCAGACTCAGACCAGTCTGCGTAACGACCGTCAGTAACTGCAAATTGACAATGAAAGGGCAATAAGTATCATTCGATTATCAACCTCGTGGAAAACTACCATAACTTCCCTTTTCAGTAACATGGGAATGGCATGTAGTTGGGGAAAGATCTCATAAATTCGTCTTAATGCGTCAATCATGTTGCACATTTCTCAGGAAAGAGCTGTGATCTTTTGCCAGAGCTCAAAAGGTCATAACACAGCGTTATAATCGCTTAATTTCGTAGGACAAAAATTTCGAAAATCTGGCTTTTTCCGTCAAATTAGCATGATTTTGAAAGAGGTAGTAGTTATAAAATCATGAATAATAATTATTGTAAGTCAATTTTATGAGTGTCATCTTACCAGGATTCTCTGTGCAACTCTCTGTTTCCTTATCAGCACCGATACAATCCTTTCCACATGTAGACGGGGGAGGTTTGGTACAGGTCCTTGTGCGGGTTCGGTGTCCTTCTCCGCATGTTTTACTGCACAACGAAAAACTTGACCACGGAGTGTACTGGCCGTTAATAGGTGCTATAATGATTGTCAAGAATAAAGATAACAGAGTGGGTTCTTTAAGGAAACGTGTTTTTCTTTTTATGATAAAACAATATACGTGTTTTTCGAAAAAAAGATTTAAATGTGATACTAAAGGCAGAAATGATTCTCGCAGGAGAACTACATTTAGGCAAAGTAAAAAGAAGTCTGAGAAATTTAGCTTCGACGAGATTCTTGTCCGAGCTTCCCAGCAACACCGGTTGGATGCGCGGCACTACACACAGAGACACACGTTGGGGGGATTGTGAGCAACGGAAATTTTAGTAGGTTCTTCTACCTGCAAATGAAATTTTAGTGCAAAAATGAACCTCGCTGATGCAGTTTATGGAATAATTGATGAAATGAATGAAATTTACTTCTTTTGAATGGCAATCAAATTACTTATGGGAAAGTAGAAACCAATAGAATTTGCTTCGCTCCTAACTTGAAGCTACGTATCTCAGTTGGTAGCACTGAGCTGCTGACCAGTATCTGGAATACACGGGTTCGAGTCCTGTCGAAAGCTTGAATTTTCTTTCAGGCTTCTTTTTTGATTTTCTTGAGGTAATTTTTTGCGCTTAAAATTTAACCTGCAGGTTGCAATAAAATTCATTTATAATATTTGTGATATGAATCATCATCATCATCATCATCATTATCGTCATCGTCATCATCATCATCATCACCATCTTGAAATTTAAAAAACTGTTCATTAAGTCACCACTAAAAAGAACAAACAACAACAACACAAAAACATATCAACTTCAGAATTCGTCATATGCTATTGCTTTTTCCTTTACAAGCAGGTAACACTAAGACGTTTAAATAAAAGTGAGCACGTGACTCCACTATCACGAGCATTTTGACATCTGTTATATAATACGTAAAGGGGCGGATACAAATAAAATGACTGGTAGAGTTTTAACGTCTACTTACGACAGACTTTCCTCATTATATTATTGAGTTTACTGGAGAGATCCTTGAAATCATCATATTTGGTTATGTCTTTATCTTCCCCAGCTACCTTTTCCAAGTTCTCATCAGCATCATCACTGGATAATTCACTACCGATACCTGCGACGATTATTTTCACCCCTCTTTTCTAAGAAAAGAAAAATTTATAATTATCCTTCCTCTGTTCTGGGGTCTTCTGGTAGGTAAATCCCATGGCTTAACTTTCAATTTTCAGTGCCGAGGTATTCCCAGTGCATAGATTCGCACCGAAAGTTATTCATAACATGTGTCTTGCTTGATATAGTCGGTATACCCCGAGTAACATACCCTTAATGACGACCTTCCCAATGAATATGAGCTAGTTTTTCTAAAATGGAAGGTTGTTCAAGAAGCTGATAGAAAATGAAGAACGTGAACGAAGAAGAGTGCTGAGTGTTAGGGTAGGTCTAATTTTTTTCTTAAAACATCATTATCCATGCAAGAGGAGTGAGTTAAAATAGCGCTGATATTAACATCCCTAACATTAGCTGAAACAAACCTTGAACAATGCTAAATTAAAAGTTACATTTTATCACCTTCAAGATTCCCGTTGTGACATCGAAGTCAACTTCTGCCCTTTTATCCCATGTTTCATTAATCCAAAATTTTCCATCTGTAAGAATAATCATTACATTGCCGAAACTGGGTCGGTCTCCTCCTCTTCTGGTGAACACGTCTTTCACTGCCAGGTCTTCGGCAAGGTCTGTACGGGTTCCGTCATGTTTCGGTACATAAGATATTGCCTCCGCTGCCTTTGCTTTTATGGTGTCGGCATTGTGATAATTTCTGTCTGAAAATGTAAAACTGCTCTTGGCATCCGATCCAAAGGTTATAAGGGCCATGTGACTCCCATTTGAAGATACTCTCAATTTGTCCACAATCTTATTGAAGATGTCGGTTAGCTGATCTCGTTCTTTACTGTCCATGCTTCGTGACACATCTATCAGGACAGCAACATCCAGGGAGCAAGGCTCTGAAATGTTAAAACGATAAACTGTTAATTAGCAGTCAAATTCAAGTTTCAAAATTTCCCTTTGACCTAGGGGGCAATTGTTTTCAGTATCGACTGCAGCCCCCTACGAAGCCCACTGCTCATGATACTAAGCAGTCCTCCAGCCATGGAGTTGTAGCCCACTGGCTGAGCTTTGGCAGGATATAAGGCTGATTGCGAATCATGCTAAACAGCGAAAAAAAAACAACAAACAAGACTTGCTTTTAATAAATCCCATGAAAACAGTTGTGGCTTACCGAGGCAATCATCGTCGTTGTATTTGCTCATTTCAGGAGTCAGGAATCCAGGGTGATATTCTCCACCTTCACATGAAAAGACGTAATTTAGACTTTTTGACCAAAGGTTAAATTATACATAGTATTGTACATTAACTTTTTCGAGTATGTAAGGATAGTTTTTTAGGAAATCAGTCTTATTTTTCTTTCATCCAGCTAAAACAATTTGGAGACAAAAAAAGACAGAGAGATATATCAACTGTCATTATCGATCTTACTATATCTCTTTGGAAAAGGACCCATCTTTTTTTTTTTTTGTTTCCAATTTCCTCTTTTGAATCGATGGAAAGGGATGGTATTTCCTGAATCAATTCAGGCTATATGTTTTTTTTTAAAAACATATAGCCTGAAACCACCGAACCGAACAAACGACCTAAGTTATCTTCCGGATCGAAACTGACATAACCCAACAGGCAAATGATAGCTGAGGGGTTACAGCCAGATTATCACGACAAAACTGACCAATCAGGCTTAAAAAACAGACCTATCCCTAAAAAAACGACTCTCTTTTGACACGAGACACTTTGCTCTTTCATGGAATACCCTTTACTGAAGGTTCACTCCACAATATCAAAGAGTAATTTCGACATTCACAAAAAGTCTTCCCTCCAAATTTAGAATGATCAGAAAGAAAAGCTATGATAACATTAGGACTCTCGTGTAAGCTGAAAAAATACCGACTTGTTCAACTATAGACTTTTTTTCTGCGACGAGCATTAAGTTTTAAACAACCAAGTACGAGAAATTTAACTCTCCTGATCAAGTCGGTAGAGCGCCGTAAGGGTAGAAAGAACTTCCTATGCCCCAATCCCCCACCGAAAAAAGGAAAACCACGAAGCTCTGTCATGAAATAGCTTTCAGGCAGACATAAATCCATAGTTACCTTCCCCCTTGAATGAAGCAGTCATGGCCTCTAGATAAAAACAAGTGAACAGTAAACCAAAGAGAGCTTTGGCCATGGTGCAATGTGGGTAGTTTCCCAGTTTCGTACGTGAGATGAGATGAAGGTCACTACTGTTCGCTCCAGCTGAAGTAGCTCCCCTATTTATACTCATCAGTTCGGGAGGGCCGCACGCAAACATCTCATGCAATCACTTTAATTTGTTTTACTAGTTGATAACAATCTGCTCATTTTTGTTTTATAGTGCATCTTCATTTGTCAACCAAAGACGCCGTTTATAACTGGTTATGAAACAGGAGATGTTATTATAATATAATCCGATGGGAAATGTGCAAATAGTTTAAATGATAATTCAAATGAGAATAAACATGACGTAGTGGCAAGAAAACTTTTTCTTTTCTTTCTCTGTCTCAAAGTCGTTCTATATTCAAACGATCTTTAAAAGCTCTTTTTTTTCTGTTTCTTAACGAAGCTAAGAATATCACATACCATTAATTCATCATTCTACCTTTTTTTGTTTTCGTTGTTTTTTTTCTTTTTTTCACATTGTGCAATTTCTGCTTTTTAAACAGTTTAGACATCATATAATCTAATTTTCAGTTGTTTCCTTAAGCAGCTACTAATACCATAGCACGTAGTTTCTGATCTTCTCATACATATTTTACCCTGTTATGCTCTGTTGCTAACCAGGCAAGCATAAGATACATATCAAGGAAAGTCCTTTTTGTGATCACGTAGACTCTTAAAAGTTGAAGATAGATCAGTGTAAATTTGCATATTTACAAGCAAATACTGTCTCATTTGCCTCCCTTGAGGGCTGTTTCATTATGGTAGTCTTTTTTTCTTTCGACCTTGCTTTTCGTTGGCGGATAAGGTTTCTTTTTTCTTTTGTTTTGTATTATTTTTTGTGTAATGATTGGAAGCTTGGCAGAAATCAATTTCGTTGTAGATGTTGCCTTGGTAAAATATGTTACCTCGCCGCCCATTGAACTTCCTTATTAAAACGTGTAGAATATGATGCGAAGATTTTACCTTCAGGGTATATCGATCAACGTTAAAGTTGAATATGCATATCTGGGAAACATGGCGAACATTTTTCACATGGTGCTTTACAATTATAATTTAATTTAGAGGATTCAGTGAAAAATATCCCCATAAACAAGTTGTGTGTCATTTTCGTTTTCTTTTTCACTTCTCTCTTTTACTTTGACAACTTTATGATAATCGTGTGACCACGCTGCGTGAAAACGTTTGGTTTTAACGCCCTTGGATTAATTCCCACCCTGGCGTCGTCTATTGATAGTACGGCGCTATCAAACTGCGTTATTCAATTAATAGGACAAACTGATTATATCGATGTTTTCTGATGCATCATATGATTCTACTGATGTCACCAATGCTGCCTTATACTTCTCCAATAGACCTTTTCAGCAATGTGGCCACACAACCGTGGTTTGAATTCGGTAAACAGGAATTCAAACATTGGTCTTAAAAATTGGCTCACCTATCGATTGCAGACAAATTAATCAGTCGAGATTAAATGATAACAACAAGGCGGCTGTCTCCCGCGTCGTGATGGCCTTTAAAATTGGCTCACCTATCGATTGCAGACAAATTAATCAGTCGAGATTAAATGATAACAACAAGGCGGCTGTCTCCTGCGTCGTGATTTTTCTGAAAAAAAGAAAGATTATGGCGTATGAAGAAATTAAAAATTGCTTTGCAATGGTCGTTTAAAAAAGGAGGATTGAAACAAAAGGGAAAAAATTGAAGGAAAACTGTGTTTGTTCTTGAACGGGCTTATTTTAACCCAAATCCTTGTAACAAACGGCAATTTTTATAATAGCGCAAGCAATTCAATAAATAAGGGTTCCTTTGGTTACTTGGTTTACAACTGACGGGGCATGATGAAATAAATATAAGTAGACCATGGCCACTATCTGCTAATAATTTTCGGGAAAAAAAAGTCGTGTTTGAAAATATTGGCAACAGTCCCACTTCTGGAAATCACTTTCGTAAATTAGGCAAGTTTCTCTGCGAGGAAAAAGGGGTCGTGAGCAATAATTTCTAAAATGGTAAAGATTTTTTTTGAAAAAGCAAAAAGATAACGAGCATTGCTACCGAGACATTTTCTTCTTTTCATCTACATTCTTGTCAAAACCTTGTGATTCTCATCAGATCGCCATTAGAAAAATTCGTTAAGCAACAAAATGTCTCCTCTCCTTACTTTCTTGGCAACTGAGCCAATGAAGCATATTAATGAGAAGATCAGTGTAAAATGTTTAAAAACGTTGATCGCATTTCTGTTATTTAAAACTGTTTTAAAACATATATTGCATATTGTGATCCTTGGAACTGTTTAAAGAAAACCCAAATTGTACAATCTGGTATTCAAAACCGTGTAAAAAGCAAAAATTGCGCAGCATAATGTTAACAGTCAGCTCCAAGAAAAGACAGGAATAGACAGGTTTGAAATAACATTGTCTTCACGAGGACAAAATGGAAAAAAAGCATTGATCACTAAACTGAAAAGGATTTGTTTTAATTAAGCAAACAAAGGCAATTTCCAAATGAGTTTTTTTTAATTGATTATGCAAAAGATCATCATCAACTGTGAAGAAAAAGGTAGAAGAAGACCGAAAATAGGAGCCGCCAGCCTTGATCAATTAATGTGTGTACTATATGGAAGTTTCCTCGCGAAAACAGAATTGAAAGCTTCCTAGCTGATAACGATTTGTGGGAGAGAAGAAAACGAACAAGCTGATTCTTGCCACTCAGGCACGCTCAGTTTCACTTAAGTCCTTATTTGATACCCCATTCGCACCGACAAAAAATGTTTTAGTTAAACTGGGTTTCACTAAATGAAAATCAGAATTAGAGAACCGCTGAACAACTGGATTTTCTACAGGATTCAAGCGATCACGAACTTTCTATATTACAATTAGAAAAATATTTGTTTATGCAGCTTCTATGAAGAAAACAAACTATAAACCGTGTTTAACAAGACAGTTTTAAAACATGTAAAAGCTTTAGGTGTGACTGGGGTATTATTTAGATCTGTATCTCCCATCAGCTTATACTTTTGATAACATCCCCTGTTTGATGACCAGACTCTAATGGCTTCTTTGGTTAAGAAATGAAGATGCACGATAAAGCAGTAATGTGCTGCTGATCATTATCAACTATCAAAACAAACTAAAGTGGTTGCATGATAAGATGTTGGCAAGCAGCCTCACGAACTGATAGGCATAAAGAAGGAGGCTATTTCACTAGGAGAGAACAATGGTGACCTTTGTGTCATCTCGAGTACGAAAGGAAACACTCAGTGCCCCATGGCAAAAGTACTCCTTGGCTCGCTGTTCACTTGTTTCCGTTTACAGGCTATGAATGCTTCTGTTAAGGAGAAATGTAACTGTGCACCAGTGTTAGTTCATAGGAAAAATCAATCTCAGAACACCGTGTTTCTTTGAGGGGAACGGCTCGTTATCGCCCCGGCGGCAATTTTGGCAGACTCAAATTTTTTATATTAAGTCGTTCAAACTTTTCACTCGTCACGACTAAGTATCATGGTTGCAGAAACGATTCAAAAGTTTGTTTTTGCAGTGTTGAAAAGAGCCCCAACGTAACTATATACTTCATCTTCGATCACTCAAGATTTAAACGAGTTAGCGACCCTTACCACTAATACCATCAACAGCTCAAGAAATGTTGGACCCTTCATTGTCAAAGCTTAGTTATAAGCGGACTTCTTTAAAACTAAGGGTACAGCAGTCTGATTTAAATGAGGAGCTTTTGTATGTCGAATGTCAGTTATCTGTTTCGTGAAACCTGATTGGTCAGTTTTGCCGAGATTCTCTTAAAGTATTGTTTGCCAAATTGGATTGGACAGTTTCGATCCTTTGGAAAAGTTGGGTGGATCTATTCGGGTTGATCGGTCGCTTCCGATAAGCGGCAATCTTTTCACAGCATTTTAAGAAGGATCGCGTTGATTGACCAAGATATTTCACAAGGGCAGGGCAAATCTAAAATATAACTCGAGCAAATGAGTGAATGAAATAAGCCATCTGTTAAACTTTGGTCAAACTGAAGTCTTTGGTCTTCTCTCTTTATAGGATATCATCTACGAAGGTGGAGAATATCGCCCAAGGTTTCCACTTAATAAAATGAGAGAATACAACGACGACGATTGCCGAGATAAGCCAAAAATGTTTTCCTGGTTACTTGTATGAATTTTGTACCGTCTTTTTGAAATATTGCAGCTTGAATTTGAGGACAGGTTATCCCCTCTCATTTCAGAGACTGAAACAGCTAGGCGTTTAATCAATGGCGTTTTTGAATTTCCAAATTTAAACACAGGAAAAACGTAAAATCCCTCGATTACACCAATTGAAGTAAAACTAATTTTCACCGAGTCGTGGAACTCTTCAGAATACTTTCAAGTTTCGTACCGATCAATCACGGGACCTGAAAGAAGGGATTCTGATTTGAGGATTGCTTACCGAGATCTCAAAAAGCTTTATTTGACTCAGCAAAATTAAGCTACGTGGCTCTACTTTGGACAAACCGGAACGGGACGGTTACAAGAAGTAATTTTTCCCAAAATCCTTTCTCTATATATCCATGACGTACCATATGTATCTTTTGAGTGATGCCGGAAGTTCACTATGTCTACATATGAATGATAAAAGAATTCTTTGAACAGCTGTCAGTGTGTTAGACGAGATCTCTGTCAAAATTCCGAGATTTCGAACCTTGGCCAGTTGGGATGTGTGAACCCTGTTGAAAAAAGAGCCGTTCAGAATGACTGAGTTCACGTTAAAAGGAGCACCTCACTATATTTTTATCCTTCCCTTTTTTTCGTTTTCACATCATTTAAGGGCGAAGTAAGACCGGAAGACATACCAGGAAAGAGCAAATGAGGCTAGTCCAAAATGACAGCGGCTTAAATCACGTTTGATTATGTTTTATTTGTATCTTAAGACCTCATTATAATACAGGATATGAAAACGGATGTCAGTTAAATGCTTAAGAAAGTAAATCAAGGTTATAAAGTATTGTCTAAGTTAAATCAAAAGATGAAAATTTGGAATGTGGATCTGACGACTTCACTTGCCTCACGTAATGGAGAATTCGTTGCGAAAAAGTACGATCCCTTAGTTACAAATGCCCGCGTTTCGTTGAATGGTACGAAAACAAGTCGTTTGCATCATCCAAACAATTACCTTGACTAACATCATTAAGTTTAGACATTCCAATGAATGGCAACTCCTCTAATCTTTCCTCATTACAAGTACATTTGGTTTACTGAATTTTTCCCAAGTAGCTACTCACATCAGGGCCTTTTCTGAATAACTCCTCACCAAATGGGTTTTAGCCGAGGACATAACTCTAGAGCCAAGCACGAGTGCAATTTCAGTGTTGACCAAGGAAATGAATAGGGATGTAAGTTGCACTGTGATCGCAAAAAAGGTGGCTCAACACGAGTGCAAGGAGCCTGACGATTTCTATGACGCCACAAGTCCATGTTTTTGATGTAATACCTTTTGGAAATTTCTCTCTATAATTCTAGAAGAAAGATGTTTCAGTGGGTGTTAGTTAGGACTTACTTAAAACTCTGAAACGGCTTTCTCTAAAGCCCTCAGCTGTTAAGGAGTTTCCTAAAAAAAACCTTTAAAAGATATGGAAAAAGAATTTGTGGCAAAACGTTAGAACCATGTCTTTTCATGAACATAAGACGAAGAAAAAATTATGATTTACCGTGATTTATCATAAGGAATCAAACCTCAGACGTTCGGATTCCGAGCATCATGGTAGAGCGTCGAAGAGCGTCGGAGAGCGTGGTGTAACGTCGGTTGACGGAATATGATAGTCTGAGGTTCGATTCTTCATGGGGACTCTTACTCGAGGTTACTTCAATGGTTGTTGCATCAGAAACCTTCTGTAGTCCTTTATTTACAAGTCCAATCCACAACAATTACTTGGTGGAAACATTTGCAGGGGGCTTGGGACCTAATCAGAAAAACAATATGGTGGATGACTTCCCGTGATGTGGAATTACGTTAGTTCTTCAATCTTATTCCTCCTCCGGGCGGTATCAAATTGTTTTCCCTCTGCACTGACTCACCAGATCCTGAGAATACTGCCCTATCTTTTTCTTGGATGCGTTTGTTATGGATTTGACGCCATATTTTCAAAAATACAAGGAGAGTACGCTCCTTACATTGGAGCTGTTGCTGACAATGCCGCCCATGGGATCATTGCTTTCTTCAGTTGGTGTATCGTTTGCGAGATCCACACCCGAAAACATCTGATTGATGGGGTTCTTTGCGGTATCATTGCTTGTGCAATTGATTTAGATCATTTTATTGCTGCTAAATCTTTCAAACTTAAGGTAAGAGACACAAATCAGCGAGCGGTTCTGTACCCTTGACTGAACATGAAGAGGGGTGTTAGAGTTTGAGATAATCACATTTTATGCATGGAACACTGAGTAATTTTTTTGTATTATATTTTATCATGCCAATAACAACTTGGTCTTTCAATTTTTTCCCTTTATTTTGAAAAACCATGCGGTGAAATTGCCCATTCTGATTGGCTAACTTTAATGGTGATGAACTTCCAATGAAGAGCCAAGAAAATCTCCTTACAGGGCGCACCAGATAAATACCCGGGAATTGGAAAAGTGAACCAGAAAACAAAACTATCCTTGATCAGAATACCTCACAAAAATGGATCTTTGATTGAGGTACAATTGATTGAATTTTCCCAAAATACCTGTATCCATGCCATATGCCAAACTCAACAGAAAACCTGGAGTTTCACTCTGCATTCAGGAGAATCCAGAATAATAAGGGACTTTTTACAAAGCTCTTCAGTTGATTTGCTGGCAACGAGTTAGTGCCCCAATACCTTCCTTAAGGGGGTATTGGGACACTCATGCACTACTTTATTTGGTGCAAGAATTTCCTCTGTTTGAATTTGTTGAATGTCGAATTTAATAACGTTAGATCTGCCCCACAGGGGATTCCCTGTGGGGTGCCTCAAGGTTCTATTCTTGGTCCCTTATTTTTTATCCTGTATGTTAATGATTTGAACAATGCTTCCCTGCTTGATGCAATCTTGTTTGCTGATGATACAAACTTATTTATCTCCCATAATGACCCTGTTTACCTAATTAACACATTAAATAGAGAATTAAACAAATTGTCAACCTGGTTTGCAGCAAACCGGCTCTCCTTGAATTTAGCCAAGACTAATTTTATGGTATTCAAGCCTTGGCAAAAGAAGCAATCCTTTGAATTTCAAGTTTTCATAAATGAGCAGCCTATTCTTCGTGTTTCTGAGACCATGTTTTTGGGTGTTTTATTAGATGACAATTTGACCTGGAAATCATATATATCCTTAACAGCAAATAAATTATCCAAATCTATAGGTATTATTCATAAATCTAGGTTTTTTCTCTCTACTCACTCCCCTTCGTACTTTTATACAATTCTATGATCCTTCCATATTTGTATTATTGCAATTTAGCTTGGGCTGGTACCTATAAGTCAAACCTTCAAAGAATTGTAACCTTACAGAAACGTGCGTTAAGAATAGTAAGCAATTCTACATACATTGCCCATACTGGCCCTATTTTAAAGGAACTTAAACTCTTAAAATTTCATGATATCCATTCGTTTCAATTAGGTACTTTTATGTTTTCATTCGAGAACTCTACACTCCCTTCCAAATTCAATAACTTTTTTTTACTGAACAGTCAAATCCACAATTATAATACTAGGAATGCTCAGTCCTTCCGTTTGCCACTGTGCAGAACGAACACCAGGAAGTTTTCAATTTACTTTCAAGGTTCAAACTTTTATAATTCGTTAAATTCTGACATAACTAGTTCTCCCTCCTCCGCCTCTTTTAAAAGAAAGCTTAAGGAATTTCTTCTCTCTAAGTATTAGCTTCTGTAAGGCAGTAATTCTTAACTAACTTAGTTAATATGTGTGTGCGTGTGTGTGTGTGTACGTGTGCGCGGTCAAAGTTAATTACCATAAGTCCATATTGTAATTCTAATATAAGATTATTTATTTTAAGTGAGAAAGCCTGACTTGTTATAAGCCTCGTGGTTTCTTTCAGGTTTTCTCGCCATTTATTTTCTGTCATCAATATTCTTCATTTTTTTTTTCCATGTGTAAATGTCGTATATGGCAAATAAATATTGTATTGTATTGTATTGTGTTTAAAGCAAGTATGAAGGGAACAGGAGAGTAAACTTTATTTAGAAGGATAATTAATTTCAAAGGTACTTTAAACTAAAGAAAAATGAGTGATTGTAGGATTGAATTTGTCTTGCGCTCTGTATTTGGCATAAATGCTAGAGGATTCCACTGAATACGATTTATATTACTTATCACTTATCCATGTTAAATTGTACAGGATGCCCTTCAACTTAAAAACAGACCATTTCTTCATACTACAACAGTTGTCTTCATTGTGGTGCCAATGTTACAGGTGTGGCTTGCACAGAACAATTGCTTTCTTCGATCCCTACCATACTTGTTTACAGTTGGGGTTAGTTCACACCACCTGCGAGATGGGAACAGGTGTGGCTTATGGTTTTGGCCCCTTGGGAGTACACCACCTCTGCCATACTGGATATACATATGTTGTATTGTTGCCCTACCTTTTATTGTCAAAGAAACAAAAGCTAACATTGACAAGCTGGTTGTTATTCCTCTAGCTGAAAACAATGTAGTCCTTCTGGATGTATGAAAATTAACTGAATAGAGCAATTTATCCATTTCTTTTATTCAATATAGGGACATACTGACAAATTTTATTCAAATGCTTTCCCATGACTTAATACAACAGCTGCATAACTAAAAAGGGCTTTAGCAATAGAAAAGTGCACATTTTGTTAAGGGTTATATTTAGGGTTTGAGAAACTCAGGTAAATAAACTGTATGACGATAATAGGTAGTCTGGCATTTTAGTAATTATAGGCCTCTTACCTACCCCTTCTTGGGCCCAAAACTGAATGGTTCATCACTAAAAACTGCAAAATCAATTAATTCTATTTTGGAATGATCAAAAGCTCCTAAAACCAGGGAAACAAGACACAAACCCTATGCTTGAGTAATTGGTTTCTTAAATGCTGACTTGTACCACTGCAAATTACTGCACAATAAATGGTGATGTTCTGGTGAAATGAGAAAAATAAAAGCAGGGGGAAAATGGAAAAAGAGAGATGATAAAGAAAACAAAAACAAAGATTTGTTTAGGCAGAGACTGATTCAGAATCCTCTTGCAAAAGAGGAGAAGCACTATCCATCAGCCCAAGTTTGCAGAGTGTTACTAATCCATAATGAGTCTTTTCAGTGGCCTTCTACTCAACTGTTTGGCTAATTCTCTTTTCCGTTCTAAAGTTACTCAGCTATTTCCAGTGCATTAGCGGAAATTCAGCAAATCCTGGAACCAGATTGGCTCCAGAGGTGGTAAGAATCTTCTGCTCCGTTCAAGGGGGTGATTGGAATCGTTGTCAAACGGCATAACCTTTGTTAACTTAATTGTAGAGACCGTCAATCTTAAAACTTTAGAATACTTGTAAAACTAATCGATATTCTCTCCCACTCAACCTCATTTCTTTGGTTTGCACCATTTAATGTCAAAATAGTCTGAATATGAGATAATTGAAACGACTAACAAAGTTTTTGTGAAGAATAACAATCAATTTCTACAAACAATCAATTTTGGAGAATTTTACAAGTAAAATTAACGACTTAACCTCTTCTTTATAGAAGCTCAAGAATACCCTATCTCAGATTAAATCTTTACGTGATGGTTTGCATTCAAGTTAAACAATGACTATACTTCACATGTCTACAAAATAAACACTTCTATTAAAATAACCGCAAAATAAGCGCAAATTTGACTAGTGTACCGCTAATTGCCTTTCAGCCTTGTCAAAGGAGGTCTTATAATTGAATTACAAATACCAGTGGTAAAAATTCTACAAAGATGATTTCTTAAGAATAATATTTCAGAGTAAAAAGTTACGTTTCAATAATTGCGATTTATAAATTGAAATCGACGTTTTAAAAGAAAATTGAATTTTCTCGTGCTGTCTCACAAATAAAACATTTCAAATTGTCATGGAATTGTCATTTAATTTCTGTATTTTAAAATGATTCTCTCCTCTAAACGTTTCTCCTTTTCTTTACTGGGGCACTATTGAATCAATTAATTGAATCTGGTGCAGTTGTTTGGATCAATTATAAATTTTGCACATATTGAAAAGAGCGGTAAAAGGTATGTTTGCATTTCCAGAGGAAATCGCCCTGATTAAAAAAAAAAAAACTTTGATAAACAACAGCCAACTACAATTAACCTTTGAATCAGTTCCACTGATCGAAGTATATCAAAATTAATTCAAATAAAACTGCATCACGAGGAAAGCCTCATTTTCGTGAGCACAATTTGTCGCTCCTAGCGGAAGATTCACGACTTACAGCCCAGTTCAACTCTAACTTGGTCTGTTGGCCCAAATATAAAACAGTCACCACCGCCTGTACTGCTTCAAATTTTTATGTAGCTCTTTGATGTTCAATTCAATGCAGGCGCTAAACCAGGTGGGGTATATCTCGTTCCCTCGAGCCGTAACTCGAAGGCGGTCTACCATCTGACAGGAGGCTCTCTCTTTCATCAGTTGATACACTTGTCTGGTTAGGAGACCGACGGCTGCGACGTCTGCGAGGTCTTCGCGCATGTCTACGAACTTGATCCAAGTCACTGTCAGTGGGAGGAGGTGGCAGATTCTCATCATCAAATGCCCACGACATATGCAGCTGACCACGCCTCCACGGTGTGCGCGCAATCACATGGAAAAACGTCTCGACTCGGTGCCAAAGTAGGGTTAGGAACTGAATCACGATAATTAACCCGTAAATACAGAGAAACGCAAGACCCAGCACGTTGGTTCCCAAGACCTGCAGTCTAGTCTGTCTCATTAGAGTAATGATCAAAATAATCCAAATTATGTTTGCGATGAAAAAAACCATCAGAGTGTAATTACGGAGATCTTCAAGCTTCTCTTTGAGTTCCTCGACGGCCCCAAAAACTGCTGATTCAGGTAAGAGACAAAGTTGGCGCAGACCTGTCGATCAATCCGTTTGAACAGGTAAGTTAAATTATTGACATTTAACGTGAAAAAGACTTAATTTTTTCCACTTGTTTAATATAAGGATTGGAAGAAAGAGAGGAAAATTAGAACGAAATTTCCATGTTGCCACTGATGTCTCCCTTAATTTCCCTACAAACAACATCTTTCCAGCAGAGATGTCATGAAGGTATATGTATGACCCTACCTGAACCTTAGGAAAGTTTCGTTACGAAATGCGTAATACATGATACTTTAAGGAAAACCCGCTCCCCCTTTCAAAGTTAAGAAAAAGCGAAGTGCACACTACGATCACGTGAAATTGTTTCATCGACATCTCAAACGGTTGTGGAAGTTCAGAATTCCCAGAGTGAAAAAAAGTTTTCTCATCTTGAATTAAATTTTAAACAAAGACTTATCGTAGTAGCCGTAAGGTCACGTGATGCGTTTAGATGCGTTTAGACCAATCGCACGCGGGCAAAACTTTTTGAAGGATCATAATTTAGATTAACATATCACAAAATATAAAGCACATCACAGGAATGGAGCAGTATCTACCTTACCTTCCCAAAAAAAGAATTCATGTCCACCATCCTGATTGTCCACTTTTAAATCCATGACATGCAACTTGTTTGTTTCTTCACGAGTTAAACGAATTCGTCTCTGAGCTGTAGAAGAAAACGAACTCTCTTGAGCCCTTTCACCCCTAAGATCTCAAAATAAACTCTCCTCACGATCTATAAAACATATCTTTTAAACTTAAGCTCTGAGAAATTGGTGTTAAATAAAATAGCGTTCTTAACTTTTTTCTTTCGCCTCATCACTTATCTACTTGAAAAAATCTCAACGAGAAATTACAGAGAGCTTTCTCTACCACTCTTGTTTTATTTCCCACTAACTCATTTTCTTGAAAATTCCCCCATCATACCTCTTTACCCCCCCCCCCAAAAAAAAATGCTCTCCTAAAAAGAAGGAGATATAAAAAAAGAAAAAAAAATTGCATTGGTTTTGCGTTGCTTCACTCTGTGACTGGCCTGGAAAACTCGCAAAACCCGCACAAACAGTCAGACGTAACTTTAGAGGCAATTCACGGTTTGGTCACTAGCGTTTTCGTGCATTTTGAGCAAATCACTTGTCTATTGTCATATTGTGTCAAATCACTTGTCTATTGTCATATTATGTCAAATCACTTGTCTATTTAGCTTTACTCCGCGCTATGATTCGTCAAGGAGACTCGCTCCACTCTCCTCCGCGCTGTGATTCGTCAAGGAGACTCGCTCCACTCTCCTCCGCGCTGTGATTCGTCAAGGAGACTCGCTCCACTCTCCTCCGCGCTGTGATTCGTCAAGGAGACTCGCTCCACTCTCCTCCGCGCTGTGATTGGTCAAGGAGACTCGCTCCACTCTCTCAACTGATCAGAGGCAACACTGGGCTTTGGGCAGTTTGCTTGGTTTTACTTTGAGTTCTCATGGACTCTTTAAGGTTTTATCCTTTCTTCTGATTAATTTTTGTGATAACTTTGGTTGTGGGTTTACGATACTCGATCGAAAAGTACTGTCCTTTCTACGGCACTGATTGGCAGAATTTACCTTCACTCGGGTACTGGACTTTCTGGATCGCCTTGTAGAGCTTATCAAGATGGCCCGGTTTGTTGATTCCGAAGGTCTCTTTAAGCGTTTCCTTGTTCATAATTTTTAGATCTTCTAACATTCTAGGTTCCGTGTAGCCACTCTGAGTAAAGTTAGTCCAGTATTCATCAAGTCCTAGGTCAGTTAACCAGTCCTCGACATTTTCCTGAAAATAAAGTTCTCATTAAAGAGAAGCCAAACAATATTTGATGTCTGAGCCTCGGACAAAATACAGCCAAAAACTTCTTGTCCACTCAGACCTGAGTGAAACTGTAACAACTGCCTTGTGCAGAGCGCGTTGCAAACTTTTCGTATCTAGGTTAAACTAATTTTGTGGATTAATGATACGAACGGGACTGACATACAAATACATGCAAAGATTTGATAAACATGCAAAGATTTGATAAACATGCAGTAATCGAGGGACCAAAATGGATTCTAGGTGGGGTGGTGTACGTAGTTGACATGCCATTCAGTTCATTCGGTTGTCAGAGACAAAGCTGGCGTGATTGAATTAATAATTACCGGAACTTCTTGAGGAATATCCATTTGGGGTAGTTTTTCAATTTCCATCAACAACCTCTTCCGGTGACCACGTTTCTCAATTCCGATGGCTTTCAAATGCTGTTCGGAACAAAGAAGTAAAACAAAATAATTCTCAACATCTTGGTGAGAATGCGACTCGCTCCCGAAATCAACCAAGTAGCAAGCCAGATCTCAAAATAAGGAGGCACGTATCTGGTATAAAAAATAACGTTTTAGAATACTTGACCTACTTAAAGGCTACGTGACCACGACTCGCAAAAATTGATAAGCAGCTCGCTCACTTTATCGAAAACGCTGCCATCATTCACACACAAATAATGTTTCATTTTAATAATTACACTTGTGAACAACCAGAGTGCAACACAATAAACTGATGAGGAGCTACAGTGTATATGTGACATCCGGTACTCACCTTGTCAGTCATACCAACGATGAAACTAACGCTGTCATAACCACCGTCTCTGAAGTTTTGGACGTAAATCTGCAAGAGACAGTGCAACAATAAAAGTGCTTTGTAACAAAAAGCGGGAGTAAAACCGCATTTGTTTTGAACTGTATTTGAAACTCGTCAGCAAAAGGCAAAAAAATAACGGAAGGAGAGGGAAAAATCTCGTTTCTCTACCTTTTTCCACCGATTAGCGAAACAATACACTCGTCTTTGAATACAGTATTTAGCACCTTCGTTAGACGAGGACTATTACGCTGTTAACCACTCGTTCAAACCAATAGTAAAAGACAGTCACAAGGACTAACATCCTTGTAAGAAAAATGAAAGAGAAAGAAAACCTGTCCATGATCTCATCAGGCTCATGTGCACATCAACTAAATATACAAGAAAAGATACGTTTAGAATATTATCCTTGATTTAATTGGTTTCTCTTTCTTTCACTTTATGACTGGTTTAGAAAACCTCTGCACGTTTTCATACAGTTGGATGCAACTATGTCTTGACCACTCAAAATTTTCAGACCTTAAATTAGTTTATTTGCTTTAAAATTTAGCTTCACTTGGCTCCTGGTTCCAGATCTCTACCAGATGGATAGCGCAGTACGTTTTGTTTATACTTATCCGCTGACTAGCGATTTATTCATTGGATGATGATATCCGCCCACTGACCTACGGGGACAGCCCCCGTAAGTTTTTTCCTTCCATCTCATTACCCATTTAGAAAACTTTGCTTTAGGTATTACAATACTTTATCGAAATACAAAATAGGAGCACAAATCAAGCTTACCTGAAATTCTTTTTGAAGCCAGTCCTCCACAAGAGTCTCAGGGTGCATCCGTGGAAGCTTGGCAGCGAATGTGACTTTTTTGTCACCCGGATAGCGCCATTTCCCTAGGCGACCGCTGTCCTCTTTTAGGCCATCTTATAGAAAGTATCATAGGTAAATAACACACACACAACATGGCTTTCCTAAGATCCTGAAGTTTACTGTTAGAGACCAAAAGTTTGCGATGCAAATGGTTGGATGGATCAGAGCAAATTTCCCTTCTAAAAGACTTCACTTCCAATTTAAATTAGCAAGAACAAACTTGATAAATGAGCAGCCAAGTGGCCTACAACAAAAGCTTATTTCGAGTAAAAACTACTTAAACACCTCCAAGTTAACTAGTACACGAGAATATCGGTAATTTAATTTACAATGTTCCTTTAAAATTCCAGGTGGGAATAGTGGCGATTCATTGCCAATTCCCAAAATGTCGCGTTCCAGAACTACATGCGACAGACTACGGACGACCAAATTTAAGAATATGATTGACTAAAATGATTAAGACCTCGCAGTTTATAGCATCCCTCCTTAACGTGATTCAGACTGGTACAGTGATGGTATAAGTCACTAGAATGATACAAGCATAAAATAGAAATCATCGGTCAACTGTTAGAGAACAACCCTAAGAGCATTACTACAAAGATTGAAGTGTGCATTCAAGAGTGCACTTACCGCGAGGTGTTGAAGTCCGACGCACTATCGGCTGCTTCATGGCTGACCTCGGAGGCAGTTCATCCACATGTTTACCGTGTACTAAAGAGGAAGCTGATGCACCATCTGACCCGTTGTCAGAAACTTCCTGAACGGATGGGGCAGCGGCATTGTCTCCAGAACCTTGCAAGCCACTGTCCGAATCTGAAGTCTCCTGAGATTAAGTGGAAATTGCAAAACAAGTCGAGCAAATTCTTTTGTTCCACTAGTATCCGAGAATTAGTCGGTTGAAACAATTATAATAGGGCGGAATTGGGTCAATTTCAATACTGGCTATTGAAGACAAGACTGGCGCGTTTAGATGAGACAGCTTTGAAAAATAAAGTTTCGAAATGCCCTATGTTGTGGTTGCTAGAGAAGAGAAGGATGGAATGGTCACTCAACGATTAGCACAGCAGGACTCTTGGTCAAATGGTCCGGATTCGAGATCTGACTGGGTCATTATGCTGTGTTATCGTATCGCTGGAAGCGCCCCTGAGCAATACGAAGTGATTCCTGTGTTCCGATTGGCTACCCGAACAAGCAAGATAGATATATACCGACCACTTTTAATACAGGTGACCGTTTAAAACGGTGCCGCTCAATACAGGTTCGACTGTAACTCACAAGGCACTTGCGTAACAAATAGAAAGGACAAATTCAATTAAATCATTGAAACCTCAAAAACATGGTAAATCAGCTGCCAAATACGTGTAAAATGTGGCCAAATGGCAGCCAAATGGATACGCGAACATCAATTTGAAGACAAGAATTAAAATCGCTTACGCGCCGCAACAAAATATTCCCATATCTATCGTCGGAACCGTTGTCATCGTCAACTTTTAAACTTTGAAGCCTGTTTCTTTCCATTTGAGCATTCTTCCGCGCATTGCGTCTTTTCTAGTGAGGCCTAAAAGGGTGTAATTTGATCAGGGATAGAGCATAAAAAGAAGACAAAACCAAATAAATCCTTTTAGCCTATGGCCCAATGACAGATGCCATTTTAAATTATGTTAATAACTACATGGACTCTTGCACCCCCAAGGAATTTGAGCAGAACACAATAGCACGACTTTGGGGACAGAAGCAAACCTAGTAGGGGAGGCAGGGAATAACACGCTAATCCAAGGTTAAATGCATGCAAACCTCAAAGTATGACTGACGTCATACCATGAGGTAAAAATGAGGAGGCAAGAGAAGGGGTTGGGAGGGACAATACAATAATATCAAACGTTTGTGAGGGAGGGAGAAGGGCATATCAACACTTTCCCAGTGACAGCTGTGCGATTTAAGGGGCACTGACCTCTGGAGAAGTTGCAGTTTCTGATTCTGTTGGAGGCCCATCTACCCTGTCAGTGACAGCAGGCTGCGGCGCTGGTTGTGGTCCGCAACATGTGCAAATGGATCTGATCTTTGCCCACAACTTCTCATACCAAGGAACATCGTCCACCTTTTTGCTTTTCTCTTCTCTTGTACCTGGGAAAAGTGACCGTATTGAAAAAGAGACTCTTGCATACCAATATCAAAATCGTACACCATCCTAAAACAAAGCCCAATGCCCACAAAAGTAATAAATTGTTTTCGTCATTACTCGTAACCCTAAGCAAAAAGATATGGGTTTATAAGGAGATCATGACTTTAGACGAAACAAAACTGGGCGGAAAAATGTGATAGGATTTCATAAAATAAACGAGATAATTCGAAGTTTAGTCTACTGCTTACACAAAGTACGACGAGGGAGAAGAATGCAGGTCCAGGTCAAACGATATGTAACCTAAAATGCACCAAAAATGTCACAAAGAACGCGGAGAAAACATTTAGCTGAGAAAGCGTTGCAATATTCGCAAGTTTCAGTGCACTCATTCTGTAGCAAACTAAGACAAGCTTTCCCGCATATGGAACTAAAGAGTATACATACCCTAGCCCAGGGTTTGTATGCTCTCGAGTGCCAAGCGGCATGCATGCAACTTTTCAGTTGAGTGTGGATTGTGTGGATTATAATCTTGGGTGGGCCTGGTTTAGCTTTTCTTTCTTTTCTCTTTCTTTGCTCAGTGATTGGTCCATACGTCTCGCGCCACTTCCACAACCAATCAGATTCAAAACTAAAACCAATCTCACTTCAGCCACTTGCGTCTTCGCGAGCTTCAGGCAATTTGCTTGTTTTCACGTTGAGTTCTCTCCTTTTCCTACGTTCTGATTAGTTACTGTAATTACTTTGGTTTGGGTTTAATGACACTTGATCAAAAATAGCTCGACTACGCTAAGAAATGAAGATTTCACATACCCCAAGATCGATCTGTGAGGTTACAAATAGAGTAAATGATAAGCAGCAGATACCCGGACGGAAGGCAGAGCAAATACCACAAGCCATGAACCAGACAATACGCTTCTGTAAGATGCAGCAAGGCAGCTAATATGAATATTCCAATTAAGCCAGCCAGATACAGAGTGCTTACGTCAACGGGAAGCTCGAAGGATCCAGGCACCTCAGTGGTAGGGTTAGTTGATGTGGTAGCATTTGTAAGCATCCCAGCAAGCCTTGGATTTGGAGTAAGAGGGTCCTGCCATGCATCAGCGGAGAGTGGGGAGCGGAAAAGAGAAGCGGTGGTTGACTTCTTAGACGGAACTGTGGATCTTGCTGGTTGAGTCACTGGGGAAGTAGTTGAAGTTGGAGTTGGAGTAGGCGGATGTGAACGTTTGTAAAGGTCATCACCAACTTGTGCGGCCACGCCCACGGTCACATAAGCCATGAGCAAGGCGAACACAATTGTCAAAATAAATGCAGTTTTCAGCTGGAAGTCTTGCGAGGTGTAGAGGCAAATCAAACCATAACCAACTGAGGTAAGTATCAAGAGAACGAGTAGTGCAGTTTGGTTTGAAATTGGAAATTCTGCATACTGCAGCCCTGACATCATGATCAGAATAACCGTCGAAGGACTGTATGAAAAAATGTCTCTTTAGTACGAACTAACACAACATCTGGACTGGAAATGAAGAAAAAACAACCCTAAACAACTACCATCAAAATACGTTCATACGTTGACGAAGAGCGATGAGGCACAGATGTTTTTTTGGCCAGGGAGGTTAAAAGTGGTCAAATGTTCCTCCACGTTTCACTACACTACGAGCAGTCCTTCCTTTTCAACCAAATCCGTCGCGCGAGTCAAAAAAAAAAAGTGAAAAAAGTTAGCGCGTCACACAGAACTCCAAGAGTGAGCCTACTTTTCCACAAGAGGTAGGAGGTGCGCTAACATCAATTTCAATCACTTATTTTTTGTTTAATCTCGCGACAAACTTCGCCAAAAACAAGGGACTACTCGTAGTCTAATGTTACACATAATCTTGATTTTCACTCTAATATCCGGTTAAACACTGTCATTATGGCAAGTACAAAGATGGGTATCACCTTGGTTCAGGGGCTTATCATCTATAAAATTATTTCTCAGTCCACTGTCTCAACGCCCGGCTAAACGCGACATTTTGCAGAATTGTTGCACACAACGTGTTAAATACCTTTGGCCAGCCTATAGCAACATGTTGTAAGATGTTGAATGGTGTCGAATCGAGATAGAAAACGGTTTTCTTTTGTTGTAGCATTGTTGGATGTTTCAAGAAGTTGTGCGCGTTTGGTCAGCTGCTACACAGTACGATCATACACGTTTTTGTAAGAAGTTGCATTAGAGTATTGCGTGCGTTTGGCTAGGCCTTCAAGAGAAGCCTTTTTGTTAGTCAACTTGATAGTCCCTCCCTGGCTAAAAGACATCTTTGCCTTAACATCTCTGATTTCCAGCAAACCTGATAACTGTTGAGAAGACCATCAACGCCTGGTAAAGAATAAACGCAAATGAAATATAGTTGTTGGTTACAGTTAGTTTCCACTGACTGATAACAAGGGCCAGATTAGCTAAGGTGGAGGGAATCCATCGTCGCCTCTGTTTGAAGAATTCGTCAAAGTTGTCTGGGCAGAAGGTACTATCTTCAGCTGCAGCACAATAGTCTAAACGCCAGCCCGACTGAACCATCAGAGTACACAGCCATCGATCCTCACCTGTAGACGTGAAAGCAAATTTAAAATGGGATGATTACACCGATTACATAGTTCAGGGTTCAGTTGTAGCTCTTGAGTGAGTTTATTGCGCCTTGTTTAAAAACTTTCCAATACTTTCAATACCTTTTTATCGGTCTTGAATTTTTTTTTTTTTGGGTTGGTATTTTGGAGTCTTTTCCAAGGGTCAGGATTCTACCATCTAAATACCAGTACTAGTTGTATTTGCTGACAACGAATGCACAGGAAAGGATCAGAAGGATCAGAATTTTTTTGCAATGCCTGAGGTGGCTAAGAGCTGGAACTAAAAGTACCCTTGACTCTGATGATACTCAGGTTGTCGAAACGTCAGTCACTACTACCGGTACCGACAACAGTTCTTCTCAGGACTACTCTCACTCGGACTATTAGAGCATACGATCATATAAAGGTACTTCCGTGTTCACAAAAGCTTACCCATGTCTTTGGTGAGGAAATCGAATGACGTGTCAACTTTGGAGGAGTATATGGACAGCACGTCCCTGATTGCAGCGGCTCTGTAAACACTGAAACAACCCGGTGAGCACAGAACGGATCCAAGAACATGGTTAGCCACCTATGTAATGGGAGAACATCTGGTAAACACTCAAATGAAACCCAGGTTTCTTTTTTTGTTTTAACTTTGTCCGATACTCATGCCATACATGTACATCAGCATGCTGATCAACTTCACACGTTGACTGAACTCAAAATTTATCATAATTCTTACTCTAGATCTACCTCTACAAAGGAAAATTTTGACATTGCTAGCCTCCAGGAAAGGCGTAATTTTGGCGAGCGAGTGCTCAGAATCTTTCTTATTGAAAATTATACATATAGCTGCCATCTTTGATTTTAACAGCAGTGGAAGGCTGGAGAGAGAAAGAAATTTGTATCAAGGGGTGAGCGACAGTCAAAAGGAAGGATAGGGGAGGGGTGGGGAAATAGCAATTACTCCATTCATTCATCGCCTATCCCTGCCCCTTCCCTCTAACGTCCATTCTGGCTCAAAATCAAACATAGCCAGTTAAATGACGATCGCGAGCTTGTAACGTTGACTCGCCCGATTAAGACGCCACCACTGTAAACTGGACATCGTTCATCCCCAGTACCTTTGAAACCAAATGCCCCTAACCTCGTTTTGAAATTATAGCAAAGGTATATATAAACAGGGTTATACCTTTTGGAACCAGTGTCCAATTGCGTAATCAAAGATCTGGTACCAAACAATCGGTCCAACACCCAAGGGATGAGTTCTCCCACAAACAGCGCCCACATTGGGATCTCTCATCATAAGATCAAGAAGCGCTTCTACTGATTCATGAGTAAACCTGACGTCAGCATCCGTGGTTAGTATGTAGGTGTTTTCATCTGTCACTGTAAAACAAAAAAAGAGTGTCAACAGCTTTTACATTGACTCAATACACAGGCAGGTACGCGTGAGCCTTAAGGCCTTCCACAAAGTTTCCATGAAAAAGATGAGAGGGATTTGGAGAGAAGAGCTAAAGAAGCCAATTACTCCCCATGGCATAACCAAGCTACGGTCGTTGGGGGATTATTTTGCCCAAACAATTTTAAATTTCCGGATTGAGTGAGGACAAAGGTTCTTTTGTTAATTGAAGAAATTAAATTTTACATTCAACTTAGTACAAAGATCTCACCCAGCAATAAAGCAATGATACGTTTGCAGCTTGAAAACCAAAGCCAAACTTTTTCTAATTTTAACACTTTACTTTACAGACATTTTCAATCTTTTTTCTAAGCCTTGAAAATTTGCCTATAATTTTCCACTCTTTGTCTGTATGACCCTTGTATATAAATTACAGCATCTTTATTAGTTCTTATAAAATCTAACCAAAGAGGAAACTTCACAAATCTTACATGTATACACTGCAGTGCAATGCATTGTAAGCCCAATTTTGTTTGCGTTATACATCGATTAAACATAAACAGAATATCACAATGAGCATGTAAATGCGTCATCTTGTTTCCATGAGTGTACTGTACAAGTGCAAAATCTATCGTAATTGACACAAAAGCAGTTCAATTCTTACAACAAAGTCATTAAAGCTTAATTATTGCTCAGGTTAGTAAGATTCAGAGACAAATAAATTACCTTCCATTAGCTTTTCTTTAAAGTCTAACACATATGACATGTACATGACTTGACTCCACCGTTTCTTGTTCTTTACCTTAAGGAATATTATGATTCATTGTGTTATTTCAAAAGTGTAAAAGTTCTGAACAAGTAACAACCAGGACAAATAAGTAACAATATTGATCACTAGCCTCTCATTGATTTGCCACACAAGCAGCAAAGCATGCACGATTTGAAGCCCTAGGCAAAGGGAGCAAACTGGAAATATGCAAGGCTTTAATCAAGGAATGTAATTTATTGTGCCACATTTGTTGGGCATTTGTTGGGTTCCACACTAAGAGCCAGGATCATGAAAACTGATATGTCAATTTCCCCCAATTGAATTGCCTGTAAGACTTGTTAGTGTTTAACCATTAAATGACTTAACAATACCAGCCAATGAATAAGTGAAAATCAATCAGAACGCATGCATAACTGAGCTTATTATATAAACTACATTAGTGATGAATGATGCGCCCTGCATTCTCCCTGAAAACTTATTTATAAAATAATTACTGGCCCCTAAATAGCCTGAGAATATTGCAAAATTCTCATGTGAGAATAAATACACAGTCTTACCCTTAAATTATCCTTTAAATGGATGTGAAAATACATTCCACCAGGTAGCCTCCAACGCATCTGCATCCCATATGGTGTCTTCAGCTTCATACACACATCAATGGAAACTTTCAGTGCTCTTGGAATCAGTGAAATTAACTGCAAAACATAGTTATTCAAGACATCTCCTTTGATTGCTCCATCAAAGAATATATGCGACTCTATTTGCCGCCTTGATTTTTCCCTTGCACAGTCAATGTCATGCAGCGAATTAAGCAGTTGTTCCATTTCTTGTTCATTTTCATGGTACATGGTGGTGCAAATGTACACACAAGTATTCTTCACCAGTTCACCAAGTTTGACATGATAGTCATCTGTGATCTCATTTCTTCGATTCAACAAAAGATGTTGCTCCAGAAACAATCCTACAAAAGAATGTTTCATACCAATATATTATTGTGTAAGAAATAAATTAACCTTCTAGCTCACACAGGTAATTAACATGTAAATTCTCCCTATAATATCAAAACTGGTAATGAGGAATATTTAAAACATCACCCTAAAAGAAGAGGCACTTAATGGAAGGGGGGTGCTTACTATTCTCCTGTACTGATTTTGTTGTAGTCGAAGCTTCAAAAGTTATAAATAATGTGGCAATAAAAACAGGTTTTCCTCATATCCCTACTATTTAAGAAAGTGAGGGGGGCACTTTTTAACATTATGGCCTAGAAGGTGGGCCCTTTTTCATGGAAATACAGTACTCAAAGTTATCAAGTAGAGATTATAATCTTGATCTAGCTAGCACCGAATTCTTATAACTAATTTACAATGAAATATGTAGCAGCTAGAGTGGAGAATTAACAGTCAGCTCTTGGGAGTTTAAGGGTCAAGATCTTTATTCTCCATCCACCATTGTACTATAGGTGTTACTACCAAAATATGCAGTTGTTAAATAAATTATACGTTACCATTATATGTTGGCATCCAAAACAAACTTGATTCCTTTGCCATTATACCTTCTTGTTTTTTTAGCACATAGTAGCCAACTGAAAAAAACTGTGCTAACAGGAAACATCCAGTTATAACATAGAGCAAAACATCACTTGGATCACCATGCTTAAAGAAAAATATATGGTCCTCTGCCCATGTGTTACTGATTAAAGTCAGGCCAACTGAAATGGGTGTTGCAAGTATCATTGGCACTGCAAAAGCAAGAAGTTGCATGCAAATCGCACAAGCCAAGATGCCCAGCATATACCCAAGAAAGCTTGTCCATATCTGCACCATAAAGTGAACAAAACCATCAGTGTCAACACTGAGATTGTCAAACCCTTTCTGTAACTCTCTCAAGTCTGCTCTATTAAATATATAACAATACAAAGCTGCTACAAATGGAATCAAAAAAAGCTTCCACAGGCTGGTGATGATCGCTGCCTTCCCACGTGCAGATTTTGAGCGGGTAGCCACACCAAGTATTGTTTCACCTTGAGGAATAGACAACCCAGCTAATTCAACATTTGGCGATGGCTGACTAGTTGTTAGCCCGTTCAGAATAGGATTTGGTGGGTTTCTAACTTCCTTAGTTACATACTTAAAGATCTCTGGGCACCATGCAAATGATAACAATATGAGAGCCAGTGGAACACCCCAAATTGGAGTATCCCCTCTTTCCTTGTACATCTGCAATAAGAAAGAATATAAAAATTAACATACATGCATGTTAAACTGAGCAAGGTTTAAATGGGGCAAAGTATGCTGAAGCTACTTATCACAGTTTCATGACCAAGCTGTGACTAATTCCTACAATTCTTCCAGGACAGGAGATTGATCCATGCAGGTTCCTCTAGTAATACAACCAGATACTCTGGCAGTCTGCTAGACTAATAATTGTCATAGTCATGAGTAGTAATATGCAATGTAAGAGGTAAATAGTGTCTTGGCCAAAAACACAACACAATGACTCAATCATAATAGACCTTTTTACAGTTCTCAGTGCCATATTGGATTAGTAACCGCGCACACACAATAACGAGGCTGGAGTTGACCTGGCGGTTCTTTCAAACAGCTGATCTGCTGACATTTCACATTCTAATGCACTTTTCAATGCAATTTCTCCCTTCAAAATGGTTCTTTAATACAACAATATGGAAATTTTGTCATTAGGTGACATCCAGAAACTCAAAGCAAAAGATCTCAGGGAGATTTTAAAATCTAATTCAAAATCAACGGGCAGAATTAGAGCTGACTTAGTGTCGAAAGTTTATGCTTTGCTGACATAAAACGTCCTTCCATCGAGTAGTGGAAAAAACAGAGAACTTCTCACAGATGTCCAGGACCTAGAACAAAACCAGAGCAACTTCAGATACGAAACAACTATGGTGAGGATTTCAGCCCTTGGATGGTTTCAAGTGATCTCCGTAATTTACCTAAGATGAATTTCATTCAGCTTCACGAGTACCCCATTGTTTCACGAGAATATTGCCACATCGTGTTGAGAGGAACGCATTACAGGAAGTACCACAGAAGCTGTTCAGTATGGCTTAGAAAGAGAGACAAAAGCTGTAGCCCTCTAGGTAGAGGAGATCTGTTATTGCTGCTATTGTTGATGTGGTACTTGTTGTTGTACCATATTCTTCAGTTTAAGTTATTCCCATTTTGTTTACCAAGATGTATGTTAGTTTGCTATTTGTACATTGTATCTTATGGGAAACTATACAATAGAGCCTGTAGAACCACTTGATTATAACCCTTCTTTCTACCCTTGCAAACTGAATTCCCAGTTTTCTGGGAATTCCTAGGAATTCCTGAAAATTCCTAGGAATTCCTAGGAATTCTAAACAATTCCCAACTATGCAAATTAACTCTGATTTAAAAAGCTTGGAATTACTGGGAATTTCTGGGAAAGGAAGACTCCAGTTTTGTGAGGACTTGGAATCCCTAGGAATTCCTAGGAATTCTCAGCTATACAAACTACCTATAATTTAAGAAGTGTGGAACTCTTGGGAATTTCTGGGAATTGAATTTGAGGCAATTTAAATACCCTGAGGTCCACATAAATTCTAAGAAATTCTCAATACCTGAAAAGGGGGAAGGTTTTAAGAAAAGGAGTAATTTCAGAGGCTTTAAACTTTAGCTCAATAAAAGGTATGCTATACAAAACTTACCAAGAGATACACATACATGTATATGTTTATAACTTAAAGATCATGGAATTTATTATTCAAACTAAGTTTTAGTAAATCTTTACATTAATATGGATTTTCTCATGAACCAGCAGTCAGTTATGTTAAATGGAAATTGCCAATTAATCCAATGTACTCATATCACAGATTTGCTTTCTAACTTCAAAGGACTCTTGGATTCCATGATCAAAAAATATTTTATTGTGATGCAAATTAATGTCTCATGTTCACTGATGTGCCAAAATCATCAAACATTCATTAGCTGTTCCTTGGTACACAACTTCCACAATAATTAACAATAATTACTTTGTTATCTACACTTAAAGAACTTTGTTAGTTATGATCATAAGTTACTTCCCTAACCTACATCACTGATTGCCTTTGTTAGAAAATCTTGGAACAGTCAAGCTCAGTTGCCTCAAACACTGTCAGAGACTTTTTGTTGACAATATTTTTAGTAGAAATTTCATGCCTTAGACAAACAAATTCAACACCTAATTAATCTTTCTTTTTTCATGATTTTTGTTGCTGTTTTTTTTTCAGTTTTTGCTCTGTTTTCGTGACTAATTGCTGTAATTTGTTTTGCTGTTTTTATTCTTACAAAACATTTTTGTAAGAGTTCCAATACTTGTGGATCATCCACACACTTTGCAAACATTTGGCAATGTTCCCATTGAGAAAAAACACCTTTTAAATGACGTCTTCAATTTACTTTATTTGAAACTCTGATCTGAAAATATTTGTCAACAAGACTTGTTAGTAGTGAGAAGTACCAACCAAGTTTCCTTTCATAACTTAATTTCTTAAATGTCCCAATCACTGGATCTCCCAAAAAATATCACATCTTTTTATTTTTGGTGCAAAATACAAGTCCTTCTTTATATAAAAATGAAAAGTGCAATTCACACTTCAATAATAACAGCTCTAAAGTTTACTTGTTGTTCTTCTCTGTCTGTCAGCTATCAACAAAATTGTTTTATACTTCGGACAGTGCATAACTATTTGTGGACCAGAGTTTAACGCACCTCTGTAATCGCATATAGTTACTTCTGTCTCTTGTACAAATGTTTCTCCTTTGTAAGACGCACTCTACTCTGTTGTCACTACTGCTTTAAGTTCAGTGGAAACGACTGACTGAGGAATCGAGATGGCGGTGTTGAAACGTGTTGCTGAACGCTTGCTACGGTCAAGCTTTGTAGATTTAGGTACTGGTACACCGGGATCATCTATGTACCTCTTATACTTCCTAATGTGGTATCCTTCTTTTATAAATATGAGGGTAAAAGATGATTTGTAGTCGCATTCAAAACTGTGATTGGCTTGTGTTATTTCCCACCTTTGCCATGAACACAACTCAAGTGAGTTTTGAGTCTTTGTTTCCTCGACAACTTTCGGCCACAAATCGTGCATTTGTAATACGATCGATTCTTGTCCATTATTTCTACATAGAGTGAGCTCACATCATTATTTATATCACCAACGTATCCATGGTCTAGAAGCAGAGAACCGGTCGGAGAAGTCAGAATAAAGTTATGCGCTTCTCTCAACAATGCAATCGGCAAGCCAGCGGATTCACTTTGCTAGCCAATGACAAGTCCTAAAAGATCCACGTGATCATGCCCGTGATCGGAAACAAAGAAGACTCCATTTGGCGCTCATCTTTGAATGTACTTTTCATCGATTGATCGTTTTTCTCAACTGTTTTGCTTAATATAACATTTCTAAAGATAGCTTTTATTGTGGTTCAATGGGAAAACGAGAACAGCGTGAGTGTTGTAAAAGAAAGGAAAGTCGTTGGCGCCGTGGAGTTAAAAGAAGGGACAACAGTTGACATATTGACTGGTACAAACAAGGGTCGAGTGGCCATCTGTAAAGCTACGATTTTGAAAGTTTGTGGTGAGTAAAAATTGCGATATTCGTTACGTGATCAAAATCTTATAAAAGAATAGATGTAGCGGGTTGAATTAAGCTTACATAACGCTCGGCGCAACTGAAACTAGAATAATTCTGAGAATCGAATCGGTCACTTGCATGCCGCAGTTTCTTAAGCTTATGCTTTACAATGAAATAAACCTATCAGTAAGGTTTCAAGATTCCTCTAGTCACGTTTGGGAACATTCAAGATTCATAATAGGAACTGTTATTAAACAAACCTTATTACATAAAGAAGCCCTCCTTGGTAAAAACCAAATAATGTGTTCAGCCCTTTTTTAGTAAAATCTATGAGAGAGATGTACTAACTCCAATATAAAAGTCACTCAACATAACAGAGATTTCTCAATTTGAGAATCCAATGAATGCCCTTTTCCTCATAGCCATCTTAAAGGCCTGGTCTGAGCTTTAAATATACATATTTAAATATATATTTTTTTTTCAAATTCAGATGTCATGGAATCCAGATACAAAATGGTCAAGCTTCTTGTAGACAACCTCATTCAAGGCCAACTCATTGTGAGCCCAGGAAAAAAAATACAAACAGCAGCTAAGTTTGCAGTTTAGGATAACTTCATTCTAATTTATTGTTACAGTTACAACAAGATTTTAATCAAAAAATCTATTTTATTTGTCTGTAATTAACCCCTTCACTCCCAAGAGTGCTTGGTTTTCAAATATAATTTAAGATATTGTATTTTATGGAAAAGAATCAAAAGATTTTATTCACAATTTGTGTCAAACCAAATTTAATGATTGATTAGAACTATTTTATATGAATAGCTGTAATTGAGGATTATCCGTATGAAGTTTTCAAGAAAAGAAAAATAAATCAAATTCCATTCCAATATTACCACACATTGATGTTAATAATTAATCAAAAATATTTTACATGTAAGCCTTAATTAAGCTTCTAAATAAATTTCATTGAATACTTGAATTTTAGCTAGGTTTTTTTAATTTAAAGTATTCATTTTATATCATTAGCCTCAAATTTTTGCTTAAAATTCCCAGTAATTCTTAAACATTCCTAAAAATTCCCAGAAATTCCTAGGAATTTTTTAGATTTACAGCTTTTCAGGGAAAGTCATTGGTTCTCTGAGTTGGAATTCCTAGGAATTCCAAGTCCAGTTGGCTATAAACTTGGAATTTCTAGGAATTTCTGGGAATTTCTAGGAATTTCTAGGTTTTTAGAACCAGAGTTGTTATGGTTGGGAATTCCTAGGAATTCCCAATCCGAATTTACCGTGAAAATTCACACCTTTATTCCTAGGAATTCCAAAAGCCATTTTGCAAGGGTATCAACCCATGAGGGAAACTGCAACTAACAGATGTCATAATATTTCGAAACCCACCAGGCCCAGAACAACTTATGCTCGTGATACATTGAAAACCATTTTCATTTCACAACTCGTGGTAATTTATTAGGTTGCGAGACTTCTATCAAACTTTTTATTATGAGGACAATTTTGTGAATAATAAAATTTAAGTGTCATAATTCATCTTTGTGTCAAGAATTCTTTTAGTTAGTGAAACTCACTTTTTCTTTTTTTCAATTTGAAGCATTAAATTGATTAATACATAAAGCACACAAAATATTTTTTGAGAGTTCCGTATGGCATCCATAGTGGATTACTATGCTATCATAAAAAAACAAAAACAACAACTACTGAAAACTGCTTTTATCACAATTACTACCAAATTTGTGTCAGTTTTCTGGATCTGTCATAATAAGTGAAAACTCTGAAAATACAGCATCTTGGTTATTTTATTAAAAGCAATTACTTTCCAAGAGTTCTCTGCTAGGAGTGTTTTAGGCAAGCCATTTAGTAAACAGGTGAGCAGTACTGAACTTATTGACTTACTGCCGGAATAAAAAAAACTCTATTGAACTTAAAGCAATTCAGGTACCTTATAAAAAATTTGTACTAATTTTGCAACAATAGTTACCCTCATCCATAATTCACAGAGAATAAGATAAGTATAGAATGATAAATACTAAGCAAAAATACATGCCTCTGTGCATAAACTTGAAGAAGTGAGAGCTCGTAGGCAAACCATTGGGGCCATAAAATGTATTTGAACAACCAAAAGCAGCACACTGCTTTCTATTCTTTTTGGGAGAAAAAGTAGCTTTATCGAGATTTCAGCTAGGACCATCCATTTTGCTTAAAAATCAAACAATTTTACTGCCCACTTACAAATTTCACAAAAAGTACTCACAGAGATTTAACATGAGTCAACCCCAGCCTTGTTCTCACATGTGCGCGGCTGCATGTCCAATATGGCGCTGAGAACTGTAAAAAGGTCTGTTGGAGCCTGGTTCTTTTAACTCAGTATATAGCAGACTTCCATAGCCTCCCTCTGCAGGTACCTTCCATCCTCTGATGGGATTGTTATGAAACTTCTCAAAATTTGCTATCACAGCTTATCTACTCTGCATAATTTCTTTATCAACTTCAAGTTGTAATCAATCTTTCAACTAATAGGTATATGCCTGCACGGAATAAGTTGGGGAACTCACTTAAAGAAATTTGAAAAAACACACGCACACAACTCACTGACTATGTGCAACAACCCTTTTGCATGATCCCCTTGTTTACTGAATAAAAAAGGTGCACAAAATTTGTCGTGGCTATAGACATACAAAATGATGCCAATCCAACAAAATTAAACTGTAAATTATTAGTACTCCTATGCACATAAAATAACTCCCTTCCCTTTCCCTGGTTTTCACTTTTTGCTGTTTTGTTTTTCAATTTTTCCCAGCATGTTTCAAATTCAAGTCTAATTTCAAGGTGGGTAGACAGAATCACTGCCATATACAGTAACTTTATAAAATTAATGCAGTTTGCTCATGTTTTGTTTACTGTAACTACTTCCTTGTGCTTAGCATCTACAAGAGCAATTTGCCTACAATAAACATTTTATGTAAGAGTGAGTACTTGTCCGACACTTTATCTGATTCAATAATGAAACAAACATTTGACAGAAATGGGCACCAGGAATCAATCCCTTCCTTGAAAGCACTTTTGTCATATACAATCTCTTAATTGTCACAAACCCATTTAATTTAAATAAGACTCAGATCTAATTCGGGGCACGCTTGATCCAGTCACCTGATTAACTCAGTCTATAACTTCTAAGATCTAATTGTCAATTCTCCTCTCCATCTGCTACACATTTTTTTTCGAATTTATTCAGTTACAAGAATTTGGTGTTAGGTCATGATATTAACCACTACCTAATAAGTTTGATGATTCTCATTACCTGTTTCCTGGATAATATATGAATATTACAGGGAGAAGTTAAAGTTTAATCACCACTGAGAGCTAGGCTTAATGAGGGTGAAATTGGGGGGTTCTGAACACCCCCCAATTCTGCAACAAAAATTAAGCAAATATGGCAATTTCACAAAAAAGATTGGCAAATACCCAAACACATCAATTCCAAGTTTAGACTCAGTGTCATGCCAAAATCATTACTCTGTATGTTTCATTTAGAGGAAATAATATGGAAATAGCAAGTAATAGAATAAAAGTTAAGTCAGGTAAATTATGTTGCTTAAGAAAGATTAGAGAAGCTTAAAGTTGTTTTAGGTCCTGTTTCAGGTTTGATTTCCAAAACAATCTCAAACTGGAAAAGACTAAGACTCATTGTAGACAACTTGAAGGATAATTTTCAATATTGTCCAAAATGTTAAAAAAAACTGCATTCCACAGATTCAGAGAACACTGCAATACTACAATGTGAGATTAAAACAACCAAAGTACCAAAAAAAAAATTGTCCAAAACCACAAAACGGCAAATTGCAATTTCCCCTTTGTTAACTGTCCTACTTGCCTTGTATGTAAGCATTCCAATTCCTGCAAACTCTAGGGTCAGTGCAAGGATGAATATAAAACATTGTCTCCAAGAGCCTTGAGCTTGGCACCCTCGGCTTCTGAAGACTTGCCACAGCACCGGAACAACAAACACTCCATTCATCATAACTATACGCAGACCAGGGTGGATCTTTAGATCAAGCAGCACAACAATGGCAAAAAAGCAAAGGCCAAAAACTTCCAGTGAAGAAGAAAACAAACCCTGCCATAAAATGGATAAACAAATTAAGAGCAATCTCAGGGGTATAGGGGATGGGGTGGAGGGAGGGATTATTAATCTAAGATCTACAGTAAAAGCATTTTACACACTAATTTTAAAAATTCTTCTTCCAAAGTGGCCAGTAAAAAAAAACAATTAATTGGCTACTAAATATACAGCAAGAGCTGTAAATTTAAGAAGCTGCACTATTTCACTACTGTAAAAAGCTGCACTATTATTGGAACTTAGTAGATAGCATTTAAAGTTGTAGTTAAGGTGGCTGTCAAGTATATAGTATTGCATAAAGAGTTTGTTTCTTATTTTGACAATTAAAATTTTAATTCTAGTGACCATGTTATGATTTTTGTTTTCCAGAAGGCAACTTTGAGAATAATATTGATGATAATGACTATATTAAAAATAAAACATTTGCTTAGTACTTAAAACTATGTACATATTCAAAAGCACTTTACATTACATTAAGGATTATAAACTAGTACTGAACACTTTCCTTAAAATAGAAATGATTTGTGTAGTTCCTTAAAGGTTGCTAGGCTGCTGCAGGGTTTGATCGGTAATGGCAGTGAGTTCCATAACCCAAGAGAAGCATGAGTATGAGCATGATCCTGAAGTGTAGTACAGTTGACCAGTAGAATAAACAGAAGAGATTGTGTAGACAAGTGAAGAGCATAATTAGAAGCATGTTTTAAGAGATAAAAGATCTTTAATGTAAGGTAGACTTAGATAGCTTAACAGCTTAAATCAAAAACAGAAAAACTTTAAAAGGTTCAGCTTTAAGCTAATAATGTCAGGTTTAACCAGTTTTTTTAATAGCCACATTCTGGCCATTGGCTTTTGTTGTATTCACATGCCTTTTCAGGAAATATAAGCAAATTAGGAACACAGTCACAAGCAAAGATCACACCCCATCACATGATGACCTTCTGCCTCTTAGATTATCTGAGAGCTTAACAGCTGTAGGAAGATGGATATCATGACACTGATCGAGTTACACATTTTTATAGTCCCTATCAAAGATGATAAATGTAGTGTAGGGTAATCATTTTATTAAAATTTGAGTGTAAGAATGTGTATTTAGTAGGACTGATGAAATAAATATAGCCTTGTTGACCTCAAAAATGCCAAAATTATGGACCTTCTTGCTACACAGATGTGAAACCCTATCTTTAGTTGCAAGATTTTCTTTGAGAATCATCAATTTTCTGAAATTAAATCCAAAACAAACATACATTGGCCAGTTGATTAGTGCTCGTGGATTTGACAGTTCCCACTTAATATTTGAACAAACAGCGAGAGTATTTGCTCTCCAAAATTATAATAAAATTGAACCTTAAGGAAATCTAAATAGTGACCAGAGTGTACAAAGTACAAGAATGTAATTGAATTGTTCGGCACTTTATTTTTAATCTATCATAGGCACCAAGAGTGCAAGTAGACCAATTATTTTGGCAAGAGGGGTAACAACAGCCGAACAAAGCTACGAGGAACGCCGTAATTTCAATTTCGATGAACATTACTTTGACTACGCTAGTATTTGAGTCCAAGAAAATTATGTTCACATGCGTCAACTTTTTGCGACGGAGGCGCAAAAATGTATGATTCGCGATCATCGCCAATCGAAAAAGTCATGTGATCTCAACCGGACTTAAATTTCCGCTATGCTTCCCGAAGAACAACTTCGATTTGATTCTGTTAAACTTGTAATTCTCACGCGATTTTGGACTAAACCTTACACATTTAGCTTCTGAATTTTTCGTAATGAGCTTACCATAAAAACAGCTTTCCTGCATGGCCACTTGTGAGTTTTGGAGAACAGGCTTATCCAGGAAGCCTTCAAAAGCGTGTAAGCTTCCGGTATGATTAGAAGCACAACAATCATGATGAACAAAGTTTCTCTTTCGATGCCAGATGAAGCGTTTCCGTGGTAATGTGCAATCGATAATAGAGAAAGTTTACTGGCGACCAGGCAAATCAAAACGGAAACAAACAGGAAGGCGCCGAAGAGACATTTCACTATGGATAGCCATGCAGAAGACCTCGACTCGCGTGGTTTCTCTCGGTTGATCTTCGCAGTCTGTGATACTGCATACTCAATTTTGGGAGTTGTTTCTGCAAGCAGTGACCTTTCAGATGGATCTGTTGAGCTGTGTTCGGGACGCGTTGCTTGTCTTGCCATCCTCCACGTCCGAATATCATCAGAGTGATTTCCCTGCAGCTTTTCCATACAGAATTCGTAGAAATGCAGGAAGCGATCATGAGCCCGCGAGCGCGTCATGAAATTTGCCCTGGCATAGACCCCTATCAACTCCTGGAAACTTGTTTACGCCTAGATACGTTAATGAAAGACGGCGGACACCCAGAGTGTTGCTTTCGGTTCTTCCGACAAAGTCCGACGAGTTTTGATTTGTATTTCGGTCGAAAATCCAGAACAATGGGGTTGGACGTGCGTGACTAGTTGACGAAAAGTAGGAGTTGTTATGGAAACGTCCGATAAAGGAATTCGCAGTAAGACGACGGAAAGGTTTATTTAGTTCGAAAGACGAAACGTAGCGAAAGACAAAATCACGAACATCTCTACTTTTCATATTTTCAAAACAACAAATGTTTATATTTCGCCAAACAATTCAACACTCTTCAATGGACTGCTAGTTCCCTAAGGAGAATGCCTCCTCTCTCAGTGAGAAGCGTGCGCAGAGCGGGACCAGCGTGGGGGTGTTATGCGAAGTCTCTCTCAAGCAAGGAAGAGAGAACCAAAATAGCGTACGATTTCTTAGTGCTGCACAATATCTCTGGCTTACATTTTCTGGAATATTCTTCGAAAGATTGCCCCCAGGTTTTTCCTCATATGAACTTTATTTTATCCGTTTCTGGACGAACAGAACACTTTCCAGGCAATCTTCCGTCCAAGGAAATTCTCCCTTTTCGAGCTCCCCAAAGGCCGTTATGAATTCAAGCACAGTACCCCTTGTCACTTTTTAACTAACTGAAGTACATTTTTCACAGCTGGTGAGACGATCCAACGTAAAAGAGAAGAATCGTTTGGAAACATAACAAAGAACCAGCAGTTGGTATTTGCATTTAATTTATTTTTAAGCCGCTCAAGGTGACATTACGTCAAGTACATCAGGAAATAAAAAGCATTTTTGTGTTGTACGCTATAACTTTATCGAAATATCCATTTGGGCTCAACTGACTGTCCATAATAATCTTTAACGTACAAGGTTCCTCTACAGATTGCTACGATTGCTGCCAAATGATCATCATTCACTTTGTCGCTGTATTCAAGTTCAATATGCCGTAACGAGGGCGCAAAGGACATGGAGCGACATGGCATTTGGTCACCAAGGGACTTGGCTGTTTCCTACAAACGAGAGAAAGAAAAAACATTGGTTGCAAGCCAAGGTTGACAAGACCAAGTTGTAAACTTGACTTCCGCCGGTTTCTCGGGTTCCGTCCTTGATCTTTTAATCTTTTTCACAGCTTCGCCGCAGTTCTTTAGGATGTCACGCAAAGCTACCCTACAAACTCTACCCTGTTCTGAGGTTGGCATTACGTGACACGCGACCCGACTCAAGCCTCCCTGGTTTTTTCACTACCGAATGTCTCGGACAGACTAGGAATTTCCGAGCAAGAAAGTAAGCTCAATTTCCGAACAGCGGGTAGAAATTGGGCCTAGACCGCGTCGTTTAGCCTATAGATTTGAATATCTGGACTTTCCAATTCAAAATTCCCCACTTCACCACGTTTATTTCCCACAAAAGAGCGAATTCCAGATAAGGAGCTATTTTTTTAATGAGAGATTTTCCAGGTTATTCTGATTGACCGTGGAATTTGTTTCCTCAAACCAAATACTTTTTTTCCCAACGAAGCAGACACATTCGTTGTTGCTCATTCGTCAGTGACGTAAGGAAAGGAAAACTACAAAAAATATATCAAGATCAACTAAATGTAACCGTGGAAAAACAAAATATCAATTAGATATGTCAAAGATTTGTAGATTTTGACACCAAGGTGTGGGTAAGAGAAGCGAAAATTCTCGAGTGTTGTTTTACTGGGAATCAGCGAATCACTCACCGTATCACAAGGCTTCAGAGAAACTTTTCCTTGAGGGAGCACACTTTGGAATTTTTTGTTGTATCTCCACAATTCTTGTAATAGACTCCAACAATTTAAATCTCCTACAATTCCCAAAAATGGCTGGGAGGTTATGAGCTTTAAACCGTTCAAAACTGCTTTCTTGAGCTTTACACAGCTTTGCATCAGGGCTTTGATGCCGTTGTCCGATAAACAAGAGTTCCAGCTTGCATCTATTTCTCTAAGAAGCGGCATGTTCTTAGCCAAGCTACTGAGTGCATCATCTGTAAAGCTATCAATCCCTGCAATATTCAGGCAAGAAATATTATGGCAGTTCTTTCCAAGTGCAGTGATGGTGGGCTTAGAAGCTGCACATTGTCGTAGACCAAGTCGTTGAAGGGAGCGACAAGAATTTGCCACTGCTGATATTCCCTGATCCGTGACGTCTTCGCACCAGGATATGTCCAAGACTTTAAGCTACAGAAAAGAAAAACATATCCATATTTCAGTACCTGCCTAAAAATTGTACGTCTAACAGGTGCTTGAGAACTGGGCTAGTCTCACGACTCGTGGCTTGAACCCAAAATTAAAGGCAGTCGACCGTACAACAGCCCGCGATCAGGCCCCCACTATAACGGCTACGAGCGTTTCTCCGCCCGCGGAAGAATTTGAGAAGAGTCAGGGAGGGGTCTACCAGCATTGCTCAAAGCCTCAAACTTATTCCCACGCGAAGAAACACTCACTCTGAAGCGCTAATAACTGGGGATCTTCTCACCGGCTGATTGTGCAGAGATCACACTACACGTCTATGTAGACAAAATATGTCCGAATACTTCCTGTCATTCGAGCACTTTCTCTGGGCTACCTTCAACCCTCAACCGTGTAAACACGGAAACAAAACAAATATGCCTCAGAAGTGTATGCTATCAAATAACGACACAAGTTGCTATGGTGGCTAATCAATCACTTATCCAACTCCCTTTAAAGTAATAAAATCACCTTAATTGTTTCTTTGCTTCACCCCACTCCCCACATTTCTCATAGAGCTACTATGCTTGTCCCATACAAAGCTCTTTCTAAATCAATATCTTTCCTGCTCCCTTCAGTCTTATACAATGTATTTCACCTTTTCCCCACAGCCCTTTGCTATGCTCTCAAGTGTAAAGTCAGTGATAGCAGCCTCAGCCAAGGACAAGGATTGTAGATGCTTGCTCCTTGTGAGAGGCACCAGTCCATGGTCAGTGACATAACACATACCCTTCAGCTCAAAGCTGCTGAGTGTTGGACAGTGCACAGGGATGGAGATCAGGGAAAGGTTGCTGAGCTTTTCACAATCAACCTGGAAAGAGTGAAAGGAGAAACAAATCCTCTAACTTTGTGTAAGTCTAATTTTTGGATACTCTGAAGGTATGATTGAGTCAAATTCCCCTCGTGTGTTTCTCTTTGGATCATCTGAAATATGATAATAACATTTTACATATCTAAATTGTCAAGACGTTATACAGACCACAAGAAAAGTTTGTAAATCATAAGGCAAAGGCAAACTACAGTGGAACTTCCATTCTGGGGTCACTCTTATGAGCAGAGCAAGAGTTCCCTAGATGTAGATGTCCCAAAGGAGAGGTTCCACAAAATAACCAGACTTTTTCAAGTTTCCCATCAACACCCCACTTAGGCAATTACACACCCACACAGATTGAAAGTTCAGTCTATTGCTAAATCATTGACCTGCAGTGCAAGCATAATTTTAGCCGGTGTTTATACTCTGTATTATGTTGGTGAAAATTATGGCTTTCATCTTTCACTTTTACAGCAGCAAAATTTTGGAGAGAAAAAGAAATTCGTACCAAGGTGGTGAGCGACAGTCAAAAAAAAGGAGAAGAGAGGGGTTCAGGGGCAGTGAATATTTTTAACGAAACAAGGCCGGTCAAACAAACATTTGCAAGCTTCTTCACATTAACTTGCCCTAATAAGAAGCCCGCACTGCAGGCTACTAATTCATCAAAAGCTATGGGTTTGCTTGAACAATAAAGTAGAGGTTTCTCAGCCATTACCAAGTATCTTAGTTATTTTACTAATATCTACAAGTTGCATACATTCATGTCTAACCCATACAAATAATAACAATATTTCATGGATATTTCTACATTTACATACCAAAGACAAAGATTCCAGGTCAGGTTGATGCCTAAGAATGTATCTCAACATTCCATCCTCCAGTTCCAACCACGATATTGTAAAATTTTTCAAACCCTCATTAGCATGAGAGAAAATTTTCAAGCATGCATTACCTAGCTGTTTGCTTGGATAATGCATGCCAGTAATGTCCAATGTTGCAATTTGTGGCTGAAAACTCTGCGTTACTAACAAATCACTGATTTGAATAACTCCTTTGGGTGACAGTAAACAGTCGGGCGTACTTTTGTTGTCCTTTTCACCAGTATAAATTGTATGCTGATTGGGGTTAACTTCTTCCTCACCATCAATTAGCACATCTTTAACCTCCCAACAATTCTTAGACTCCTTGCCTATCCCATTTTTTTTAGGGATATTGGAAGGGGTGGAAGATTTGCACCCTGCACATGACATTTTACATGCGGCAGAGCTGTAATCATTATCCACATCATCTAAATGTAGCAACGAAATACTGGGAAGAACGTCAACAAGTTTCTCTCCTTCCCCACTCCTAGCATGGATTCTAAAATCCTTAATTTCTGCATCTTCATCCTCTAAAGCTGACTCTGTAGAAGTTATATCACAATTCACACTTGTGGTAGGTGAGGAAAGATAGTTGGGTGTAGACTTTTCCTCACCAGCCTCTTCACATCGTGGTGTCGTGTCATCATGTACTGGATGGCTCTCTACTTCAAAATTATCTTCACGAGCTAAAATTTCCTCTGACCCACAGTGTTCTGTAGTTTGTTTTCCAACAGTCATTAAGTCATATCTCTCCAAGCCAAGCTCCCTGTTGCCCACACTCCTAAGTTTACAAGTACTTGTAATTTCTTCTTGTTTTGAAAGTAACTGCATTCTGTTACAACTAGTACTTTCACTATCAACAGTTGCCTTGGATCCATCTTCAGTGGGAATGTCATTCCAGCAAATTGTCCTATCTCCAGCTCTCTCCATGAAATTTCGTTCACCATTATCATCATTGCACTCTTCATCTCCAAACCTTGCATTTTCATGTTCAGAAGCTTTGTCACTTGGTGGGATTTCTGGGGACAAACTGGAAAAAACTGCAAAAGAGGTATCAGACCCAAACTCCTTATGGCTCTGTCCATCTTGTGCTTTATTCTGTTCATCCACATGACATGTAGGGAGAACAAACTTTAGTGTTAAAACTTCCATCTCATTCAACAAATTTTCATTAAGTGAAAGATCATTATCTTTTGACATCATTGGGGATGGCTGTGTTTTAACAGAATCACTGACATCATTACACCACTGATTGTGATTGGGAATTTCCTGTACTGTCTCTTGGTTTGATGTCGAAGCAAGATCAGTGGCAACTGCATTGTGCATGATTCTTGCTACTTTATCTATGTTTAATCCGGCTAAGTACAGCAATGCCATGCAATTAACTCCTGTGTAAGCAAGATTGATGCTTGTTAAACTAGATCCACACAAACTGACAAGGTGTTTCACTGTATCAGTTGATAGTGAGCGACAGCCTGATATATCGACGTTGGTAAGGCCAAAACCTGCATGAGGCATTTGGTGAGTAGGATCTGTGATCATTGCTTCTTTCTTAGAATTACGAATTGCAAAAGCAGCATCAGTAATGTTTTTACAGCTGGAAAGGTTGAGGTGTTTTAAGCCTGGGCAGCACATCAAAGCCACCTAAAAAGGAAACAAGTTCAGTACATTATATGTGGACAGCATGGGAAGATAGGAGTAACATATAACAATACAATAATATTTAAATATTGTGAGTTTTAATTTTATTTGAATTTTGTACATTGTCTAAGATAAAAAGCACACTTATTAAACTCAGTCTCCACCAGAGTTCCCACACAGTACAATTTTTCAGTTGAATGAGGTATAACAGTAGTTTGGCAACCATGATTTGACATTAAAATCATATTGTTATAGCAGAAAACTGGCTCAGTTTTCAGCAGGCTTTCATAATTGATGGTTGGTGATGCACGGCTCTTGATATTTGGTTACCATTGGACACAAGAAAGGTTGGCCATGCAAAAACCTATTACCAAACTTTTACCCCATCTAGCTCAACTGATAATCATAGTACACTACAAAGGGATTGGTGGAAATCAGTCGCTCCAGGAAGAAATCTCACAATCTTATTTCAAGCTGTCACTGTGTTATAGGTAGCATACTTACTCAGAAATAATTATCATGTCCAGGTTAATTTTAGATGTGCTCATTAAAAATTACTTATTGACATCCTGCATGTGAACAGCAAAATTTGGGTCCTATTTTCCCATGTTTCTAACTGAAATGCCGGTGATGTAAGTAATGTTTATTTCAAATACGTTGATATGTGTGATAACTTATTAGTGCCTTGAATGCATACTTACCTGAACAATGTCATCAGAGACAAGTTCTGAATTTTCAAAAGATAGAGATACCAATTTTGTTGCTTTCTCTTTAATACAGCAAAACACGACTGGATGAAGGAGGTGGATACATTCAGTGAAATCAATTGCTTGAAGCTGGTGACATCTGCAAGGAAACGAGTGTAACACAGTTTGCACTTGGATGTTAATTTTTCGATAATTAGATAAATGAATCTGAATAATCAAGAGTTTAACTTCTTCAAATCCACATACTTAGCGATTGCTGTTTGAAGTCCACTGCACGACAAACGATTACAGCTTCTCAGTTTTAATTGCTTCAGATGCGGAGGTGACAAGACAGATAAGAGTTCATCGGTGAGTTCACCAGGAAAATCTTCAAAGACCTGTGAAAGAATTTCGTCTCCAAAAATGCCTTGCCCAAAATTTCGAAGATACTCCAGCATTACGATGTGTTGCCGTGAAATATCACTACTGCAAACTAAGTATTTTATGATCGTTGTTTGAACAATGTATCGCAAGTTAGGCGGGTCCATGATCTTATTAAGACAGTTTGATTAACACTTGAAAATTATTAATGAAAACTTAGTTCGTCCGCCATATTGACCGATCTACCCATAACTCTTTGCAGGGATATAATGTTTACATACGCATGCGTTCACAATGTCTAACCGCCAATCGAATTTTGCGCGTCATTTTCCAAAGCAACCAGCGCTTGATTACTGCCGAACGCCACGAACGGTAGCGTAATAAAAAATACCGTAAATTTTTGTACAATTTAATCAAAAGCTCAACAGAAAGCGATCATGAGTCTTTCATTGAAGACGCCTGATTTCAGCAAAGGAAGAGGCTCTAAAGGCAAGCGGCGGGAGCTGGGCGAAGAACAAAAGCAAGAAATCAAAGAGGCGTTTGATTTATTTGATACGGATAAGGATCGTGCTATAGATTATCACGAACTGAAGGTAACTTAAGCTTTAAACATAAAATCATCTTTAGTATCCAACTCTTGACGTTTTTCTGAGCTTGTCAATCGTTATTTGTTGAAATCGGCAAAGTTTTAATAGGAGCAGTGCTTGCCTTGGATATTGGAAACTGATTACTTTTTTGTTCTGTAATGATTGTGTGACGATGTCTTTTCCACTAATTGACCTTTGCTTTAGAAATTATTCTTTGAGTATTGTTACAAGACAAAAAGTAAACCGTTGTTGTGAAACCATCCAAGAAGAGTATAGTCTGAGCTGCTAAACCGTAATATACTCGTCGTTAAGGCCTACTAGGAAGAAAACGATTGATTTCTCGCCAAATTAAATGTACAGTCGAAACGATGTTAACGTGTTTGATGGTTAAAGTACAAAATATTTTAAAGTGCATTACGTGCATTGTAAGCTAATCTCCGTTCACTTTCATCTCAAAATCAGCACACAATTTCCTGTGCTTTATTAAACACAGCGCATCGAAATTATTTAGGCAAACAATTTCCGAAATTTTCTTGCATTTTCTAACAAGGGTACCTCTTAGGCGAACATTTCGACAGAGAGAGCCAATTTGACATTCAAACACATATTTTGAAATTACTTTTCGATTCTCGTACAGGAGATCTATTTTCTTGGGAACGAAACTTGCGTGTCTCGTTATATTTAAAGAAAAGGATTCGTTGCCCGACATGTTAATTCTTATAATGCTAGAATTGTTTTGATAACTGTAGAATCCCTCAAATTTGCGATGGTCATGCATCATAAAAGTAATTTACCATCATTTTTTTTTTTTATGTGCCTGAGTAGTTCACAATTTTTAGTGTATTCTATCCCACAAATGTATGCGTATTACTGAGTCAGTAATTACCTTCAGTGTTTAATTGCATTCAGCCTGTCAAAGAATTCAATTGATGTTTTTGATTACTCGAGTGGCATTTTCAATCAGTCAATCCCTTTTGTTTCTTTTGAAAGCGTGAAATCGTAGATAATTAGTGTGTCATTATTAGACCTCACAAAGACAGGAAGTCCTTTTTTTGATGGTAATGCTGGGGTGTAGTATCAGGTGTTTCAGGTCAGTGTTTTAGTGTCATATTTTAGATGAAATCAACCATGTTTTAGATAATCAAGGAAAGATGTATAACTCAATCCTGACTGTTAAAGTGCTCTTGAAACATGTTGCTGGCTAAATTTGGCTTTCTTTGCTTTTATGAAGTACTAGTGTGTTCTAGATTGCACTAACAAAGAAATAGTGCTTGTAAATGTAATCTATTGATATGTCTAACCTTGTGTAACTGAAATTATTTATTTTTCGTCTGTTTGAAATTTTTACTGGGATGATAAACTCGCGGGTTTTGGTTCTAAACAGACTTAATACACTTTGTGGTTGCATAGAGATAGCATTGTCCAAAGTCTGGGATATCTCTGTTCAAACTCCAAAAAAATTATCACTGAGTAGAGTTTATTATTACCTTGTTTATATTTTTTGGGAGGGTATTTTGTGGTTGCAGAAGTCAATTTGTTTTGTTATGGCCAAAAACACACTGGAAGGATAACACTACAAATGATTTTCCGTACAGTGAGAAATCTTTACTACTACCACACAAATTTATTTTTTTAATGAATGACTGATTCATTGATTATTGTGATTATTGTTTAGGTTGCAATGAGAGCTCTTGGATTTGATGTGAAGAAAGCAGATGTTCTGAAAATCATGAAGGACTATGACAGAGAAGCTTCAGGCAAAATTACATTTGATGACTTCAATGAAGTCAGTAAGTAAACCCAAAAGTAACAGTCATTTTGATAGTTAATTTATCATGTGATTTATATGGCCCATGTGAGCAATCTCCTAGAAAACCATTGTGAAAGTTGACATGCATAGGACCGGACAGGTTTACGTGAGCTGGTCAAAGAAAAGCGGTCTGCTCTTGCACTTACACAGCTTCATTGCAAAAACTTAAAGGAACAAAGAAAAGAGTTAAAATACCATGTGTGCATTTTCAGTGAATTGTGAGTTTCTGGTTCCTTCTGGGGAAAAAAAGGGAAAAAAATGAAGAAAAGTTGTTAGATGACTGGGAATATATGAAAATCATATATGCAAAAAGTTTATAGTATAGAATCTCTTTGCAGTTGTCCCACATGTGCTCATCTATCACATCCTATTTAGGTTGAAACCAATTTCTTCTGAATTTTCAATGCTTTATAGTGGTCATATGATGAAATGTTTATTGTCTGAGTTTGGTTGGAAGAGATGGGAAAATATTTGGCTCTTGGTCATGACCTTGAGTCAAATATCTTCTGGTCAGCCCTCCCACTCAGTCAATAAGTGCATATTACAATCAATGTGCAGTGTATGAAAACAGAATGGTAATGATGATAATAGTAATAATGAGTGTAATACTAACAATGGTTATACAATAAGAATTATTATATATTTGTGAAAATAGTGTACAGCTGGTATGATGCAGCATTTTGTCTCTGTCAAGAGAGTTAGCAGATACCTATCAAAAATTTCAAGCAAAGTTGTTTGGATTCATTGATCATTTCTAGTAGTGTAATTTGGTCATTTTGTTGAAAGTGACCTTGGTAATAGAAAAGGCTTTGTAAAATGTGAAAAGTGTAAGCTACTGAGAACTATCACTCAACAACAAAATATAGGGAATACTAATTGTTTCTTCTCCTAATTTTAGTGACAGATTGGATGCTGGATAGGGATCCACAGGAAGAAGTGTTCAAGGCATTCAGATTATTTGATGATGATGACAGTGGCAAAATTAGTCTCAGGAATCTGAGGCGAGTAGCAAGAGAGCTAGGAGAGAATATGACAGATGAGGAGCTTAGAGCTATGATTGATGAGTTTGATAAAGATGGAGATGGAGAAAGTGAGGGACTTTAAATTTGTTCATAATTATATTTGCTCCTTATTTATAACTTATATTCTAGTTGACCATATAGAACTTGTCAAGAGCATTACATCTTCCAATATGTATCAATCCTTTAACTCCAGTGACACACCAAGACAGAATTTCTCCCTGTAAAATCAATACAATATCAAGCAGACATCAATTGAGAATTTAGAAACAAATATATGGATTAGGGGTTTATTAGTTGATCCAATGACAAATCATCTGTATTGACATGGTAAGAATTGTATAGCAGACAATAAATACTACTGAGATATTGGAAGTGGAAGTGTTAAGCCTTGTGTAATCATGTATACCAAAAAAGTATGTGGCTTAATTCAATTGCACAAGTACATGTCATTTTTTTTTCTTTGTTGGAATCCACCCTAATGTTTTTATTTGATTAGCAATGTGTGTAATTTCTCTCCATCTACAACCTTCCTGCTTCCTCTCTTATTTGTTTTCCTTCTTGTGTGTTTGTTTACTCAAACAAACTACTATACTGTAAATGGGGTTCTTTTCAAGTTATTGTTAAGTGTACCCATTTTGAAATGATTTTCCATTGAGATGCACTTCTGAGTTTCAGTCAGAGAAATGATGATTTTTCATGGGGCAAGAGCTAATTTCAAATTTTTTCTTTCTCTGAGGAACATTTTCTAGATCAGATCTGATTTGAATTAAAGAGGAAATATTTTAACTCTTACTTAATAGTCTGGTGGCATTAATGAGGAATATCAGTATCAGGTTGTAGCAATATAACCAAGAGCCAAGATCGTAGGGGTATTTGGCCCACTAGCTTTCACTGACCCCTGTTTTGGTTTCTGCATCAATCAGAAGGTTACAGATCTGTAGAAACAGTGAAATTCTCTAATGAATACCAGTCTTCCTCATCCATATTGTAAACTTGTAAAATTTTGTCAATCTCAAAGATATTTACAGGGTGAAATTTGGAAAATTTGGTAAGAACACTACTGAAAGATATTTACAGGGAAAAAATTTGTTTTGAACCCAGTCTTAGCGCCTACCAATTGAGCTAACAAGCCAACTGGGAGCTTTTGGGTCCAAATAAACATCCAAGTAAATGAAGATTTTTATGAAAAAAATTTAAAAGTTTTCACAGTCTTAACCACAGATTTTAAACTTGCTAGCTTTTAAAAATTAAAAGTCTCTCTGCTTATGACAGACCAAAAAATAACCCATTTCAATACTCATTTACGTAAAGACTATCTCCCCCATGATTAACATGTACAAAATAAAGCTATATTTAATTTGACTTTCACTTTTGTTTCTGCAGTAAATGAGGAAGAATTTCTGGCCATCATGACAGGAGATACATAAAGACAGGCACCTTTGGAAAAAAATGTATACTTGTATATTTTGCTGGAAAATCTGTGAACATGCCCTTTAACAATAAGATATTTTTTTTACCAGGAATAAGCAGACATGTTGTAAATTGTACTTTCACTTAGCAATTTGTAAATTGTTTATGCTAATGGCAATGCATACCTATTTTTAATTTACTTACTTAAAAATCAAAGGAAAATTAGATTTGGGTTGATGTATCCCAAAATGTGGTGTCATCAAATGTTTTGAAGATGTGATCTTGGCTGATTCCAATACTGGACAGAATATATGAAAGTATTTAGCTTTTTTTTAATTGTATTATTTATTATGACAACGCCATTGTAGATATTTTATTACTTCTTAATAAAAAACTAAACTGTTTCAGTTAGTGACTTCTTCAGCGGAAAGTATTTACTACCCTGGTATGATGGTGGGAACAAAAAGACGAAAGGTTTGGGGAAATGATTTGGTTGCCTGTTCAAATGAAATAATAGCCAGGTGACGCAAATGCTGTTTCCCCTGAATAATCATTTCAGTCGAAGGAGAAGGATGATGATAAGTTAGAAAAATGTCAGCTCTTACGATGTTTGATTGATGTGAAACCAAATTCTCAGGGCTTAGGGTCGGCCGCGCTGTGTTCACTTTTTTGTTTTTACCAAACTTCTGGAGTCGGAAAAAATCAGCGAAAACAAAATTGATGCGAGCTCCCCGCGGAAAAGGAGTGACTGTTCGTAGTCAAACATTTTGACGTCCTCTGTGATTTAATTTTGAACACAGGGGTTTCAAAATGTTTTGAAGTAGGAAGTAGTTAGCAAAAGTTGGTGACTGAAAAGTTCATTAACTTAAAGGCCAACAGGTAATTAATTTGACCGGAGTAACCGGCTACATGTTATCAAGTAGCTGGAGGAACTCCGGCTGCTTGTTCTGAAACCCCTGTGGATAGACGCACGGTAACACGGAACCTGCTTCATATGATAAAAAGCAAATGGTTGTTAGCAGTTATGTCATTTGAGCGTCTGACCTCCATCAGATCATAAGCAAGTATCAATCAAAATGTGTGTAACATTAAGCTTATGTAAAATCTGCTTGATTGTGACCTATTATATGCCCAACATTATTTGTCGTTTCTGATTGCTAAATGACGAATGCATGTTAGGTGACAGGGGGATCGTGTCGTTTGATTGTTCGGGTGAGGGTAGTCCTGGGAACGACTGTCGTCGGCACTAGTTACTGACGTTTCAATTACCTTTGTGTTGGTCATCATCAGAGTCATAAAACCCGTCGATTTTTCCCTCTCATATGCCCGACTAACGATGGATAAGACCTTCAGGAAGACAATTATCCAGTTACACACCAAGAAAGAGTGCATGCCTCGGAGAGGAGCTTCACCGCTTTCCTATCTAATAGAGACCCTAAAACCAAAGTAGGTTGTTTCGAGGTCTGAACACTATAAATTTAGTTTTGGATATGTTTAAGGACAATTTATTTGAAGCAAACCAGTCTGAAAGAATATTAAGTCATGATTATGGAATTCATTATTGCTCAATAAGAGTGGGTCCTTGTTAGGAAAAAAATTAGTATCGGCAGCAAATAAAATAGATTTCAGTCAATATGCGTCACAAAGGTATTAACGTAGATGATGAGGAACAGAAGGTCAACAACAAAGCGTTGAGGGACACTACAGTGCATTACCCTGGGAATGGGTCTCTGAGGAAAGTAGCTCCAACCCATTCAAACGCCAAGCCTCGGATCCCATAGAGACGTAAATAGAATGCTGTGGTTTTCAGTATCAAATACTTTTGACAAGTCTACGAATACCCCCAACTGCATATTCCTTGCGGTCAGGGTCGGAAAAATTTTGTCGCACAAATCAGCAAGGGTTGGGAAGTTGATTGGTTTCACCTCAATCCGTACTGGTTATTATAGAGAACACTTAATTTATTCAGATATGACTGAATAGTACGATTGTCTAAAACCCTTTCTAAGAATTATAAATTTTTGAAGAACCAAGTAAGAACCGAGACAGGTTTATTGTTAGTGAATAGAGTTTGGTCTCTAGGTTTCAAAATAGAAACAATTCACACGAGGAATTTTCATTCATTTGGAACAGCACCTTGCAGTGGAAGTGGTGCAGATATGTAGTAAATGCATTGTTTAACAATGGAAATAAAGATGTTTTCATATCCAGCTCTACCAGATTTAAACGTGTTAATCAATAACTTGGTCATCAGTTTCTAAATTTAAGAAAATAGATCAAGGAAAGTTTCCAGAGAGACAGTGCATGTGTGAAGATGTGGGAGTCATCGCTCAAACGCCGATCAAAGGCAAGTTTGTGGGTTGGTAGGTGACTATAATTCGACTTAGAGCGGAGGACAGAGCACAACTACCGCCGCCATCTTGTTGACATAACCTTTCTTTCTCCTTGTCACTCCCTCGCATGAAATATCAAGACGACAAGTAAGGTGCCTTATTAGTGTTCATTCATCAACAGCTTTCAAAGACTAAACGAAGACACGCCAATCATTGGTTCTTGGGCTCAATTGCATAAATCAGTGGTGCAGCAGGTGATCTGGCACTCAGTGAATCTCTTTTCGTGGCATAACGAAGATGTGCCGTTGCATTTCCCCCTGGGAACACAGCCTTTTAGATATAAATCAAACCTCTTCTTCCCATGAAGTTTGGCGCATGCGTCCTGATAGGGTTGACATTTCTGCACTCTCTGTGTTTTCTTACATCTATCCCAACTGTGGGTATCGAAACATCCGTAACATTTGAGGCCATATCCTGACAAAAACAATCAAACAATACAGTAGGTGGATGGAATAAAATCTGGCACATTTGGCAAAATAAGTAGATGTTTTAATAAATAAATAATAGATCGTGAAATATGGTCTTAAAAGAGGAACAGATAACTAAGTAAACAAATCATTAATAATAGTAATAGGACCAAGTGGAGACCGATTCGGTCTGATCTGTAATCATAGTGATTACAACATCGGACGACCGCGAAGCTGGAGTCAGATTTGTCAATTTATTTCGAGCATGATTTCAGACAGAATTGGACAACACGAAGTCCCTGTTATCAATTAGTCATAACAATTACAATTTCCGGAAAAAAATCAAACAAACACATTTATTTGAGAAAATATCTCAAATTATCTTGGTTAACTCGAACCCTCCAGTAACTAGAACACCATACGATTTGCCTTGACCCATTTTTTAAGTCATTCAGTATCAGCTAACTCGAACTTCTGTTTCCCTTGGGAGTTCAAGCTAGAGAGGTCAGCTAATAATACGATAGTACGACTCATTTATGTAGCGCATATACGAAGGGTCTATGCGCTTTACAATTTTATCATATGATAAACAACCAGTGGGATTGATTTGTCGGAGCAGTGTTAGATCACAGAACTAGCACGAGCGTCTGAAAAACATGACATGTTCGAATTTCTTGCGTCAAACACAGACGCCTGGTTATTAAAACAAAGTTTAGCTGCTTTTAAACAAAACTACGTCCTTCTAAACAGTCCTTGATTTAGCTAAAACTTTATCTGAATATTTACTTTTGTGAACAGAGTCAAGAGGGTGGAAAGGTAACAGTAGAACCGTCCCACAATGTTTCTAGAACTACTTGTAAATCGACATACAAAATAAAGATAAAACGATAATGTGGATGCTGACTGAGTTGAGCCCTGATTTTTATTGCTCCGTGCAGTAGTAGCTTGACGGGAAAAGCTCGTGACCTCTCTTTGACTGCACCAGGCGACAATGATATAAAAGATTATTTATTTTTCGCTTTAAGAGTTAAGGAAAGTGCGATGTTTGAAACTTACCAACAGAGATGCAGAGAGCAAAAATGAGAAACAACTTGATTGATTTCATTTCAAAGTCTTTGTTTGTTGTAGACGGATTGACTGTTTCAGAACACTGTCTGTATCGTACAGCGGCTGAGATGACGGCTGGAGAAGCTTTAACCAGTTCATTTGATAGCAAGTAATGAAGAATGGCTTTTATTACCGCTGTCAATTCTAGCAAATTAGCAACTTTCCCTAAAAATTTCACAGTTCTTTAACCAATTGGAACGAGCCAAAACATCCCACGATGGAACTTGAGAAATTCTTCTTTCCTCGGAAATTGTAATACTCGTGATGAACTAGTAAAACTCGTGCCTGAACTCGTGATAAAGAAATCGGACGACCGTGCAGCGGGAGTCCGATTTTGTTATCACTCGTATGAGTACAGACCGAATTGAACTCCTCTCAGTCCTGTTGCCGTTATATATCTTTCAAACGAAGATGTAAGGTTCGTTTCCCACGGGGAATGGCAGGGTGACCGCTTTTAAGCGGTTTTGACCTTTGGCTACAGGTTTCACAGAATACGGGTCAAACGCGATAAGAAACGCTTCTTTCAGTACAATATTCAAGGCGACAAATTCTCATGTAAATCTGTAGACATCAGCTACAGAACAATTCCACGAACACTACATCGAGAGGATGACTACGGCCGCTAGATAGAGGTGAAAATTTCAATTAATAGGGAGAAAAAATTCCGGGACTTTGACAACCGATCGACCGCTTATATTTATGTGGGGTGATCGCTTAGTACAGGATCGCTTAATACAACATGACTGCATGCACTCATTTTTTTTTTTCTTAGAGAGCAGGGGTGGAGCAAGAAAAGTAACAGGAGGAGGATATGATAAAACTTTAATTTTGGAATCCTAGTATGCATGCATAGTTGTATCTTTCGTGCAGTCGAATCCTCATCCTTTCGTTTCATTTGGAAGAGCACCTTGCAATGGAAGTGGTGCGGATATGTAGTAAATGCACTTTTAACAGTGGAAATATAGATGTTATCATATCCAGCAGCTTTACCAGATTAAGCTTGCTGGCAGTATCAAAGAATTGGTCCTCAGTTTCTAAATTTAAGAAAATAGATCAAGGAAAGTTTCCAGAGAGACAGGGCATGCGTGAAGATGTGAGTCATTGCTCAAGCGCCGATCAGAGGCTAGGCAAATGCAAGTTTGTGGGTTGGTAAATGACCATAATTCAACTTAAAGCGGAGGACAGAGCACAACTGTCACCGCCATCTTGTTAACATAACCTTTATTTCTTTCCCTAGCTCAAAACTTACAGTTTCTCTTATTTCTATCTACAGACATTACGCTACCGACATTGCTGATCCAAGCAGTAAGCAGGACGCGCGTCATATGAACTTCGTAATAGACCTCGCGCACCGTGGAGTCTCTGTGGCTCAGAGGTAGAGCATCGGGGCGCGGAATCCGAAGGTCTGAGGTTCGATTCCTCATGGGGACTCAGAATTTTTTCCTTTATCCCGCGCTCGTGACAAAACAAAAAAACATCTTTCTTTAACCTTTCTTTCTCTTTGTTAACCCCTCGCGTGAAATATCAAGACGACAAATAGAGTGCCAGGTTAGCAGATAGTTTATTGTCAAAAAATCTTAATAATTTTTGAAAACTCAACGCGCTTTAAGAAATTAATGAATAGTAACACTCGTTACACCAAATTTTGCTGCCTAATGGTTTTCTCAAAGTTACAATGAGGGTCCAAAATAAACTTTTCTAATCCCGCATTCCGCCGTTATTTTTCATTACATCCCACCATCCCGCTGCAATGAACATTTCATCCCGATTCTGCCTGGTCAAACTCAAATTGCTCCAGTTTATCGCCAACTGATGGAAAAGTTACAGCGTTTACAATAATAATGATGTACTCTTATTAGGGAGAAAACCATTGCTAAGAGAGATATTCCAAGAACCGCCGATAATATCCTACAGAAAGGGGCGTTCACGCAGACGTCCTCGTGAGAGCAAAATTATAATAAAGGAGAGAAAACTGGGCATACTGTGGAGACATTTGGGTCTGTTAACCCCAATTTACACGGGAGCATTAATTAAGCCCGTTTCTAAAGCAAATGAATACTTTCTAATGTTTCCGAGGTTGTGTGAGTCGTAACTTGAGCTAAATCATGATTCCGCGTGTACCTGCCCTATCCCCTATCCCGCCTCTAAAACTGAGTATATCTTAGTCTCGTCTTTAAAATTTTTCGTATCCCACATCGCGCCTCGATTTTAAGCCTCATCCCGCATCCCGCCAAACCTATGCTGGACCCTCTACAATGTCTGAACAGTGCGAGCGAAGAAAGAATAAAAAACAAAACACTCGTTTGGTGTAATTAGTTGCTTCTTTAAGGGTCGCGCTTAAAATCCATTTTATTTAGTGTTCATTCATCAACAGCTTTCGAAGACTAAACGAAGACACGCCAATCATTGGTTCTTGGGCTCAATTGCATAAATCAGTGGTGCAGCAGGTGATCTGGCACTCGGTGAATCTCATTTTGTGGCAGAAGGAAGTTGTGCCATTGCATTGCCTCCTGGAAGCACAAGCTTTTGCATATCTAGCCGACTTTATCTTCGCATGAACTTTGGCACACGAGTCCTGATAGGGTTGACATTTCTGCACTCTCTGTGTTTTCTTACATTCATTCCAACCCTCGGAAGAGAAACATTCGTAACATTTGAGGCCATATCCTGACAAAAACAATCAAACAATACAGTAGGTGGATGGAATAAAATCTGGCACATTTGGCAAAATAAGTAGATGTTTTAATAAATAAATAATAGATCGTGAAATATGGTCTTAAAAGAGGAACAGATAACTAAGTAAACAAATCATTAATAATGGTAATAGGACCAAGTGGAGACCGATTCGGTCTGATCTGTAATCATAGTGATTACAACATCGGACGACCGCGAAGCTGGAGTCAGATTTATTATTGTGAGCATGATTACACACAGAATTGGACAACACGAAGTTCTGTTACTAGTCATTAGTCATTACAATTACAATTTCCGAAAAAAAAAAATTTCTTTGAGAAAATATCTCAAATTATCTTAGTTAACTCGAACTCTCCAGTAACTAGAACCATACGATTTGCCTTGACCCACTCGAACTGCTGTTTCCCTTAGGAGTTCGGGTTAAGGGGGGGTCATATGATAAACAACTAATGAGATTGGCTTGACAGAGCAGTGTTGGATCACAGAACTAGCACGAGCGTCTGAAAAACATGGTATGTGCGATCATCCTCTGTCAAACACAGATCTCTGATTATTTACACAAAGTTTAGCTGCTGTTAAACAAAACCACGTCCTTCTAAACAGTCCTTAATTTAGCTGAAACTTTATTTGAATATTTACTTTAGTGAACAGAGTCAAGAGGGTGGAAAGGTAACAGTAGAACCGTCCCACAATGTTTCTAGAACTACTTGTAAATCGACATACAAAATAAAGATAAAACGATAATGTGGATGCTGACTGAGTTGAGCCCTGATTTTTATTGCTCCGTGCAGTAGTAGCTTGACGGGAAAAGCTCGTGACCACTCTTTAACTGCACCAGGCGACAATGATATAAAAGAGTATTTATTTTTCGTTTTAAGAGTTAAGGAAAGTGCGATGTTTGAAACTTACCAACAGAGATGCAGAGAGCAAAAATGAGAAACAACTTGATTGATTTCATCTCAAAGGCTTTGTCTGTTGTAGACGGATTGACTGTTTCAGAACACTGTCTGTATCGTAAAGCGGCTGAGATGACCACTGCAGAAGCTTTAGCCAATTCATTTGATAGCAAATAATGAAGAATGGCTTTTATTACCACTGTCAATTCTAGCCAATCAGCAACTTTCCAATGAAAAGTTCATAGTTTTTTAACCAATCGGAACGAGCCAAAAAACCCCACGATGGAACTTGAGAAATTCTTCTTTCCTCGGAAATTATAATACTCGTGATGAACTCGTAAAACTCGTGCTTGAACTCGTGATAAACAAATCGTGATAAACAAATCGTGATAAACAAATCGTGAAAAACAAATCGTGATAAACAAATCGGACTCCCGCTGCACGGTCGTCCGATTTTGTTATCACTCGTATGATTTCAGACCGAATTGAAATCCACTCAGTCCCTGTTGTCGTTACATATCTTCCAAACGAAGACGTAAGGTTTGTTTCCCACGGGGAAAATAGTTAGTAATTTTATTTGAATGATTCTTATTTGAGTGACCGTTCTGAATAAAGGTGAAGACAAAAATAATAAATAGGCTGTTGGGATTCCTTCAAGGATGACCACGGCCGCTAAATAGAGGTGAAAATTTCAATTACTAGGGGGAAAAAATTCCAGGACTTTGACAGCCGATCGACTGCTTATATTTATGTGGGGTGATCGCTTAGTACAGGATCGCTTAATAGAACATGGCTACATGAACTCAGTTTTTTTCTTAGAGAGCAGGGGTGGAGCAGGTAAAATAACAGGAGGAGGATATAAAAACTTAAATTTTGGAATCCTAGAATGCATACACAGCTGCAACTTTCGCGATTTCGAATCTTCGATTTACCTCATAGAGGTGGATTTTTAATTTAATTTGTGTCGGCTCTGTTAGGGCCTGTTTACATGGAGGTGGGGGACCCTAGGTAGGTGACGTAAAAATAAAACGCGTTTATATACGATCTTACAACCCCGAGGTGCTGGGGTGAGGTTTCTTGAGGTTGTTGTTGCGCTTGCAATTAGGAAGTTTGAGCATAGGCGCCCAAAGCTAACGTCTCGAGAGAGACGAAAGAAATTCTCGAAAACGTATGTATTTAATCATGAAAGCATCACGCGTTGTGTCACGCGGTGTTAGGTTACGCGAGGAACCGCTGACTTAACGTCATCAGGAATAGTTTGAAGTATGGTCGATTTACAACGCTAAATATTCCGAAATGTGAAAATTTTACACTCCTTGTATTTCCGTTTCGTTTTCTGGTGATTTCTGCCATGAGATGGCTAGGAAATGTACAAAGTTTTAAAACATACGTGTTTCGCTTTTGAGCTTTTTGCCATGAAAGTGACCCGGCTAGGCGGGTTACCCCACCTTGAGACGTTTACATGGCAAATTGTCACCCCGGCTGACAGGGTTACCTTCCCTGGGGGACTGGGCAACCTGCAAAGGCAGGCCACCCCACCAATCATGTAAACGTGATCAAGATAAAACAAGAAATTATGTGGAAATGCAGATTACTCCACCTACACGGGTTACCTCATCTACCTGGGGTCTCCCACCTTGACATGAAGGTGTTCGGAAATATTGCCCGCTTTAACCTTTTACGTACAATCTTACTACCCCGGGATGCCGGGGTGAAGTTTATCGCACTTATAATTAATCACGGCGACGTGTGGTAAAATGTCGCTGAAAAAGGTAATTTATTTTCTTTTACGATTTTCGCCAATAGTTCGATGAGTTCACCGATTCTGATGGTACGACGTCTTCACTTCGGCATAATATGTGAAAGTGTTGAGTTCAAAGTGAAAACGTGACTATACATCGCCGTCGAGGTTTCATTGCTAAGAGGACGTGTACATTGATGTTTTTAACGTTTTAACTCTACATGGGATGCCTAGGAAATGTACACAGTTTTAACACATGTAAAACACCTGTTTCGCGATTGTTTTGCTCATTTGATTTTTTTTGTCTACGCGGATTACCCCACCTTGACGTTTACATGGCAAATTGTCACCCCGGCTGATAAGGTTACCCTACCCAACAGACCGGGAAACCTGACTAGGCGGGTCATCCCACCTATCATGCAAACGTGATCAAAATAAAATAAGAGATAAAATGGACAGGCGGGTTACCCCACCTAGGCGGGTTACCTGACCTACCTGGGGTCCCCCACCTTCATGTAAACAGGCAATCAGGCTATGTCTACACTAGCGGATAGCTCTCGGGCCAGCATGAAACCGTATCGGATAGGGCTTTTGTTCACACATAAAACGCTGATTTCGGGGTGGTTTCTGTAACGGAGCGAAACTGCACTAGAGCGAGGATTGGAACCCACTGAAACGGAAGTAAATATTCAGGAGTTAGGGTTGGAAGTTAAGGCAAAGATCGCGTTCTTACTTTACTCAGGGCGTTTCTCTAGATTTGTACTGCCAGATTTATTCGATTAAACGCCGCCCTCGAATAAACGCCGCATTTTAGAGCAAAAATATTAATAAACTCCGCCCTCGAATAAACGCCGCAGCGTGATGCGGCGTTTATTCGAATAATAGGCTCAAAAAACACACAGCGATCATTGCTTCGATCGCAGTTGGAAATTTTGAGTGAACTAGGGACAAATTGTTTTGAATGTACCTGTTCTAATGCCGAGAGAGCATATCCGACATTAGATCTTTATTCACTTTATGTATTGCAGTAGTATTAACATGCAAATTGTAAAATTGAGGACAACATAAGAAATGACTTTTTAATCAAGCATTAAAACATGTTTCTATTTTCTAAAATTTAAATGGTCATTTACCTTACTATTGTTTGCAAGAAGTCAATTGGATTTTAAATAAACGCCGCCCTCGAATAAACGCCACACTCGAATCACGAGAGATTTAATAACGCCGCGGCGGTATCTCAAGCGCTTCTCTGGATTTTCAGCTCTGTGTTATGAGTTCAACAGCTTTAAATCAATGGAAAAGAACAGCTTTTATTGATGTTGAAAGAAATGAGGACTGAAGAGAATCAACAGAACGAGGTTTTCGCGGGCAAGATTATTTTGGATCAGGCCTGGACGATGCATTGAATGGTGGGACAACTTTGTTACTGGAAGAGTCACTTGAGACGAATGGAAAGATAATTTCCGTATGAATCACAAGACGTTTATGAAATAAACTGAAGAACTTAGGCCTAGGATCCAAGTATAAGCTTTTAGGATGTGAATACCTTTATCGGTAGAAAAACAAATTGGTATCACTCTTTATTATCTTACAGATGAAGGGTGTATGCGAAAGGTGGCCATTGCGTTTGGCATCGGTAAATCAATTGTTTCAATTGTTTCAAACGGATGTGAGACGTATCACCCAGTCTATTTCTTATCTCCTCGGTCCTCTGTACATCAAACATCCCCAGAAAATACAACTGCAAGAATGTCAGAAATAGCAAGGCAGTTCGAGGGACGGCATGGATTTTCCCAATGCATTGAAGCGATCGAAGGTACGCACATTGGGATCAAAAAAGTACTTGAAAATGTTGCAAATTACTTTGACAGAAAGGAAAACTTACACTATGAGCATCCACGCTTGTGCAGATTTCAAGTATTGTTTCTTTAATGTAGTCATTAGATGGCCAGGAAGCGTGAATAATGCAGGCATATTTTCAAATTCTGCCTATAGAAAATCTGACGGATGACTCTATCCCTCTGTACCCCAAGGTTATCGTGGATGGAGAGAGTCCAGTTGCAATATGTATTTTAGGGGACCCAGCCTATCCCTTGCTACCTTTTGTTATGAAAGAGTTTGCCAACAACAGCACTTTTTTGGTTTCAAACTTTTATCTGCAATGTGCTTTGGGGAGGTTGAAGGGTCGTTTTGGCTGTCTCAAGAGGGATATGGACAGAGATATCAAGTATTTGCCGGAAGTTGTCCATGTTTTTTTTAGCTTGCATAATTAATATTACTGTGAGACAAACAATGATGTAATTTCCAAGTTTAAGGTAAAAGAAGCAAGAAGATTTGATCTGGAATTATAGCCAATTTTTTAAACATCTTATGGTGTAACTAACAATGAATCTGAAGGGGAAAAAATGCGTCTAATAATTGTGAAATACTTTGAATGAAGGTCAGGCTTGATGCTACTCTGGTTTATAGACTTAATGGATGTAACCGAGAAGTTACAATTCGTTTCGACACTCATATCTAGTGCCTTCGTCAGGGGTGATCTAATCGCCGTAACAGAGGTCCTTTTATATGCTCACTAATTAGCTGCCCCTTTCCGGGGTTGATAAGCTGGGCTTCCAATCAAAGGCGCAGGTGTCACCGTCGATTAGTGGTGATAATTTTAGACTTATCCCACCCAATTGTATGGTTAGTTAGACATTTGTGCTCCTACAAAGCTGAATTTTCTTTTCTGCAAAAGAAGACCGCTTTTTGATGCTCTTCCAAACCTGTCACCAAACTGACGTTTGGTCTATCCGATATACTCGTGATCCCAGTCATTGCACGGAATAGAATAAGTAGCGTCGGTTCGTTGCTCTTCCGTGACAGGATCCTTAGGTTTGGCAAAAATATGCCCTTAAGTTTGAAAAAGTTTTTGAGCAACTTTAACGTTGTAGCCATTCAAAATTATCTTGATGGGTTTCGTAGCACCCTGAATGTAAGGAATAACAACAAAACCAGTCGCCGGTTCCTTCTCATCAGGATTGTTACTAGTTGTAACTCGTTTCTGGCAGTTATGGGGAAATGTTCTGGTATAGTTATTTACCTTTAGGACGTCCGAAACATATTTTTTCTCCTCAGCCTTCGAGTACAGTTAAGTAAAGTTTAGCTACTGACTTTTTTATGGCAAATAGGGTGGTGAGAGTCAAAAGGGAGGTATTTGTCGGTGTGGGTAGGTTTACGATAAATACTTGTCTCTAAATTTCCCTGTTCTACTCTGCACACATTTAAATCAAGGAGGGGCAAGTGTCTATCCTTTTCACGCTCAAGGGTGAACTGGATAGACGGCACTACTGAATTCAAATGCGATAAGAGGCATTCCGCTAAAATAACATCATCTACATATCGTTTCCGGAAAAAAGGGTTTAACCGGTGAAGAGGCTAAAGCCCTTTGTTCTATGTCTTCCATAAACATTTTGGCAATGACAACAGACGTGGAACAAAGGACTTTAGCCACTTCAATGGTTAAACTGTTGTTGTGGAAACGATATGTCGATGATGTTATTTCAGCGGTATCCGGAAATGAAAAGAAAAACCAGCACGGACCATGAGCTTGTATCCCATAGCATTCCGCACAGGAGGCCGAAATCTCAAACGCGATGGAATCACATTGTTTTCTTTGCAACTGTGATTGGAATACAAATGACAGCGACACTTAGCAATACAGACTCTAATGTTCGCAAGCCTGTCGACCCTTGTAACAACAGTTTGACCATATTTTTCGCGTACGTAAATGTAGGGAACGCACCGGAAAATTTCAAAACGGTTACACGAACCATACAATTTATTCGTAACCAGTGATTTCTGAAACATGATTAAATTAAATTAAACTACAGCCAACTACCCACAACAATAATTACGATCACAAAGCGAAACACCAAACGGCAAAAGACAACGCAAAACGGGCCTGACAGTTTGGATAGAAGAAGTACACAAGATGCAGCAAAGAAACGACCATAGCACGACAAACTGCATACTAAAAACTGTTAATATGCGAGGGGACTGAAGCCTAGTTTGTAGATAAACCGCTGGCCCTTAAATTTGTTATAACAATAAGTACAACTTACATCGAAGAAGACCAAGTTCATCGTCCGTCCACTAAAACTCGTTGGAAGCCGCCATATTGAAAATGCGCGAAAATAAACCGCCGTACTTAGTAAAAAGCATTTACATCACGAAACTCTCTTCGGCCAACCGCTCTGGTACGATCTGTCGGACTGTGCAAACAACTTGTTTATGTTCTCAGCCGTTTCTGTTCGTACCAGACAGAATTTTTTCTTCACGTCGACATGATAAGCTGTCCGGTAGAGAGTAATAATAGCCTCGGTCGCTATCATACTTACTATGAAAAAACAAACGGGAAAACAAGAACAATGTTAAGGAATTACAGGGAATGTTACTAAATGTGATGGTGGCGAATCGAATATATTTACTTGAAGTGACAATCTTAGAGGATTTCAACTAATTTTGCAAGGTACACTAAGACGAGGGTGACTAGGGGTTCCTATAGTTCATCCCAAAATAAATACCATACGCGTGAGGTTTTCTGACAGGAAAGGTAAAGTGAAATTCGAAGTATCACCTTTTAAACTCGTAAACAACTGTTTTCAGTAGGGTAATTTAGTGTTATCAACTGAGTTGAGTGCGTAAATTGGCCACCGTTAAGAGTTTAGAGCGCCAGCCCTTCGTCAGAGCGATATGCATACTGCTTAAAGTACGTACGTGAAACAGGATCAGGACACGCCCTCCTTCCACTTGCTACTTTCGTAGAGAAGATTGGTTATTCTATACTAAAAACTGAGAAGCACTACGCAAAATAACTCTTTTATTTCCCTTTTAAATCAAGCCATTACCATGTCATCTAACACTTGAGAGGATTCATTTCAAACTCTGACTATCAATTGTGTGTATATCCATTTGCAATCATTCATTAATTTAGATTTTATCAACAGTATTCTAAATCACATTTCGCTTCCAGTCCCTTCGTTAATTCTAACCGTGTGCTTTGTTTCTATGGAATCATCGTAGATCGTTGGACTAAGATGGTCGTTGAAGAAAGTAAAACTTCATTAAATATAAAAATAACAACAAAATACAAAAATAATAAGTTCTTTGAATCTAAGCCATGAAAATGTTAACAAAAATATATTTAAAGAAAATACAAAAACGTTATTTTTCGAAAATCGTACAAAACAGTTACGAATATAACGGAACCCGTACACACAGATACTTAAAAAAAGCGTCAGTTCGTTAATTTGTTGTTTTCACCACTAAACATCAGGGTGAGGGTTAAGTCGTGCACAGAGAAACTAAACACTTGCCGAAAATAAAGCCTCACGACGAGAAAATGCCTACTGATTCTGACTTGCCGGGCATATATTATTGTTAAACCAAACATCAAAACTAATCTTTATAACTAACGACGTAGATTTGTCATAACTTCTCCTATAAATATCGAACAGCTTACAACAGACAGACTCAACTAAGCAATGACCAAGTATCGTATACTACTTCTATACTTTGACTGATAAACGACGAAACCGAGGACTTATCAACTGAGAGAAATGCTTCCAATTTAAACATTTGACAGTGTGAAAACCTTTTCCAACTGCAACTAGTTAGTTTTATACAATGTTATAAGATATTCTTGGAACTGTCATTTTATCTTGAGTTAATCATCCTCCTCCGGCCTGTACTTCGCCTGTCGTATTTGACTTAGTTTATTTCTCGCCGCTGCCAGTTCTTTTTCGATGCGCAGGATCTTCTCCTGAGCTTCCAGCTCCTGCGCAATTCCACCAACAAACCGCTGATTAATAACAACCGTAGTCTCTTGTTCTTCAAAGATAGCTGCACTCTTAGCCGCGGTTACCAAGTTGTCTGCTGCTCTCTTGACGGCATTGCCGGCAATCTGTAACGATACACCATTACTAAAGCTTACTGAAGGATTAATAGCCGAAAATGGTTTTTTTTTTATGAAAGTTGATCGTCTCTTTTCTTTTTGTCCAGCAAGGTAACTTTTTGCATTTAGAGATCCTAGCTTCCTAGGCACTCCGACCAAGTTTGTGTAGCCGACTGTCCTCAAAATACCCATCACTTACCTGAAGTCTCCTCTGTGTGTCACTATTGGAGTCAGCTTTCACCCTACATGCTAACAGCAGCTGGGCAGTGGAATTCGACACTTGTTTAGCTCCTGCTATTAGCCTTTCCTCGCTTGCGTTGCCCTGGACGGCCGCGTTAGCTGCGTCACACAATGTTGTCGTTGCTGCTGCCACCATACGCGCCTGGAATTGACAATTTTGATATTTAGACTGGTCATGTCATGCAAAAACTAACGCGGCGTGAAAATGTCATTTTTCAATTGAAAACGCAAGTAACAAAGGGCTCTCTGTAATTTTAAATTACCAACGTAGTGTGCTTGGGAAGTTTGTTGGTACGAGAAAAGATTTAGTGAGAGAAGCACTAAGTCTGAGATTTTGCGAGAGGTGACTTAGGCGGTGGGGGGAAGACTTAACTCTGCAAAAAGAGAATAATTGTATTGTTCAAGAGCCGCTTCTCAATTATCATAACCTTGCGCATACGCATACCTGTATTAGTCGGTTTTAAGTATTCAGTGGACTTTTATTTCTACAAATGCTGGTTAGAAAAATAACATACAGAAAGAATTTATGAGATCTCCAGAGTTTGACTTACCGCTGACACAAGCCCTTGTGACCATTGTCCATCCTCATTAGGATCTGTGGACGCTGAACACACCTGAATAACGAGCAAAAAGAGGTCAGATGTTGGCAAATTGACGGGAAAAGCAGATTTGGAACTGAGTAGAAAGCGAACCTTGTTCGATTTGATTAAGGATCTCACAATTTCTCTCACTTCCAGAATACACATATGCATACGAGCAAGCGCACAACTCAATACGCCAGAAGGTTTGCTCCCGGAGTATGCTCCAGAGTTACAATGCAAGACCAATGCAAACATTGGAGTATAATGTGCAAACTTGTTCCATGTCACAATACAAACCAAGGATCAAACAACACTAAGCTATCTGTAAGAGAAACTTACCCTGCCACTCGCCACCAGTTCCCTTTGGGCCGCTGAAGCAGACTTCACCAGTGCCACAGTGGCAGCTGTTATTGCCTTTGCAGCTTCCAGAATTTGTTCTTCGAAGTTGAGCGACTCGTCAGCTTCCTAAAAATAGCAACACCACCATAACAGAACGCTTAAAAAATGTCGATGTAAACTGAGTCCAACGTAGGAGAATTTCATCCAAAGTTCTTAAAACATTTTGTGTAAAGACTTTTCCAAACCATTTTGTTCCAGACAATTTTTTAATTAAAGAGGGTGAGTTTCTAAAGAAACTGTGGTGCTGCGTCGGTGGGAGAGTATAACAGGTAATTTAGTGTTAACAACTGAGTTGAAAACGTAAATTAGCCACCTAGAGAGTTTAAAGGCTGTCGTTTCGAGCGTTAGCCCTTCGTCAGAGCGATTGGAGGAATTATGGGTTGTGTGTGGGTTTATATCCAGAAAATGGAGCTACGTTATTGGTGGGAATATATTAACGAGAAAAGAAGAATAGGCTAGTTGAATGAAAAGCGCTCGTTGATACCGTGGGGATTAAGAGTTCCGATTTGAAAGATAAATTTTCGTTCAAGTGTTTTGCGGCTTTCCGAACTGCCTAGATGTGAGGAAAGGCCGCAAACTGCCATATGCCGTTTAGAATGATTAGAGAGATTAAAGTGTCTAGCGACTGGTTTGGATGCGTCCTCGTCATCTCTTTCTACGTCGTGAAGGTGTTCTCGTGAAGATCCGTTCTCTTAACAGATCCGAGCCTATGAGTAAAACCACGCGATAAATGTAATTGTCAACAGTTTACCTCAAAAATCAAATTTCTCCAAACGCGCTCATAAAAGATTTGGCCAAGGTAGTTTAGTTAGCACATTACATGAGCTGCCTTACACAAAGATTTCACCAGGGGAAAAACTCAAAACTTAGTCAAATTTTCAAGACTTTCATCTTTTTAAGGTCTAAAACACTAGTTTTCTATTAGTAAAATCTTTAAAATATTCAAGACCCTGTAGGAAATATATTCATGTGACTTTACCTTAGGACGTGGTTTGGGTTTGAGTTCAGCAAGTTTCCTTGCTGCTGCTTCGATCGCAGCAGCGGCGCCAAGCAGCTCGTTCTCAGCAATGACATTAGGATCTTCAGGGTTCACCCAGTCAGAACCTGAGAGGAAAAAAACAGGGCCATATTACATCGCATGATGTGAAATGAACTTCGCTTGATTTTAAAACTACATCCCCATGCGTACAGCAGACGAGAATTTCCTTGCCCAATTATTGTAGAAACAACCGAAGCTTTTCCCGTTTTGCACAGTTATATCTGACTGCCACAGACATCCTTCCTCCAATAAATGATCTAAGCGTGTAAAACTTTAAGTGAGAAATGTCACAGCTTGTCGTGTAGGCCTCTCATTTTTGGAGTTTAGAGGTGAGGATAACGTTGACAACAAGAAAATTCCCTGGCTACTAGAAACGCTGTTGACACATAAAGGAGGGCGGTTCTTTCTGTGGAAAGCGATTTCCAGAAAACCCGAGCCGAATTTGCTTAGCGAAAGGACTTACCTTTCAGTGCTTCGGCCGATTTGACAAGTTTGGCGACTTGATCAGCGACAATCTTAGACTGTGGCGTAAGCTTCACCTTCTTATCTTGGGACGGTTTCTGAACAATCTGTATGGTAAGCAATGCAATAATACTTTTAGACAATGGCCGATACTGCGAAATCTTTCTGATAGCACAATCGAGACAACAACGGATGGGATGCAAAATCAAAATAAAAGATAGTATTTTCCCTCATTTCTGAGGCCTAGTCCAGCTTGGTAGTAATCGGAGAGGGCGTAACTTAAATGTAACCTCCAATGTAAGCCCACCAAAAACTATGCGAGTTCTTTCTTTACACATACAGACTTTTTCAAAATATCGCTTGTGGTGGATCAGAGTGTTGCGCAGAAAAGGAAACAACAAAGCCGCTTAAAAATAACTAACACTGATTTAAGAGACACTCTCGTGGTCAGCACATTTTGTGTTTGGCCTGTAGACAAACGACCAAGCGTAAAACTCAATATTGTTCAGCAATTCTTACATTATGCACGAGATCAAGCAGCTCCCCAAATGAATTACCACATTCCATTCCACTCCGAAGGGCCTGGGATCTGGCGTCGTTACTTTCTGCCTTGTTGGCGGCACCCTAGGAGAGGGGAAAAAATCATTTGTCAATCAACTCATGGACGTTTACTCCGCATGTTTGAATTGTGAGGTTCCTTAGTATCTAAATTTCTAACAAAAAATGATCAAAAAGCTCATCTGTTCCTCCAAGCAGGCGCAGAACACAAGCAGGTAACCTATTTCTGATATTATCACTTCTCCCTCTTTCTTGTTCTGCTATTTCAGGTAATAACCGTCTAGTCTCCAACTCCTAAGTTGGGATTTTTTGAGCTGATTTCAAGTGTGGTCTTGGCACCAACAGAAAAAAAATTTATTTTACCTCGAATCGATCTTTCTGCTAATAATCATATTAATCATGCATATCCCTTCGCGTGTATTCACCTGATAGATTAAATCAATATTAAGACGTAACACAAAATGTGTGGAACATTAAGACTTAGAGAACTATGAAATTAATAAAACAGGGAAGGACTGCAAGATGTTAGCAATTTTATCAAAATCTTCCCACCTTACAAATAATTAACATTTCTGTCACTGCTTTGCGGCCCATGTTAGCAGCTGTCATGATGTCATCTTGCTGACAAGAATTCCCAGCAGCCACCGCTTTGGCTGTTGCTAAGGTGACGTGTTTTGTACTCCTTATAAGGTCTTCGGGTGTAGCATCCCGAACAGGCATCGACGGATTTTGTACTACCTAGAAAGGAAAAAAAAACGACGGGAAAAATATAATTTCTCACAACCCCCCTTTCCTGCATGATCACGACAAAAGGTCACATATTTGTTTGACAAACTTTCCAAAGCTGAGAAAATACTTACGCTTTGGACTGATGAAAGATTTCCTGGTAAAGAACCATGACCGTGGAAAGTAGATGTAGGATTAAAGTCTGAGTTGCGCGAATGAGGGATGGCTTGATGTTAAAAGACATTTTATCTACATGTACTTACCAGCACGGCCTGCTTGACAGCATCTATGGTTGACTCCAAGGCTCTGGTGCCTCGTAATGCTTTATCCTCCACACTCTTTACCGTTTTCAGCAGCGAGGACACATTAGCTACCATAGTCTGATATGAAAACCAGATAAAGCCACTGATCAGAAACACAGTTAACAGTGTTTAAAGCCTTTGACGCTGGGCAACTAGACTTACTGAAGAAACTAGGACCAAACTCCAGAATATTTAAACGTGCAAATTGGCGCCACACTGACTTGTCAAAAAGCTGTCGAATGCAGTATTCACAGCAAATATTGACCTATTTTCGCACATGCAGCGAAGATGGATTGATAGTTCAGTAAAATACCGCAACCAATGGTTTTAGGCAGAAATCGAGGCATGTCAAGGCTCTTACACAAATAAATAAAGGGGGTAAGTTTCTAAAGAAACTGTGGTGCTGCGTCGGTGGAAGAGTATAACAGGTAACTTAGTGTTAACAACTGGGTTGAAAACGTTAATTGGCCACCGTAAAGAGTTTAAAGGTAGACGTTTCGAACATTAGCCTTTCGTCGCTCTGACTCTGACGGAACACTAAATGACCTGTTAAGGTTGATAGGCAGTTTAGTTCCCAGTGTTGTTACATACCTTTCCTGTTGTCTTGAGCACTTCAGTGGATGGGTCGCTGACAGGTTTCCCGGATGCATTCTTGGTAGCGTTGATCAGAGCTCCAAGGGCAGACGCCACGTCTTTAGCAGCATTAAGCAACATTTGCTGCACAAAAAGACAAAAAAACAGCGCAATTTCAACATTATGTCACTCATTTTAGACCTTTAAAGGAACTAGTAATAGCATTTCTACGCCTTTAACCAGTTACACCCTAACATCAGTATGCACATTCTCCATACTGTTCTCCATACATTCTCTAGGATGCTGAAAAGGAGAATTTGTTTAACAATCAACAGTATCTGTAGTGAGTGAGAATTTCCTTTACGCGCATGACCTTAATGTTTCATTTAGGTTTGACATTAAGGAGAAACTAGATGCTGGCCAGTCTCTTTAGGGGTCAAGAGATTCATTGACAAAAAGTAGAAAATAGACGAATCTTTAAAGATGCGAACTGAGATTTTGAAATCTGTTTTTAAACTAATAAAGAGAATCTATCATTGATCCGCACACATTAAGACATTTTACCTGTGCATCACTATCATCCGGTCCGAGCGCCAGAGCTCCGAGCTTCACATTATCTGCTAAATTGGAAACTGAGCCGACCGCAGCCTCGGCAGCTGAGGCTAGGACATCTTGGGAGGCCTGTGCCGCAGACACAAGATTCTTAGTGTCTTCCACTAAAGTCTTGGCTGTTCGAAGGATAGCTTCCCTACAGAAAGAAAACACCACAACTGGATGATTACGTTTTCAGCTCTGGCAAAGGAACGTAAAATCTCTAGCAATAACGAAGAAAACTGCCCTCATATAATGTGACTGAGATGTAGCATTGAAAAAAAAAAACTACGTGTAATATTCGGAAAAGTTCTCTTGGTTCAACGAAAGTTTGAAAAGTGAAAGTCAACTTTCTTTGACCAACAATGTTTGCGGAGAAAGAGAGACGGATGATCCCGAAAAAAAGAAAAAAAAAACTATCCCTAGTTATAATTTATTTTCAACTTAAAAGGGCAGCTATCATTCAAGCTAACTGCGGTCTTTAGTATTTAAGGACGCACAAACACATCTCAGGCGGTAATTCATCCTTCGTGTGACCTTAAGCCTGGCATGAACTCATCCCAATTTACATCCAAGGTCACTCTACCCAGCTCTTGGTAGCACGTTTGTTTACAATCATAACAAACCTGTGATCTCCAAAAGTGTCCCCTTCAGTCTCAGGGTGCAGTGTACCAGTCGAAGCAAACATCACAGTAGTATCCAGGTCACCCACTATTCCCTGAACAGCACTTGCCGCATTAATGCAGGCCTGGGTACCACGCGAGCCTTGCTGAAGGGCTGCTAAGAGATGAGAAACCTAAAACATAATAAAGGACGGAAATTTTACAAAAGGATGCTGGTACATCACAATACTACAAATAAAAGTCCTAGCCCATAGCCGTAAGATCACGATGATATCTCAGCTTTCTCTGATCTATGATAAAAATACGATGCAAATGTTGTACATCAATCCAGTCATACCTTCTCTGCGACATGTTTGCAGTTGTCAGCGAGTTCTTTCTTTGAAAATGGATCCTTTGGACTACTCTGGACAGCTCCACCGCTCTGAATCAAACTGATACAAGCCTCTCCTAGACCCTGGACACCAGTGCGAATGCGGTGCGCGATCTGAAAGGAAAAAATGACGAAACATCAAACTAACATAGGAGCAGATAACTTCAACCTTGGAATGCTGTATGCCAGTAAGTGCAGGTATTTGGTTTTTCCTTGGTTACAGCGTAACTTAAAATGTTGGTGAACTCGGTAAAAGAGTATCAGTTGTTTCCTACCTCAGGGTTCCCGACTGTTTTGACAGCTCCTTTGGCGTCTTTTGCGATGTCATTGTACGTTTTACTAATGTCTTTACCAAGAGGACCAAGTTTGGTCGGATCTGTGGTCGATTTACCAACCTAAAACAAAACAAGTCCACCACATGTCAATTGGAAATTTCTACTGAACGAGGACAAATGGCCTGCCACAATTACTGTATGGAATTCTCACTTCAAAGAATACAACGGAATATTTTGAAACCGTTGTGAAGTAATTCAAATAAATTGCGCCGCAGACTTACAAATTAAGGTTAGTCAGTCATTTTGACGAGAATCGAAAGACCTTCTCTTATATTTGATGGTTTGGACGAAGTATTTTAAAACAATCACCTATACCAAAAAATTCATGAATTAAAATCGTGTTGATGCGATTTCCTTACCAAGGCTTAATGAAACTCACTCCTGATTACCACCCTTCAAATAAACTTTGTGAGAATAAATTCACCAAGTGAAAAGTCAGTTGCCTCTCACTCACTCACCATATCATGAGCTTTCTTGGCCAGTTCCTTCATGCCGCGGGTCATCTTCTCTTGATAATTGACAAATGGTTCATCGATACCTTCAAATCCATCTGCTCGACCGTTAACCAAGGGTTGATCAATCTAACAAAATAATTATTCCAAAATGGTTTTCGGCTGTTAAATATAATAACAGTTAAAATGTACTGTGCCAAGTGAATCTGCCCTGAAAGAACAAAGATTCTCAGCGCGAATACGGGCAGTTTTTTTCCCAACCCATCCTATAAACTTCACATTTATAACACGTTCGTAAAGAGTTTACTGATGAGCATCTCACCTCAGCTAGTGCTTTTCCGATACTGTCAATCAAACCGGACACAACACCGGTTTCACTGGCGGCTTCTTCAAGAGTTTGTCCCAGGTCCCGTACGGCTTCCTTCATTCCCTGAGCTGCTTCGTCAATATCTGGATGAGCATGAACAGCCTGTAAAATTTTACAAAGCTTGTTTCAGCTTTCAATTCAAGTCAGTATTAACAAAAGAAACAAGCCTCTGCCAGGCTCTCCTTCTTGGAGACGAGCGAAAACGCGGGCGCGCAACAAATGCTGAGGGATCATGGGAGGAAAAAATTAGGAAGGGGAGACCCTCGTTGCGCAGCCGTTTCCTTGACAACCACAACCGCTGTTTGTCGTTCGCCCGCTCTATCGCTCTGGCTCACAATCCTTCTCCTCACCAAGGAGTATAATTTAAATGGAACACTTGACTACATGCTGGAGTTGGGGAGGTGAACCAGTTATGAACCCAAGACACCGCTAGCATCCCCATTAAAAGGTGGCTATGCTCCAAGCCCCTTCAAAATAATACAAAGCCCGAGACAGGTTCAGGTAGTGATGGACCACTTAGCCGTAAGATTCAATCTTCAAACGTACTTCCCACACACAATAGTACAAGCTTTTAACCTTTGGATTTCCTCCGCCTTCTTTAGTGGCGTACATGAGTTGTGCTGCCGACTCCGCCACAGTCTTGGCCTGATCTAACAAGTCAACCTTGCGTTGAACATCTGCGGTACGTGAAGCTGCGCCTACAGCCAGGTCGGCCAGCGGAGCAATAAAACTCGACATCTGAGCTACCTGTTGGGGAAAAAAATCGGGAACATAGACATAACTACCTGTTGGCAGAGAATACACAGATAATTAATCTTGTGGTAGGATACGGTTATTTCACGGCAAGCAAACCACAAACCACAACCTCCCCAACCCCCGGAAAAAGAAAAAGAAATCATATTAAAGCAAACATACATCTTTTGCTTCTCGTCATTTAGGTAGTCGGTGACCCCAACACAAATTGAATACTGCTGCACTTCACCAGCTGTTTTAGTCTTTGGTCACAGTCCAGTGGAAATTATAAACAAAAAACTACTACAAAACTAGTAAGTACCCTGTGTCCAATCTTCTCTGGTTCGGACTTCGCTGCCGCTGCTAATGGATCGATAACATCAGTCATCTGACTCAAGTTTTGCATCATTTGTTCTTGGAAACCCTGATAAGAAATCGAGGAACTGTTTGGAATAAAGTTCATGGCATAAGGAACAAAATTAGTGGCAGGCTTCTGAGATCTTTCAGCGAGATGGCGGAGAGTGAGAGAAATCGATGCTGGAGGTAAATGTTGCAGTGAGAAAGAACAGGAAAGAGGGGAAAAGGGAGAGAATGGAGGGGTTGAAGCCAAAGCCACCGTCGCCTCCATGTAAATACCATTTGTTGGCTAGCCTAGGAAAGGACAAAGAGGAGCGAGCGAACAACAGACCCGCAAACTATCGGTCGTATACCAGTTCTCAGCTCTGAGGAACTAAGCGCAAACCAGTCAATTTTTCTTTTGTAAATAGCACTGCTCCAGCCCACTGCCAGAATCACGAGTTGTTTCAATATTTCAAAGACTCACTAAGACGATAGGTCTTTTTAAGTAGCTTTGCTATTTTACCTGTAAAGTGTTTTCAGGTCTCGGTTCCAGCTGCTGACTAATGGCAGCCAATGATGCTTGATCCAGTTGATTTATGGTGTAGTTAATTTGTTCTAACGCTTCATCACATTCTCTTTGACCAGGGGCATTGTCTCTGCAACAAAAAAAAATATTCATGTGAATTAAAGAATAGCAGAATTAATAATATCAAAGTCAAGTGTATGACAACACGTCCAGGTTGTCAGCCACTGACTACGGCGAAAACCCATTTCAAGAGAATGCTCACCTTGGTGAACGAAACCCCAAACCAAAGTTATCAAAACAGCCAATCAGATGAAAGGGAAACATCCAGAGGAGCCAATGAAGACTCAGCTTCAAACAAAAAGCTTGAGTCGCACAACAACGAGAGTAAAAAGATATAGCGAAATAGAGTGAAACCAAACAACCTTGACTCACTGTGGACACTCAGTTGCTAAATCGCTCTGTACGAAAACTTTTCGATACAAACTCACTTGATCGCAGTAATTAGTCTCCTCATAGCATCAGACACAGCTTTAGCTTGCTGGGCGAGTTGTTGCCAGCCTGTCTGATCTTTAGAGTTCACAGCAAGAGCTTTGGCGACATTGAAATAATTTGAACTTGAAGTGGCCATGGATTTGCCGGACATGATCAGCGGAACCTGAGCTGAACGGGCCTGAAAAAGGGATGCGTTCGATCATAAATGACAGGAAAGTTCACAAGCCATAAACCGATTTTTCTGAGAGCGCGATTCCATTTCGAAAAACCACACCAAAGTAGGCGCAAAGGAAAACGTCAGTGTCAAACTGTATTGCATTAGTGGCTTCAAATGTTTTAGCTGAGAGCGAGACGGTAAGGCTATTCAAAGAGGAGAGCAGCCGGGAACCTTAAACTGCTCTTACGATCTACCTCTGCCAGAATATCAGTGTTACTGCTCTTACATTATAACCTGTGTAGTGGAAAATCAGTTAACATTGGTTCTCACCTCCGCACTGATTTTAGCGGGTACTGCAGCAAATTCTGGGGACAGCGCGTACGCTGTTAGACTCTCTACGCTGTTTATCAGCGGTTTAGTCGAGGCTGCGCATGCTTCCCTGTTGTTGTCTGACATGTCACTCGCAAACACCTGAAACAAAAAACGACTGCGTTACATTCCCTTTCACGGTGTGTGACAGGAAATATATGTTCTTGTTCAATCTGTAGAGTTAGAGGCTAAATACACGCACAAACCTTAATATTCTTAACCAAGTTCGCTGTATTGTTGGCCACATCTTTGGCTGACTGCACAAACTGCCTCTTGGCTGCAGGGTTGTTGGTTTTCGCAGAGGCTGCTTTACACGCATTGCACAAGGCGGAAGTGTGCTTAGCGACTGATGTAGCAGCTCCGAGGACCTGTAAACAGCAGAAGAAATAAGCTTTCTTCGCGAGGAGGTCAAACGGGCAAATTTTTCCGAGAATAGATGATCGGTTGGTTAACAAACCAGGCAGCCAATTCAATGCCTTGAACCTCTAATTTGATTAATTCCATTGTGAGTCGAGATGTCCTGAATTGTCCCTTTTTTGCCGAAACAAAATGAATGATACAATGTGCTCCTAGGGATATTTACTAAGCGCTGTAACTTTGCACTCTATGAAGCTTGCTATTACCTGCTGTTGACTGGCGTCTGGGTTGAGCAGACTCTGACATGCGTCTACAATCTCTTGTTTTGAGTTCATAAACTGCGCCTGGTCTATTAAACCTGGTCTTCCTGCCACACTTGATGGATCAGCAACTGCCACAAGGTATGCAGCCTGAAATTTGACACGCACCAACAATTACAGAATATTATACTGTTTTGCTTAACAGGATCACTTGCAACGTTCTAATTTCTTCACTGTTGGCATCTTTGAGTTCGGGTGCAGTTTGGTAATGGCCCTTACTCAGCATTCCTATGCAATTTCGTCGCGATTGTTTTCAAGCATTCCCTACTGATACTGAGTTTTAAGTCTTTAGGAATGAAATTAATTCTAAGAAACCAGCTTTCACGCAATTAAATCACTAAAGCATGAGAACGTGCCGGTGAGATTTCTCCAATTAACGCAGGTGATACACCAACATAACATTATTTTGTCTTTAGAAAAATAACGAAAAGATTTTACCGCTTTCTGCATTGGTTCTGGAGTTTTTTTACAACCTACCTGTGCGGCAGACTCTGTCAACGCACATACAGCACCGGAGGCGTTTTTAACGCCATCATCAAACTCATTGAAATCACCAGACCTGACACTGTTGGAAATCCTTGGCATCGCTTCTGTTAGATCCTGCAGAAAAACGACAGTGCAGCAAATTGACAAATTGATACAGTTTGGTGGAACCTCATCGAACAGAGAACACAGCCATTATCTGGGCATTTGAAGTTCATAATCATTACACTAATAATCCGTGTCAACCTTCTCCAAAGTTAACCTTTGTAATTTAGCTTTGCTTTCTTTGAACTTCTTCCGTGTTGATTGTTGACTTACTCCTAAAAAATTATCATATTGAGGATGTTCCCTCTGTTTAAAACAAATCTTTAAGAGAAGAATAACCTGACGCAAAATCTTGAAAAGCTGAGCAAGTCTTACCTGGGATTTGCGAGTTACTTTATCGAGACAGTCAAAGAATGTGTCGTTGTTGACTGGTTCAACTGGATTATCCAGGATGTTACTAACTGCCTGTAAAACAAAATGAGCAATACCGAGCTAGTTACCAAATAAAACAAACATTCGAACAAACAAATCAAAAGATGCTATGTATAATTACAGTCAGGGAAACATTTGGTAGTGTGGGAAAGTGTGAAAAAACATCCTCTGGTTAATCAGAATAATCGCCACGACCATAACGCACTGTCGCAAATTTGAAATTCAATTGGACCCTAAACTATCAGGCATTTCTCTCAAACAGTTCAGACGCCATGCTAAATAAGGATTGCAGAACATTTATTAGTAGTTGCTTTCCGTATTCTTCAGATAAAATGCTATTCGTCAACTTAATTAAGGCAAAAAGTGCGCGAGCCTCAAATAAACATCATTATTTAAACTTTTCTGAGCTAGTCGTACCTGGATATTTCTCAAGGCATTGTCGCATTCCTTTTGCCCAGGAGCGGCAGACATACAAGCATTGAGCAGCATGTTAATACTATCAGTAACAGCCCTGTTAACAAAAAAGAATCACTAGCTTTTAAACGGTCCAAACTAATAAGTTCGCGTCCCCTCAAGAGCACTTTTCTTAATAACCATCACGAAACCTCACAACGAATGGAAGAATGGTAATGCACCTACGGGTAATTCGGAATGGGCTTGTTACAATACAAAACTGTTGGACACGGAGGCCACATTCTCGCGGACAACAAGGTTGCGAAATGTAAAGAAAGAGTTAAAAATATAAACTAGATGTATCTTTTATGATTTGTAACATCGTTTTAAAAAACAAACTGATAACAGGGCTAATGGATTCCATGTTACTAACCTTGCAGCATTAGCGAGCGAGTTCTTAGCATTAGGTGCATTCGGATCGGAAACCAATGATTTGGCAGCCAAAAGGAGTTTACTGGACGCAGTTGATGTGTTCTTCAAGTTACGCACCAAGGAATCCTTGGCTGCTTCATCCTGAAAAAAAATATGCATCAAGTTCTAACACAACCAATTTCAAATCAAAGTACTTCTAAGTACGGTATACGGCCAAAATGTGTCCCAAAAATCCCATTTTGAATAAATTCCGAGTAAACTTGTCTTCAGTACCAATTAAGTTTCATGTTGTTTGGGGTGGTCACTATTCAAATTCCGCATTTTCGTGAAAGGTTAAATTGTTTCCGCAAAATTTGCATGGATGTTGTTTCTTTCGCTTCCTCGGAAATTTTGCGCGGAAAATTAATCCACTTCTGCATTCTACACGCCGGCCGCCTTGTGGATCAAAATACCTTGGCCTGTCCAGCTAGCTTTAGTCCACTGTCCAGCAAGTCTTGGTAGGACAGTGAAAACTTCTTAGTGGATACAGCCAGTTGGTTGGAGGTTCCACGCGAGGCTGACACCATGTCACTGGCTGCGGCATTCAGCGCTGCCCCTCTCATGCTGAGCTTCTCTTGAACAACTTGGTAACCTTCAGAGGTGGATGGGAACTAAACCATCAAACAAATAATAAAGTCAAAAAAGAACAGAACAAAAGTAATACAATACAATATAATTATATGTTGCTGAAGTTTGTTGCTGTTGCTGTTTCTGTTTAATTCATTACGGTAAGCCAAGTAATAAAATTATTCGTCTATCTTTTCCACAAAATTGAATAAAATTCTTACGGTGCTACTTTGAGTAAGAAAACCATCATCATCAATTAAGGACAATGACTGTCTCCACCCCACCCACTCGCACTTGGTGACCAATTCCGGCCATTCGTGAAAAACAAAAAAAAATAGCCGCATCTGCCTATATGGGCCTACTTGATCAAAGGGCGTATAACGCAATCTAACAGATCAGTCGCTATCCTGCGGATCAGTGTCATCAAAAAGTACTTCGCTATCCACCAAATAGAGATTAATCCAGTGGAAAGCATCATCCGTTCTTCGAACAACCGAGGCAAGAACTTAAACTCCATTGATTCAACCCTTATTTTGTGGGAGTTTCTCAGTAGAAGAGAATGAGACGGAACTATCCATTATGACGCCAGCCATCACCGTGTTATAACTCCTACTTAAAGCAGAAGAAGGTTAAGAAGATAAAGACATAGGCAAGAGGAATTAAGGGGAGGAGCCGAGCCAAACACGGCTGTTAACTAAACGATGGCGAGCTTAAAACTTCACGAGAGAGCTACACTGTTCGCTATTCCAATTCTGGATAGTGTTTCTGATAGTCACTCATTAGAAATGCCTAAATACAGTGCATTTATTTAAAAAAAATAAATACATAAAAAAATAAAAAATTGACAAGGTTTTTACGGTAAACTGGATTGAATACTCAAGATAAGATTTATCTTACATCTCCTATGGCTAAGCTCTGACTGGAGTTAACCACGGCTTTTATTGCTTCATCAACATCTCGTTGACCCGGTAGGTAGTTCACACAGTTGTTTAGTGCGCTCGATACATCTTTAGCAGCCTACAGAAATAAGTACATTGTCTTAACAACTAAAACTGTGGTCGTGCATGAGTAAGCTTGAAGTACATTAAAATTGTGCTTGAAAGCAAAAACAGAAAACTTGCAAACCTATCCTCGACGCAAGGGTTTCCTCCATGTTCCAAGTCATCACATGGGCTATAATGCAGCTTAATAGCTGTGACAAATATATTGGTGTGCGCTCTTCCCAGCGATCGCGACAACAATAATTTATTTAAAAAAAACATTAAAAAAGGCTAGGGACATAAAAATTGGACCAGCCTAACAGCAGTTGCGTTCGAACATACATTCACAGTGAAGCTTATGGACACAGGAAAATGTTCGATGATTGCCTTAACCTCAAGTCGTGACCTACACAAAACCTAGGAACCTATGTTCGTACATTGCTGTAACTCTTACCTGTGCCAGCCTTGGCTGGTTATTAGGATCTCCTGGGTTGTTCACGGCACTTTTTGCTTCTTGGATTAATTTTGCCGACTCAGCAACAACAGCCTGCGTTGCTTTGATCAAGTTCATCTGCAGGGCTCTTTCGTCAGCTGTTGCTGCCACTCCCCTAGCTGCTGCAGTCAGCACACGCAGGGCGCTGGCTGTGTCCCTCGCTGCGATACCAGTGTAACTTTCATTGCCCTGACAATGAATGTTGAAAAAGCTAAGTCACCGTCTCCTCGTCTTGCATATTTCAACGTCACTATTTTAACTTACCACTTGCATCCCACGTTCATCCTCAAAAATTGTTCCTTCTCATTTATGAAACAACAGAGAGACTGAACCAGCTACGATTGGTAACAAGTCCATCTTTTATGACGCGAGCAAATTTACAGCAATTTCATAAAATTAAAACAATTAACTGGGATAATAACCCAGGAAAAAAAAAAGAAAGAACGAAAGACGTATAAACGATCTTCAACCACACAATCGAACAACATACACAAACAAGTGACTACAGAGCGATTTATCAACTTTGTTGGGAAAGTTTAGGGCTACACATGCATGGTCATATCTTCATTAGTTTAATTTAGTTCTTTCTTCATGTCAAAAGTTACCTGAGAGGCAGCGGTTAGAAGTTGTGCCATTGATGAGCCAACAGACTTTGATGTTGCACCAAGTTCAAGACCACAAGACTCTGCCTAAAAGTAAAAAATAAAACATAACGTTTGTTGAGTTTCTGACGGCTCAGATTTCAACCGCAAGTCTGTTCTGATCACAACACGTCTCCCAAGACAACGTACAGTATCTCCTGGCAGTGGGAGCAATTTTCCTTCCTCAGCGCTCTTCTCATATGCCTCCAAATCACGTCCAAGAGAACTAACTGCATCCAAAGCACTGTCAATCTCCAGTGTTCCACAGGCTTCAGCAGCCTACAACATGTAGTAAACGGGCATTAGAAAAAACCGTGATAAAAACAAGCGAGACTTGAACGGAAAGGATGCGTAATACAACGAACAAACAAGTAAAGAGAACGACAGCACGACTGACGGAGAAAATAGGGAAGGAGGAAAAGCCACAAAGACACCAACTGCGTCCTAGACTGAATTGTATTGGCCATTTGCAAGCTTTGTTCTTTTATACAATTTGAAAGTGTGAATGCCTTCTTCAGGTTTTCTTTCTTTTTTGGCAATTTTTGTTTCATAGCGCGATATTGCATATATCTCAAAATTGCATCAAACAAAAAAGAGGGAGGAAAATAGTTTAAATTAAGTTTACTTTTAGTTTAAAAGTAGTTTAAGTTAAGTAAACAGGAGAGTTATGGGTGGAAAGAGAAATCTCTTTGAAATGATTTTGAAATCTCTTTGAAATTATATCGCATACCTTATCCGCAGCATCTCTCAAGTCTCCAAGTGAAGATGCAGTTGACTTGGCAAAGTTTGCGAGCTGTGTGGCTGTGATCGGATCTCCGATGGTCGGTAGAGCAGCTTTAGAGTTTGCCACAAGTTTGGATGTGGGCTGTAAAATATAAAGACATAGTTTAGGGTCTCAATTGTTGGAGATCCACTCTCATCCTGGACTGACAAGGAAAATTTGATTAACAGTCGAGAGCTTCTATAGCTGGTGATAATTTCCTTAATTCCCATGACCTTGATGTTTAATTCAGACGTAATACTGTGAGGAGAAATTCTATGCTGATCGCCCTTAGGGTTAACGAGTTAATGAACTCACGCACACTTGAAGACAGAGACAACCTAATTTTATCTTTCATAAGTTTCAGCGAACGGTTGTACGTTCCTTTTTTTTTTTTTAAGTTAATTTTTCTAGGTCAATGTTTGCTTTTACTTACCTGCATGAACTCCTTTGAAGCGTTTATTAACGCAAGTTGGGGGGCGGCAAGATCAGGATTTCTTGATGTGTCTCTTAGAGCTTCTACCAGTTGGTTAATGTGTTCCTCTACTGGCTGAAAAAGGAAATCATCGAGTAAAAATTACTTTATAATAATTTTTAATGAAATGAGCTTCATTTGACCTGCAGGTAAAAATCGAATAAAGCTATGATCCTCGCAGGTGAGTATCAATTCAAGAAATAGCAGAAAAGAAGCTGGGAAAAATTCAGGCTTCGACGGGAAACGAACTTGTGCCTCCCAGATATTAGTAACGCCTAACTGAGGTAACTCAAGTAACTCAACTATTAGAAAACCGTCCATTTTAGCTTTTTGTTTGCTTAACAGAGGTAAATACGGCAAATACAGGTAGGACAATTAGGAAGAGTTTGCTCAGTGCAGGTTGTCTGCTGAATAAAGGGTCCACTTCAGCAGGTTTACTGTATTTCAGTTCTGACTTACCTTGCATTGGTCATTCAGTTGCTGTTGTGACGCTTGATTTCGATTCGAAGGACCTGCGCTGCGGGCTGCAGCGATCAGCTGAGTAGCCTGGCCAGCTGCTTCCTTAGCTGCTGTCTGATAAAGAAAAACAAGAGGCGAACTTTTAATCCATCGAAATACAAGTAGCACCATGCAATGTGTCCGGAGATCACCAAACGTTGAATCAAGACAGACTTATTGCAGTGGTTGAAGTTCTTTTTTTCTCAAATGTGAAAAATGAACAACTACATATTTTTTAAAGAGAAGCAGCAGTAAAATCCTCGAAATCGCAGCGAAATCGAATTTGATTTTCAGTAACTAGAAGAGGCCAATTGCTACTACAATACAATATAATAGTTAATCACATTCCCCTGGTGGGATTTTTAGTGGCAGTGCGAGACAACTAAACTAATTAAGTTGAAAGAAGTGGTTTACGACTCAATTCAAAGCTAAGAGTTCACTAAAGCCTCTGAATAGCATATGATTTGATTTTTTCCTCTAATCTTTTTTCTTTTTTTTTTAATTAAGACATGGTACTCACCTCAAGTCTCTTGACCAGCTTTTTCTTCAAAGCATCGCTGGCCGCAGCATTCGTTGCTGATCTCAAATCTTCTGCAGCCTGTTTTAGCTTCTGCTGTTGATCCGCTGCATTTGGGTTTCTTGCTGCTCCCTGTTTAAACCACACAAATGAAAGTTCATTCATCTCACCCAGAACTTATCTATGGTAAATAACCACATGAAAGAGCACGTTTTAGAGTCTAGATGCCAGCGCACCTTAGCTGCTTCCACGAGCTTTGCCGTAGCATCGGCCAACACTTTGGCAGCCGCTAAAAGTCGCTTCTGAGCATCTGAGTCATCTTGAGTTTCAGCTTCCGCTTTAATTCCAGTCACCAACGAAGAAGATGCCTGAGTGTGAAACAAGAGGATAAAAAGTTAATAGCTGGTTTACTACGCGACTTAACTAAAATATATTTCATTGTCAAGACACTTTGTAAATACCGATAAAGTAAAAAAAAAATACGACGTAAATTCCATACCTGCGCTAAAATCTTTGCCTGTTTGACCATCTCCCCAGCATTACCCATGCTGTTAAACAGCCTGTCAGTGGCTCCAAGAATATCATCACAAGCAGCGTCATACTGCCCGGCCTGCTGGGCTTCCCAGCTTCCATCTCGCACCTTCTGCAGCAGACTATTCATGGCATCTCGAACAGCCTGGGCAGCCGCCAGGAGCTCCTTCAGCAGATCAGAATCTTCAGGGGCCGCTTCCTGAGACCAGAAACATTGAGAAATTTCTTATAATTTGAAAGCGTGACCGCTCCCATAAATAAAAACCTCCTCTTCCCCCAAAAAAAAAAAATTACTAATACAACTCCCTAAGATAGCAACCCACCAGGTTAATACTCGTCCCAAATCCTTGATATGAGAAGACGGGTTAAAACAAAGGTTACAGGATCACTCTCACAGTTTAAACAAAATTTAGCAATTCGCATGAAGAGGTTTTTCATGCCCTACTTCCAAGTTTGATTGGAATTTGGTTTTTTGGACTTTGTAAGAAGGAAAACGATAACCAACAGAAAACCGGATAACCTGCAGGGTATTCTCAGAGCTACAGTACACAAGACCCACCAAACCAACTCAACCCATGAGCAAAGCTAAATCTGGTAATCAACCTTATGACTACATCTTCCAAGAAGTTTTATCTCACCTTACAAGCTCCCTCAGTATCATCAACAGCAGTAGCAACAAGTTTTGCAGCTTCCACAACTTGTTCTTGACACATGTGACTACTGATAGATGGAACAACCACCTTAACACAAGCCACCAACTGGGCTGTTGTCCTGGCCGTCTCCTTGGCAGCAGTGATTACTTTTCCTTGAGCCCCTGTATCATTGGATTGACTGGCAACATTCTTTGCTTTAAGCACCAGAGCTGCTGTTGCATTAGCTACAGCTTGGGCCAGAGCAAGCAACATCTCCTTTATTAGAAAATAATAATATTATCAATAATAATAATAACAACAATATTAATGACATAATTTTTGGGTAGCCGTAGTTTAAAGGGGAGATGAAACCTGTCCTACAAGGCCAAGGGATCTTATATAGCTGCAGATGGAAGCTGTGTTTATTTACTTATAACACTATTACAACATACATTTCCCATACAATTAACAACAATAAACGTTTTCTCCTCTGAATCTTGTTGCTGACATAACCTTTTTAAATTTTCAAATCACCCTTAGGGATCACATCATGTCTGAGGGGTCCTGATAAGTACAACCAGACTTTTTCTTGACACACAAAACATGTTATAGATAAAGAATTATATAATAAGCTCAGTTATGCTTGCATTCTGATTGGTTCTCACCTATGATCTATTGGAGGACAGACGTATAGATGACGTCATCATTAAAACCTTTTCTCCATATATTTTAATTATTTATTATATAAAACAACTAGATTCCAAGTTGCCATGCATCTGTTCAGTAATAGATCACAGAGGATGTCAAAATGTGGTAAGAACACCAGTGACACACTTGGCTGTGCCTCATGTGCCACTTTTTTGTTCTTACCACATTTTGATGTCATCTGTGATCTATTACTGAACAGATGCACGGCAACTTGGAATCTATTTGTTAATTAAATATTACATAAAAATAATAAGAAAAAGAGGGAGACACATTTGATCACACATTCAATTTTGTCAGACTACCGATGATTAAAAGTCAAAGTCTTTGCACCAAAAAAATTCTGGAATCTCATGTGGTGTTGTAATTCTGTGTTCACTCCACATGTACAGCCAGCTTGTGCATTTTTCTGTGTCGTATCATTATTTATGTATGTGTAAGATGTCCTTACTTGAGTTTGCTGATCTACATCAGGTTCACCCATATACTGCAGAAGAGTTGCTCCTGATGAGCCCACATTACCAGCTGCTGACAACAGCTTGCCTCTGGACTGAAGAAAAAAAATCCCCATTAGTGGTTAGATCTTGCTAACATAAAATATATATATTTTAAAAAAAACAATGTCTTCCATGTTTAAAAAGAAAGGCATGTCCAACAACACTTCAATGTTAAAAGAAAGAAAGTCAAATTCTTTAAAATCAACTAAATAAAAGGAGCAAGTTTCTCAAGAAACTGTGATGCTGGTGGGTGAGTATAACAATACATTAATAAGGTTTTATCAACTCAGTTAACATTTACCAATTATCTACTTTGAAACCAACCTCACTATCAGCTCCACCCCCTTCCTGAGCAGCTTTCAAGAGAGCAGAAAAAGCACCTGCTAAGCTGCGTGTGGCATCCAAGAGGTTTTTACCATCATCATCATCATCAAGTAGTCCTGCAATCATTTTGATTCCTTTGGATAAGTCTTGAAGGTTTGAAGATCTGAAAAATGAAGCGATACACTTAATTCAGTGTCAAACCTGAAGCACTGTATGAATGACAAAAGGAAATAAACATTCTCTTAGTAAGATTAGGAGAAAAAGTATTCCACAATGTGATGATCAACCATTGCAGAGATCTTGTCCATTCACAAAAGGCAGGTTGTTGTAAAGAATATGCAGTGCAAGGTTGTACATTATGGAAAAATGTCCATCACCTACAAAGATACAGTAAAACAACACATACAGTTGTACCTTAAGTATCTCAAACACATTCTACTTACATAGTGTTGACAGCAGCACCAGCAGCAGTGTAGTTTGTTTCCTCTGGCTCACCTTAAAACATGAATAAAATTGAACTTTAAGCATACATTATACAGCTGTATCTATACTTGTATACCAGTTTACAATAGTTTTCCCTTCCCCTTTTCCCATCATACTGAACCAAAATCTAAAAACTGCTAATTTCTTAATTTTGGCCAGCTGCATCTCACAGCATATTTAAAATGACTGAAAATCCAGGAAAATGACTAGAAATTCAGGGGAACAAAGAGTAACTGAAATGTTCAAGAGCCTTATTAAGCATAAAATACCTGATGTGAGAGTGACAATGGAGGCACATGATGCTGACAGAGCAGCAAGGCGAGATGCAACATTTTGTCTGGAATGGTCCAAAGTGTTCTGCTTCCACTTCAGAGATGCCTAGTAACATCAAAATATAATGATAGAACTTCACCCCAATAATCATTTACTTCCAGAAGGATTTAAAAGAAATTAACTATCATGATAATCTTTATGGTCTGTAAAGGAAAACTCGAGGGAAAATATATAATTCAAAGTACATTAAAAAACTACATGAAACAACAAGAAACAGTGTTTTTGAAATGTGCATTCACTAATGATAATTATTTCCAAATTCATCAGAGAAGGGAGGCTGTTCCTCATAACTACAATAATGTGCATGTTAGTGCAGTTAATTGTGGAAATATTAGTCATGCAGATGTCCTACAGTAGTGGTGGAACCAATGTACAGTTACACTCTTCATGAATGGTTTATCTTACTGGATCTGAACCAAGGGCAGGAATTTCTGCAGGAGATCCCAGGTCTTGTTCAGCAGAGACAATTGTGTCCAGACCATAGCTTAGGCTGCTCATGTATGCCTTTTGTGCTGGAGTGAGGCTGTGCAGCTTGGCTTGGGATCCCTGTTACAGGTAACAACAGCAGAAAGTATGATCACCAACTGACACTGATAGTATGATAATAACACAGCGACTAACACCACAAAATTTGAGCAATAATTATCAAGCCATCCTACACCAGTTGACACTGATAGCATGATAATGATGACCATTAAGTACCACTCTAAGGAATGAAAATTTCATACAAAACAATGATACAAAACCCTGATAATAAAACAAATACATAGTAAATAATTACATTTGATTAATTTGCACACAAATCCTTTTTTTTATGAGTAAAAGGTTTGGGCACATTTTCCTACCATGGGTGGTCTGTGGGCAGAGTGTGCTGATCCTGTGACTGTCCCATACTGGGCTGGCTCCATCTTACCCACACTGTACCTGGATGCACCTACAAAGTGAGTTCATTGTAACTCAGATTTACTGGTTTATAAAGCTGTATTTTATGGCAAACCAACATTATGGACTTGTAAATAATAACAAATAAAGAAGTATCAACAATTTTTTTAGTCTAAGATCTTTAGATTTACATCTAGCTTACTATTAATCTGCAAGTACTATTGCAATGGTTAGCATGGTGATTGCACAGCAGTTTTATTTTGTGGATTAGAAATTTTGTGTGCTCTGCAGGAGCAACCTTTTGAGGTTTAAGTTAACTAAAATATTCGGGAGCTTACTTTTGCAATATTCTGTTGGTCAATAAATAACAAAACATTACAAGGAAAGGAGACTATAATATTCTAAGGCAAGCACAAGGTGAGCACAAGGCATGAGTCAAGCACAAGGGGAGGAGCAGGCTACCAACTACCCTAGGGATATTCTGGGTGATCATATGTAAGTATTCCAGAGTTTTTTTTTTAATGAACTAAAGTACATTCACCTTTGAGGCATTTGCTTACATATGGTACTTCTAGTCATATTCTAAACTTAAGAGATATTGCATAATCCTATGAAAAAGAGTGAGGTACAGAGCTGTACAGTACCTGGACCTCCTGCTCTCATCACTGCTGGCAGAGCTACTGATCCAGTAGCAGCATGACCAACTTTATTAGTTTGTCGTTCTAAGTATGTGCCTCTGAATTTGACAAAGAAAGAAAATTAAGTTAATACAGTTAACTACAGATTGAAATATATGTTTGAAATCACAAAAGAAAGAAATATCAGAGTATTTGCATGACAATTTGAACCCCAGCCAATTCAAGTGCATATTATTTCTATAATTGTACTTTACTTATGGTCTTACCGAAGTAACATCATGTCATATAAAGTGGTCAGATATTTATATAAATTTAACACAATTTTATTGCTTACTTTGAGGGAGTAACAGAATCCTCTACCATTGTTGATTCCTCATCAAAATCTGGATCATAACCATCTTGACCTTTTCTCTACAGGCATCAATTGGAAAAAATAAGCAGTGACATGACCTTTAAGTAACTGAAAACCACATTTAAATACCCTATGTTTTAAAAACCTTTTGCTTCCATGTTCGAGATATCAAGTTAATTCTCCACATTGCCTGCCATAAACATTTTTTACAACTCTAGCTCTAATAATTTGGTGTTAAGATAAACAAATTCCATAAGTTTATATTTTTCCTTCTTTCATCACCTTTATTCCTGTTTGGTCTTAATACATAACTTCTTTGAATAATAAAAGAAAATTCAATCATGTTATCAAAGCAATAAAAGTGGCATTACTAAATTTGTGTAATTGGTTTTAATTTTTTGATTTGTTCTGATTGTTGTTTTCTTTTCATAAATCCTAGGCAGAACTGATATTAAAAAAACTGTAAGACAGTTACCTTCTTTAAAATAATATCAATGTAGCCAGCAATAAGTTGAGATATTTTCTCTCCTTCATTGGTTTGCACAGAGTAATAAGACTCTAAATAATCCCCAAAATCCTGTTAAAAGAAATTTAAACATTTATCATTCTTTAAGTAGGACAGAAAATAGTATAAAATTTAAAAAGATGATCTATTTGTCAACACTAACATTAGTTTTATTTATTATAAGTATGTGCCTATGTATGTGGAAACCACTTCCACCTGTGAAAACAAAGTCTTGTCCAGTGTTCAAAAGTACAACAATGTAACTAAATTATGTTCATAAAACCTTTTGAGGCCTTAAATAAAATATTCCACCACAATGTTCTCCAGAGAATAAGCACCTTCTGTTTTAAGAGGGATACTGAAACTGGGGGATCAGCATAAACAGGTTGAAGGTCAAGTGTCTTAGTCTCAAGGGAAGAGAATTCAAAACAATAAAAATTCAGACTTCTTGTGGGCAGTCTACAGGTGAAAGCACCTAATTTTTTTTTTCTCAAAGATAGCCCACACATGGGTTGACTTCATAGTGGGTTATCATCCCAAGGGTTTTTCTGTGTGCAACTCAGTTTTCCCCTCCTAAAAACATTTGACAATTAACACAAAAAGCACCATATGTTCAGTCTACCCTGAAACAGCATACATCTCAATGCTTGCTCCAATTCACACCACATTCTCTATTTCTTCTCAAGTTCACATTGGGACAATATGCAAGAAAACATACCAGAGTAAAACTGTTGGGTGAGGCTGCCCATCTTCTTACTGTAGTAAGAGGCCAGGTTTTCATTACCTGTCAGAAATAAAATGTCAGTATTATTGCAATACGCCACAATCTGCAGTTAACTTACACATCTATGTATACACGTGTGCATGGATTCATCAGAAGAGAGAGAAACACTGAAGTTTTTCCCATTCATGATGAAAACATTGACACAACCCTTACCTCCTTAGTTTTCTCATCAACTCTTAGAATGCTCTCTTTTGTGACTCCCAAAAGCCGAGGGACAAGTTTATTCTTTCCTTTCATTTTCTCCTACAAAATAAGGTTTTATTTAGTGAAACACTCTATTAGAAACCCTCTACAAAGAATCAACTTGCAACTTAACCTTAACTCCTACAAGTGACTAACATCTAATTTCTCCTAACAACATCACCCCTTAATCAAACATTAAGGTCATAAGAATAAAGGAGATGATCATCAAATAAAGAAACCCTTGATTGTTGAACAAATTCTCCTTGCTAGAACCCTAGGAAATGTCTAGGGAGTAGCATGGAGAATAATCATACTAATGTTAAGGAGTAAAGGGTTATAGGATATTTGGGTTAAATTGTTAATACCAAACTAGCCTTCAAACCAAGTTAACATTTTTTACTTGCCTTGACAAGAAAGAAGGTTACTCCATAAGTCTTTAATCCTCTACATAACTGCACATACTTGTACTTGGCCTGTAACTCATCATGACCAGTTACTTTCTTGTGTTCCTAGTGGTTTCAGTGATAGCAAATTAAAGATACTTCTCAAAACAATGAGCAACTTAAAAAAGGTTTTTTGACCACATACTGTATTTTAGTAATTAAACATCCATATTGAATAATGATACTTAACTGGTCAACAGAACATTTGTGATATTTTTGAAGAGTTGCTTAATAAGATGACCACAGATACTCACCTCTTTTATCTTCTTCTCTATATTCTTCGATTTCACATACTCTTTTGGAAGAAATTCTTTAAGACTATTGAGAGACAAATCCTCTGCATTGGTTAACCCTTAAAACCCAAGGAGTACCCAGCAACTAATCATTAAGACCATGAGAATTGAAGAAATGATTACAAACCAAAGAAGCTTCAATTGTTCAATGAATTCTCCTTGTCAGTACCAAAGGAAATTTATAGAGAAGGGTATGGAGAATATACTTCGAAACATGTAGTAATGTTAGGGTGTAAAAGGTAAAGAGTTTTTTCATGATCATCATGGATTCTCACTTTTGTCTTGTAACCACATGAGTGTCAATAGTGTCTCTTACTCTATAAATTTGTATTTTCCTTCTTCAAAGTCTCCAAATTGGACTTGAATCTGAATAGCTCCTAACTAGAGAGGAAAAAATTACAGACAATAATCAAAACTTCCCTTTATTGGGGGAGGGGGGGGAGGGGGTGTGGAAGGTTGAAGACTATAAAAAAAAATGAAAAGTTTAAGTCATGCATGTTGTAAATAGTAAGTAATCAGTAACATAAGTATTTTCTTCATGAAAAGTTTGGCTCCCATCCTGGATTTCAAAGCAAAGGGGAGAGTTAGGGAGAAAGGGGGAAATTTCTAATAAACATTGGCAAAGAGCTTCAATGTAAGAAGTTCTAAAAGGGGAGGATTATTTTTTACCTGCGCTGCCTCCTCCTGTGTGCAGGGATGGGTTCCGTCTAAGATACCATCTCGACACTAAGATGAGAACAAAAAGAAAGCCTCAAATGAGTACTGTTTTCTTCTCTTAAACGTTGAAGGTGGTAAGTGGTTTCATCAGTTTCTGATTTGTGCATTTGTTTCCTACCTGAACATACAATAAGCCAAGCTGGACAGGATCTTTGATGTCAACATTCTGATCTGAGTAGAAGTACTTCCGCCTGTAAGTGCATGAAGAATCCAAACTTGAGTACTATGAACTTAGCCATTGAACTTCTAGCCAAAATAGCGAAAGCTCAGTTCACAAAAAGTACAGCCAGAACAGAACAAAAGCTGAATTCACATAAAAGAATTGTTGTGCTCAGTACAGACTTTATTAGGACTCTCTACTAGAAGTAAACATTTCACTAGCTCACTGGTCACTTCATCACCATTTGATAAAATGCTGAAATACTGTATCCTGTAAATTACAACCTACGCAAGTCAACAATTGGCTTCTTTGTTGCTTAGGTTGGGATTGAAGGCCATTCCCTTCCTCCAATATTTCTTGCAGAAATTAAATATTCAGAAAGTTTCAACAGGTTTAGGAAGTACATCATAACAAATAGTGAATTTCAAACTAATACACAAGTTTTGACTCACAGTCTTCTTATGAATACTTCTAAAGGAAACCTGACTTAAGAGTTAAATTCAAAATTCCACAAGTAAAATCGAATACAGTTATATGTACATGAAACTCTACAAATATGTGTAGAAACCTTAACAGAACTGTGTGTGAATCATCTACTCCTTGTTCTCTGAGAGTTTTATCATGATCAAGCCAGTGTACTGAAAAAAAAAGCCACAATTTTTATAATAAATACTGTACCACACTAACCAATCACACCTTTACATTAAAACTAAGAAGAAATCTTCCTTTCTGGGTATCTACAAGTAGTTCTTCCTTTTGCTGAATTAAAGTTTTTGAGGCCTTGCAAGATACTGGTATTCAGAGAGCTCTCCTATCAAAAATAACCCTGATTGCCAAAAAAATTCTCCTTGTCCTTATCATAGAAATTAAAAGAGAACAGTGAGGAGAATATGAATGCTAATGCTAGGGTATGAAAGGTTACGAAACTGTACCTTCATCATCTGTGTGGAGTTTTTTCTTTAACTGATCCATTTTCTTTTTGTCTCTTTCTTCCATCTTCTTGAGAGATACATCTTTAACAGACTTGTCCTGGTTTATTTTTAGGGAAAATACAGATTAATTTTTGCATTTGATCAACTGTCCACCTACCCCTCCCCTAACTCAACAACAGTCAAATGATAAAAAGTCAGGGATAATGTTAGGTCAGGGAAGGGGTAGGTGGGCAGTTGCTCAGATATTGATTTTGATCTGAAATACATGTATATTCAATTTTGCTGACATCCAATTCAAAAATAAAGCAAGGAGCTGTTCCTCACAGGATACCATGATTACAAGATTATGTTCACTAGACTTTGTTAATACATGTAGTACATATTCTGCAGTTGATAACTTACTTATCATTAGAAAATTATGAAAACATTCTGGCACCTAAAGCAGAGTGCCAGCATGATGTTGATGTTCATTTGTGTATGTCTACATACCCTTTTTATTGTCCCCATTCTGTCTATGTCCTCCCTGTCCTCTTTCTGACCTTCAACAAGCAGGGAGAATTCCTCCACATTTCCAATACCTATAGAAATGTTATTTGAAGCTTATTATGGGTGCAAATATTTTTCTTGATTTGGAATTTGTCTATACACATTGATTTTAATTTTTGTTTTGTTTTCCATACATGTGGGTGTGTGTGTTTTTTTTTCCTTTTTCCAGTTGAAGAAATAGTCTTTATCTTAAAGGAAATAAAAACTTAAGCTGGTTTGGAAATTTTACATCAGGGAAGAATTACTCCCACCATTTTAACAAGCAAATTGCTGAAGCTGAACGGAAAAAAAACATAAACACAAAACAGATACAGCAACAAAATTTCAGTACACGCCTCTTACACAACTATCAGCAACAAGTTGGAGACACACCCAAAGTGTTCAGCACGCATCTGAGAATGGACAATTCTCTAACATCTGGGCAGAATTTTAAGGCTAAATTTCATTTCTATGTACCCCAGTAATTTCTTATTTAGCTATTAGGAATATAATGTAATTCCTTTACACAGTTCTTCTGCTATTACATTTCTTGATGAAAAACTATGCACAACACAGATTCATCATATATATATATATCATATATATGCACTGCATGATAGGATCGTTTATTTCAGTGATGACCAATTCATGGATAGATTGCCAGAAACCTGTTACACAATTCTGTGACAAGATCAGATACAATGCCATTTCATGCTGCTGTATTTAAATACTGTTTAATTACATACTATACCATTGTTGGTATTTATGTACATACCCATCTTCAAGCAAACCGAATCTAAAATCTCACCAACACTGTGACTGTCATCAATCTGAGACAAAACCAGAAAAATGAAAATCGAATCTGTGCTCAGTGTGCATTCAGAGTAGGAACACTAATGTGGATTAAAAGTAACTTCTGTATATATAACCAGGTTTTAAGAATGTACAGTAAGTTATGGACTGAGTTTTTATCTGCTTCAATTTATAGTCCAAGCACAAAGCACACAGGACACAAATCCAACCAGAAAACAAGTTTCCATAACTTACATATTTTTTTTTCCCAGAGAGCATGATAACGAATCCTGCAATCTGGATGGTTCTTTGTGCAGTCAGGATTTTCATATCTCTGCCCGCGGGCATAGTAACACTTTTGTGAGTCACCCAGAACATCCCTAGCTTTGTTTTCATTCTTGATGAATACCTTTTGTTTAGTCAGCTGGGCAGTATTTTCAAGCAAAGTATTTTTAAGCTAGTCAAGCCGATTAATAGCTTATTTATCCTCTATTTTCTCACTCTAAAATTGCTTTGATTGCCAAAAACAACTTGTTTTTAAAATGAATTTGTGGTGGCAAATGTGTCATAGAATGGGTTGACACGTGGCCTAACAAACATGCAGTTTTTAATTAATTTGTCTAATAGAAGATCTTGCTGTAATTACAGCCCTTTTAGCAAGAATTTTATTACCTTTTTGAAAAAAATAAAAATGTCATTCACTAGCCTTGGTCAGTTCATATTGAGAAAAACTGTGCCCTCTGTCTTGAGTACTGCCTGAGGCCCCAAGGCCTCTGGCACAGTTTTTCCTAATATAGACTGCCCAGCTGGCAAATAACAAAGAAAGGGAGGTTAGTAAGATGTCTATCATACTTTTGGGTTCAAAAGACTTTCATTCCAACAAACTTTTGAATTTACCAGGCCATACAGAAAAATACTGCCTGCATGATTGACTGATCATAGTGCAATTACTGAGAGATATAAAAACATGTATTACACCAAGCTGTCAGTGTAAGAATCATGGATAATATTTGTAGTTCAATGAAATTAGTTACCTGTAATGTTTTGACTGAACCGTCCATGAACTTGATTTTCAGATGTCTAACTTTTGATTTATATTCAAGCATATCCTGAAGAAAAAAAACCATTGTCATGACAATGATGCACACTGGGTACTTCATATCATATTACTTAAATTTTACATTCATTGAATCAAAAAACAAATTGCTGCTAGAATTATTTGCCAAATAATATTCTAGCATATGTAATCGGTCATTTTCCTCATGATGGCTTTGTCAGATGTGTAACAAGCCAGAACGGGCAATGTAGAGGAGAACACATACAAAACCAAGATGTCGGACCAACAAGATATATTTAATATAAGAAAACAGATGTCATCAGCGGACCAGGAGGTTGTGACAGTGTCACGCAATATTGTTACAAGATGTTCATGGACAAGACTTAAGTTTTGATGTCTAATCTTTTTGCCTGTATATTAACCCCTTTAACTCCCTGAAGAAATTAACAATTAACTTCTCCTTACAATATCCATTCACTCTCCATCAAACAGGTAAAGAGAATACTCAAATGTATCAGGTAGAAGTTGTTTTCTTGATCTAACACCAAATTCTGGTACTTTATTTACAACGAAATGTGTAACAGCTAGAGGGGAGAATTAACAATCTGGGCCGGGTTGTTCAAAGCTGGGTTAAGATAACCCAGGGTTAGTGTGAAATCCGATTTCAGATCTAAAAGCTTTACAAGAAAATTCAGTTGAATTCTTTTTGTTTAGAGTATGACTACTTGATGCTTTAAAAAGGACACTGAAAATTTTCCCAAAAAGGCTTTTGAGTAAAGGAATAAAGAAACGCAGATTAAAATTTAACCCTGGATTAGCGCTAATCGGCCTTCGAACAACTGGGCCCAGATCTCAGGAGTTCAAGGGTTAACTAGCATAATAAGGTCACCTTAAACTAAAAGAAATCATTTTAAATATATATCTCAAAGGTAACTTACTCCAGACTTGAGGGGATAGAAGTCAAGTTGTCTTGCAGGATCCAACCATTTTCCTTTATACGGATCATCATCTTGACAAAACAGACCATAATCTGAAACTGAACAGCATCAACCAGTCAATACTAGAATGCATACAAGTACAGCGTAACTTCTCAAACAGAATGATGTCAAATTTGCGTGATTCAGGCGGTCTATAGGGTATAATTAACACTACTGGTACTACTACAAAAACTTTCAGTCATATTTTTCCCCATATAAACCACACTATCAGTAAGCAACAGTGTAGCATCTTCAGCAAGTTACAAGTAACCATTGTACTACATTGAACATTTTGGTGTGGGAGCATTCTCAACAGACTGAGGTACTAATATTAATTTTGCTTACTTTTGCCTGGACTAGAATCTGGAACTCTTTCTCTGATGATTCTCAATGCTGCTGCTATGGTAGCCGTTGGATTAAACTGTAAAATAATATAAAAGAAGTCAATGTTGAGGTTCTGGAGCTGGCTGATTGATTATTACGTCTAAACTTAAAAGACTAATGTATACAAGCACATATTAAATATTCTCACATAAAAAATGATCAAACACTCTACATCACTATACAGACAGTGCATGTGAATTATTACCAATAAATAACAAGTTGATATCAACAATAAGAAGCCCAATAAACATAGACGATGCACAGTGTAGTAAAACTCACCTGTAAAGTCTTTACAGAACTATTCTTGACAATGTTGATTTTCAGAGTCAGAGCCATGTTAAATTAAAATGTCCTAGATTCCCTACTGTAAACTTCTCTCTGTAAGCTGAGAATGTTCAAAAATTATTTTCAACACACAGAAAAAAAAAACACAAGCACCCGATACCCCAAAAATTCAACTGGCAAAGGACAAAAGTTAATGTCCGTGCACTTACTTATAGTATGCATCTCAAAGGAACAAAACATATGTTATTGGCCCATGCATATCTTATTGGCCATGCATATCTTACTGGCCTGGCATATCTTGTTGCCCTTGCATATCTTATCACCCTGCAACCAGGTAACACAAAGCAAAACCTGTGTTTCATTACCTACTCTTCCTAGAAAGATGTATGGCTATGTTGCTCCCTTAAGATTGCCAACATTTTCCTGCCAAAGTACTAACCCTGGGTTGAATCTTTTGCCTAGTTACATAATTTTTATCAACTAACCTTGCTTACTTAACTTAGCATGGCTGTCAGAATATTGACCTGTCTTTTTTCACTTACATCAATTAAAAACTATGCCAAAATCCAGCTCTTTTGGGTAACACTTGGTCTGACTAACATTATCCATTCAAACAGTTAGACAAATTTGAAAAATTTACATAACAGTTTCATTTTCAAAGGAACCTGTCACAAATGCATGTCAAATGTCAAAAGGATAAATTCAAAAGCATTCTTGTTAATGTGAAAGGAAAATTTTGTGGTTCACAGTTCTTTTTCAAGGAACTTTACACATACAAATGAGAGTGAGTCTCCTAGATGTATGACACTTCAGGGTAACCAATCTATAAGAAGAATAACTGCCATCAAAGAAGTGATAATCATGAAGAAGTTCACGCAGACATCTGCCCACAGCTGCGACGAAAGAAATTGAATAATTAACTTGCAATTTCCCTTGAACTTTGGCAAACAATTACTGTATTGTCAGTAATAATGTTTCAAATCCATTAACATTACCATGCTGAACAGGTTTCATGATCACACCACCTTACATTACATTAAGAACATATCATGTACAAGAAGTTATAAACAAATTAAATGACTAATTAACACTGACCGAAAGAAAAGCACTAAGGGTTGAACAAAGAAATAACACTCCAGCGTAAAATAACCAGAGAAATTATTTCATGTAAGGTGCATGCACTGCGAGTAAAATTAGCTCAAAGCTCAAGGAAGAAATTTAAAATCTAAATTATCGAAAGCGCATGGGTTTTAGCTCAAAATACACTCAATTATGTCTTTGTCTACAAAGGTTAACTCAGCAAGAAACTTTCGATATGTTAATCCTCGCAATTTATAATTGAAATGAAAAATAAAACGTTCTTCATCGCAATAATTGGGCAATTTAACGAAAACCTAGACAAGGGTGCGCGTTTGGGATTCATACATCCAGCCTTGCTAATCAATTAAAAGAATAACCAAGCCAGAGAAAAATATTCCACAACGATGAAGGTGTTAGTTATGTTTGGAGAATACGAAAGGAGAGGGATTCTCACATTAAATAGGTTTCAATATTGACCCTAAGTAAACAAACATCAAATTTATCTCCAGCTGAGGAATTGAGTCGAAAGTAGAAAGAAGAGCTTTTGTTAAAATAGCAATGACTTCGCGATTAGTACAAAGGGTAACATATTGAAAAATTCTTAATTACGATGATTAGCGTTATCGGCTCTGAAGGATATTCAAATAATATTACATTTACTTTAAAGTTTGTTTTGAAAATTTTAAACTTTTCTCTGCCGTGTTATGAGAACGATCCGGGAAACAGCTGAGTTAATTTTTGGCATGCTATCATTTGAATAGTAAACAGAAGCTCAAGTTTGGTTCGACACGCTACATGGACACACAACTTCTGGATATGCACTCGTCCATTGAACCCGATATTGCTTGATTTTATTTCAGAAAACAGACGAAACAACACAACAACGAACTCAAGCTACAGCCTGAAGATTGCTTGATATCCCACTCGCGGTCAAAAGTTCTTTCGTACGTAAGAACTGTTCTTGCCAACAGTCTTCAGCGACTTGCCGTTAGCACTCCAGCTGAATGAAATTCCAGAAGACCATTGAAGGCACTACTAGCACGCAAGGAAAATAGCACTTACCTTAAAAATTTTGTGTCCTATACGAATAACACATGCAAATCTTCAACCAGAACGATGTTAGTCAATTCAATTCCACACCTCCCTAAAGAAGAATTTCAAAGACGGAAATACGAAATCAAAAAGGCACTTCAAATCGAACATGGCCGTCACTTCCTGACCTGAGGGCGGCAACCAAATATCCAAATATGGTATGCAACTATTTTGCGCATACTTTGAGTTATATCAGGTGAAAATTAATCTAAATTTCTCCACATTTTCTTTAAAATTCCACCTTGTTAAATTTAATATGGCACATAAAAAAGAACAAGAAACTACTGCTTAAAATAGCATCTCTTCTGGCAATGATGGCTGATTTTTTACTATCTTTATTTGATGAGGAGTATTGTTAAGCACACTAAGAGTTCACTAGTCTTGGCTTCAAATTTGGAATTACTGTCTATCCGCACATCTCAGCTGGCACTCCCCAACCAACATCTACCACAGAGAAAAAACCTTACTGCTCCTCATCCCTTTTCCCTAAAACATTTTGGCAAATGCTTTAAGTAAATTAAACTAGATTTAGTGGAAGGAAAATATAATCAGTGTGGATTAAAGAGCTTTCTCCAGAATACTCCAGACCAATTTTAGAGAGAAGTATACCCAAAGGAAATCAAAGAAGTGTTAAATCTTCAGGATGCCCCTAAATCACCAGGTATTTTTAGAAAAAAATGGATTTCCTACTAAAATAGCACTCTCAATAGGAAAATCTCTCAGTTATCAAAACAACAGCATGTACACTGGTGGTTGGTATGCTGTAACTACACTTGCCACCACTCTTAATTCCTATCTGACTGATTTTAATTGCACTTTACTGTGCACTATTAGTAGTTATTAAGATTTATTGTAATTTTATTAAAATTTATATTCCTTATCAAGACTTTTTTTTTCTTACTCAGATTTTGGGTTGCACCTTACATGGGATACTTCTCCCATTTGTACAATCCTTTCTGGTCTTTTCATTTCTACCATTGATTTACTATACATTTATATTACTATGGGACCAATAAAGTTGAAAAGCTCACACAAGCTTCAGGAATCTGAGTCAATTTAGGGTTAGGGTTCAGTTTGGGCCAGGTTAGGGGTGTCAATTTGATGCTCACAGAGCCAATGAAAAAATACCAGAGTCTCATGCAACATCTCCCAATTTTTTCCTTGGTGGAGCAAATAGAGCAACATCAAGGCTAAAAAAGGAACACTGAGCAAAGCCTAAAAAAAAATTCCTTGACTACTATGAAACTCAATGGGCCGGTTATTGAAATGAGATCTGACCCAAATTGCAGTTTTACACAAGCAGTGAACCAGGGTGATTCTCCATAGGGGGGTTGATTTCATTTAAATAAATGTCCTTCCACTATAAAGTTTCGGCCTCTTGACACTGTTCACAAAAAATTGATCCCTAGATAAAAGGTGTGGCCAATTTGAAGATGGCTTAGAAAGTGGTTTTGTTAAACAACTGCTAAACTTTGTTTAAATAACTGGCCCGATGTGTTCAACAGCATACACTCAGAGAGAAGCATTCTTTTCTACCATAATAATTTGTACAAACAGTGATCTGAGATATTCATTGAAGTTTAAACAAATACATTATGAACCAAGGAGTAAGAATACAGCCTACGTGTACATTAATAGCTTTCTATGGAGCTGAAAATCTTTGTTCTGGTTTCAAGCTCAAGGTATTTAGATCTCTACAGTTCAGAGTCTTCAGCTCAACTATCCCTTGACAAATTTCTTGTCAACTATCAAGAAAATCATTATAATCACCACATAGAATCATAACTGCAGACTAGGAGACTTTCCTTTAGGGCCTCTAAGGATATCAGTTTTTGTAACTGTAGGAGTTACCCTAACCAAGTAAAAGCATCTTCAAGAAATCTTCTTCTTCCTCTCATATTCAAAGACTTATTTCTTACACAGGACTCAAATGCCATTTGGTATTGCATTGCCAAATCAATGAGAAAAATTCACCTCACTTTCAACAACAATCTTATAAACTTCAAGAAACAGCACAGAAATGGTATGGATTACATATATAGAGTTCTAGGCTGAAACATTTTTGAGTCTTAGTATAAAGTACTCATTGCCAAATTTCACCAGCACTTAAATTTGTCACTGTTTTAAACACTATGGCAACTAAAAATAATTTGGGTGACTAAATTTGCAGAAGTCACCAATTTGGCAACCTATGTTCAATTCTGTAGTCCTGTAGAAAGATGTAACACTGCTATAAATTGATGTTTAAGGACAAGAGTTGCAGGTTACCTCTTGCTGGGCTAGAGCAGAGCTCTCAAGTCTTCCACATCATGCAAACAAAATAATTAATTGCAAATGTCCACAGAAAGATGAAAAATGCCCTTAAAAATAACAGTCACACTTTTCATTGCAAAAGCTAGCGATAAAAACTACATTAGACAATATAAGAATTAATAATATTTAAAACCTATCCTATCTATATAAGTATTCCTTCTTTGCCGCACCAGGATTTCATTCCATTAAATCATTCTCTTGAGGAGCAACTGGACCATAACAGTATCTTTCAGCCAAATCTCTCCTCAGAACAACAGTATGACATAATCCTGCCACCAGAGCTTCGTAGGTTGCCCGAGTTCCATTAGCTTGCTTCCATAACAACAGCAATTGATAACTTTTTTCCACAACTTTACGACTTTCCTCTTCAACGACCTCAATCTGGGCTTCAGGAATTCCCAAAGCACGCGCAAGATTCTTCCACTTAGCACCAATTTCTGAGGACAAACTCAGCAGCTCTTCATCCCGAGGAACACCAACTCTGAGAGCCATGGTTTGGTAATGTATTATCAATGGATTTCCTGAGTACAACAAAAGAAATTCAACTGGTTAAGTTTGAATCGAGCGTATAAATTTAGCTAGGCGCGAGTCTGTCCTGTGGATGAAGAAAAAATTGGGTACCTTACCTAATGTGGCCTTAGATTCAGTTTTGAAAGTTATCACCAACTTGTGTAAGAAACGTGAAGGCAGTCAAGTTCTTATTCCTAATGATCCGCCATCTTGGATATGGAATGCATGCACTCGTACCCAGGGTACTCCGCTGGCATGATATTGATATGATATGATATTGGCACTTGATCCCAATGCAAAATACATAAACGAATGAAGCATTAGCTAGAACAGGAGTCTTTTTGCCGAGAAGTCCACTGCTTGAGTCACGGTAGTCTGGTCGCGATGGACCAAGAAAAAAACCAAATGCGAGTTGTAAACAAGGCGCTGGAAATGTCTACCGGAGGCCGATAGATCTATCCGCTAAGGGTACGCCCTATGGGGTTGCGCAATTTGGTTACCATTTGAAAAATTTACTTGCACTTGAATATAATTACCTATTTAAAACTCAACAGCGCGTGAAATTAACCATTTGAAGGAAAATTAAAGAAGTCTGTGTTGATTGAACAAAAAGCGTTGGTGGTAAACATTTTTTCACAATTTATAATTCCGTTGTTAGCACCGTTCACTAAGATGTCCGTTATCCTGTAATGATCGATAATTTTTGAAAAACGCTTTTCATAAAGAGACAATCATGAATCCACGACTAACATTTTGCGAAACCGGAAGTGTGTCAATAAGGAAGTCAATTCTGCAAGTTCTCTATTCAGAACTAAGTTATTAGAATTTTGGACTAATGCTGTTTGGACGATATCCTTTTCTAATTTCTTGGAAGCTTTTATTAAGGTATTTTGGAACTACTGTTCAATGCAGTAAAGTCGTCATATGAAACTCTCAGATCACCATAATTAACCTTCAACTGCCTTTGGAACATTGGGGATGAATGAAAGCCGTTAGAAATAAAATTTATCAAAAGTTGACAAAGTTCCCAGTGAGAACACCGTTTATCGTTTGCACTGAGAGCTACGGGTGTACCTGTCAGGTTCAGAAACAATCGGGTAAAATTTGTCATGGCCTATAGACTTATCTGACTGACATGCTACAACTTTTCCTCGTGAATGATGGACTCGTACCGAACTGATTTTCTTTATTATTATGGGACTACAGCATTCAGTCGAAATGAGAATGGGACCAGAACAGATTGAGAATAGACGAGTTTGGCACGAGACAGCAAATGTTTGAACGTCACCTTACACAAGAAGAAAACAAGTCTCGACCAAAGCTTTATCTCGTTCAAACTACTTCAAGTTGCTCTTGAGATCTTGGGTAAGGATTTTAACACTCCTTCGCAGCATAATCTCCGGTATATGTTCAACTAAGCTAAGAAATAAGTCACACAAACATATATGAAAAACAGAAATATATATTTGGATGTAAAATTTTACCCGTTCATTAATTCCTCTTCTTTACTCGAATAATACCAAGTAAATGTAAATCTAAGTTATTCCTAACTAAACTAAACATGTTTCACACCGAAATCAATTTTGCCATGTAAACAAGGACACAATATAGATGTGCCTATAAGAATCTTAAAAATCATTCCTAAAGCCCTACTACTGGCGATGTAGAACAAAATAATGCGCTATTCTATTCAACAATTACCACTAATTCTATCTAAGAGGAAGGCAAATCATTCAAGTTCCATCAAACCTTGAAGTACAAATAAAATACCTTCTCAAGAATTGGTGATAGACTATGGAATAAAACACCATGCTTTCTTAGGGAGCGATCAAAAATCGTATAAATTTTAAATAAAAAATTTACTGCTAAGTATTTCAGAAAAAAAACTCCCTTTCTAAACATACACGAGACCATTCCTAAAATAAGACCTCTAAAGTAACAACGCTCATGAAGACCTCTCTATATTGAAGTCTTCCGCTGAGCCATTACTCCTATTTCTTATTCTAACATTTATGATAATCGGTAGTTTTTTTATGTAATTAGAATGCACTAGATTTTGAAGTTAAATTGAGTGAAAAAAATTAAGATTATTGTAGTTGTTGGTCCTTCCTCGTAATAAAAACTATCGAAATTTTCTTTTTAATAAAATTAGCGCTAAGAAACAAGATATTTTAAAAAGACATCGCTCAATGATAGGGAGCACTATCAAAATTTGTCTATTAAGTAGCTGAATATTCGATAATTAGTAGAGATTACACTTTCATTGTGGTATTATTTTGCGTCATTTTAAAAACGCATTAGAACTATATCTGTAACAAGAACTTTCAGTGCTCAAGTTAATGCTGATAACAAATTTTGGAATTATCGTGTTTCACACAAAAACGTACTTCTCCTCTTTTTCTTTTGTATAATCATGCAGTTCTGATAGCATTTAGTAACCGTAATACATTACTTTTTGTCGTCGATCTATATCTAGTATTCCTTTTGGTATGGGAACAAAATCATCGAAATTTAAGAACTTAAAACACTGTAATACAAAAATATTGAAATGCTTATGTTAAACTTAATAAACAACTATCAATTTTCTTCTTGACTCTGTACAAATTTTACTAAAAATATATCTGTTTGTAAAAATACTGAATGGCTAAGATTATACAAACAGATAAGCATTTACTGTACAATGAAAAATCGTTGCAAAACGACCTTTTGTGCTATATGGCAAACTTATACCCCATTCATAACAAAAAATATGTTTAGCTGAACTGGATCTAACTGAATGAAAATCAGAAATAAAGAACAAAAAACTGGATTTTAAAATGTGAAAACAGGTTTTGCCTTCACAAATAAACGGACGGACGGGGACAACTCTTAAAAACTCCTTCTGGGTAAAGGCTTTTCTTGGGGGCACTCGCTGGCTGCGGGAAGGACCGGAATCTATTACGGCTGCTGACTATCCTTGAGACAATGACTAACAACAACAGGGTTGGCTCCAACGTAGATTTATTCTGCAAGCTCTACTACAATTTTGACCAGAACGGACCTGGCCAGGGCTGGTTCGACCCCCCTCTTCTTTTCTCTCGTTTCGTCTCTCTTCCCTTCCCTTCTTCTCTTTTTTTTTTTTTTTTTTTTTTAAGCTTTACAAAACAGTTCTATTTAAACCTAACGTACATGGATAAGGTAATGCCATGAATAATCTAAAGAGTCATGTAATCTACTACACTATTGGCTAAGCAGGAATTTCGCCTTTTACAACATTAATTACTTTCAAAGAGTTCCGGTGGATAACAATTACAAAAAAGGACATGACAGGTGGCTGTTACAGTTTAACACTAATAACAACTGTTTACGGGTGACTGAAGGAGAACTGGTAGCGTTACGCTTTGCTGAACTAAGCTTTCTATGTTGAATATTATATTTTTTTAAGCGCAAGCATGAAAGAACTCGATAACTAAAAAATCCTATCGTTACAAAAAGTAATGGCTTACGGCTGTTTTTTCAATGTACCACATTTGAAGTCGACAAACATGGGTTTCAGCAGCTTCTATGGAGAACAAATTTACATTGTGTTTAAGAAAACATGTTTCAGCTTTGGTGTGAAAGGGGTGTAAAACTTATACAGATAATGTATCCACACGTTTCAAAAATTTACCCGCTTGGAATAGGTACGGATCTTCTGACACAGATAAAAACCAAATCATAGTTTCACAAAAAGTCAGCATATGCTGGATATCCACTCTCAACTAGAACATCTTACAACTCTCCAACAGTTGGATTCTGGTGATTCCGACAGTGCACCAGTATTAATCCACTCGTTTCATTAATCTACCCATTTTGAATAAATACGGATCTTCTGACACAGATAAAAACCAAATCATAGTTTCACAAAAAGTCAGCATATGCTGGATATCCACTCTCAACTAGAACATCTTACAACTCTCCAACAGTTGGATTCTGGTGATTCCGACAGTACACCAGTATCAATCCACTCGTTTCATTAATCTACCCATTTTGAATAAATACGGATCTTCTGACACAGATAAAAACCAAATCATAGATTCACAAAAAGTCAGCATATGCTGGATATCCACTCTCAACTAGAACATCGTACAACTCTCCAACTGTTAGATACTGGTGATTCCGACAATGCATCAGAGCTTCCTCGAACGGGTTACGTGACCGCTTCTCCAGGAACCGAATCTCTGCTGGAGACAATCCCAGTCTCTCGGCCACTATCATCCACTAGTCTCCGCCTTGAAAATGAAGATAGATTTCAACCTCGTGCTACATGTTCAACACGCCACCCATGAAACTCTTTGCAATCTGCACTAGTGGATATGTGGAGCATACAAACAAGTACTGGGGGAATAGATATGCAAATTTTGTGGCGTTAGCTAAGGAAACGAGTGTCTGGGGAGAATTGAGAGCATGCATCTTATTAAAGATGGCGGACTGACTGTGGGGCGGATCTGGCGATAGAAGTCTTTACCCTGCCTGTTGTGTTTACCCATTTCAGGTCTCAGGGGAATTCCCAGCTTTATCTTTTGTAAATTACGCGTATATATGCACGTGAAAAAGGGGAAATTTGAAAGAAACTGTGGTGCTGCGTCGATGAGGGATACAACAAGATAATTGGGTTTATCCACTGAGTTGATAATGTAAATTGACCACTGTTAAGAGTTTTGAAGCTCACGTTTCCAGCGTCAGCCCATCGCAGAGCGAATGACGAAGGGCTAACGCTCGAAACGTCAGCTTTAGAAACTCTTTACGGTGGCTAATTTACATTATCAACTCAGTTGACGAAACAAATAGTAATGTTCTGCACAGTATATCTACGAGTTCACCATAGTGTTACTTTGATTTTTTTCAGGTGGTCTAATTTTCCAGGTACCAACAGTGACAGGAATGGATTAGTGGTAAATGTTTTAAAAATTGCAACGAGGATTGCTGTTTATCCATAATACTTTACATGAAGGACCTCATCTTTGCGACAACCACGGAACTTACTCACCAGACAAATTCACAGAAAGATGTCTGCTTTGTTGAAAAGGAACATCCTGAACATCGAGATTGTCAGGTAGTAAGGGGCCTGTTGAAACACATCAATTACTGCAATTAGAACGTAACCCAAGTTAATGTTCAAATCAGCAATTGGAAAAAAATACCAAAAGCTTACTTAAGCAAAGATTGGAAATTTCAACACATTGAGATCTCTGTGTTGTATCTTTCTCTTTTTTATAATGGGAGGTCACAAAGGTAAATAATAATAACAACAATCAACAAGTGACAAGTAAACAGAAGTGTTGGCTGCAAGAACTACTCAAATTCGGCAAAAGCAAGAAAAAATAAAGCACAGTACTATGTCAATCTGATGGGTCAGTCATGCAGTCAATAGTCTACCTGTGATCCCAGCAGGTGAAACTTCCCTCAAGTGTTTTACCACATCCAGCCTATTTGAAAATTTTGCTTCTCTTGCCAAACAGCGGATCATTATCTTCGTCTCGTCCTTTGGACTTTCTAATGAGGTTTGATCCAAGTGCAGATCCTTTTGAAAACGAATCACAACTTCTGTAGCATCACACGACGGTGAAAGAAGAGTGCCTTGAACCGCAGGAGGTAAAGCGTGGGCGGAAGGTAAAGCGAGAGCGTTATCCTCACGTTGCCCTTCGTGTGCTAAGAATGAAAGAAAATGCCTGAGAGCAACTACTTTGATAACGTAACTGTTCAAGCCTATTCCCAAATTCAACATTAGCAATACATATCGTGAAATGTGGTACGAACGACATGTTTTACGAACTAGCTTTGCCTATTCCAATGAAGAGAAAAGAGAGAAAAGAAATAAAGTAAAACATGGAAAACTGAATGAATTATAAATTAAAAAAGACACGCGTGATACAAGAATATGGTAACAATTTATCAAAGAAAGTAAGTAACATTCGCATGTACCTTCCACAGCTGGCAGAAGTAGGCACGCTCCGCCTGAGGTTTTCTAATATTTATAAAACAAAAATTGGAGTTAGTGGGAACTGACTTGGTCTTTTTCCCATTGCAAGCTCATACTCACGCTTCATAACTAAAGGCACGGCAACAAACCAAGGGCATTTATGCATGAAACGTCATTTGCTACCAAAAACACCACGAAAAGTAGAAAGTGCGGTAGAAGCTCTATGCAAACGATGAAAACAGCCAACATAATGCAGTAATGTAAAGCGTGAAAGTCACTTTGAATTATCTCTATTTCCACTTTAAGACCAGCAAACTTTTCAGGATACCTGCATTCATTCATTACCTTTTCATCGGGGTGAGTCAACCAAGGCGCAAACTGCTTCAATTTGATTCTGGTTTTCACAGCGTCGACAGACTCACGACAAATGACAGCTTCTAGGCTGCTTAACAACTCTGACTCTGACCAAAAGTGAAGACATTCCTCTTGCATGCAACCCTGAGCACGATGCGTTTGACAGTAGTTGATAGTGCCTCCCTGGGAACATACTGGACATAGAAAGCACACCTCATGTCTAATGCTGTTGAACCAAAAGAATTCTTTTCTCATGCACTCGAATATCAAAGACAACTGCCTACGCACAGATCGGGCAACATGCGCAATAAATGGATCAGTGCTCGGGTTTTCATCAACTGATGAGGTCATTTTTGACCGTAAATCTGCTGATAAGTCTCCATTCTCTCTTTCACCGAGGAGAACAACCTCAACCGAAGATGGATGGCATAGAAGGATAATAGAACAACCTCCATTTGGAGAGATAAAGAACCGGGCAAAGTTGTGGTGTAATTTAGGGTCCTCTGCGTTCTGGAATTCATAAGTACACCACTGTAAAAACTGCAATACGAGCCGAGGGAATAGACTGGGAGGTATTTGGTAAGATTGCAATTTGAGAAAAAGAGATGGATTTTTTCTGGATTCTAAAAGCTTGATGACGCCTTCAGGAGGATATGACATAAGCAAGGATGGAACTAAGTACTGCTTGTCACATAAAGGGGCCGATGACGGCCAAAGACACATCAAGCTGAATTTTTCCATGATGGCAACAAGGCTTTCACACGTTTCTTCTTGTTGCAACAATGAACCCCAAAGATGTTCCAGAAGTTTTTCCGCCAAGATTCCTGTTTTTTCAAGCTTGCTCCATAAATGTCTAAATTCTCGTTCCTCGGAGTCGAACGGCTTCACAGTGATTACCTTCTTAAACACATCAATCAACCATTGAGGGTCCAGAACCACTAGCTTGTTCAACTGCGGAGAGTCATCAAAATGAATTAAAATTCTCTGGTCATGTAAAAAGTTCAGTACCGTCAGAAACTCCTCATCGTCGACAATTTTGCACTTTTCCGAAGCGACTTGTTTGGCTCTTTGGAACGAGATCCATCGGTAGCCCTCTTCCTGGATAACGTGAAGTGCCTTTTCATATTGCAGCCACCTAATAGGTATGGCTTCCTTCATCTGCGGCAGTTCCTCGGCAACACTGCGTACTGTTTGACGCAGAAGTAATACTTCTGGACACTCAGATTCTCCGCCAGACTTGCTGTTGTCCACCACAAAGACACGCTCGTACAAATGAGAACTATACGGCTTGTTTTGCAGGACATGAAAGATCTCACTAGCAAGTGCTCGAGGATCTGCACCACCATGAGGTTGATCAGCATGTGTACACACTAGGAACACACAAGGAAGATTCTCCAGCAACAATTTACAGCCAGTGCTTTCTTGGCGGTTTCCACCTTCAGTTGCCAACGAAGCCACGGACGTCATCCAGAAATCTAGATAGTCCAGATTCGTTTTCAGGTTGAAGTTGTCTTGAAATAACTTGAACATGCCTTGCTTATTGGGAGGTGTTGCTGTTTCGTAGGGATTTCGGCTTAGATCATAAACCAACAAATAAACAGCTCTGGATGTAAGAAAGAGAGGATGGGTGACATAGTAAACTGACTGACCACCAAAATCCCATAAAACAGCGTAGATTCCTTCTTCATCTTCTACATTCTTTTCTTTAAGAAGTAATGTTTGGACCAATGCAGCTATTTCTTCTGGCATTCTATCTGCTGGTTCAAAACCACTACTTGTTGCTTCAATTTTAGTTGTCTCTGAAAAACTTGATGAAAACCGAAGGCTTGGTTCCGAGGAAAACCTCTTTGGTTGTTTTCCACTGCTTCCAGCCTGGATGGAGCGCCCAGGTTCTTTTATAGATTCTCGGTTTTCGCCAGAAGAGGAACGAGGAATCAAAGCTGATACATCCCCTTTAACAGTTAAAGTATCCTCAGGCTTGATTAATCCCATCACTTTTTCCTCTAGCGTTTGGTTATCAACCATCAGGGCGCCTGCAATCAACTGTGCTGCATGGTGTTCGTAGGACATGGATGCTGTCGTTCCTTCTTACTCTTTTTCCCCTGCCTTCCAAGTCTCGGTTGATAACTCGAAGTGAGAAGGATCAACATCAATTCCCACAGTGCTATATTCATCCGGGTTAAAAAGCTGCCCTTTCAGTGACTTCGTTAAACTGGTTTTTCCTGACCGGTCTTGTCCAATAACCATGATGGGCACCCTTTTAACAATAGTTTTCCCCTCAGCAAGAGCTTTGTGGTACGCTCTCAAGGCTATGGGTCCTCTTGCAAGAATTTCTAGTGGCTCTACATGTAAAGAAAAATTATTTTTTTGATTACTACTCAGAGAGGTAAAATAAGCTAAGTTGGAAAAAAAATGATTATCCAGTTAAAAATATCGTCACCTGTAATATTAATTGTGACAAAATAATGTAAACCAATCAACCACGTACTGATTATAAAATTATAGACTTTCCGATGAGTAAATTTTCCATTGCATATCTGGCCGAAATTCACCAAACTGTTATATCATATTTTTTATTCAAAAACTCATTAATAATTCATAAGCCCATTAACCTATCAAATGGTAGATAATACATCACGTGCAGTGACTTTATATCGATAAACCTCATCCTTATTAGTATGCGGTGTTTTATCAGATATAAAGACACTGCACTGTTTTTCTCGTATGCTAATTTCTAACGTTCACAAAAGCATAATTGTTATGAACTCTCTTGACACACGCTTTTCCAAGAATGTTTTTGAAGCCGTTCAAAAAACTCGCAGCACGTGTTTTATCGGGTCAAAAACCACTCGGCTACGCCTCGTGGTTTTAAACCCGATAAAACACTCCTGCTCGTTTTTTAAACATTACATAAAAAATTCCCACCTTTTCAAACATTTTATAATACCTTTTTGGGGTTCTTTTGCGACTTTATTCTTTGGAACCGACAAATATGGTGTCCATGATGATGAAGGCGGTTGCTTTGATGGCTTCTGCATAACACAAATTGGTGAGTAACAGTCGACATGAAAAGTTGAAAAATAGACTTATTAAAAAAAATGCAACTGCCAACTTCCAAACATACATTCTTGCTTTCCAAATCGAAAAACTTTCTCACACAGGAGAAAATTCTTTTGGTCGGTGGAGCTTGTTGCTCGAGAATCTCTTTAAAGTAAAACAAGTAAAACAATATGTGCCGTAATGAAACTTTACAAACATTGCTAAACTAATGTACGAAAAGAGCCGAATACTCTTCGACACCACTTCGCTAATAATATTCATAGAGCTGCCTGAGGAACTGCCGTACCTTTCAAAGCGATCTCTGGTGGAAAAGAGGAGAGGAGTATCTACTATTATTAAAAGCTGGATCATTGGATAATGTAATTCAAGAGTTTCATTGGCTTAGCCATCATGGGTTATGAGCCATCATTACCATGCTCTACAAATCCGTAAGTGTACGCGTCAAAAAAATGAAGTTTGCAAAATAAAGTTGGGAAGATTCTATACTTTGGGAATTTTTTAATAAAACAGTTTTTCCCCTCCACACGCGCTTATTAAATACGTGATGACTATAGCCAACTGGGCCCGCTATCTGTCATCTCATATCCAACACGCGCTCGGGGAATAATTGTTTGTTATGATATGGCAAGATATTCCTGAGACAAATCCGGGCATTCTGATTGGTTCTTTCTTGGTCTGGATTTTGCCATCCGGACTATCTACACGGAAAGGGTCATAAGCCATGTATTTTTTTTTGCGAAAGCCGGCAAATTCAAAATAAACAAGTTTGGTCCGAGTGCTATAAAATATACCACTTACTTAGCTTCTGTGCTCGAGCCGTACAGTGAAATATTCTACAGTACGGACCTCACGCTCGGTTATAGTAGAAGTTAAAATTGTACTTAGTGTAGTAAGAACTGGACCATTGACAGATCCAAATACAGAACGGAAAAATAAAGAGAGTAAGAAAAAGTAATTTACAGAAACTCACAACTTAAGCAAAAGCCCCATTCAAACCAGCAAAATATATTTTGCACAGGCCTAAATTTTTTCAGACCTTCTTTTCACTACTGCTTAATTACTGCCAAGATCGCTCTTGTATGATTATCACATATTCAACGTTAAACCAGGTTTGTTTAACTGAATACAAATCAGCAACTAAATGATACATTGTATCTAAGTAATCACTATTGTGCATTTTCATTGTGCTAGATATGAAGTCGACAAAGATCAGCTTAAGTAACTTTTATGAAGAACACAATTTTAAACCGTGTTCAACAAAATAGCTTTAAAACATGTCTTTCCTTTGGTGTAAATGGGGTGAATCTGAATAAATCTTCCAATAATAAACCAAAAACGGCTCACCTTTTCACGTTTTTGAATTCTTCTTAGAATACCAATGGCAAGGGTAATAATCACCTGCAGAAAAGTAACAGTTCAGTTTCTACATTTATGACGCTATGAAAAAGAAACAAAATGTTTCATAAAATCTTAATTGAGGAAAGTCGCAACTCAGTTAAATATCTGTTGTTTTACGTTTTCGCCTCCTTGAGGTGTAAACAAAGAGGCCAAAAAAGTATTTTTTTATGTTTGATCAAGGCTCCTAGCCGCCACACGTACCTCATAACAAACTACACTGCAACGAGCGAGACGCTGATCTAATTGTACCTGTAATAGATCATATTATGGGGCCTCTTTCTGGACCCCATAACATCCAGGAGACTTTTACACATAACAGAAATTCACTTTGATCCCAACTGAAAACATGCTCCCACTAAAGTCCTCTACTTGAAGCGGTACCTCCCATAGATTGATGGAAATGTCTATCTTGTATTTTATCTAATGTCTTCATTACCATTAAAAAATATTTGAGGGGTCAATAAAACCTTATACAGCATAAAAAAATATTCAACAAGCTCACGATGGTATGCAGTTCAGGATATGGGGGGACCACTTTGAAATCTTAAAAGTCTGAAGTTTTAAAAGAAAGAGACAGAAAAAAACTAAATCAAATGAGGTGAAAGTAACCCTTGGTGTGCATTCTGAGTTATGGCTGACAGGTTAAACACACCTCATCTATATTAAGATCCTCTTCAGTACTGACTTCCATGAACTTCATTCCGAATTTATGCGCAAACTACAGGAAAGAAATGCCCATTTTTGCACAATACTACCAACACAAATTATAAAGAAAGATGTTAAACGATTTTCGCAAGCGCGGGGCAAAAATTAACTCGTGAGGATTCAACCGCGAAAACCTAAGGTTTGAATCGAAACCATACGGGAACACGACTCCCCTTCGAACCATACTCGTGACAAATTTTCAACACCTTTTTTCCTACCAATAATAGATTTTATAAATAAAATGTACTGCTGACTGTCGATCAATTTACTAGGCGCGGTGGTGGCTCAATTGAACGACAGAAACGCGTTATCGAAAAAATGGCACATTGCCCCTAATTTTCCGAAAAAATCAGGGGGCCCTCCTCTCCCCCCCCCAACCTACATCCCGTTGCAACGCCTACGTGAAAGCCTTTGAAATATGATCATTTTCTCTTCGTTCAATGTATTTTCATTTATTAGAAAAAATGTAGACTGCGAAATATCTTTGTTTAAGGAGATAAAATGGAGTTTTGGTTTGCTGTCCACGATAGAATTAAAGCGCTGGTGCCCAAGCGCCATAATGAAGATCCATGAAGCCCGGACTCGTAAGCTAACTAGGTATCAATCGCAGCCGTTGGTCTCGCCACGCCACGGGGGAGAGAGTGCGTTGCGTGGCGAGACCAAACAACGACTGCGAAGGAGAGCACAGTAAGCGTGGCACCAATGCAGTTCATTTCTACTTTAAATTGTTCAGACAACAGTGACAACCTGTGTCTGAGTTTATTTCGTATAAATTGGATGAGTCTTTTTTCCTCTCTATCGAACGGAATTTCTGTTGGAAACTGTGAAGGTTAATGCTCTTTTTCCTTTGCGAATTTGAAAAATCAGTTGCTCAGTGTATCATCTCAACCCTCCCATCCAAATAAAATAACTCTTCTACGCATGAGTATGTTCTTGTTCGTCACCACAACGACCAACTGTAACCGCTTTTTAATGATATTAACTCATTTGTTTAACTTGTATTACCCTTGCCGCGGTTTCTGTTGGTACCATCCTCTGATACTCCAGGTGGCAATTAAATCCAATCAACATAACTTCACTATCACTTTCAGCAACCTAGGCAACATTACAATTAAGTCAGTAAAGGAGTTTACCAACACAATAAATATATATCAAGGCTGGTCAGTCAACAACAGAGAGGTTACCATAAATGCAGTAACAAAATACAGGAGAACCTTAAAGATCCAAAAGATAGGAATCTCTAGCGCACTCACCCTGTCGACTATTCGTATAGGTAATATGCTATTTTTCTTTCCTCTTGATGTAACGTTTTGTTGAAACTATTTTTCTATAGACTGGCTTGCCTAGCACTGACTACATTTGGGCCAGGAAAAAGAAATTGTAACTTTCGGAGGGTCGTGACGAATGTAGATATAAATGCATGCATACACACAGTTTAGAAGTGTAAGTATTTTCAGGTTTACAGATAAATATTGTTAAAAAGATGGTTGAATACTGGCATCCAAAGGAGCAAAGGAGGAAAGTGGTAACCATCACTCTCATTCTTTTGTTATAATCATATATCAGTTGGGCAAGTTGGTATTTTACTGTTGGTAACTGTCAACGACCCTGATATTTAATTATGAAATTCTGAGGAAGGGGAAGGGAGTGGGGGAGGGGCATCAGTCCTTTGGGACCGTAATAGTGATTCGTTGTCTTTCATATATATACCCCATGAAAGTTCTGGGTTAGGTTGTTGCATTTTAAGAGTTACTGTCTATCGCGACTGAACGTTAATATTTCTTTAGTTAGTTATTTATCTTGTTATTTATCTTGTTTGCACGCATTGCGTGCCATTGACGTTGAGGTAATGTGATTTTTACGCGACCTTGTGGTAAAATAAATGAATTAGTTGTGAAGTACAGTAT